TATGTTGTTGTGATGAGCAAGTTCTGCTCGTCTATTTGGTTAGCACTAATTTGGCTGTGTGTGCTAGTCCCATGCTAGCACCAGTTCATCCACATGACATGGCTAGTACTAGACGTGGCCAAAGCGGCACGCTGGTATCTGACACTGTTCACCCTAGTTAGTCTATTGGTATTTGCGTTGAACCCCACCTTTTAAGGTTTGAATCCGCAAGTGGGTAATTCTCATTTTAACTAAACGACTTTTGGCATCGCATTCAATTGAAGATGCCTGAGCATTGCGCTAGATCCTTTGGCCAGCTGTCTTTGCACAGTTTGGTTGCCACACCATACCCGATTGCTGTCACACACCCTATAGTGACGCACGGACCACGTCAAACCACACACCAACCCCACCACCACATCTGACATTTTCTTTCAAATATGAAAATAAGTACAAGAAGTAATATCAATTATTTACGTAAATTTATTATTACATTTAAAAATTATAGCGAAACAAGAGTTTCAAACCGTTTTAATGTGATAGTGTCAAAAAATTTACAAACCAAATTATAATTTGATTAATATATTAATCAACATATTTAGATTATTAAGGTATTAAATAAAAGAAATAGTTCATTATTAGTTATTAAATAATCGAATAATATTTCTGTTAAAACCTTGCGGAAAAATTTCAACGGGTGTTTTTAAATAAACATATGTATTTGACATTAAAAATAAATATAGCCCTTTAAGAATGATATGTAAGTTATTTCAAATTTAACCTTTTAATAATTTTATCATAATAAAAGTGATAGTAAAAAACTTATAGCAGTATTATAAAATAGTTTTATAAAAAAAAAGCGTTAATCCAAAAAAATAGAAAAAATCCTTAAAGTTGTTTTTTTATAAAGTTATTATTATTATAATAACTATACCCCTAATAAACGAAACACTGGCCCTTTTTATAAATAAATATTTAATTTATTCAAGTTAAGGTTTTGTATATGTTTTTTATCTATTAAAAGTTTTATTTACTATTTAAAACCGTAATAATTAAAAAGATTTTAAAAAAGAACTATAAAAGAAAGATCTTTTAAAAGTATAGTTGGGTAAGAAATAGCTTAATTTAGATGACTATTAATATTTTTAAAAGTATCTGTTATTTGAAAGAGGTTTGCATTAACTTTTAGCTTTTATATTTAAACGATTATGTACCTTTTTAAAAAATTAATTTAATCGTATTAAACTACATATTTATATAACTTTTCAAAATCGACCTCTTTTTTCATTTTTATCAAAAAAATAGGACTTGAACGATTTAACAGTTAGTTCTGTTGGGTCCATGTGATTCCACAGTCAAACCATCCATAGAAGACCCACATGTATGATTAGATAAGAGATTAGATACCAGATTGTGAGGTCACTTAGCCAGACCTGCAGGTACAGCTAGACTTCCCAATCCAACCATCAGCAACATCATGACCTTGACCCAATACTTGAGTATTATAATTGATCGTTCAAGCCTGTTCCAACAATTTTAATATTTCTTTTTCCTAACCGAGCTATTTTTTTAGTTTTACCTGGTTAATTTTATAAAGTTAAACTTAAAATTAATAAAACTAAATTCATTCACCCTTTTAAACGCGTTGAACTTTTCTTTCGTTTCGTATTTAAAAATCTGATTAATACACTGTTTATATAAATAGTTTGACTTTGTTATAAATTAATTCCATAGCTTTATTAATAATTCTATTACTTTTAATATAAAATATTAGCTACTTCAATATAAAGCTTTTTAATTAATTAAGAATATAGAAGATCTTATCGTTTTTATTTAAGAAATTGTTAACGTTGCTAGTTAATTCATTGATTATGAATGTCACGGCGAGCGTACCGAAGAGCTGGGACATGGCCGGCAGCAAGCAGCTATTACTCTATTGACGAGAATATCAAGACTAGAGAAGAAAGGAAGAGAGAGAAAGATAGGTACAGCGGGAGGTTGTCCCGTTAAGAGGATCCTCTGGTCAGATCCTTTCCTTATTGGGAGGTATCGGGTTGTCATGTGGGAAGGTCTGTCACGGCGAGCATACTGGGGAGCTGGGACATGGCCTGCAGCAAGCAGCTATTACTCTATTGACGAGAATATCAAGACTAGAGAGGAAAGAAAGAGAGAGAGAGATTGGTACAGCGGGAGGTTGCCCCTTTAAGGTGATCCTCTGGTCAGATCTTTCCTTTATTGGGAAGCATCGGCTTGTCATGTGGGAAGATCCGTGCAGGCCGTCACAATATTTATATTATTTATAATAATAAATAAATAAAATAATAAATCGTTTAGGTAATAACGAAAATAATTATTATCTATAAATCGTACTTATAATTTAGCCTTTTTTTGAAAAGCGGTCTTTTTAACTACGCAAGATTTTTAATAATACCAGGATCTTTAATCAGGTACTTTACATTAAATTGTCTATAAGACGTGCTTCTAAATCCCATTTCGTCGTATTATAGCTGGTATCGGTCTAATCGGTTCGCTTTTTTTTTTCAAAATTTAATGTCTTTTTAAACGGTAAATATTAAATAAAAGGTTATTACGTTTTATATATGTAATAAAGACGTAGAAGCCTTATATTAACTATATACGTATAACAAATTTTTATCTAAAAAAGAAAAGAAAAATCGGGCAACGTAACTAAATCTAATAAGGAGATAAATATATCCACCCGGCTTATAATTCGGGTCCCTAGTAGTTCCGGAACAACCTGTCGTCCCGGCAGTTACGTGCTAGTTATATAATACTAGGGTAACGGGGCTACTACTACTAATATCGCGTACAGCTACTATTATACCAAGGCTATAAGGGTCCTCGTAAGTTAAGTTAACGTAAATATTAACGTCAACTCAACTAACATATTAATATCCGTTAAGTTATTCGGAACCCTGTCTACATCGGTTTAAGCTCTTCCTGTCGCTAGACAAATACTTGACTATCACCACAAAAGCCCTAAGAATCAGAATTAGTCGGGAAATGCCCATCTCCAGATGTTCAGCCTATTGCTTTGCGCCAATGTTCTTCCCACTCCACTGCTTACGTCCATCCCAGTTATTGACTATGGAAGGAGTGGCAATTAAAAATACGAGGATATAAATCATATCGCTCCATTCTCTTTCGAGAGCGGTAGACAAAGTTTTCAGCTGCATCGAGATTGAAGATCAAATACAGCCAAGTCAAGTCTCACAGTACTCACGAGCTTCTTGGAATAGGTCAACAGAACCAAAGCGACCCGGAGCGTGTCTGAGTGGCCATAACGGACCGCAGCCACTGCAAGACGCAAGTCATATATTACGCATGTAAGACGAGTCATGTATGGTGCTTGAAAAGCCGGTCCACGCCAGCCCGTGTAGCCGCACCCACGCTGGCCACTGACTACACATCATTCCCAAGTCGTAGAATATTATCCCGAATTCAAGAGTACTGCCAAAATCATGCGAAGCGGCCTTCACAATATGTTAGGGGGTTGTTCGGTCCCAAGGACTCATATGATACAGTTCCTAAAGCAATGTCGCCGGACCAAATGATCTCGCTGTAGGCTCCAGAACAGCTTTCCAGTAACTAGACCGGGAGAGTCAAAGCAAGGCCAACCAAAGCCGATTATCGCCCCTCCATCTGCGTGTCTTACCTGATCTGGGCCTTGTCGGCGAGCTTCAGATCCATTTGAGAATATATAGACCACGAGTGTTCTCTAGCCTTGCAGATGAGGTGTTAAGTCGCAAAGATCGTCTTGATCTACGGCAATAATTTGAAGGTTTGATCGCACCAGTATGGGAGCTGATGGAAGCAACAGCGAGACCAGAAAACGACCCTGGCCTCGGAAAACTTGCCGGGCCTCTCTCCGGCAAGCCCAATTACCCCTTCAACAAGCGAAAGACCAAAGAGAACACCGAAGCTATGCAGCTAGCTGAGAGTCAGCTGGATCAGCTGTGGGCTAGGTTTGACGAGTATGTTACCCAGGCTCTAGGGAAGCATCACCTCAAATGGCTGAAAGAATTGGCCTCAAGAACAAATCCAATGCATAGAACACTGGCTTGGTCCGAACCCAAAGGAGTGATTCACGTCGCTGCCGACATACCGGTAACCGTCAACCTCGGTTTTAGGCATTCATCAGATCAAGGAAGCCAACTTAACGTCCCAACCCGGAGCCAAAAGGCAAAATCAAGAGGCATCCTTAGTTCACAAACAGAAGGTAAGTTGAATTCTACCAGCGTCCTACCAAAAAGAAAAGTTGCTAACAGTCCTTCCTGTTCAACCACAGAACTTGCTCTGCCGCAGCGCAAAGACCTAGGTGCCATGTTCAAGTCAAAGAAACGTGCGCACAAAGTCTTTACTACATTATTTTATACACCTTTACGCGATGATCAGGCCGGACAGAGTGCATGGACCGACTTCCATACACGCAATGGTAGCCATCGGATTTGTACAAGAAATCATGGTGCTTGCACTTCGGATTGCGCTGGGCAAGCTTGCCGAGGCAGGCCCCTTTCGAATCAGCTAACTAGGAATTCCTAAGGAGCTGGCCTAGAGGAAACTAGCTAGAAAGGGGCCCTGGTAAATAGGAGCTTAGGCAACGAGCTAAAAGCGCTCCTCTCGTTTCACCATCAATCGAATTTCGATTCGTCTTCTGTTCTGCGCTAGAAGGAAGCTTCAATATGCCAAACAAGGATGTTCCCGCCAAATCCTGCACTCCTTCAACCCAAAATAGCAGAGTTCGAGACCCTGGACGAAGGATTCGAGGCGCAGGATCGGCTGTGAGCCGCCTAGGGGCTGACGGATTGTACTGGGGGAAGCTCAATCCAACGAGGAGATAAATAGGTGCGCATCCCCTCTGGTGTGGCTTATGTCCTCATCGGTCTGCCTGAGTTTCAATCACTGCTCGACTAAAAATACTCGTTCGTTTCGATATACTCTCTTTCATTCACGCACTTAATCTTCGTGTTCCTTCGTTCAACCATTTATTCTATTCCAAAATGCAGTTATCCATACTCGCTGTCGCCACAAACCTCTTGGCCCTGTCCTCCGCGACCCCGGCAAATCCGCTCTTCGCTGGGCACAATGAGTGCGACTACACCGGTGTCGTAGGTGGTATCAGATATACGGGCGTAAGTAGTCGAGTCGCGACTGTACAGAACCTGGAGAAAGTTAACCACTGACGCGGGTGCAATAGACGTGTACCAAAGCCGGCAACTATGGAGCAGGTAATTGCAACTTGCCAGACAACGGAGGTTCCTACGGCTGCGACTTTCAGTGGCACAATAACGAGGCCATGACACCGTGTGGCGATAACGGCGATGATGCTACGCAGTCACAGTTTGCTGTATGTGTTTCACCTCATTTTGTGCTGTGTGTAGCTTGCTGACGTATCCTTCTCACGACAGTGTAAGAATGACGGCGACGCGTGCTGGATGTATTCTTACGCTAGTAACTCTACTTACTTGGTCGTCCATTGTACCAACCAATGAAGGGGCGCTCGAGTATGTTGGGCTAGCGAATTGCTGTTTCCCAGTCTGATTCTACATAGTGTACAATGTATACTACTATTTGTTTCCTAGGATGACAAGCGCGAGCGCTGGTGGGCTTCCTGGGAGCGACTGAATTCATACCATGATATCTAGATGATACTTCTCGCCACCTATAAGTCCCTGGCCACTGACAATCACATCCTAAGTCACAGATTGCCATAAATTGACCTGTAGGGTTGTATGACTTTCTAGTGCATCTTGCTGCTTTCAGAATACATACCACATGTATCTCGAGAGCAAGTTTTCAATCAGTGGTAAATTTGTCACTCTGGAACTCGAATGACCTCAGTCTGCCAGATTGGGGATTGAACTACATGTCAGTCTCATCGGTGTGCATTCTCTAGAACCACGATGTTCACTGGCCTGGCAAGTTACCCTCTCGGCTAGTATCTTCAGCCAGCTTGGTCATATTTGCGTCCCAAGTAACATCTATTGGAAGCCACCAGAGCATATGAGCAAAAACCAGAGGCTTAATAAACTGGCGTCTGGCACAGCCGGACACCCAAGCCGCCTCATTTAGCCAGGCTCTGCGCAAGTTGACGGTTGGTGGCTGCCAGCTGAAAGCCTGTCCTGTAAGTTTGTCAAAGCCGAGCTTTGACAATAGTTCAAATACCACGTGAGAGCAAACAGCCGCGGGAAATATATTGGAGAGAATGAAGACATATCCACGCCTGAATCACAGCCAAGAAACTGTAGCCTTTTGCGGCAACATGGAATCTGATATGGTTTCCAGCAAAATGTAAAGTGGAGATGGAGTTTCATTCAGGCTTCGCACTTCAGTGCATCTATCGAGAGATATCTACGCAGAGAAGCTTTTTTCTTCCTAAATTTACAGACTACCTGGCAAACCGATGCCGCTTTCTATACCCTGCTCCAGCATGTGTCCTGCCCCGGGGCGCCTTCATCATTGCATCCATGCCCCGGACCATCTCGTCCTCGACTAATCCCTGGCCCAGATTAGAGCACAGGAATTGCAGACCAGTAAGGATTTCCACTAGTGCCGTGTAGTCATGCTCACTCTTCCGACGATTAGTCTCTCCAGATGCATCCAGGTCTCATGGCTGGCGTTGCTCTGCTGGCTTCTCCTTCTTCAGCTCGTCCTGGGCCACCGGCCTCCGTCTTCTATCGGCCTCTGGTGGCATATCCACACATAGTCCGAGCTAATCAATATCAGAACTGCAGATGAGCAGCGAACCAAGGGAAAGAAAAAGTATCCTGTCTCCGGGGTGGTGCCAGAAGGTGCGCATGCGCCTGACGAGCTCGGTGACCGTCTTGGCGCCGGCGAGCAGCTCCAGCGCGGACGACTTGCTTAGGCCTTCGAGGAGCGCGTTGTCCGTGTTGGGCCGGGCCCACTCCGGGTGCTTGGTGCCGGCCAGCGTTCAGAGTTGTATGCGTCATCCAGAACGCCACACAGAAGAGCCGGGGCAGGTTCACACGAAAGGCCGGGCACCCATGGTGTGAGTCCGGACGAGGTGCCTGCCCAGCTCAGCCGAGTCGGCGAACGTTTGGGTGTAGCCAGAGAAGCGGCACTGCCGCAGGTGCTTGATGCGGTGGCGTTGCAGATTGCCTGCGAGACGCTCGCCGCAGCCCGTCCTCGGGGAGCTTGACGACGTCAGGCTAGCTCAAAGCCTTCTTGAATAGGGCTTCGATCTTCGTCTTGGTGTTGATCTGGGGTGTCATCTGAAGATTTGCCTTGAGCCAAGCAAAATACATGCGGGCATGCTTGGAGCGTGTTGCACATAGCTTATCGTGGATGCGTTTCTCGAAGTGGTTCTCGCATGTAACCCATATTAAGCGAAGGTCCTTGTTTTCCTTCCTCATGAGGTCGAGCTTCGCCTGGTGGCCTCGCCAATGAGGAACACCTCGACAGTGTTCTCGCTAGGGTGAGTCATGGTGTCGTCCTAGGCCAGAAACGGGAACGGGAACGGGAGCGGCAACAACGGCAGGGACGACGGGCAGAGCGGCGAAGGGCACGGGAGCAGGGCTGGCCACGATGGCGCACATCGCCTAGCGGTGGATTTTTGCGTTAATCCAGTTGGTAACATGGAGGAACTTTGGCAAAATAAAGACAGCCTTACCACCCCAGTAGCCATCCTCCCTCATCGTCGACCGCCGTTCTGCGTATTGACCACATAGGCCGCGTTGAGGGCCGCGTTGGCAGCCCGCCAAAGAAGAACCCGGTGGCTAAAAAAGTGTTCGTTCATTCTCTTCCGGCTTTGAGGCGCCGCATGGCAGTTTGGCCATCCGCAGTTGAAGAGAACGGCCCCATTAGCGTTCGTGGTGACCCAAGAGGTGGGTGAAGTCGCCCCATAGGATGGCCTGCGAGGCGCTGTCGGCAGGGTATTGGTCTTTTTGTATGCCACGTAGCTCGACGCACCGGAAGACGCAGACGCCAAGCTCGTCTCGTTACCGGCCTGCTCGTTGTCGTCAGCTGCGGCAGCGGCAGTGTCATCCTGCTGCTCGGGCTCCTCGTCTCTGTCGTCGACTCGTCGTCACCGTACTTGTTGGCCTGTTGAACAGGGGGTGGAATCGACTGGGACTCCGTCGTCGTTCATAGGCAGTGTAAGTCTCGGGTAGTCCCAGTCATTGGGTTGGAAGAGTGGCTCGTGTCTGTCGACAAAGGCTCCTCAGCCGGCGTGAGGACCAGCCTCGTAGATGTTAGGACGGGTTTCCGGGCTCGCATGACAAAGGGTTCAACAAAAGGGTTCGACGAAAAGGTTCGGCTGACGTTGGGTTTGATATGGGAATTGGATGTGGTTCGTGAACATCAATGCTCCCGTCTACATCAAGCTTGTCGGATGTTGGTATTATCTGCCAGACGGAAACCCATGTATTTCGCGGTTTACCTGAGGCCCCGGGATCATAGAGTGCGGATCGGTCTCTCTCTCGTCGGTGTTACCCAGCATCAGGCGCTACAAAGTACAAAGTCAGTAATTACCCCTTCAATAAGCCCCAGGCTCTAGGAACAGTCTCCGGGGTATGTATGGATAGATATGCTACTCACGGCAAGCTCCTCTAAGTCCGTGCAGCCCCAGATGGGGCGCAGCTGGGCGCGCTGAAGTACTGTGAGGTACTAGGCCTTGAATTCCTCTGGTCGCACCGCAAGCAGCAGCAGGCCGCTTTTAAAGCCTTGCTCCCAGGCCTCAGTGATGTTGACGACGTCAACGAATCCAATGGCGTTCATTGCATGTAGAAAGTCAAGGTGTCGGCCCGGTTATAGGCCAAGGCCATCTCTCGCTCCGTGATGCCCGGAAGGCAAGGAGACCAAAAACGCTGGAACTTCAGTCCCATTGTCGCTGCTTTTGTCATAAATATTCACGTTAGTAGATGGACTTCATACTAGCACCGCTAGGAAACAACAATCAACGACAAAAAGGGCAACAAAAGCGGCCAAGATACCGACATAGGCCACACCAATAATACCAACAATAACGAAATAAGCTAATTGCTTACCTTGGCCGGAGAGAATTGGGATTCGGAGGTGGTAGTGCCGGGGGTCGTAGGCTGAACTGTTGGCGTTTTCAGCAGTGTATAACATGTTGTCGGTGCCTACGGTGGTGACGATGTCAGCGAGTGTAATGGTGAGGGTGGGTAGAGTAACGCGGTAAAGACTTTGTGCGCACAGTTCTTCTGAATGAACTTGGAGAAGGGGATTTCTTGGCAGCGCCTAAGCGATTTCTGGCTCTGTGGTGAAAAAACGCAAAACGGTTAGCGAATTCTTTCTGGTAGGACGCTGGCAAAATTCCAACCTACCTTCTGCTCCCAATGTTGTAGCATGCCTTGTGCAGTGGAAGTGTAGAAGTATGGTGTGAACAGGGCCGGGATGAAATTCCTGGAGCTTTTTGTGTTGTTAGAATGGTGCAAGAGGAGATGAACAATGGCTAGGACATTCACAGTACACCCATGTTACCTATCCAAGGTATTTTTATCTCCTAGGTATGTGATGAAAAGCCTTTCCAGGGCTTGATCTCCTTGGAAGGTTCGGAAGGACTCATTAATACTACTACAAGTGACTGCAATGCGGTACCGCACCTCCTCAGGCACGCCGCACCTTTTTACACCCGCCCACTTGGCCGCCTCCATCACATTGATCCGTGGCGACCTATTCGTCCTCATTTAGTATTCAATGTGTCGTTTGCAGCCTACTTAATCCCCTCCTGTCATTTAAGTGTCAAGTGTACAGTCCATGGAAAGCAATTCAACGTTTTCAATTTACACCTCATGTTGCATCGGTCCTTTTGACCTCTGTTTGCAACTGGAAGCGCACATGGCCCTTAACTTAGGTAAGTAATCGGCTGGAGTCAAAGGGCGGACTACGTTGCTATGATGTCAAGGACAGATTAAACAAGCAGCAGCCAGACACCTCCGTCCGTTTCCACCCCCTAAAGTAGCAATGACATTGGAAGTTTCACATAATTATGGTCATCCTTGGGAATTTAGACCAGACTAAATAGTCAGTCATATTCCAGTAGAAGCTTCCTCGTCTTTTTATTCCTCAATTCTTCACGATATATGACGAGTCAGCCTTCACAGGCCGTGACCTTACGAGTCAGCAGATTTGATGATCCCAAGGATTACCTTGGCAGCATAGGCGGGTGCTGCAGCTCAACAGATCTTGATCCCGACGCGTTTTGGTACATTGCTTGTCGACACGTGGGTGATTGTCGATCAAGTTGGCCTACCCTGTCTCGACAGGACTTGGAGCAGGCGCGATATTGACATGTTGCAGACCTTGATTTAGATCTCAGAATTATGCCTCAAGAGTGCTCCCGTGCTTCGATGGGACACAGGTGTCTTGCCTGCCAACATCAGTGGCAATATCCTGCATTAAATGTTGTGTCCTGATATGTGGCGATACTATGAATTACGAGGGTGACGAGACCTGATGCGAGCAACAAGCTAGGTTGGCATCTCATTGAGCTCCTTGCGTACAGTAGTGAGTCGCCGCAAGGGAATGAATGGTACAAGAACCAAGATTAAAAGTGCACGCAGCGGGATGGATCTGGAGGTCTGGTCTATGTTGCTCCAGGACATCTCAGCCAGCCGGCTGTGACTTCACAGAAAGGGGGAAGAAAAGGGGCTGGTGGGCTGCACGGTAGCTGCACCGCCACAGCCATAGTGGGTGGGGAGCCAAGTCCACTGGCTACCGATAAGCCCCACTAAAATTTCTATCGCTCGAGACCTCTGAATGTCGCATCCCACCTTTGGACTTTGTTGTGCTCGACATCAATCTCAGTCCAACAATCACCACGGCCACGGAACTTCAAAAGCTGAGAAGATGTCTTCGTTACGGAATGCTGTGAACCGGCGGGTCCACAGGGAACGTGACCAGCTGGAATCCCGCGCTCGCCTCGGCCGTCTGGAAAAGCACAAAGTGCGTACCTATAGCCTGCACAACACCTCCGCCACTGGCATTCGCTGACCGCATTCTGCCGCGCAACAGGACTACAAGCTGCGGGCTGCCTCGTTCAACAAGAAGAAAGAGCAGCTGAAGAACCTCCGGGCGAAGGCCGCAACGCGCAACGAAGATGTGAGTAGATCGATCCACTGGACTGCCCCGCCTGTGGTGCTGGGAATAGGTTTGCTGACATGAGGCACAGGAATTCTACTATGGCATGCTGTAAGTTGCCAACCAAGAACCGATTTCCGGAGGCTTTCGCCCGCTCTTCCGACTTTAGAGCACTGACACGCGCCTCGAATAGATCTCGCAAGGGACCCCAGGGCGTCCTCTCGAAGGGAAAGCGGTGGACCGGCACAGTAGATGGCGACCGGGGCAACAAAGTTCTCGACCTCGATACCGTGAGACTTCTGAAGACACAGGACATCGGATACCTGCGAACGGCCCGGAATGTTGCGGCGAAAGATGTTAAGCAGCTGGAGGAGCGTGTCGTGGGACTAGGTGGGAGCTTGGATCCAGACAAAGAGATGGACATGGACGATGATGACGAGTTCGGTGGATTCGACGATGACGATGCACCACAGAAGAGGGCGAAACCCAAGAAGACCGTATTCGCAGACGAGCTGGACGAGAGGGAGGAGCGGATACAACGCGATGCAGACCAGGAACTGGAAGATGAGGAGGGCGAAATGGATGTTGACGAGGAGAACCCCGAGAAGCTACGAGCAGAACAGCGGCAAAGACTGCTGGAGAAGCTACAGCGGCGCCTGCAACACTCCCGGAAGAAGGTGTGGATTCTGACGCGAGCCGAGCATGAGCTGGATATGCAGAGGGCGAAGATGTCCAAGACGCCTACATCCATGAACGTCGTCACGAAGGCAGGCAAGCAAGTCAAGGTGCGGCAGCGGAAACGATGATCCCAACCAACGTGATAGTCACAAAACAGACGCGCGGATAGGTAGGGATTCATTTAATTGTCAGCATCAACGCACGGAGTTTCATTTTGCCCAGCATAGGCGGCGTTCAGGATGAGGCAGCCCAGAGCTATGCGATACCCAAGAGGAAACAAGACCAAATCTAGTTCAATATACAGCTTTTGACTCAAGCCCCCAAGCACCGAGCTCCATTCGCCTCGCTCGTCGTGGGCTGCTCATTACCCGTAGGTGATTCATTCATTATGTCCAGCTCAAGAACAAGAAATATCCACGCCCCTGCGCAACATGGGCAACGATTATGTACTACCGAGATAGGGCGTATGTAGGTCACCCTCGCTATTCTTCTCACCCTCCCTCTCTCCCAACATCTACAGCTTCTCGCTCGTCAGACACCGCGTCAACCCCACCACCACCGCCATCAGCGCCTTGAACGCCAGCGTCAGCGACCAGATGACGCACTTGAACGCGAAGCCCAGCAGCTTGATGGCTGTGCGCGCGGGCCCGGGCAGCTTCTCGCGGTCCTTGTCCTTGATGCTCAGCTTGCCGCCGAGGCTGCTGGCCTGGCTCTCGAGATCGAGCTCCAGCTCCTCGAGGCGGCTGCGCTTCCCGCTGCTTTTCTTCTTCTTGTCCTTCTTGCTGCTCAGACGGCTGCCACTCCTGTGGTGGGAGGACTCGTGTTGCGTCGGCGGGCCATTGAAATCGAATTGCGAGTTGGGGTGGGAGGGGGATGGCGAGGACAGCGACCTCGACTGGCTCCGCAGGTGCGCGGCCGGCGGCGGCGCAAACTGCTCGATCAGGACGTTCTTCTCGTCGAGGTGCGCGACGAGCAGCAGCGCGCACACGGCCACGTCGAGGATATAGTAGCTCTCGACGCGGCCGGCAACGAGGCTGTCGAGCTCGACCCAGCCGTCCCCCGCGCCGTGGTGGCGCGTCAGGCGCGCGAGGTGCCGCGGCGACTCGACGTGCTCGACGGCGTACTCGGTGCGGCTCCACGCCGGGCTGCGCTCCACCGTGATGCAGAAGGGCGTCGCCAGCGCCGGGTGCACGAGGAAGTAGTTGCCGCTGTCGTCGTCCCACACCAGGCGCGCGCACTCGCGCTCGGCGGCCATGACGGCCGCGACGTCGCCTGGCTTGTCGAGCGCCACCTTGGCCGCCGCCGTCGGGTACAGCAGCGCCACGAGCCCGTCGTGCGGTGGCAGGCGGCGCGCCGGCTCCTCGAGCGTCGTGGCGATGGCCTCCTGCCAGGGCCGCTGCTTCTTGGAGTTGGAGCCGCTTCCGCCACCATCGGCCTCGCGCAGCGCGCCCAGGAGCCCCGTCGACGACCGCGGCGCGGCGGCCGCCTGCTGCGGGTCCCGCTCCCGGCACGGTTTGCCCGGGTCGTGCCGGCTGAGCGTCACGTACGCCGACGCCGACGTCGGGTCCAGGCGCATGTGGTACAGCGGCTGGGAGCTCGCGCTCGTCAGGTGGTAGACGGGCGCATCGGGCTCGGGCAGCAGCTTCATGCAGAACGTGCGGCCCTCGGCGCCCGCCGCCCGCCATCCGCTCGCCGCCTTCCAGTAGTCGCGCAGCTCCTCCGTCGTGCTGATGGCCGGCGTCGTCGGCGGCTCCTGCTGCGGCCGCCTCGGCCAGCGCTGCTGCTGTTGCTGTGTCGTGGCGGACCCGGCGCTGAGCGGGCTCCGTACGGGACTGCGGACTGGCGGGCTGCGGTTGTCGACCTCGACTTGCTGCGGGACGTGCGATTGGCGGCTGATTACCATCCGCGGGATGTGGCTTGGGCTGGTCTGCGTGGGGTAGTAGTCCTGCCGGTCGAAGGGCAGCGTGTGGTCGTACTGGGGGAATATCGAGCGCAGGCCCGCTTCTGGCGGCAGTGGGAAAGACTCGGGCTCCTCTTCGAAGGGCCGTTTGGCGATCGAGCTCCTGGACCTCCCGCTGGGATTCCGCACGAGTGTGCTGGCCGCCGAGAAGGCGGTGTCTGTCCGCGGCGGAACGTGCTCTGGTGGCACCGGCCTTGACACGGAGGGGCCTGCCTGGTGGGTTTGATAGTATGGGTTGTTCGAGGTCATTTGGGGCCCGCTGGCCGGTGGTGGTGGTGACCCGTCGATGACGAACTGTGAGAGGTCCTCCACTGGTGTGCGACGGCCGTTGCGCGGTGGTGTCATTTCGATTGAGGGACCCCGTCCTTGAGATGGTGACTGCGGAGTGCCAGCACGCGGTCGGGGTGTTGTCTTCCTGGATGGTGGTTTTGTTGCACCACCACCACTTGTGTTGGGGAAGAGAGAGAACCCTCCCGAGGGGTTGTTCGAAGACATGATCCCGACTTATGTCTCGTTCTGTGTCAAAGAGAAGTCTGGTCGCTCCAATGTAGTAGTCCCTAGCCAGCCAAGCACGAGACCCAACAGTAACCAATTCTGTCTTAACGGAATCGTTCGCCCTGCTACCGGTGCATGGTAGTTTTCTGCCTCGTGGTACCTGTCGTTCGAAAATAGCGCGGGAGCAGACAGAAGTAGCACAGCAAGGCAACACACTGGTCTCTTTCCCCGGGTACCAGTCCTCGTCGTCGTGGGTGTTCTGTCACCAACAGGCCGGAACGGGTCGACGTTGGGTGTTTTCGAGAAGACAGGAAATAGAATCACATCCCGCTCGCTCGGGAATTAGGCAAAAGCAGACGCAAGGAGACGTATATACGACCTACCACCCGCTCGGAGCGCCGAAGAGGTTCGACCCCCGGCTCGCACCTGCATGTACATACGGCACGCACGCGCTGGCCAGCATGCCATGCTGCCCTCATTCACTTTCTGCTTCCGCCCAATGCCATTGTTAAGCGCTCAGGGCGCTGTGCACGCCTGCGGGGGCGGGGCACCACATCGTGGCAGGCCAGTGGTGACAACAGAGGATACACTGCAGAACTACTGCGGTGAACTGGACATGAGCTGCACACTCTCTATCAGGTCCATATCGTGCGAACAGCAATCTCCCACAGGTACGATGATAAGGTATCTCAGTAAGATAAACAAGCTCGGCGACCTCGGGCACCATCTGGCACAAGCTTGACTCCGAAGACACAAGAAGACGGCAACAGGAAAGTGAAGAATGAAGAATGAAAACTTCGAGAAAGAGGGGCACGCAGATCTGATTCGTCGCATTCGAAAATAGACATGGTTGGTTGCAGGCCGCAGGACGACGACGGCCCAATGAGACCAGGGATCACACTGCGTCCGTAGCCGCCCTGCGCGCCGACAGGGGGTGTGGGGGTGTGGTCAGGGGTAAAGGAAGAGAAGCGCGCGGGGTTGGTCTGCCTATTGTGATCCTTCTTCTAAGGACTTTTGCGAAGTGATTGGTATGTTGACGATGTGTCGCTATTGGATGTAGCGAGGCGGTAAGCACGATTTCGCTTTTTTCTCTTTCACCACTGCCTACGCGTATGTGTATGAACCGAGCCCAAGCTCATCTGGGTGTCGATTAGAGCTCTCCACGTGGGAATGAACGATATTCTGCGAAGATACTTGGTTGCACATGACGACTTACATCGTGAGCAGTGACAGACATGGTCCTCCCCCGCAGTGTCGACCACCCTCATCATCCTCTCTTCCCCACTTCGTAGGTAGCTGGACAGAGTCACTCACAGGGTGAATCAAACCAATCACTACCAGCTTGAGTGTCGATCTTAAGGCTGGGGTAAGCTGTGATGGTTCCTGATCATTATACTTCATGTGTTGATTGGAGTGATAGTGGCAGGTAACTGACAAGATCAAAAGAGGGTGGGTAAGCTGCAGGAACTGCGAATAAGGCTTCGCATCTAATTGGAGATCGCTCGCCGGAGATCCTCACCGGAATGTAACATATTATGATGCCTTTCGGGGTGCTTCTTGATCCACTGCCATCCACACCCGGACCTCTCCGAATGGCAACGGGTGTCAACCACAGTCTGACTCGCCTATGCTGTACTCCTCTCTGCCCTCCCCTTACTTTCGGTGTGGCCCTTTTGTCTCCCCTACCAGCCAACGTCAGATATATCTAAATCGGGGTCCTTCTCGTCTGACCGAAACTGCCAACAGGTTCTAGGGTAGAGAACCGGACTTTGGGAGACTCTAGCTATTTACGTTCCGCGTTTTGGTATCAATTTGACCATTCTGTCCCAGTTCATACGGGATGCGAAATGGTGCGATGGCCTCAGTATAAAAAGCAGACAGGTCACTTCACCGCCTGACTATCCCGTTCCCAAAAAGTAACGAGACATCGCTGTCCAGCAACACCTTGGTCAGAGTGGAATCCCTGATCCATCACGTCTACCAGGAGGGTATCTATGGACGTCTACACGACAACAAGGAAAGACTCATACATACTGGAAAGACAAAACGCTTCCCCATGTCCTGTGCCCGTGACTGGCTTGGGCCTGGCCCACATCTTCGTCTATATAGTGATATCCCACCAACATCTTCCTTCGGGCTCTTACTTGAGTGTTGGGATTGCCGAGGCAACAGCAGCAGCGGTCGGGGTCACCGTCACAATGACGGTGGTCGTCCCAGTAGCTGCGGGATCTGCAACGGCAGGGTCCGCGGCGGCCGGGTCCGCAGCAGGTGGTGGTGCGGCCGCCTCCGCCGGGGCGGGCATGAAAGCCGCAGCCTCGAGAGGGATCGAAGCAACCGTGCCACCAACGACGTTCGTGCCGTCGACACTCGCGCCAGAAGCGGCCGAAGCGGCGGCATAATCGAGGATCTGCTGGCCATCAGTGCGACAAGTTGATCAGCATGAGTTGTCAACACGTAATCCAGGGGTAGGTAACCTACGGATTTATAACCATGACCTGGCCCTCCTGGCAATGAGGCACAGTAGCACAGTACAGAAACATGGTATCCGCGCTAGTGACGGGCATGCTGAAGGTCCCGACCGTCGTCTGTCCGTCTTCGAACGGGATGTGGCCGCTGTGGATGGCGGTGGCGACCATGGCCTGCAGCGGCGTGCACGGCGCGTCGGCGGAGCTCTGGGTGACGGTGTGGTTGCCGTTGCTGAACTGGAATTGTATAACGTCGCCCACGGCTGCCGTCACCAAGTTGGGGACGAAGGTGTCCTGCGCGCCGCCGACGACGACGGGGATTATCGTGTTGGCGGTTACTGCTACTGCTGTTACGTTAGGCATGTGTGAGTCTTCGGCTTCGGGTATGCAGTAGGCTGTGAGCTTACTATCGAATGCTGGCGCTGCCTGCCTTTTCGTGACCTTGAAAGACGGTGACGCAGTGGCTACCGAGGCCAGGAGTAGCGAGGTGACGAGGAACTGCATGTTTTCTGTGATTCTCCTTCTTCGAGTTCGACGACAATGTACTTGATAACAACGAGTGACTGGTATCAGAAGCAGCCAATGACAATTGTGAAGTATTAAAAAGAGTGACTAGTAATCAATACCGCTCAACGGTTCTTAAGAATCAACTGGAGGGGCGAAAAGAACAAGCAACGGGCAGCAATACAATTGAAGTAAGGAATAAGGTTCGAAGCCAAGTCGGTGGGCTTTGAGGAGACCATATAGGGGAACTGTTCTTAACCATGGCTACGCCACAGCATGAAGGCCGTCGCACTACGGCGACAGTCAAGACATGACGAGCCTTTCTACGACCCCTTGGCCAAGACGGGACCGTGGTGACGACTCCACCACCATAATAGCCAAGATCAGAGTAAGTGGTTCAGTGCCTGGCTCGTCAGTCGCTAGTCGTGCAAAGGAGTCTGAAGCATCACGCGCTTTTCCACCGTCCACGAGGGCCAAGACCCCCATTACGGCAAGGCGGCGCTTCAGAGCCCCCTGCCCCATGACATCTGAGGCTCTTGAGCCTTGCCTCTGGCTCTGGCACCTCCCTGTCCCAATGCCGTGCGAATACGCATGACATCGAGCAGATGACCCCGGGGCCCTGGGGAGATCGGTCAATCACCCAATGAAGCCTGAAGCGCATCTTAAGATCTGCCAATAGGCCCAAACGGTCCTTATTGTCAGATCGCTGTCGTAATTCCTCGTTTTTGAAGTTCAGATGCCGTTTGATGTGCCAGGCCCCCATGGGAACACAGGGGGCAGAACAGGCGACGGCAGGGGTCTCGATAGGGCCTGTGCACGGTCTGACGGGAAGCCAAGGCTACCACTGCCCTATCACGGGTCCCTTGTGAGTATCACAGGCTCGCAGCTAGCCATCATGATTGACGTTGGATGTGTTCATGAGGCTGAGCATTACCTTGGCACGTGCATCAGATGGCAGATCTGAAGTCGATCCGAAACGGCGCAACTCTTGTCGAGGGCCCACCCCATCGGCCCCACGTGATGCTTTGACTCCCCCTACCGTGGACATGAATTATCAGCGCCGCACATGTTGTAGCGATCTGGCCTGGGTTCCACAATGCGCTGTCACTTCTGCATTTTGCCTTCCCGTTGCAGTGGCAGAATGTCCATGTTCCACGCAGATTGGGCACCCGTCCTGTCTCGCCCGCGCCTCCCACTTCCCGAGCGCTCGTTCCATTGGATCACTGGCTAGCCATCATCCCAACTTATGATCATGATGCTTCAGAGTTCAACCTTGCATGGATCTGATGTGAAGAAAACTGAGATAATATTCAGTACCCTCGCAATGTTGAGCAGCTTTCACGGAATCGGGTCTCAACGTCGCCCAGCCCTAGCCTGTCAATCCGGAACAGAGATCCCATATTCCACTGTCATGTGATGGTTGATCGAGTCCGAAGAAATAAGAGGCTCTGGCAAGTTTGGACCTTCTCATCGTCGCCGACTTTCTCGCTCCAGCTGGAGAAAAAAGACAATACAGGATGCGGCGGCGGTGGATCGGTCAACTCGGCGGGATCCCGACGTCTGATCGGGCTGATCGGGCTGATCGGGATGGACCGGCGACGCCTCACCAAGTCCGATTTTCGGCTGGTTGGTAGAACTCATGATCATTCGACAACGGAATTGTATCAGCTGATGAGTCCATCCTCCACCGAGGAGATAGACAGCTTACAAGAAGTCGATAAGCCACTGTCCTGGGTGAAAAGCATCTCATGTACTTTGTTCTGCTAGTGAGACGAATTCCCGTCTTGATATTGAAGATTGGACTCTAGCCTCCGGAACTTAGAAGCTGCGCTAGTCATATCAGTCTTCCTCAACTGTCAACAACTCTCGACGAGATTGATCATTCCATAAGAACTGACTCTCAAAGTACTCCGACTGATAGCTACTGACAAGCAGCCAAGATGCCGCACATAGTCGTTATAGGGTAACCCTCCTCCCGCCCCTATCTCCCAACACAGACAACGTCGCACTAACCCGCCCCCAGCGCCGGAGTAATCGGCCTGAGCTCCGCCCTGCGGATCCTGTCCGAAGGCCACGCCGTGACCATCATAGCGCGCGACTTCCCCAGCAGCTTCGAGACCATCGACGCCACGGCCCAGATCAACTTCACGTCGCCCTGGGGCGGCGCGCACAACCGGCTCGTGCCGCCCTCGGACCCGGCGGCGGCGCGCGAACACCGCATGGCGCTCAAGACATTTGCGCACATGCGCGCGCTGCATGCGCGCCACCCCGAGGCCGGCATCACCTTCATGAAGGGCGTCGAGTACATCGAGGCGCCCGACGCGACGTACCGCGCGTTGACGGCCGAGCGGGCGCGTGCGGAGCTGGGGATGGAGGGGTTCAGGCTGCTGGCGGAGGATGAGTTGCCCGAGGGCGTGACGTGGGGGTGCGAGTATGACACATGGTGCGTTAACCCCATGGTTTACTGCACGTTCATGCTGCGGCGGTTTGCATTCCACGGGGGTAAGATCTTGAAGAGGGATGTGCGGGATCCGGCCGAGGTGTTTGGGATGAGGGATCTTGCGGCGCCGGTTGATGCGCTTATTAATGCATCGGGAAACGGGTTTGGGGACCCGAATGTGTTCATCACTCGAGGTGCGTATCTTGCTCATCCTCTCGAAGAATTGGGATTGCTGACGGATAGACAGGCCAGACATGTCTCGTCTCCAACACCTGTCCCGCAACCGTCACACGCCAGAACGCAGATGGGTCGTGGACGTTCTGCGTCCCGAGGAATTTCGAAGGCGGCACTATCATCGGCGGCACCAAGGAGCCGGATAATTGGGACCCGAACCCGTCGCTTGAGGTTCGGGAGAGGCTGCTGTCGAGTTTTGCCGCTACGTACCCGCAGATTCTTGATAGTCAGGGCGGCAAATACACCGTCATGAAGGATATTGTCGGCAGGAGGCCGACGCGGAGAGGGGGCTTGAGGCTGGAGACTGAGATAACCGCAGGGAAGAATTGCATCATCCATGCGTATGGCCTGGGCGGACGGGGCTACGAGTTGAGCTGGGGTGTTGCTGAGGGTGTTGCTGAGTTGCTGGGTGCGCAGTTGGGGGCCGGTACTTCGAGTTCTACTACTCAACGGCGAGAGTCCAAACTCTGATCCTGAAGGATCTCAGTCGAACCATTGTAATAGCCAGGCGTGCTTTTGATGATGATGATGAAGTTTACCTGTTCAAGCCGAAGCCGGACCCTCTGGCCGATGTAGCACGATTCGTTGTGATGGAGAGACTCATATGACATCTGTCCGGCATATTGACGACAAATCAATCTTGGCCTAAACAGCGTGTATCGGGCTGGTTACTAGAGGATCCTCGAGAAAGGGATTATAGTGAAAGTGAGACCATACAAGCGGAATCTACTACATCAGGATTCTGGCACAGCATGCACACTGCAAATTGGTAGACCAACAAGTTTAATGAGTCATTATTCCTACGTGTCTATAGAGCCGCAACAGGTTGGTTACCACGACCCGACAAACCCAGTACATGACCATGACCATGAACATATCGATGAAATCTCTGACATCGTCGCTGACAGCATGCTAGCATCGCTCTAGGGATCCCGAACAGACACAATCATCGAAACAGGCAGCATGTTCTTCCGGGGGTTGTGCGTCTCTAATGCTTCTTGACGCACCTAAATCTCAACGTGCTCGTATATACACCTATATTCATTTTATAAAATTATTATTCAAGATATATCAAGCCGAAACAGTGTCAATTGGTTTAGATACTGCCATATAATGCCTTTGGCGTCGTACGGGCTGCGACCAGACTGTATTTTCCACGGTGACCATCGAAATTGATTTCTTGCCGGCCAACCTCGTTGCTATGGCCTTGTTAACCGTCGCCAGTTGGTGCCTTACGCGGTTTACCGACCTATAAGTACCATTCTCCCGTGCAGACGCGTCCACTTGAGCATTAGATTTCCGCCTTGACTTCACCTTGGCTTCACCAGCAACCGTGGCGCGCCCCAGCTCCTTGTAACTTCGGACCTCTCTCCTTCGCCCACTGCAGTTTTGTCAGGCAATCTCTTGACACCAACACTGACATTGCGAAGCTGCATTGCGATTGCAAATTTTTTCCGCGCCCACCTTCGATTTCACCTGACGTCCTACGACAGCCTTCTCCAATTGTTCCCATCTTCAATCAAGATTTACACCCTCTTCCATTACCTATCTCCCTACCATTCTTCAACCTCCGCATCCTCCTGTGTCATCTACCCTCTCCACACAATGGTGAATCTCCCAAACCATTCCCAGCTGTACGGTCACCGATCACTCCAGCAGAGATCAGATTACCGCATCTATTCTTTGACTTCTCCCGCGAGCCACATGGCTGGTGAAGCTGACACCCGTGTCCCGGCTCTCGCCTTGGGTCGTAAGTGACCACATAATGACGCGCAGTGTCAAGTTGCAGTACTAACTCGGCCAACAGGGCGGCGAACTACGGTAGACGCATTGGCAACCAACGGAGCTGCACTGCAGCAACAAGCGAATCCGACGAACACTCAGACAGACAGCCTCCTCCGAATGGGCACGGAACTGAACGTGCCCACTCATCGCTGGGGAAGTATCCTATATAGAGATCCCTTCGGCTTTCCAGACCGTGTCCTGCTCACCGGATGGGTCCCCGACTTGCTCGCCGTGCCAAACCCTGGACGATTCGGAGCGACATCAGTTCCGGGCTCAGGGCCTCACCCACCACAGCATCCTCCCGATGAAGCGCGGTTCGCTCCTCCGGACACCGTCACGTCGGATATTGCAGCTCACACTGGCCAGCAATCAATTGAAGGAGAGACCGCAACAGAGCCGATCGATAGTGGTGCACGAGAAAGCCAGGAGCATAGACCCCAAGTCTCAACCAACTACCGAGGAGACCCAAACATTATTGCCAATCACTCAGCTGACATTACGGATGACGAGAACACATCCGTGTATATAACCAACCCCCCAGCGACCTGCACTATCGGCGTGCTTTTCGCCTCGATCCGAAACGTCGGAAAGATTTACGCGCCGAACATGAACCCGCCGAACGAGGAGCACCATAGAGCGGCGGCAAAGGTTGTATTCTGGACCCGGGAATCAGCCCACAAGCTCCGCAGCAGCTGGCTTCGCGGTCTGTGGAAGGTTGAGGGATCGCTTTCCACTCTCCGACCAAACAGAACCAAGGTTGCATCGCAGGCGCCTTCCCGAGCCACCCGTGTGGTCAGGCTGGACGGTCCGCCCGAGGTGGTAAACGAATAATACCTCACCGAATTCTTCCGACGCTATTTCCGTTTCGATCTTAACAAAGTAGCCATCTTGGACGAAGGAAGTATTGAATATCACTTCGCCAGTTACCGTTGCCAAGCACAGTCGGCGTATAGATGGGCTCGCAAAGCTCAACGAGGCTATATGGCGCCTGCAGACTCGTTGTCGGGCGAGGAGGACGCGACCAGGAGCCGTGTCCGGGTGTCATGGAGTCCAGATCCATGCGCGCTTGCTGGACCTTCCGACACCGACGAGGACGATGGAGTGAGCGAAGGAGCGGATGAATGAGTGGACGAAGGAAACTGACGGATGGCCTCACGGAGTGACACGTAAGCCACAGGGGCGCTAGGGGGTGGCAGTGCCCTGTAGCAGGGGCCATCAGGGCATTAGGCACCAGAAACAGCGTACTTTCCACGACACAGTCCACTTTGAATATACAACAAATTACTGCAGGTCTATCTCGCGCCGGGCCTGAGACTTCCCTTGCAAAAAGTCATGTCACGTATCTAAGGGAGTCGGCTTCGAGGGTGTCACACTTGGGGGTACTGCAGAGAATAATCTTAAACTTTATGTTAACGAACGTGTTTTAGACTCATCATTTTATGATACTGAAGGCGCAAGGAGATGTTCAGGGTATATGATGGATGGATAGTCGATGGCCTCTTGAATCATGCCCGTACAGCCACAAGTGTAACCCTTGGGTCTCGAGGCAGCATTCTCAGCTCTTGGATGCGGAGGTTATAGCGCTTCGAGGTTCTAATCGCGTCCAGCGCCATCATAGTCCTCGTTGTGGCGATGGAAGCAGGTGGTGACACATTATGACCCAGTGGTCGAAAGCGACGGCTGATGCGCTGACTCCTTTTCACCCCTTGGGATGCGATCGCCGGGGCTGCAGTGACGTCTGGTGCGAGATTGAATATCAGGAGGCAGGTAGTGGATAGGGGGGGCAGGATAACGTACGTCTAGGTTCGCTGATGAACTCGCGAATAGTCTGAGGCAATATTTGCCACGCAACCTCATCCTCTTCAAGGATGTAGATCTTCGTACCAAGTCAGTGGAATAGTCACTTCCCGACCTGACATTCACTTACGTGCTCGAGGCCATCTTGCGGGTCAATGTAGAACTCCATCGAGCCGCCAAAGAACGCACGCTCCGCCCAGCGTCCTGACTCGCCCCCGCCATCCTGGGCGTAGTCAAGGTAGGTAACGCGCTTTGGGGTGTTCTCGTGAGGTGACTGAGCAAGGTATCCAATGAAACAGTGGCAGAGCTCATGGAATGCTGCTGTAGCGAAGATGAATTGGAACCGTTGATGTCTCGTGAAAGCCTTCGCCTTGGCTTGATCGTAGTCGGCCTGCTTCTCCTTTCGTCCGATCGGCCTCCAGAACTCGGTGTCGTTCCGAGCCATGGAGTTGACGATCTGTGCCGCTCGATTAGTTACGCTGACACAACCCATGGGTATGGCAGGCTATGACATCTTACACTCTCGTTAACCTTGATACAGTATGCCTGGGGCGGCCTGAAATCGTCCAAAACAAGTCCGGCCCCCTCAGGGAATTTCTCGGTCGAGGCGATGCTACCAGCGCGCAGCTCTGGTGAAATCCAGATGCTTGGAAATGCCTGACGCATCTTTGCGAGAAAGTAGTTGACACGGCGGTCCAGGGTGTTGGGATCAACAGGTTGAGGAAGCGCATAGCCCCGGCGGGCCCAGTGAGCCAAAACTTCTCGGCCCAGCCTTCTGAGTACAGATCGCCCGCGATCAGTCTCATGCCACTCCAGGCCAATGTTGATAGCAGATGCAAGCTGTTCGGTCCACCGTGTCAGCGAAATGCGTGTCAAGGCTGGGTAGCAAGATAGTTACCAAGTGGAATCTGCGGTCCACGGCTGGGTCAATAGGAACCGAAGGCCAATGGACGTTGGGATTCCTATTTGTCTCACTAATGACCACCCTGTTGATGCCGTTCACTGGGGCTTCGTTTGGCTGAGGCACTCCAGCGGGCCAGCCTTCAATATGACGAGGTGGAGGTCGGGGCGGCGGGGCCTGTACTGAGAACTTTCCATACATGTTGCCCAATTTGGTCTGCTGATTTGGGTCGGTTGTTCTGTTTCGAATGAGCAATCGGCGGAAAGCGGAATGTGTCTAAGTTTTCCCTAAACGGCTGGTTCAAGGGTGCTTATGGCAGATGCGAGGTGCCCGTATTGGGAAATGATACAGGTTCCCGGTAAGGTTCCTGCAACAAAACTGATGATGAATGAGTATGGGAAGCGTAAAATGAACAGATTGTAGACGATGAGAAGCGTCAGATGTTGACCGCAGATATCGCCATCATATATATGTGTATTCCTGGCTACCAGGCCGAGCCTTGATGCTATCGATCTTCTCGTTGGCACTGCGGACCTTCACCGTCAGCGTAGGAGGCCACGAGCGACGGTCACGGCCATGGTCACGGTCACAGCCTCCTTCAAACTTATGCTAGACACGTTGGTGTGATTCGCCCACTGGGTGAAGTTAGTCGCTAGCGGCGACGACGGTGTGATCCTGTCGTCTCATCTTCGGCCAGTATGGCCAACAGGCGCTTGATCCCCGGTAGACGGCCAGGCGCAGTCCACGATGCTCCCATGGATACCCACTTGGTGGGCTGAGTGCACATGGGACCGCGCGCCTATGCCACTGAGCCGTTGCCATGCATTCCCTTAGCATACCAAAAGTCAAGCCGACCTGGAAGAGGATACCGGTATCGAGGGAATGCTGCTCTCCCCTGTTGCCGCGGAAAGTGGGCCAGGTGAATGGTTGGCTCTTACAACAAGCGCCGAGCATCGCACAGGGTTCTATTGCCATACAGCCCCTCGTCGATCTGTACTTGGGTCAAGGTTGCCTTTGTAAGTCAAGGCTGGTCGAGGATCAGAGTGGATACTGGATAGTGAATACTGGGTCAGGGGCTGTAGCGCCTGGGGATCCGCAATCAGGCGCGTCAGTGTTGGCTTTGATTGGTCACTTTGCCGCTCATGTAAGGCCCTCCTCTGCACGCAAAGTTTCCGATTGGTCGATTCGGGCAATAGGGCAATCACCCACGCCCTTGCGGGGAACAACCGCATCTTCATCTGCAACACGCCCAAGAAGGACTCATCTTCTCACCTCACCAACTCCAGCTTCTTCTTTCTTCTCACCTCACTTACTCCAGCTTCTCTGCCCTGACTACCACCGCGACAGCCTCTCGTCAGCGACTCCAGTATGTCGTCGTCTCTTCTGACTTTGGAGCACCTGGACCCGGAGCACTTGGACGCAGCGACGAGGGCTATCCACAACCTCGTCTCGAGTGAGATTGCCGAATCTACCTTTAGCCAGATTGTGGACGGCATGCCAACGTTTATGTCTTACGTTGAATTTCATGACCCTCCCGACGACCACCCTATCAATGATCACGAAACATTGTGCCCTGGTGCCCTGGAGAAGACGAGAGAATTGCGTGCAGGCTTCGAGCCGTTGACGCTCTCTTTTAATTCATGCGTAAGTCACTGGCCATCTTCACACACAACTGTGGCTGACATAATAGCTATAATGTTCTAGGCCGTTCAAGCCTTCCAGGATTCTGAAGCAGGCTCCAATGAGTTCGAGCTTCGCCTGTTCGAATTGGTCGCCATCGCGTGTCATCAGATTGCGGTGCAACTGTACCAGCTCGATGACGGTGTTCATAAGCATCAAGAGCATGAGACCTGGCAAGCAGAGGCGGTGTCTCGTCTACCGAAGGATAGGCCATATGCCGGGCGCTTGTTACCTCCAGCCACCGCTTTTTGGCATTGGCATTATAAGGCCAGTCATCAATATCCCAATGGCATCGCAGATGTCGTTGGGTACTGGGCTGAAGCCAAGATCTTTGGGGGCGTAGTTGTCTTTGATCGAGGCGAGACCGAAACCGAGGTTAGTAAACACTGCACTTGGTCACCAGCTAGACCACCTGGTATCGGCTAACAAGTACGCAAGGCCAAGAGGGTATTTCTCCACGCAAGCCGCTACTCAGGCCCGAGGACACTATATCCGCCTACCGAGTCCCAGCACCGTGAGCTAATGAAATTCCTCCTCTCCGAGCCGGGCACAGACCCATGTCCGCTTCCATTGCTCGACTCCATGGACAACCGTCCGCGCTACGAAGCATACGATGCATTTGCGTATTTCCACGTCTTTCGAGACAGATATGAAAGAGTATTGCCCCCAGAGCGCCGGATAAAGGATGTGTGCAGCACTCAGGATTTCCCCGAGATCGCGGATCGGCGGTATATAATCGAGAAGCATTGGGCGCGAGCAACGGGGGAGAGTATTGACGAGGCAGAGCTGGCTGCTGCCGAGGAGAGGTTACGGAACATTACGCCGTCGTCGCCCTGTTGGACAGGTCCCGTGCCCTGGAATGGTACACAAAGCATTCGGTAGTGACCGTCACCCTACCAATCGCCCGATGGCCACTCTTGATAGGAGGGAAGATGCTAGTGTAGTCTATAGAAAGTGTTACAGGGAGGGAAAATCCACCCAAAGAAACAGTCCTCGTTTATCCCTGTGCTAAACATTCGACTGAGTTCAGCGAGAATGTTAAGAAGAGCTTTGCACTTGCAAATACCCACTTTCGCATCGTCAAGCTGTGGACTGAGGTGTAGCACTTCGGCTTCGGCTTTAGCATATATTGCCGTCTGTGGCCGGTTTTTAGAACCTACCTGCATTGACGCTTCATAATCTCACGCTTGGTCATCCTCCCGACTTCCGTGCTTATATATGTAAGACGCCCTCCGCTCGACAACCTTCGAGGCTTACAACACTCGCGCTGCGAGGACAGTATTCAAGATTAGCGCTCTCTTATCCCCTCGGCGACAGCCTTTCAGTAGCAGCGAAACATTCTCGTCCCGTTCGTCCTTCCATCCACCGGCATAGAAAGATACCGCAACCATGGGTCCTCGAAGCTACAATCTCTACCATCATCCTTACTCCGTCTGCTCCATCATGGTCAGGTATACGCTAGCTCTAGCAGGCGAGCCTCGAGACACCGATTCCGCTATGGACATCGAAGAGAAAGTTATCGATATCTTCCACAACGCGCAACTCGACGAAGAATACCTATGTAACGTCAATCCGAAAGGCCAGGTGCCTGTCTTGAAGTCCTCGTCTCTCGTCAAGCCTTTACCGGATAGTGTGGCTATCACGCACTTCATCGCTGAACACTACCCAGCATTGTTTCCAGCGGCTCATGCACCAGAGATCACAAGATTATTGAAGGAATTGCACAGGCTGAACTTCTTCTCTCTCTGTTTCGGGAACAGACCACAGGTCGCGCAGGGGTTTGTCAAAGCCCTTCATGATCGACTGGGGAGGGAGGATATAACTAAAGAGTACAGGAGAGCTTTGGAGTACAAGCTTTCTGTGTAAGACTTCGTCGATGCTCTCATCTGGCTACTTGGTTAAGGTTCTAACTTACGTTGCCTACAGGACACAGGAGGAGAAAGTCAAGGGCGTGGACTCCGATACCATCACCCATACTGAGCAAAGAGCCCGAGCGGTAGTGAAAGAGCTCGAGACTTTGCTCGTAGATGGTCAACCGTGGCTTTTTGGTTCAAAGCGCCCAAGTGCGCTGGACGCTCACTTCGTTGTTTTCCTGAGGCGCATGCGGGACGTGAAGAGGGAGGATCTGTTGTCACGGAGGTTGATCCAGTATTGCGATGAGGCCATGACGATGCCGGAGTGGGAGAAGGTGATGGAGGGCAGGAAGACTATGGTTGCGGCGTAGGTTTTAGGACGATGACCCGAACGGTTCAGTCTGTAGTTATAGAGTCGAATATATCTCTCTGGTCGGTAACCATCGTCTTCTTACGTTCGTCATTGTCGAATGAGCCGCCTTCCCTGAAGGCTCCTCCAACATTTTTTGACGAACATATTATTCCAAAGCCACTCTCAGTAGGATATGTCCAGGGTCTGTTTTCCAAACCAGCAAGATAGCCCTGATCGCCGTTCGTAGTACAGCATCTATTGTTCAAAGAAGCCCCTTAATGCGACATGCTGATGTCCCACCTAAGCTCCCAACTTTCTCGATTCCTGGGTACCAGGCCTCCAGGCCGTGTGTAAGAATAGGAATAACACAAGCTTTCACAGCCCTCTTGGTTGACTTTACTGGAAGTCCTTTGACTGTGTTGCATAGTCCTTAAAGGTGATTTGCTACCTTATTAGCTTTCTTGGCCCAGTAGGAAACGTGATTTTTGAAGTTTAGTTTTCTATCCAGGAAGACACCCACCATCGCATGGAGTCCTTTGTTGTTTTGTTCATTGTCCCGTGGCGGACTGGAGGGTTGTCTGAGTTCTTTTTCCTTAAGAAGTGCATGATCTCAGTTTTGTCAGGGTCAAATTTAATAGCTTTGTTATATCCCTATTGATTGAGCAAGTAAAGATTTTCAGAAGCCTTTATAGCTATTTCCTTAAGGTTCTTTCCAATACAGAGAGTCGCTAGGTCGTCTGTATATCCAAAGCGTCTCTTTTTCATACCAAGTCAGGCACAGATTGGCTCTGTATACAGCATGTAAAGGATTGGAGAGGCTGGTGAGCCTTGTGGTAGCCAACAAGTGAGAGCTTTAATATCGGTCACAATACCTTCAAACCAAACCCTTGCGGACCGCTCGGACATGAATGACTGGACCCATCTTATAAGAAAGCCCGGCCAGCCCTGTTCTCTCATATGAACCACCAGCCGTCCCATTAGGGCAGCATCAAAGGCCCCTTTCACATCTGATGTGACTACTGTTGCAACGAGGCCTTGGTCGAGGGCCTGTTCAATATCGTGTATGAGTGCAGCTACCAGGTCAGTGGCAGAGCGCTTTGGTAGAGCTCCAAAATGTTGTGGAGCTAGAATTCCAAGTTTAACAACAAACCAGGTAATTCTTTTCGTAATGAGTCATTCTAGGCCTTTGCCAAGACATGACAATAGCGATATTGGTCTGTAGGCCCTGGGATTGGAGTAGTCTTTCTTTCCTGGTTTTGGGATCATCACCACCTCAGCTACTTTGAATGGTTTAGGGTGGTGTCCAATCTGTAGACAGGTCTGGAAAAGGGCTCTGATATGTTCCCTAATGAATGGCCAGCAAGCTTTCAGAATCCGTCGAATACGGCAACGAACAGCGATACGGGTCGCGCGCCCTCAGAGTGTACCGCTCAGTCTTGCGTGAGGAACTTCTCAAAAAAAAAAGCAGTGAACTCCAAGTCTATTCCCGTCCATGTCAACAAAAGATTTGATCACGTTGTTTCTGAAGCCGAGGACAGCGTGACTTGTCAGTTCGAGGACGGGTCGACGGCAACGGCATCGTTTCTCGTAGGAGCGGACGGCATACACTCATCCGTTCGCTCCTACGTTGCTCCCGGGGTCAACCCGATATTTGGTTCCATGGTCGCTATCGTAGCGGCAGTGCCCACCGCTCAACTTGAACTTCCAAGGGGCTCGACGAACCTGAACGAAGCCTCGAACCCATATCCGCTGCCATCGGGAATTATAATGCCCCGTCTCGGCGGCTTCGTCGTGGCGCCACAGACGCATAACGGCGATGAAGTCATGATCACCGTCCAACGCCCCGTGAGAGAAAACCCCGAAACTCGATGGGCCGATACCCCCAAGGACCATCTCAGATCACTCTTCCGTCAAAACTCGGAGCGTTTCCCATCCATCGTCCGGAACGCCGTCCGTGATATTCCCAGTGACCAACTCCACATTTGGCCCTTCTACCAAGTACCTCGTCTTGAGAGGTGGACGTCTGCCAAAACCCCGGGCGGCTTTGGACGAGTCACCGTTGTGGGTGATGGCGCGCATGCTCTTCCCCGAGCTCCGGCCAAGTCGTCAACCAGGCGTTTGAGGATGTGTATCTGTTTGGCCGTGTCTTAGGCCGGCTGCTCGCTTTGGGAGATAGCGCGACCAACGAAAAGCTTCAGCGAGCCCTGTACCAGTGGCAATCCTTCCGGCAGGCTCGCGTGGATCAGGTGTTAGAGATTAACAGACAGATGGATTTGAGGAGAATGCCTGGCGTGGAGAAAGAAGAAGAGCTGAAAGATATGGGGGTCATGTATGAGCGGCTTTTCAGTGTCGATTTGGAGAAGGAAGTAGAGGGATGCTTGGAGGGCGTGTGAAAGTTGTTCGAAAAGCTCAAATGTCTGAGTGGTCATAAGGAATCGGAAGGCGCTTATTCATAGCTAGACAAGAGATCCAACCGCACTCGACCCCGACGACTACCTAATTCCCTTTAGTTATTGTTTGGGGTTTCTTCAACGAATCGACGATGTCTTCTCTCCGAATCGGGTTTGCATCCACTTCTCCCACTCAGAATCAGGGTACCTTCCCTCCACTTCAAAGCAGAATCCTCCATTCTTGGTCACAGGCAATATGAAGTTGGGGAGACCCTCTCCGTTCTCCGTTGTTATCCTGTAAACCTCGATCCCATCTGTGCTCGCAACGACAACTTCCTTGTTCTTACACAGGAGGAGAAATGAGTTGCGATTCTCTCCAGTTTCAATTACAGCCTTCCGCTTAACCGACCCAGCCTCTGGATTCACCGACCTCCTGAAAGGCTGCAAAACCGCCCCGAGAAAGTGTTTGACCTTCGTCCATGCTCCTGAATTGGCAACTTTCGAGTTCAATGCTCTCGCGTTGATCGCCCGGCAATGCGCCCTGGCCCGAAAATTTACGTGGGTGTCGTGGTAGGTGTCGTGGTAGGAGATTCGGAGGTGATCGTCGTCTACGCGTTCGATTTTCAGCTTGATCGCGACCCTTCGATTGTCAGTACGTACACGGCAGTTTTACAAAGGACACGAAATACATTTGATAGTAGCTGTTCGTGACGGACACTTGGTTGTATGAATTACCAGAGTCGTGAAGGTGGTGGTGGAAAACCTTGGAGGTTTAGACGGTCACGCTTGGGGTTGCATTGGCCGGAACCCCTCACCTACCACATCAGCTGGCAGGAAGTGGTTCAGCCGCAATTCAATAGGCGTCGTCCTTCTTCTATGAGCCCTGTTGCCCATTTGGACTCCGTCACTCTCCATTATCGACCAGACCTCCTGCTCTCACAACTAGCCGGTCACATATGGCGGGTGTGTTTCCCAAGGACCAATGAGAAACATATATAAATGAATATGTGCAACCTGTACTTCCAAGACATCATGGGCGCAAGTCCTTCCTCGCCTGCCCACCCTACTACCGCGTCTTGGAAAACGGCATAGGAAGCCCGCAAGGATAGCTTTGTCGACATCGTGTCAGACAGATGTGCCTCACTCGGGTGGCTCGACCGGCTGCGTAAGCTTCCACGGCCATATGAAGAACACTTAGGGTACCGCATGAACTTCGCCGAATTGCAGCGCATGTACCTGCGCGCCCTGCAGATCGACCTGGTCAACATCGTCACCGACTTGCAATTCAAGAACGCAATAGAGCTGGAAACCCTTGGGGTGATGAGTAAGATGGACAGTACGCTGAGGACGTACAGTAAGTCACGGGCAGCCCACAATAATGAAAATATGCGAAAAGTTACTGACAAGGCACGTAGTACAAGCCGTCCGTGACCACAAATACATGACCGATGCCGCGCAGACGGCTGAAGACCCCTTTATCGTGTCGTCTGAGCGGGGCGCTGACTGCAGTGTCCTGGAACATGCCATGACACGTGCGAGAAAGGGCCTACAGGAACTTGACCCTGAGTTCAAGAAGGAGATTATTCCAACCGGCCCCTGGTCTCGAGTCGCTGATGGGGAAGATGCTCTCCCGATAGGGGGGACCCGCCACGAAAGTCTGGCGCGCCTACGTCATCACGACTTCTCGTTAAGGGCCCTTGCAGGCGCTCTGGGTGCCGCGTTCCTGATAGGGCCGATGTGGTTGCTGGCCCTCAAGCCGGACCTTGTCTTCGACCTTGCGGCGACTACCGTGTGCGTGACGCTCTTTGGACTGCTGTTGGCTGTCATTGTGGAGAAGCCAGATCAGGTGTTCGCTGGAACGTTGGCTTATGCGGCTGTGTTGATGGTTTTTGTTGGGGTGATCATCCAGGAGACGAGCGGTTAGTTCGAGAGTCTCTGCGGTGAACGTGATGCAGCACATTCAATGTATTCCACGGTCGTTTTATACCATAATGCGATGTAAATTATGGAACAGTCCGAAGTCGGATGCCGCTATGACTCTGCTTGAATACTCCGAGATATCAAGTGGCCATCACCCATGTCCGAGCTTGGTTATAATAATTTACCTACAAGGGAATTTAGGGTTCGCATCACAGTTCTACGGAAGGAAAGCATGCGACCTTTATATCCTACTGGGGTATTTTATTATTTGTCACAACCACTTCACCTCATCTCCCGATCGTGCAATATGCGTAGTTCGTAGTACTGCCATGAGGAGAACTGCATTCATTCCGATTTTCTTTTCTTCTCTCTTCCGGTTTCATCCCCAGCTTGACGCTTCCTCTCCAGATCCTTCTCCTCGTCGTTTTGCAAACATCGTCCCGTGTTAATGATTTGTTTTTATTTTTCCAGCTCTTCGACCGAAGAGAGGAGCCAAACCCAAATACCCCAAAAGACAACAAAAACCCGTGTTGACGATTCTGGCAGGACCACGATTTTCACAGTATGTACTATTTAGGCTTCGCCCTCGCTGCACCATTATGGTGCCGATTCCTGGCAACGGAAGCTTGAGCATTCTCTTCGTCGTCCGCGACGGCTTCAGAGCATCCTTTTAGGCTTTGTACTTGTTCTATCACTCGTCGTGAGAGATTTTTCCTGCATCTAGGTTTGCTTTAAGTGCTCTCTTTTCAGCCTCCTTCAGGCTTCCGGGAACGATTACCATGTCAGGGTCGTATCTGGTGACTGGCTCGTTTATCAATCAGGTACACATTATTCGGCCCGAACTTCATGGTGGCATGCCCGCCAACAGAGGTCGAGGCGACAATCCCTCCCCTCACCGTCGCTCCTCCGTCATTGTGCCACCCCATGGACATCTTGGGATAGTTTCCAATGGTAAGTAGCTCGTGGAACGAGGGCCTCTCTCCCAGGACCTCTTCGACAGTGTCAAGCATTCTCTCTAGAATTGAGTGTAGGACTCTCGGCATACGCTCGAGCGGGGTCGAGTCCGTTAACATGCGGGTGTTATAGGGTTCTCCATAGTTGGTGCCGAACCAACCCGTCCGCTGACCGTGCACCTTCTGCGGCTCCCTCATCTTGTTCCGTAAGAGGGGTATCTCACCACTCTGCACAGCTTTCCATAGGTCTTCGAAAAGGTCACGGTATCCTCCTTTTCCGTATATGGCCTTTCTCTTTGGCAAAATTATGTACACTGCGTTGCCGTCGGCCAATTCGAATCGCTCAATGCGAAAGCGGTCCGTAGGTTGTATCCTTCTACGTTTTATCCCACTCGGTTCGTCGATGTACCAGCCGGAAGTCTCATCATGATCACCGAGTTCAAGTCAGTGCTTGTCGACGAGGTCTTCAGGCTGAAGTTCTGGTAACTTGATGTTCATGATGTCGTGGCAATTTCGACCTTCGAGTCGGTTCCAGAATACTTGCGAGTTGAACCGAGAACACTTTTGGCAGAGGTAGCCACCCCATATTGGTTTCTTACTTGCTTTGTCTTTGACCATGGACAGGGATTCATTCTTCTGGTAGAGCAAGGGCTGCGGTGGGAGGAGCTCAAAGCCGGGCGGGTGTATTCCTTCAATGGAGGAACGCTTAGCCAGGTACACCGAGAGTATTCTGAAAACGCAGGCTCCAGTGAGAGCCCAGTCCGAACATCCTAGACTGAACAATGTTATATATATGTACTAATTACGTCGTAGCATTGCATAACGACCACTTAATGGCCTTACCAGCAGCAACCTTGCGACGTTATTTTCATGATGATATATGGTATGGGTGCCTGGTTACAGCTAACTGGTGGATCTTGAAACGGATATGGGACATATGAATGAAGTGGTACTAAACCCTTAAAACCCATATGCCTTCCCAGAGCAGACACCAAATAGTCGATCGGCGCCGACTGAAGCCATCGGGTGTATGACATTTAAGTTTCTCCTTCCACTTGACTTACTATGTGTCAAACGGCGGGAGCAAACAGTCAATGACGTGTAATTCAGTTGGGTTCACACACTGCGATATACGGCGCAAATACACCTACACATGTCAGTCAATCATTTCACAGCGAAGGGTTCGGAAAACACTTACTGCTGAAAAACACGCGGCCAGTCTCGACATCATGAACCACAGTCGTAGCCCCGGGTAGGACCTCGCCCAGGCCATCTTCAAGAGCCTTCGTGACCTCGTAACCGCCGTCCGCCTTCTTGCTGATCTTGAGCGCGGTAGTGGGCGTGTCCTTGTTGTAGGGGTCGCTGTTTGCGGCAAAGAACTTCATGCTGTCTGGGAAGGCAGCAACCCAGAAGTTGCCATCGCGATCCAGGGAAAGATTGTCCAGCGAGTATCCAGCGTCGATGCTATCCTTCAGGACAAGGTCTCCATTGGGCTGCCGCTGGTAAACGTCGACAGTGCCGTGCAATGAGCTGGGCACGTAGATAAGTCCGTCCTGGCCCTTTGCCAGACCGTTGGGAAAGTGCTGTCCTGCTACGACTCGTCGGCACTCTGAACCATTGCAGAATGAGACATCGCCAGAGCCGATCAGGGGGGAGAGATGATGTTTCTAGCAGATACTGGTCAGCCGGCAATTCTCCAAAAAGTGTGACAAGCTCAGTCTTACCAGTCCGACCTTCGCAACTCCATGATCGTTGGTGTAGTAGAAGTTATCGCTATCTCCGCCCACTGCGGCGATCCTGTTGGGACTCCCGATCTGCGGGTGCGCGAACGTCGTCACGTGATCAAGCTGCTCAGCTCTAGAGCCTGTGCGGAAGAGCTCGACCGTAGAGTTCGGGCCGACCTTGTGTTGGTCCAGTACTTCGCCGGTAGCCGGGTCAACAGATGGCTTCAGGTTGATGATCCAAAGCCGTATGCTTCCGTCCCCGTCGTCCACACCTGTCATCCCGACCAGGTGGATGCGCCCATCTCCGTTGGTGCCGGAGAAGCCGGGTCTCTTTAGAATGCGAGGCTCGACGTCACTCCCGGCTTTCAGATCATCGACATCGATCACAACAATAGAATCGTCTAGATTCATGCCAGATACATTGAAATGGCCCATGCTGTCTCCCATTAGATCATCTGCGCTCGAACGCTGGGGCGGGACAACTTACTTGGGCATCCATTGTGCCCTCGACAACGGGTCGGAACACGCCAAGAACAGCTGTCTTGTCGACTCGGACAGCCACATGTCCTCGCACGCCTTGAGGCGGTCATGGTAGACCCGACGACATGTGTACGGGAACGAATTCAATGGCTCGAGGGTCCGACCGATTCCTAAGCCAAGCTTCACCATGCGCGGAAACTGTATCTGGTACAGCAGGGCACCCAATACCGCCACCAGAGCGGCGGCAACTCTGAGAATGAAACCGGCCATGATGATGTGGTGATGGCAAGAGTTCTGTGAGATGTTGCCGTGGTCCTGTCTGACATCAGTCTTTTATGTTGGTAGCAAGATGACAGTGGAGCTGCCAGGATAAGTCAGCTCGTTTCGCGAGCTCTGCGGCGCAGCCTGCAAGGGATACGAATACGCGAGTCAGGGGCCAGCCCAGGGCGGTGCTTGGCCGTTGGGGATTTAACATTCGATAATTGCCGTCTGGTCCGAGTACAGCAAAGAGCTCCGATTCATTACGGCAAATTTAACGCATTCCAACGTTACACGGTAAGGTACTTGGTTGCGGCGAAGCCAGACAGTAAAAAAAAAAAAACATAAGAACTCGATCATCCAGTGCAAGAGACTCGTTTGGAAGTTAATGTAAGTGGAATAGGTACAGTAGCGCGCAACTGATAAGCCATTATAATCGCGTTCTCACGTAGCCGATTCCTCAACACGTGCACTTGTATGACTTCCACGGAGGATTGAGCCACGAGGTGCGCTCGCACTTTGCCGTCTTTTCCGGGTCCTTCAACTTCTCCTTCCCCCTGGGAACGAGGTACTCGGGACAGAGTTGTAAACAATCGTCTTCCGTGGCGAATGTCTGACCACAGGAGGCGCAACGACACGTTGCGCTCACTGTGTCACCTATCCCTGTATCAAGCATGCACCTGCCAACTGGCGCACATTCGGCTTCGAACCCGTTCCATGCTTCCCTGTAGGAGCGGTTTATATGTTGCACGTTGCATTTCTTGTCATCGTCGTTGCCGCGCTCCGCGAGTGAGCCGGGACGCTCCAGACTCTCGTGGTTGGGTGATGGTGATGCACTCGCAGTCGTAGTCGAGAAGGCGGAAGCCGCCAAACGGCAAGTAAGGCGCTGTTGAGATGCATCTGGGTGGCCGGGCGAAAGGTCTGTGGCCTGGGACTGTCGGCTGAAACGAATCGATTGCGTTATTTTGATACTAAAGTAACAGTGAAAGGGAGATAGGTGTCTCATGTCAGGGTAGCGTTGCAACATGATCTTTGGCTGGGTTCGGAGCGAGGATTTCGTTTGGGCAAGCGCTGGTGTCTTTCTATGCCGAGTCGGTGCTGCTGAGTACCTGGGGGTAAAACCTATATGTCATGGAACGATCTGGAATAGTTTGGAAGCACGCGTAGAACATCGTGGAACGAGATGAAATCTCTGTCCGAGATTCTATATAGTTGGCTCGTGAAACGACTCTTTGCTTGTTTCCTCTTTTTTCTCTTCGTCTCTCGTCTTGTACTCTACCACTAGTACATAGGATAGCAATATCAGTGTCAATCTACCCACCGGCCAATCTTTGTTCGTCTAAGCCTTGACACTATATGTATATGTTTACTTTGCTGTACACTGCGCGTGGCACTCAAGGCCTGCTGCTCTCTTTTACTTATTGTGGCGTTTATTATTAGGCAGAAAGTTCATTCGACTGCTACTGTCTATCCTGACCTACTAAAGAGATAAGGGATGTTCCTCCTGCTCTTCGACCCTCTTTATAGCATGTTTGGGTGGTTATGTTTAGAAATTTGCCTCGTGGGAGGTGGAGCCCCAGCGCCTGCATCTCACAGTAAAGTGTAGGGCTTACCGAGACGTACGTTCCGGCCATCTCCCCTGTATTGAAGTTCGAGGCCAGGCAGACACTGCAAAGGATCAAGACCAGAGACAGTTCTGACAGTTGTTGACCACATGGAGGCATCCGGTACGTCACCAGCGCATCCTGAAGGAGCATCACCATACCACCAACCCCCAGACAATCGGACTAGACGAGGAACCGAAAATAGCAGAGAAAGTAAAGACAGCAAACCGACTTGAAAATATGTCTAGGTGGTAGGTTCGAGCTCCCTTCATGCAATGAGAAACATCACTTTATTTGTATCGGGCATCGATCATGCACAACCTTGCCTAGCATAAGTTATGGGTTTTCCGAGTGCAGGGCGAAAGTTTCACGCATGAAGGTACACCTAGTTTCCCCAGCCACTGGTATGCACGCCATGTCAGAATGCAGGAATGATGTTTCATCATGCTATGCATCTTTCATTCCTGCCTAGATCGTCTCGATGTCCCCCAGTCCACTCCGACTTTTGCTTTTCAACGCGGTCTAGGGAGCTCGGTCTCGTAATACCCTGCCGCACCCCTTTCGTCAGCCAATTCGCCACGGAACACTCCTCGTAGCGACGGCGTTCTTCGACATCATAACCACCGGGTCCAATGCTGCTGGTATATGGTTCCTGGCAAGCTTAAATTGATGCCATACGCATCAGACCCGCGTTGCGCATCCGCACACCCAACTCCAGAAAAGCCCAGAGATGTAAATTGAGGACGACCTTCTGTGTCGGGCGAGGCACTGGCGACTGACAAATATACACGCTCCGGAAGGTGGCGTCTGACTTTTTGAGATCCGAAATTCGCGGCTTTCCATCGCCAGAGAACGCTGTAAAATCCCTGTAGGTACACCGTCAATGTGTCGATGTGTAAAATGCGCGAGCCCAAGACCCTCAAGGAGTGCATAGTAGCCGCTTTGGATATAAGGCTCAAGTCATCTCGATTCATGAAGGAAAACAAGATGATACAGCTTGACTTGCCTCAGCATTGATTCGGCATCACGTTGATAGGCATGAGTCTTCTCAACTTCCATTGCCTAGACGAGAGTCGTCTTAGTACTGTCTCTATTGGATCACAGCGAGTGCCTCGGTGATCTGCTGTGCATCTACCTGAGAACCCAAACCACTTGGAAGTATTCCTCGTACCCTATCCACCAACAGGCACTTCTACAAACCTCATAGGGTGTAGTTGGTGGTATCAACTGGGCAAAGATAGGGGCTCCGGCTCGCTCGAAATACAAACCGATGACATTACCCAGCTACGTGCTTCTTTAGACGGCGGCGTTCATTGCAGATTGGATGCCATCTGCGATTGACCAACCGCCACGCAAAGCGCGTCGCGGCAACGTTGCAATATGACCGTCAGTCCATGAATGATTATCGAGGCCAGCTCTCACAATTTCGAACATGTCTCAGGCCGCAGTCTTCATGCCGTTACCCGATGGGTTTGACTCTTATTCCCACTTTGGCTTCATTGGATTACAGGTGCAATCTCCACAACGTGTTGAATGGCGCGCAAGCCACCGTGGCGTTAAGAGAGGTGGCAGTGCACCAACAAGGCCAATAGGGCATTTTTAGGCCACTTAGCCCACAGCAGGATTTTCACACAGACACAGCAACAAGGCTGATTATACCAGAATATATGTTTTCACCCATCTAAAAGCCCGCATGCTCTGTTTGACACAACATCATCACTGTCTTGCAACTTGTCCAGCGAACTATTTCCTGGTCGGGATTGCCACTATCAGACTCGTGGCAGGAGTGCTGCCCCAGGATACCCCTCCCATATACGATATGCCATAGCAGAGCATGCAGGTATATCATAATCAACATTCCGAGAAGCGAAAACAAGCTGCTTGATTCGCCGCATCAAGTGTATAAGGCACGAAATATTTCAACCATGAAACATTGAATTGACCAACTGCCCGTTGTATTGATGTTATGGTGTTTGTTCTTCTCTTGGTACAAGTACCCTCCGATCACTCGGGCCATCTTGCCCTCAGTCGAGACAGCGCGAGACTCCTCCGATCCATACGGTTTCCATCCATCCAACCCGAAAGCCGCCACCACACTGGTTTGACTCAACGTATGCGTGTATACATGCTCAAAGAACTTTCCACTGCTCCTGACGGGGCTCGAATTCGGGCTTGCTCTAAAGCTAAAACATGCGAGACATGTCGGACTTGAATCCTCTTGCTGTATCGACGAATTGGCCGAACTTCGTCGCAGGTATCTCGACTCGTCTCAACAGGTCTCCAATGTCAAGGCGTTCTTCCGGGTGGTCCTCGTACAGTCGAAAAGAGAAGAGATTATCCGCATCAGACACGCCTAGGTTCAAGTTATGAATGCCGCGGCAGACATGATGGACCTCCCTCAGACAGTCCGAGACAACAACGCCGATGAGATCATCGCGCACGATCCGCGGAGTCAATAGACGAAGAGTGCAGCCGGTCGTAGAGACAGAGAGCATCGAAAGGCAGACCCGCCGTATCTCTATGACGTTCTAATTATCTACGTGCAGGAAATGGAAAGTATTCCGCAAGAGATCAAAAAGGAGCTTCGCCAGCATGAGTTGATGTGGTATATTTACATTGGGGGAATGAAGCCGACGTTAGCAACCGGTCAGGCGCCGACCAGCTCAGGGGTAACGATCAAGGCCCCAGCCAGGTGCTAGGAATGGCTTAAACCCCTAAATGGTGCTTATGTCACAACTTATTACAGGGCGTGTTACAATTCTCCACGAAATCACATTATTAGCATAATCACTCCGGAATAAGTACTGGACTCAGCAAAATTCTCTTGCAGTTGGTTATTCTACCCTGCTTATACCGTTTTTGCAAAAGCTGCCATGGTTTTCTCTTCGGTCCCCTACTCCCCACTCCCCACTCCTCCCCTATCCTCCCCTCACTTAGCCCGCCACGAAGGCCCGGCCAGGAACCCAACCCACACACACGAGACCGCACACGCAGACGCAAACGCGAAGTCAGCCCAGCCTAGTGGCCGTGGCCGAGGCTTCTGCCGTCGCCGATGTAGCAAGGGCACGGGGCGGGGTCGTTCGGGTTGGCCTCGGGGCACTCATCGGTGGTGATGAGGCCCTGGTTGTGGCGCGGGGCGTTCATGAAGCAGCCCGGCTCACGCACGATCTGCTGCGGCAGCGCGTTGAAGTGGGTCGTGAACCATCGGTCGCGCGGGGGGTTGGTGAAGTTCTGCGCCTGGTGGCAGCGCTCCAGCGTGTAGCCCCGGAACTGGGGGTGCTCGATGCAGGCGATCCAAGTAACCCAACACATCTTGGCGGTTGGTGGTGGTCGGTTGATGGGTGGATGGATTGATGGTAGGAGAAAAGAGAAGAGATGATATGTGATGGTGTTGTTGGTCCTTTTGTCTGTCCTGTTGTAGGTCTGGATATTGATGATGCTGTCGAGGCTGTTGATGGATGGTGGATGATGGATGATGGAGGCTGGTTCAAGGAATTCAGAAGGAGAGATACCAAGAGGGGTGGCTCCTTATATCGAAAAAGGGGCAGGCTACATGAGGGACAACACCATTCTAGATCACAAGACGCGATGCCCAGAAGACCATAAGTGAGGGCATCGTGGAGCCCGACGCGGAGACTGCCGAGCCACCATATCGATGCGATGTGATGCGATGTTGGTTACAAGGGGGCTATTCGTGGAGACAGCTGATTCTCGAGTTGCTCGAGTGAGCAAGTTGCCGAGACTCTAGTTCACTGTGGCTCTTAAGGGGCTACCTGTATTGACCCTTGTGATGCTTTCAGGGGGCTCGGCATTACTCACTTGGATGTGAAGTCATTGTCGATGACCAGCATGCCGAGGAGAGTGTCGGGTCATGAGACAGGTTATCAAGGCCTGCCGAGAGTTCAAAGGGTCAGGTGGGAGTATTGTTTATTTTTTTTGTTTGGCAGCTAGCCTCGGCATTGATGGCTTCATTTGGATGACTCGCTCTCTCTGCGTGGTGGGCATGGCCTCGAAGGATTATGCTTTATTCACGGTCCAGTACGATATAGGTGTATGTTGGTGTACCAGTATGCCCCAGCTGACTCAACCCCTGTGTATGGTAGCTTGGCAGTTGTTGTGTGAGACCTAGTTGGTTTAAGCGGTCGCTATTAGTTCCTTACGACGTTCGCTGCGTGTCGGTAGGGATCTTTACCAGAATTGTATAGGGGGTCGGAACCGTGCTGCAACGGTTTTTGTGGTTGGAACAGTTCCTTGTTTGGAATCCTTGCGGCTCCATTCCTTACTAGGAACCGTTCTACAAAAGAAACCGTTGCAACGATTTTACCACTGTTCCAACCAGAGGAACCGTTCCACAACCGCACCGCACTGGTACCATGATTCTATATATATAAAAATCAAAAATTTAACTTTTTCTCAAGTGATTTTTTTGGGTTTTCAAGTTGAACGCGCGACCTTTTAAGTTTTAATTTTTTGTTTTTTATTATTAGTTAAGAATTTATTTTATATTTCACGGTTGTTTTTTAAATTGACTATATATGCTAAGATTATTATTTACATTGTAACTTTTTTTTTATGTGGTCTGGTTGGTTTGCTAGGCATGGTAGCTGGAAAATTAGTTGGCTTGGTTGTATTGGTTGGTACGGTGGTTTTGGTTGGTACGGTCGGTGATCCGGAACCGTTCCTGATCAGAACCGTACCGCCACCATCACGGGACCGTCCTGGAACCAGAACCAGCCCCCATATAGTTCTACTAAGGATGTGTTTGAACGCCGTAGGACGGGGGTTGGGATCCGTTGACGGGTCAGTCCTTAGTATGAGCGTAAGACGGGAGATCAAGTATAGAAAATTGGTTCCGGTGTGGGTTTACGGCACTAATAGAACGTATGATGCCAGACATCTCTTCAGTAATAGTGGTAGCGTCTAGGACAGTCCCTAATGAGTTGCGATGATATGCATTCTTCCCCATGGAACCACGCCTACACCAAGAACGTCCAGAAACTAGGGTACACGAACTCCTCCTCGAAGATGCGTCTCACCTGCTCAAGTACAAACTTCTCGACCTTGCCCACGTTCTTAAGGCTCTGCTTCGAGCCCTCACGCTGGCCAATCTCGCTCTCGACGCGGATCTCCTGCAGCAGGCCGCCCAGCCTGCCCTTCTGCGCCGACGCATTCGCCTTTCCCTTCCCATGCCCATCCACATCCTCCTCCTCATCATCGTCCTCCGCCACAGCCGCCAGGGCGTCCTCCGGGCTGAGAAAGCAGAAATGCACCCTCTTCCGAATATTCGCCACGACGCCGACCCCGTCGAACGTCAGGCCCGTGATGTTGAGCTTGACGGGGATCCCGACGAAGCTCGGCATCGGGTAGTCGAGCAGGATCTCGGCTGTCAGCTCGAGCCGCACGTCGCCGCCGTACCGGATGCGGAAGACGGCCTGCATGTCCTCGACGCGGGGCTCTTGGTACTTGGGCTCCTCGTCCTCTCCCGCTTCGCCGTCGACTCCTCCGCCACCTCCACCTCTACCCCCTCTTCGGCCGCTGTCTGCGTTGGGACCGTCGTCGTACTCTTCGTCGATGGCCGAGCCGACCAGTAGGTTATCCCGCGTCGGCGGCCGCGACGTCCCTGCCGACGTGGGCGCCAAGGTCGAAACGCTATGTTTCTCGCGCAGCGTCTGCGCCGGCGCAAGCGCAGACGGAGAATCCGCAACCGAGATAGACGAACTCCGCGACGCATGCCGACTATGCCCATGTCCCCGTCGCGGACTCCACTGATATCGCTCCGACGGCGGCATCTGCGGATGCGCCATATCCAGCCACCCATTGAGGTGTTGCGCGCCCGCCACCGCAGCCAGCGGCGTCTGCGTGCCGGACCAGCCCGACGCGAGCTTGGACTGGAAGTAGTGCATGTTGGAGGTCCCGCCCGGTATGCCCGGCGTCGACGCGCCGAGTGCCAGGAACGGACTGCCCAGATCTGCGGGCGTGCCGGGCGCGCTGCGCAGGCCCGCGGTGTGAATGTGCGGCGGGAACGCGCCCCCCTCGCCAAACGGCGCGCCCAGGCCCAGCCCGCCTCCGGTCCAGCTCGTGCCCCTCACAGGCCCAACGAGCCTGCGTGCCTGATCATCGCGTCGTCTGCGCTCCGCGGCTTTGATGACGTCGGGCACCTCCTCCTCAGCTGGCACCACGTCCTTCCCCTCGTCCTCTTCTTCCTCCTCATCCCCGTCGACATCGGGGTTCTCCTCGTAGAAATCCGGCAGCGGGTCGCAGATGTCCTTGAGCACGACCTCGGGCGGGATGGAGCCAAAGGCGAAGTCGTGCACGGTGACCGACTTGATGAAGCGCGGCAGCTGCACCGACTGGAACTTGACGTGGATGAAGTCGCGGATGCGCTCGGCCAGCGCCTCGCCGTCCGGCCCGCCCGTCAGCGTCTCCCAGTTCAGGTCTATCGACATGGCGCGGTCATTGCACGCATGGGACGGAGCTTTCTGGTGGCTGTCGTCGTATCGTGAGTATCTTGTATCATCTGCATTCTACATGCATATTGCTGGTTCAATGCATGGGTTCGAGGGCGGGTATGAGATTTGGGTGGATGAGACGATGTTGAAGGTTTCAACTTTCGGTTCAATATGGAATTTTAGTGGGGTCGACGGGGCCGACTCCGGCTTGACTGGCCGCTAAACAAATGGCTGGTCTTGTGTCTTGTCACAGTTGTAAAAAACAATACGAGACAGGATGGGAGAAAAACGACGCTGGATTTTACAGTCTATGGACATAACAGCATTCGTCATGATTTTCATTACTTTGATGGGTATCTATTCGTAACTGCAGTCTCATGACCCAGGCAATGCAAAGCTCCCGCCCAATATGTACCTAATTCCTTCGCCTTCACACTGCGCAGAGGAATGTTCTGTTGTTGCAAATTGTATGCTCTCAGACTCCTTGTGAACCCATGCCAGCAAATGAAAGTTGATATAGCTCCTCTGCGTCTACTATGAGTGTCAACTTGTGTGACGTCTGCTCAAGCACCAAAGTCGGCGATCCCCACTGCTGCGTCATCGCCAGCCATGTTGCCTTCTCCCCGCTGTCTGGGCGCCATGAACGGCGCATCGAATTGATGCCAGCAGTTTGGCGCCTGCAGGATGTATCTGCACCTTGTCAGTAATGGAACATCAAGTATTGAAACGTTATTAGGCGTACCTTGCCATGGCCTCTCTGAACCGGGACTTGTACTCCTTCGGACTCGTCACCGTTGGCCGATTACGGTTGCCTCCCGCAAAGCCGCGATCCTTGATCCAACTCTCGAGCTTCTTGTCCCAAGTGTAAGTTCGGATGCAATCGATGATGCCAACCACCAGCTCCTTCTTGACCTCGTCGACGGCGATCATGAGAGAATAATCCATCACGTTTTGCCGAGCCAGGAACAATGTGTCGTTGAAAACAGATGAACGGAGCAGTCTCTTCGAGTGCTCCCTGGCAAACAACGGAGATTCGTAGATATACTCCACCATGTTCTCGTCGAGCAGTACTTCGTCTGGTTCACCAGTCGACTGGATTTTGCGGTTCCGCATTGAGCCTTTGAGATCGAAGATGCGCGTTGGTGCTCGGTCATAGAACAGGTTCTCCATGAGAAGCAGATCAAGCTTGATTTCCGTATTGGTCATTGGGTTCTTGATGGTGACTTGGAAGAAGCCGAGCATCTTGGCAATAACAGAAGGGAGATCATGGAACAGTGCCTCGGCCATTATGCCAAAGTACGCAGGCGCAAACTTCAAGAACGCCGCAGTCTCGATTGGGGATAACGACTGAGCACACTGTTAGCAGAGAACGTGTCATCTAGCGCCGAGGACAGGACACACCTTCATCACCATGCGGTCATCTTGTGTCTTGAGGAACACGGACTTTGTCTTGCCCCCTTTGGAATCCCACTTGAGGCATCGGGAGAGGGATTCAACGATGCGATCGGCCACGCCGCACTTTCGTCGCAGCGCATCAAACTGCTCGGCGTAGAAAATCTTTACGAGCATCTTGGCTGACCCCTCGGTGAATTGGTACTTGTAGTGACTGCTCATAGTATTGAAAAGGCTGTTCTCTAGGCGGCCCTCACTGATCGTTTCCTCGACATCCGGAAGCACCTCGGTTGCCGCATCGCCCTCCGAGTCTGAGGAGAGCTTGCCGCCCTTGCCGGGCTTCCGGCAATGAAACCCGCGGAGTGTCTTCAAATAGTGCTCGGAGGAGAGAGCAAATGCGATCACTGAACTCGGCTCGTCCTCTCTCACAATGATGTCCGAGTCGATGAAGATATGGTCCGTGGAATTGAGCGGGTAGTCGAGTGGTGGCCACTGGCTTGCCGATCGTTCGTTCCAAAAGTTCGTGAGTACCTTGATGAAGTTCATCTTGTCGTGTTTGGGAAGCTCCAGAGGAATCTCGGTGCTGGAGTCCAGCGATTCGGCGATTTCCTCGAGGGTAGTGCCGTCAAGCAGTGAGTGCTCAGTATCGCTATCCCCTTGTTCATCATCTGTGGGACCAAGACTCGTGTTGAGAGTCTGATCGTCCGTCTCAATTTCGTTTGCTGCCTCTTCGGTTTGTTGCGGCGAATCTGAGCGAGATCGATGGTCTTGGAGTGGTTCTTCGGCGGTTTGATCAATTGCCGAAGCTGCTGTACTTGGCTCCGTTGCGGCATGGGTAATAGGCTCACCCATTTCTCTTTCAATCACTTGGTCTTCCTCGATCGGACCAGGTTCTTGCACCGCGTCATCAACATCCTGGTAAACCTCGACAATAGCTTTGGTTGTGGAGTGCTGGAGGAACGGCCTGGAATGGGACATCTTGGCTGCGCGCTTCTTGCGGTCTTTCTCCCGTTCCTTCTCGAATTCCCGACTCAGCTGTTCAAAGTGCTTGCGAATCGTAGATACCCTAGAGTCCTTCTTCCCAACAAACCGTGGGATGGATGACTGGTTGCCCTTCCGGTGAGGCTTGAGGCTGAACATCTTCTTCCCCTCTTTGATCGATTCGTTCGTCAAGGTCTTGCGAGGTTCGTTGCCAGGTGGTATTTCGGAGGGAGTGACCCTATCCTTGTCCTTACCAGCCCCGAACACTTTCTTACCTATAGCAGAGCTTGTACGGGGCAGCGTTGGTATACTATTGACTGGCTGAGATAGTGCACGAACCATAGGCGGTGACACGGCCAATCCCATCCTACGAGAAGAGCCGCGTTCCGGTTCCACTTTGGCAGGCTCGGCGGGTATGCCCACTGCTGCACTATCCGCAGGTATAGTAGCCTTGTCCAGGACGACAGCCTGCTGCCGCCGACGCAATTGTTCCACCTGTTCCGTGACCGACAAGGACGGCTCCGCATATACCGGCCCAGTCGGGACCACGTGCAAAGACATATTACTCAGGGGAGTCCCAACCTCGGTAGGCGCGGATGTCAGTGGTGTCGCGACAAGACCACCAGACTGGTCTCGAGGTGGCAGATTTCGAGTGGGGGTCTTCGGGGTCGCTAAATCTAAGGGTTCGACCCTTCCACGAGTTGCGTCTGCTGCAGACGCAAGCGTCGCTTCCGGGGATCGGATATCCCTAGGAGTGAGTTCTGCACTGGTATCTGTTTGGGAAATATTCGGACTCGTATCAATGGGCTGTGTGTCCGGCTTGCCATCGCTCTCTGAGACGCTCGCTTGCGTCTGCTTTTCGCTGAAGTCCGTCAGCTCAGTTGCTGGCTCGTTGTTTGACAATGACTCTTTCGATTCGTCCGTAAACATCTTGCGTAGCTGAATCATCGTGAGTCTCCGGATGTCCTTGTCAGATGGTAGGAAGTCTGTCTCAAACTTCGCAAAGGCTGCATCCCACTCAGCAACCTTGACAAGCATCTCCCGGAGCGCCACATTAAAGGGGATAACTTCGTAGTATTTGGAGTTCATGTACTTGTCCTGCAGTTTCCGCACAAGGGAGGCATGCTCATCCTGTATCTTCTTCGTAAGTCGGTCAATCTCGGCCTTACACGCTTCGGACTTTTCGGGGAGAATATTCTCGAGCTTGATAGCTTTCAGTCTGGCTTTGACTGAAGCAGTGAATCGAGTCCACCGCTCTTGGCAATGTGTGAAGATCTCGTTCTTCATGTTGAGGTCATGCTCGACCTTCCAGGTGATTCGGACTCGCGGCACAATAATCTCCAAGAGATCGATGGGATCGTAATGCACCCGTATGATCTTGTCTTCCAGACCAAAGTAGCGTATATGTTCGCGGTGGTGATCGTGGGGGCAGTTCCAGCCGTCAACATCGTCATCTCTGACCAAGTGGGTGCCCCTACTCCAGAAGGATAGCTCGAGGTACTTGCCGAATGAGTATTTCCAGGTTCCCTTGGACATCTCCATCTCACTGGTCTCGCGCTTGCACACCTTGCAGTAGCTCCACATCATGATGCTCTCTCGGCGAGGTCTACCCTTGATTTCCTGTTCAATGAAGACTGTAATGCGTGCTTCGCCGTGGACATAAGTTCGATGGTGTTGACTCATCTTCCTATCACAGCCATTGGATGTACAGGTCGAGTCAGCACCATAGCAGACATCCTCAATGTACTGGCCTAGTGTGCAATCCGGGTCCATGTTGTTACCATGATCCGTATGTTCATCGTAAAAGCCAAGGGCGATCAAGGTCGGCTCGACGCATGGGATTTTCGTCTCCGTGCAGATGACCGAATGTAAGACGACAATGTTTTGGTGTGCGTAGGGATCAAAGAGGTCTAAATTGCCCTGGATATAGAGTTCCCATGACCTCGTCTGCGTCTGGTAGTTGTAGAGAGCCTTATCGTACTCAGCATCGTGAACAGCATGGAGTACCTCCATTATCTGCCGAGGCGCTTTATGGCCAGGTTGTAGTACCATCTCCGGCTTGATCAGTTGAAATCTTTGGGGTTTGGGTTTTTCATCATCAACGCGCTCTTCTACGATGTCTTGGTCTCGGAGCCTCTTCAGATGTACGAGCCTACGCTCTTGTTCCCGGGCCCTCATGAGCAGGTAGGGCTGTGAAAACTTCACAAATGGAGACGCGGAAAGTATCTTCGTGTCGTACTTTGCCACCATGTCGCTATAAAACGTAGGCATCGGGATGTCTTCTGGAACAAGACTATCATGAGATGCCCGGGCATGTGTCTCGTGGACGTATACCAACTTGTCGGTGTGTTGAATGTTCTGGGAAAGAAGTTCTCGCGGCATGGTACTGTTCGTCGGTTCCCCGACTTTCTCCTCGGAGTCAGACAAGTTCTGATTCGCGATAGGGACTTCCTGTGCCGTTGTTGAGAGGGTTCTCTGTCGGTCATCCGTGTCAGGCGCTTGGGACACTGATGAGTGGATGCTGTCGTCGCCAAACTGGGTGGAACCCCTGGCGAGGTGGTCACTCGTTGGAAGCTGGATAAAAGAGTCCCGCATCAAGCAGGACTCGAGTTTAAGGTTGTATACAACGTATACCATGAATTCGGTGATGTACTTGAGTTTGGCGAGAACGGGTGTCGGTGCACCCCTAAGAGCAATTGTACAGCCTAGCTCTTCCTGGTGGCTAGACAGAAAGATGTACGTCTTCTTACGGCCGGGTATCCCCTCGTTAACGAAAGTTTTGACTTCAAATCCGCTGCTTTTGCCAGTCTGGAATTGGTGTGGCGGAAGTGCCAACATATCCACGGAGGAGATGATCTCTGTCTCCAGACAACGGGAAACAGCAGAGAGCACAGAAGGCTTGACGTTGTACGCCACCGCGATCTTTGCTTCCGACAAGAACTGCAACGCGAGACCGGATACGCTCTTCTCGACTAATAGCAATTGAGGTCGGAGGGCAGTGATCCTATTCACCAGTTGTTTGAGGTACTCCCTCTCCTGCTCTATGACTGGTTGTAGACTCATGAAATGTTGCTGGTGTCGCTGATACTCGATGGGAAAAGACACGATGACAACCCGAGGATTAGACATGCGGCGCGCCATGCTTTTCAGCGCAAGCTTCTTGGTGAAAATGACACCTGACACATAGCATGTGTCGCTCGGTCTGCCTCCAGGGATCTTTTTGAGCTTGACGTAGTGCCGGATATCGATGTCGTCTCCACGGTCAATATCGGGGTCCACAGATGTTGTACACTTCAGCAGGATAGGGATCAGGGCCTTCTCCCAGGCAGCCGCATTTGGTACATCGGCGTCATGGAGAAGTTGCCGAAGAAGCCTGCGAACATGGAGAAGACTCGCAGGATTAAGCTCCACGCGAGGCTTTTTATCCCCCTTCATGGACGAGCTTCGAGTCAGGCGCGGCACATCAGACGTCCCCGGGCTGTCGAATAAGGGAAGGGTCTCATTCGAACCTGACGGGCCTTTCATTATGAAAGACTTCGGCCGAGGAGACCGCAAGTGATGCCCCTGATGTCCGCTGGCAACACTCAGGTTTCGCCGCCTGGAGGTTCTCGGTTGCAACTCGTCAACGCCGCGGCTCATAAAACTGAAGCCGCTTACGCTCTTCTCAGCTTGGGTCCTGGTACGATTCCTCCTCCCTCCTCCCAGGTATTGTCCAAAGTTGGACCTCTCGTGATCGGTACTGGATGCGTGCGGCTCATTTCCAGCCATAGTACCCATGATGCTCATCTGTTCATCGCCACTGGACTCGTCCGACATGAACGGAGCCAGGTCGGGGTCAATCACATTGTCGTCATGAAATGCAGACAGGCTGGCCTTCTTGGCTACTTCCTCATTTGCGGATCTCCGGAAGGGGGCTCTGTCGTCCGGCGAGGGCTTGAAGCGGTTCCATATATTGTGCTTGGAATGATGGCGCCTTTGACCGGAAGACTGCGGTCTGCTAGAAGTCATTGACATCAAAGATCTCGATGAGCTGGGCCTGATTAACTGCGGGGCATCAATCTCCAAAACAGCAGAGTGGCGGTTTGATGATTCTCCTATTCGCCTCGTAGCCGGAATGGCCATCATTGGCGTAGTCCTAGATCTGCTATCATCATCGACATCGGTCCTTTCCGATATGCTGGCGTCGTCTCTATCTTGTTTGACCACGGACGAGAGCGACGACTTTGGTTGATTTGATCGGAACATCCCTGACAGATACGATTCATCAGCCGAGTCATCCGACGCATTCCCATCTTGCCTCTGAAGGATAATGGCCAGACAGGGTTTGCAGACACGCAGCGTCCCTTGCACCCCAAACCGCTGGCCTGAGATGATGGATGTACACCTGCTATCAAAAATACAACCGCAGGTCCTGCAGTGGTGTTTGCGGCGGAAAGCTGTGAATGGTGCAGTACATAGAAAACACTCTTTGCAAGTCTCGTCAGCCATCCAGAAATCCTTGCTCAAGACTTGCTTGCGCATTAACTCAAGTTGCGCGTTCACTACTCCAGGCGCGCCTTCGTGGGCAACTGTGCCTGAGATTCGATTCTCTCCGGACCTCGTTCGCTGAGGTTTCGCAGCTTGCGCAAAAGAGTCATGGTGGACGTTATCGTGCGCAGAGGTGTTGACCGTGCTCGGCTCGGCGGAGATGGACGAGGATCTCGAGTGACTACCCGAAGCCTGCGAGCTTCTGATGCGATCGATTACCGCAGGGCGCCGCGTGGTATCTCTTCCAGTCGCGCGAGTGGGCGGTGATAGCAATCTATGTTCCGACGAAGACCCCCGGGGAACAGTAGAATTAGCCGGCGCTGCCGGATTTGATGCCTTGAAAGGACTGATGGGCAATTCGGTATTCCCGTCCACAGTGAAGCCATCATCCCGCCTCGAGCGGCTAGAAGCTGCCAGTTTGTCGACGGCCGGAGCACTCTTGGTATCATCGTAGAAAGCCGAGATCTCTGCGTTTGATACACCTGTTTGTCCCTCACTACTAACAATCTTCCTACCAGTCGCTCTGCCCTGCCCCTCCTCATTCCGGGCGGAGAGCGTGCGAGGTCCTTCTCGGAACGCACTCACGTTCACAGGTGTGATAGTGGCCGTGGGTTTCGTCATATTCGGAATACTTTGGCGGCTAGAAGAGGCAGACTTGGAGGTTGCCAAGTTGGTTACGAATGAGGCTTTGGCCGATTGAGGCTGCTGGGTATGACTCTCGCTGGCAAACGCACCTGACGGCGAAGCCACAGTAGAAGCCATTGGATCCGTCATCATCGAGTTGAAGGTGGAAGTCGAGCGGCCAGTATCAGCGCGGGGTAATGGAGGCGCGGCAGACCTGGGTGTTGCCACGGTCGTGCTCGAGCTCTTTTTGGAGGAAGCATCTTGACTGTCTGTTTCTGAAGGCTCCATGCCCGTGTACACCCCCAACCTATCCCTACCACTGACTCCTACCGCCTCCTTGAACCGAGAGTAAAGACCGCTGATACCATTCTGCACCAAGTCTCCCGTGAACCCTTTGTTCTCGGCGGCCGTAGACGAGTCGGGCGACGGGGCAAAGTCGTTGAACGTGGTCAGAACATCCCTTTCCTTGGCGGAGGTATGGATCTTGTCGAGGGCCTGGGCGAGGTGATCTTTATCGACGTGGCTGGGAGTGACGGACGACGAGGCGACAGACTCGCGCCGCGATTTCGGGAGGGACGAGGCTACACTGGACGGCGACAGCGGCAAATGTGTCGGCTTCTTGCTGGCCATGGTGGCAGTTGGATGGGCAGTCTAGTCTTCGCAGAGAGGCGTTGCAATGATCTGTTGGTCCGAAATCGTTGGTCTGCCAGTTCCTGAGAAGCAACAGCAACCATGGTCGAGATAGCAAGGTCTGGGTAGCCTTCTGTTCTCAAGCCTCGGGTGCTCGATCGCCTAGGTTATTACAGGCACGGTTTTTGGCGGCTGGTGGGCTATGCAGTCCCGAGCAAGAAAGAAATAGGACGTGAAAGACGGTATTATTCATTGGCCTACAACCAACTAGTATCGGTAGGACCAACAAACCATGGCGGCAGCAAGTCAGGACGGAAACAGATCTGACGCGGAAGGCGATGTGACTCGACCCGACCCCAAAGAGCCTGCCGGAGAGTAGCCAACAACAGACGCAAGACGGGCAACGGCGAGGATGCAGGCGACAGTCTGCTGTGACAGGCTCGGTCCACGGGTGTGTAGGTGATACAGCACAGAATCTTGGAAAGAGAAAGTCGGGCAGATGGTGAGTGACGCAGTGATTGTGGTGATGGTCAGTCAACGTGGTGGTGGTATTGCTGGGTGCTTCAGCCATGCGACAAGGGAGCTGCGAGTCAGTCACATCTGAGGCCCTGTCTCACGGTCCAGTAAACTACCTGGATATAACAAGGTGGCGGCTGTGGTTTCTATGTAGATTGTGGGGTTGAGGGACTTTGACGGCGTTACGCTGCAGCTAGAGCACCCGACTCTCCGTGGATGGTCACCTGCAGGGCTCTCCGACAGATGCCGCGACTGCAGGTGGCCCAAGCTCCTTGGATCGGGGCTTGGAAGTTAGAAGGAAAGAGCTGGAGCTCTTTAGCTGCGACCGCGCCTGCACGTGAGTTCGCATTCACTCAAGACCCGCTATGGTTTGTTCTCACGCGTCTCATCGCGTACCTTATAGAGTCAGTGTGAATCTACCCACTGCCTCATATATGTGCGATATCTCAAGGCAGGCTATTCACCGCAACTCCTGACACGCGATGTGAACTGCGACCACGACTCGGGCTCGGTATACGGCAGCCTCAATTCGACAGATGCATTGGCAACCATGGCGAACAACTTCAAGTCCCCCGCCGACGCAAACACTCCTGCCGGGCCTTCGTCGTCCGACCATATTGGCGAAACCGTCATTGGGCGACATCTTACCAAGGTGGAAAGTGCCCAGCAAGAGCTATTGAGGCGGGATGATGTCTGGGCAAGCATCCGTGGCCGACATGTGAGGGGCTTTGTCAATCTACCACCCGACGTCCTGGAGAACCTCAAGATCTTCCATGCCCGGCAGCTGCAGCAAACCGGACTGTCAACACAATCAGACAAATCCGCTGTGTCGGGAGATGGGCTTGCAAATGATACCGGAGAACCTCACCCTAGTGGCAGTCAGTCCTCCCACCACGATCAGGCCGAATCTGGGGATAAACAAGACGACGAAGATGACGAAGATACAAGTAGTGAGAGGGCTGTATCGAATTGGTCCCCAAGCCCACAATCTCATTTAATGCCTGCAAGAGCAGGAATCCAGGGACTGGCCCAAAAATTCCAGACCCAGATTCGGGAGAAGTCGCCCATCCAACCTACAGTTCAAACCTCCTCACCAAAACGTCCAACCTTCACCACCTGCAGTTTCCCCCCTAGCAGCCTAGGGCTGGAGGAGGACCTTGAGGTTGAACCTCCGATCCCTCTCAACGATAAACTCTTGTCTGTGAACAAGGCCGGCCACCAGATAATTGCTACACCGCCATCAGCCCAGATCGTCCCGTGCACTTTCGATCAGTCCGCGGTTTCTGCTCAACCAAAATCCAAGCCGAGGGCCGACCCGAAGCAACCGATATACAAGGCACCTGCTCCCCTCTACCGCCCAAATAAGCATGCATCCGTATCCGCGCACCTAAACGCCGGTACCAGCAAGCCAAGTCAGGGCATCGTTGATTCGGTGCACGTGGATGACCCAAGCTCTCTATCTACAACAAATACTTCGTCCTCCATCATACCATCAACCAATCAGGAAGAGCGTAGCGGGAGGCAACTGCCTGCATGGATCAGGCCATCGCTGTTCTCTCCCAGTCAAAATCCGAAAAGCAGCCCAGAAGAGTCCAGAACTCGCCCTCAAGGACACTCTCCGGACTATGTACCCACTTCGCCGCGTCTGAGGTCCTCGCCACCTCCTGTGGTGATTCCACAGGCTACAATACAGCCTTCTCCCGAACAGGTACCGTCGCCTCTGACTCCTTTTGTTCTATACACAGTCACATACCCAAGCTATAACGGCAGCATCGGTGACTTTGTGACGTCTTGTATGTATATTCAGCTTCAACAGCGCCGACTACGGCTACGGACATCTCTTTACGACGATTTCATTAGGGCTTGGTTCGAAGGCTACGTGACGTACGTTAGAGACTGTGACGACTCCAAGCCCCCAGTGAAAGCTACGAATGCCATTGAATGGTACAATCAGATTGACGACGACCCACTGTTCACTTCGCGAGTCGTGACAAGACAGAACTTGGAGGCGATTCTGAACTTCTACCCAGAGGAACTGCGAACGGCCCGAAGTCATCTAGGGCTCTCGCCGATACCCACGCCTGAAATAGCGCAACCTTCGGAGCCTGTGCGTCGAAAGGATACGTCCAGAAGCATACTAAAGCCTGTCTCGCCCCCTCCGAGAGCAAAGGCGAAAGGAAAAGGCTTGGAAATGCCCGCGCCCGGGACTCGTGTGGCCCCTATCCAGGTCGATCAAGCACCTCAACCTGTCCTCCCCAGACAAGCACCTCAACCTGTCCTCTCGAGACAAGCAGACAATTTAACCATGCCACAAAACAGATCGTTCAGCGGCGTCGGGGCCCGAACGGCCCAAAGCAAGGGCTTAACACGTTCGCTTTCCGAAGCAGCGACGCTCAAACGCAAGCCGAGCGGCGACCTGAACGCGGAAATCTCAAAGAGAACGTCCACCACCAGCCTTCTGCAACGCTCAGACTCGGCAAGCCCAGCAAGCCTGCACTCTGAGCGTTCTAAGGGGACAACGGTTCAGGGATCTGCCGCTCCCGGGTCCACGGCGGGCGGCAGACGGGCGAAGTACGCCAATGATCCCGAGAAGCGGAGTAGGCAGTTCGCCAAGTTCCTCAAGAAACAAAGGGCCGGAAAGGAGAGCATCGCCAGCTCGACGCCCATCAGCAATACGCCGACCTCGGGCCAAAAGCATTAATGACCGACCGGGACAGCTGTTGCAAGGAGGTCGTACATATGTCTGTGGGAGTTACTGTGTGCTTGTTACGACTCATGAGGGATGATGGATATACCCTTGCTCGCTACTGTTGCAGCAAAGTTGTGTGCAAATATCATTAGCTATATTATAGAGATCGCGGAAGCTCTCAGTGCGAACTATCTTCGAAAAGTCGTCTTGTAAGATGTTCACCTCCTGCGTAAATCACGATCAAGGCTTTCCTCTTTCAGTGGTCAAGATTAGTGGAGTAAATCATTAGGGGGCGTGAGGAAAGGTCCGTAAGTTCCAAGGTCTGTCACCCTACGCTCGGACGCGCAGGAACCACCCAGCCGGTAGACTGAGTCGAGTAAACCCTCCCGAACATACACATACACAAACACATCATCCTACACGTCCCGCTCTCTCCCTTCTCCAACCCATTACCCATCATCACCCATTTCCCATCAACTCGCCCCAGCAGCGCCCTCCTCCCTCTCCTTCGCCCGCGCCTCCTCATCCGGCGTCATGGTCTTGAGCTGCAACGCATGTATGCCGCCCTCGGCCGCCATCTCGTCCTTGAGCAGTTGGTACACGAGGCGGTGCCGCGCGGGCTGCATCTTGGCCTTGAAGGCTTCGGACGTGATCACCAACCGGAAGTGTGTTTCTTGCGACGAGCTGCCGGCCATGGCTTTGTGGTGGGTGTCTGGGGGTTTGTGGGTTAGTGAAGATATCAGGGTAGTGGGGGAGATTGGTTTATTGTAAGTCAACATGGATGTGGAGAGACAGGATCGTGTATGGGTTGTATGCGATGTCGTGGTGCGGAGTAGTGTGAGTTTCGATGTGTGTCCGATCATGAGATGACAGGCAAGGAGTTCTCGCAGCTTTGCTTGGCGTGACTTAGGGATGAGAATTCCAAGCTGTCTCCTGAGAGTCGACAATCCCTCATAGACATGGAAAGCTGAATTATGAAAACGAAGAATGACATGGAAAACGTGGCTTACGCTTAGACGAGTCGTTGAAGATCTCCAGCCGCGAAGGGTTCAACGCATCCGTGACCTACACAGGTAAAGGCCGTGACGGCCGTCCGTTAATGATGTCCTGTCTTAGTAAGTTAGGATGTGGTGGCTTAGCGACTGTTTACCTTGGTCCGGATGGCGTCTTCCCTCGGGGTGTTCGACGTCATGGCCGCAGAGGATGAAAGCTGTCGTCTGATGAAAGATGATGCTGCTGCTGTGGGCCCCGTGGCTGCCAGCACGGTTCGGCGCAACATCAATGAGCTGATAGCTGCCTCGGTGGTAGATGCCAGTGTAGTGTCTCACAATCCGATGATATGTTCACTAAGGTACCGGTACCCTAGGATGTGAGAATGACCGGGTGGAGCTGTCAATTCCCTGTGTGTGTGTAAGTCGGGCTGCCCAATGGTGAGAGCTTCCTATCGGATGTTAATATTTGGAACGGCGGAAGCGGGCCGGGACGGAACGGGTGTGTCGCTCAGCGATGCCGGGCTGGACCAATTGGCCAATCAGGTGCTGTTCGCCAGCCCCACTGAACCCTACCACTGGCTCTATGATCTATCAGCCCTCTATCAGCCCCAGTGACCGCGGCAGAAAAAGTGACCCCGAACCATGTCAACAATCCAACCCGACACCACCCTTCCGTTTCGAGGCTCACCTAGTATTGCGTCGCGTTGCATCGCACATGCGCATGCAATACCGATCTTACATATTCCGTGTGACGCTGAGGTACAGGTAGAGCTCAAGTGGCTGTACTGGATATTCAGAGTCACCTGCTGAACCCTGCAGGTGGTCAGGACTCGGGGTCTTGGCCCGGGCTCGACCTGGTGTAGATCCGTTCCTAGCTTCGGCACCAAAGTCCGTTGCGTTGAACGAATTCCCGATTCCAGATTTGATATCATTACTACACCACCCGCCTGTTAAGCCCTGTCACTATACGCGCATGGCATAGGGCTATCCCGACAACATCATCCGTCCCGTTCGTCGTTGCCGATGGAGGCTTGGTTCGTATAGTAGTGCTGTACCATCATCCTGGAAATCATTCTGGTGCCGTGTGTACAGCTCACTATACCCCCCGGGATGCCGTTGTGTGGAGGGAGAGGACTTCGTCTGATCGCCGCCGCTTCTGCGTCTCCGCTTACGGCTACTGTCTCTCGGTCTTGTTCTTGGCCATCTCGCTCGCTACTCCGCTCACTGTCCGCTGCCGTTGCTTCTTATACTCCTGCCTTCGCCCCTGCGACTGTATCTGCTTCCAATGCATATATATCCCCGCCAAGCTGCTTTCTCTTTTCCTCATTGCCCAGGATACGGAAGAAGAGATCCATACTCGCCTACTGCTCCCTAAGAATGGCTTCCACTCACGCCCACGCCCATACTACTCTGCCGAGACTGCCCATCTTCGATGCGATATCGCGGCACGACCCTCGTTCACCTGCCGTCGTCCAATGTCTCTCCGGTCGGACGTTCAACTACGGCGAGCTGCTTCCAGATGTCTGCCGTGTTCGCGAGGAAATATACAAAGTTGCGGGGCGGTCGGACATCCGAGGCGAGCGCATTGCGTTCTTGATAGAGAATGGTTATGACTACGTGGGTATGCGGGACCACAACCCCAAATCATTTTCCCCCTATACTGACGGGAGACTCCGTTGTTAACAGCTGTTACACAGTCACTTTCCTCGCAATTCTTGCTGCGCGCGCAATTGCGCTCCCTCTCTCGCCTCCCTTCCCAGCCTCCGAGCTACAATACATCATATCGCATTCTGAAGCGCTACTGCTATTACACTCTCTCAAATTCGCCTCGAAAGCCCAAGAGGTCCTTTCGACCCCCTTTCCAGAGCCCTCGCCGAAGTCAGATCCAAACTTCGAGCCATCGCTGAAAGCCTTCGAATTACCGAAAAACCTCGGACTCGGGCAGGATGTCATGTGCTATGAACCAGTCACCATTTCACCAGAGGCCGACGCGAAAGGCGCTGGCATGATGCTCTACACATCCGGCACCACTGCCCGGCCGAAAGGCGTGCTGCTTTCAGAAAGCGCGCTGACGGCGCAATGCCGGGCGTTGATCGAAGCATGGAACTACAGCCCGGAGGACAGACTACTCCATGTCCTCCCGTTACATCATATCCACGGCACGGTCAATGCGATACTCACGCCCTTGCTTGCGGGTAGCACCATTGAGTTCCTCTTCCCGTTCAACGCGGATGTGGTCTGGCGTCGGTTCGCGAATCCGTTCCTTGAGGGACCACAGACGAATGGCGCAACACGTAGTGCCAGAATGCAAGGTGTTAACGAGACTAATGGGATGACTCTCTCGGCTCCGAATGCCAACAGGATCGGCCAGATTGCGACTGAGCTTCATGGCATTATCCGATCGACTTCTGGAGCCGATGGATATCCCGTTACAACTGGCGTAACTCTGTCAGCTCCTGGGACAAATCGTATGAGCGAGTTAGCCGATGAACTCAATGGAATAGTTCGCCCACGTGCCTCCACTCAGAGCAACGGCACTACACACTCAACCTTGGGGACGAATGGCGCAACTCATGCAAATGGTGCCGCCGACTCCGGCGTGGCCAATGGCGTCACCAGCGGCATGAACAACGCAAGCGAGGAGGACAAATTCGCCAACATGCCAAGGGAGAAGATCACATTCTTCACCGTTGTTCCTACGGTATATACACGTCTGCTCTCGACGCACAAGAGTCTTGCTCCTGAAATCGCCGAGGCCGGACGCACCGCCATCAGCCCCTCGCACATGCGCGTCTCTATATCCGGCTCCGCTGCACTCCCCACGCCCGTAAAGCGCGCGTGGAAGGACTTGAGCCACGGCAATGTGCTGCTAGAGCGGTACGGCATGACCGAGGTAGGTATGGCACTCTCTTGCGGCCTCGACTATACGGACCGTGTTGACGGCAGCGTGGGGTGGCCCCTGCCCGGTGTAGAAGCGCGCCTCTTCGATACCGACACCAACGAAGTGATTCCCGAAGACGACGCCAGCGCCGGCGCCGGCGGCCCAGAGCGCTCAGGCGAGATCCAGCTCCGCGGTGCCAACGTCTTCGCCGAGTACTGGGCCAACCCAGTGGCAACGGCCAAAGAATTCGTGCCCGCAACCGACGGCAAAGGTCCCTGGTTCAAGACAGGTGACGTAGCCGTCCGCCGCCCCGTCCCATCCGCGGGCCAGGCCACGTCCGGCGCCTGGGCGCGAGGGCCCATGTACTTCATCCTAGGCCGGCAGAGCGCCGACATCATCAAGTCGGGCGGCGAAAAAGTCTCGGCCCTCGAGGTCGAGCGCGAGCTGCTCTCGCTCCCCGAGGTCCTCGAGGCGGCCGTCGTGGCTGTGCCCTCGGGCAAGTGGGGCCAGAAGGTCGGCGCGGTCGTGATCCTCGACAAGGAGCTGGCGCCGCAAGGGGGGTGGAAGCCCATGGACATGCGGCGCGCGCTGCGCGGCCGCCTGGCCGCCTACAAGATCCCGCAGGTGCTGAGGGTCGTCGACCACATCCCGCGCAACGCCATGGGCAAGATCAACAAGAAGGACCTGGTGCGCAAGGTGTTTGTGGAGGACTTTAGCGGGGATGAGATGTAGATGTAGATGGGGGAGGGGGTGATACTTTGGATACCTTATGTAGGACACTTTCAATGCGATACCTATCGGTGATGTTGGTCAAGATGCCGGAAGTTGAGCTGCCCAGGTCGACTGGTTGTGCATAGTAGAGTGAAAGACGGTTTACTCATCTTGGATCAAATCCGAGATGTCATTGGAGTGCGGCTCCAACGGCAAACGCCACAATGGCAACAGCGGCGCACGGATACGAAATCTAATAAAGGGCGAGGACAAGGCAGGCAGGCTCTGGGCTGGGCTGGGCAGGGCAGGGTTAGCACACTCAGGGACCCTCCTGACCTCGTACATGTTCTACCATATTTCTGATGTCAACTGCGGTAGATGATAGAGGATTCGCAATAGAGAAACCGAATGGCCTACAGTATAAGCAACATTTGTCCGAAGCGCATGCAAAAACAAGGCAGCGCCCATCTGGCAAGTCAAGAGCCGGTCTCAGTTGGGGGTATTTTTATGATATTGAGAGGCTCTAGACTATGGTGTATCTAGCTGTCTCGCAAAGAGAAGCCCATAGCTACCTACTAACCCGCAGGTAAAAAAGCCTCAGAATTGGTTGATTAGGTTCTGATAATCAACCTGCACTACCGCCACCATTTCACTCCGTCTCTCGGAGCGCAAACATGAGACCAATGGTGGTCATCATTAAGATTTAGGGGTAGTTCGTGCCACCAGAGCCGAGTGGCCTAAGATGCGGTGTGGTGCAATGCCGTTCCGACTGGACCATGAAGTGGGCTAAGATGCGATAGCCAATGCTCGTCAGGCAGTGGAACCAGAGCAGCAAATATGCCAGGAGCCAATACATACACTGCTGTTGCGCCTGACCAAGGGTGTCAGAAGCAGGTGAACGCTGTTAGACGGTGAGCTTGGCCTTCGCGCGCGAGCTGCCACTGTGTGCAGAGTCGGTGTGACCAGAGAACTCGACGCTCTCGTTCGGGGGCAGCTTCAGGATCTCCTTGAAGCGCTTGCCAATAGAAAGCAGGATCTTCTGGCCCTTATCCACCGATCGTCCCTTTCCACCAGCAACATCGCCATCGCCACGACCGGGGATGCTCTTGCCTATGGTGCGGGTCCAGACACCGATACGGAAGAAGGCCTTGCGTACGTTGACCACGACACCCATGACCTCACCGTCCTCCTCGTCTTCCAGAGTCTCGCCGATTGCGGCCATCATGGTATGAAGCCACAAGTCGTTGATGTCGACGCCGCGCTTGTCCTTGAACTGGTATGACCACTTGCCGCCGTGCTTGTTCTGGGGGTCCTCCCACTCCGGTCGTACGCCCTCCTTGAAGAGATGGTAGTCGGATTTCATGGCAAGATCGGAGACGGGTGCGATGTTGTTCTATTGAGCGCACATGCATTAGAGACAGGCCGACCAAGGTGACAGAGGGCTGAGAGGGAAGCTTGTAGATACGTACGTAGATACCCCAGAATTCCTCAACTGAGTTAAAGGTGATGACTTCCTTGAGGAGATCGTTCCAGTTGTCGCCCTATGAGAAGCACGGTCAGGCTTTGTCACAGGTAAATCCAGGCGAGACGCCAAGGTCTAGTGAATGGCACTCCGAACTGACCTTGCCGCTGGATGGCTTGGTGAACCACAGAGTCCACTTGTTCATGAGAGGATGCTTGACGTTGAAGTTGTCCTTGTCGTGGAAGACGGTGATCAACTTGCCCGTGGCCGGGCCTGAGTCGGCACCCTTCTCGCCATCAGGCGAGATGGGGATGGTGGTGAGATCGACTTGTTCGGCCATTGCGAGGGATTTATTTGGCGGGAGAAAGTTAGGATGGAAAAAGAGGTGCGAGGCTGAGATTGCGGGTTGCAGCTGAGGTTGGTGTATGTGGGCCTTGCGAAGTATGTATCCGTGGTGAGATGGCCACGAAGGATAGGTTTGGGGTTCGGCGCAATGGTAAGCTCGTGTTTCTCGCGGCTTCCTCTTCTTATGGAGCGATCGCAAAAAGGTCGAGGTAGGAGGGACGATTGAGAGTTCCGGGGAAGTGGCACCGGGCGCAGAACTTGTCGCTGGGCTTTCCACGTAGAGACGTTAAGGGCGCGCGTTCCACAGGTTCCTATTGGAAGAGAATTAAGACGTTGCGCCAGGCAATGTCGGCCGGTCGATCGGTTGGTCGGGTCGTTAATAAATAAGTACTTAAAGTGTGAGGTCGTTGTCCAGGTACACGATGGAAGGAGCGCTGTTTCACCTTTTTTACCCAGAGGAGGAAGTCGTCAGTGGGGTCGCAAAGAAAACCACCTCAACCTGCGGCTGCCTGAGTTGCAGAGCTAGCCACCCGCCAATACCATTGTCACATTCTGCACTTTGCATGTGGCCCGTGCATCAGCACTCATACTGGGACAACTGAAACCTTTCCAAGCATGGCTTTATCTTTATTTCCACGTCTGTTATGGACTCCAAACGAGAACTGTACTGAAAGAGCATACAACATATCCTTCAAGCACCCTGTCTCTCCATAACCACGCTCACTACCAGCATCATGAAAGCTACTCTTACATCGCTCTGGTGCATGTTTGCTCTTGGAGAGTTGCCATGCATATGAACATCATGAAGATACCCTTTCCGCTGTTTTCATGCAGCATTACAGGTACTCGTCTGGGTCTAATGTGGCCATCACGCCCAGACGAGTAGTCATGGTCACTTGAGCTAACCAATTAACCGAGGTAGTGGTAAAGGATCAATATGAGCCGTAGCAACAGTTTGCCTCCATCTGACCCAAGCGTGTTTATACCTACAATGCACATGAGGATTACCATCCATTATATATATGGCGCTGTCGCTGCAAGGCGCAGGCCCCTTTATTTCATACAGGTCATTCACGCATCTACTCGGTACCTAAGAGTATGAATCCCTCATATCAATCAGTACGTGTTATAGCTGTTTTGCAGCTAATGTCGCCCGTCCCTGGGTGTCGACCGCGAGCAGCACCAGCGCCTTCGATACTCGGTGTCTTTCTGCAAAAGGCGGCTCATGTTCAGCCGGTTATTCGTCTCCACTCATGTCAGTGCAGCTTTCCACAGTTGTTTTCGTCAATGCCCGACATCTCGGCGATTTACCCAACGAGACCTGGTGGCGCACCTCTGGCCGGCGCCAGTGTTGTCTGGGGATAGCGTCACCAGCAATTCCCGTGCAGAGGTAAAGCTGCCCACTCTGCGCAGCGCCGAATGCGCCTGATTGTATCGGTCGTTGAAGGCGGTGATCGCGAGGCACGGCGATGAAATGCACAGGAAGTATATGGCTTGCTTGATGGTCGCCCAGAACGCCTTGAATACTGTTGATTGTGACTGCGCTGGCAGCGACGGCAGGGCAATGGCCTGTTGCACGCTTTGGAGGCGCAAGGGCGAGTTTACAGGGCCTTGGGCTATGGAGCGAATGAAGCCTACTGCATAGCGCGGAGCACCAGAGGTAAGGCTGCTGATAATTTCAGCCTCGCGTTCGCCCAGTTGCGATGAGCCCAACACCCTCTTTTCGACCGTGAAAAGAAAGCAGGGCCGGATGCTGTCCCGTGTCCTTCATGTGTCGGTTGACCTTCTGCAGCTCGTCGTCTCCGAACTCTGAGATTTGTGAGTCCAAAGATCCTGCAATGTCGGGTGCGCAAGATGCAGAATGACTTCAAGATGCTCATACGAGGCGCGCCGGCGCAGGAGGGAGATGTGCTGTTCTACATCGACGTCATCATATGCTACCCGCGGCAAGCCAGTGCCCAGTCAGTCGCCTTGAATCAGACGAGACAGGTCTACAACTTTATGGGACAGAGACCCACTCCACGAGCTGAAGTTATCAGACGCGAAGATAATGGAGATGAATGTCCAGATCTGGCTTCGCAACTGGACGAAAAGCGTGTTGACGCCCTTCGAGGCCGTGCTGGCACTGGTGGTGACCTTCGCTCTGAACGACGAGGCCATCAAGTCGATGGAGCTGTGAAAGTCTAGACACGAATGCCACCAAGTGTACCCAGCGGGACACCCCTTGAGCAACGTGGTCTACCAGCTGCGCCGCCTAGACCAGGGCGACGATCGGAGATACCGACGGCACAGGTCTGGACAGCTATTCAGAACACAAAGTTTCCATCCTCCCCACGCTGGTGGCAATCGACTTGCCTCTCGATGCAGGTCAAGGTCCTAACCCCCATAAACCAGACGCCCGCGGTGGTATTCCCTCCGGTCTCATATTCCTCCCAACGCAGAAGCTGCGCCACAGCGACATCCCAGAATAAGACAATACGGCTGGGCCGCCCGAACCTGGCTCATTCGCCAGGCGCACCCCCGCCTACAATCGCCAGGACGCACACCGACCTCATCACATTCTCCGGCCTCATGATCCGGCCCTTCTATCCATCCTGCCGAGGACTGCCGCTTCAGGGTGCCGGTGCAGTACACGATGCAGCAGTGGTACAAGGTGGTCGCCTACCCAGAAGCGGCCAATATCCGCCTGGTGGGATGGGTCCGCGAGCGGCGAGATCATGGTCATTCTCTCAGAGAAGCTATCCCCTCGGACCATGGCACCGGCCCAAGGGCGTGCTAAGCGATCGGCAGATCCGCTGGGCGGACACCCTGTGCCAGGTCTAGATCCAGCAGCTGTTTAATGGCTTTCCGGGGCATCCAGATCGCCCGTTGTATGGGACGAGGGTTGGTGAGCAGGATTGGTTTCGGTATAGAGGTTTTCTTGGGGGATGCGGAGACGTGACCAGAGTGACTATATTTTCGAGTGGATATGCTGTCTCGATCCAGCATATGGCTTGATATCATCTGAGAATTACGTGACTGAAGACATGAATTTGTGCTTGCGATACTGACTATACGGTCGACGTTTCCGCCTTGGATGGCACGTTGCCTGTCATGATGAACATGCAGTCATACTGGGGCAGTACTGATGGTTGGGAAATTTGCCATCTAGTACGGCCATATCGGTTTCCGCAAGTTGCTTCTTTACGGAGACGCCGGTCCATGTGCGGATGCGGAGGACACATAAGAGTAGCCCAGCCATGGAGGAGAATTCCGGACCATAGCAACGGAGAGCGTATATTACATCATGTTGGGGATGATGTTCGCGACCTCCACCGACTGTGACATAGGGACTACAAAGTTATGTCCCCTGTCGGTTGGTTCCATGGTCTCAAAATAGTATACAGTGAGGGCTTCCCAAGTTTCAACGGGCCTTCCCCCTGGCGCAGGATCACAGAATCGTACAAGCAGCTTCTGCCTACACACGGAATTCCCGAAGGCTCTGAGGGTCCAAAATAAGTTATTATTAACCTTTTCCCACGGCGCTAAGAATGGGTGCTATTTGCCACCTTGCGAAGCCCAGTTGTCATCGAGATGCAAGGTGTGAGTTTCATGGTCGATAACGACGAAACCTATGTATATACCATCTTGGTCTATAAAGGAGGCCTTTTCCGTCGTCAGCGACATCTAATCTATCTTGCAGCGCCAGAGAATTCCCAACAATACTCGGTTTCCCCCGCGCTACACGCCTTCAAGCAATTGACATCACTCACACTGCAACCGCACGTCAGCCGAAGCAATAAGCTAGGTACGACCTCACCTCACCAAACGACCTTCGACAAGACCGGCAAACAAATCTCAAAAAGACAAGACGATGCTTCCCAAGCTCGCGCTTTCCCTCCTCATAGCGGCGTCTGCCGCCCACGGCTGGTCGTTTAAGGCCTACAAGGACCACAACTGCAAGGGCGACGTGGCCTGGGACGAAAGCGGCACCGGCACCATAACCAGCGAAGACAAGGACGTATCCTATAGAACGGAAATACCTGACATGGACACGCCGAAGAAGATAAAGTTCGCTCTGGGCATAGATGATGAAGTGTTCATGGCCAAGGGCGGCGATGAGGAAAAGTTCGATCACGGTGATAACGGCAAATTTATCGACTGGACGGACTGGCGAGAGTGGTACGTGATGAGCAGATAAATCAAATCGCTGTTCTTGGGCCACTGACGGTGGACGCCGGTGCATCGTGCATATATGCGCGCAGGAGGCAGCGGTTGGACGGCCAGGTTCGATATGTAACACTCGCTCAGCAGCCCAAAACATGAAAGACTTTCCACTACCTCATAAGAGACCCATCGTTACCTGAAGCAAATATCCGAGTGCGTGACCAAGTGCTCTTGATGTATGGCATATCTTTTGAACTGCGTCCCCGAATTTGACAACGGGCCTCTTTCCGACCCACGTCAAGACGTGCTTGAACACTGAAAGATGTTAAAACTGCATGTAGGTACTGATGCGCCAGCTCATGGCGTCTGTCACCCGGGGAATGAACCGAGAAATTTACTGTCTGTGTGTTGAAGTGCCAACCGAAAGCGAGCAAACCGACCACGTCCACACCAATACGCTGACACCGCTCCGTCATGTCGACGGGCGTGCCAGTGTGAGAAGCCGAGTAGAGCTGCTGCTTCAGGAAGAGTCCTATTTGGGCCGCCATGATTGGTCCGAAGGTACGCATCGAGCGCTCCGTGAGAGCTGGGCCGATGAACTTACGCTTCCGGCGGTGCTGGTCCTTGTCAATGGCGTTGATGATGCTGAGGTACTTGGCCCTCATCTGGGACTTTCGGTATGAATGCCCCTTAGTCACTCTCGCGTTGAGATATATGTCTTTTGATATTTAAGCACGCATACGGTGCCGGGAATATCATGATGAAGTTTTATGTCTCTTACCATGCAACAGCCGTCAATGTGCTGAACACAAGTCGATTTGGAGCTTGGCGGACGACAGGGCCTATCGTATAACACAGTCCTCCGCAAGATAACTCCTTGTCTCATACCATAGCTCTGGAAATTTTGGTACGTGACAAGATGAAGGCACTTTCGAATCGCAAACCAGCCACCGTAAGCATCCGTAAGCCGCGCAAGAAGTGGCCCTGGATAGTTGTGTAGAGGGTGGAATAGTAAGCGATAGCCCGCAAGTATGAGGCACTACATCGATTAATCAGCTATGACTCCTGAGCGGGCCACAACACCAAGGTTAACTCTACCCAGGGAACGACGAAGTATGCTGTATAGACCGCGATAACGAACAGGACGTCGAGGAAACCCATGGCGAGCTGTCAAGCATTGGAAGCCAATATACCAGAGAAAGCACCAATAAATGAAAAGAAAAAGGGAACGATGGGAGAACCTAACGCGAAGTCAGATACAGAACATCAGTTTCGCGATCGGCAATACGGCTCACAGTCAATCATCACCACATACATGCAACGCCTCAATGCATTTTGTTCCACGACAGGTAATCATCACGGGCGTAGGCGGAGCATATAGGAGCCAACGGGGGCGGGGGTGTTGGTGCATAAAGTCTGGTTGGCCGACTGTCCGGTCCCAGAAACAGGTAGCCAGCCCCTGTTGGTCCAGTGGCCTACCCATACTGCATACGCAAGACGGTCAACACTGCAAGGGGAGACATGCTGGGACAGATTGTCGTCAGGGGGCCCCATCCGCAACCTCGCCTTACCCGGTCACCATTAATGACCCAAAGGAATGTTCACCCGAGTGAGGGCGCCCTGGTGAAGACCAAAGACCGGCTATGCTCTCTGAGGCTAATGCACCTGCACAAGGAGTGAAGTGTCTGCACCAAAACACCATGACTATGCCACTGATAGGCTCGTTTTGGTGTCGTCAGCCCGCCTTGGATAGAATGATACAGTCATCCCCCATAAGTCTCCGTTCGGCACGCCTCTGTTGACCTTTTAACATTAATGCTATATTCGTATAAATGGGATAAGCACCCTGGAATAAGCAGAGTTGATATAATTAGCCGTGTTTGATGCTTATTCCAGAGTACTTATTCAAGATTTTGTTGATACACTTTTCGTTTGCGGGACGAGGGGTGTACGGAGACTTTTGGATGTTCAGTGTAGCCATCGTGGGCATGAGTGCCTCCTTCTCATGAACACTGGTATATGAAGAGAGGTGAACGGATTGCCAGCATCTATAGTTTGGCCTGACTTAAAGCACACGTCGTATTCGGGAGCGATATGATGGTCGGTGTGAGAAGTGATGTGTGTTAAGGGGAAGTTGTAAACTTGGGATGATTAGGTATTGATCGTGGCGGAGGTGTGGCGTGTCTTGGTGTGGCGGTGAGGCTAACCTAAGGCCGCCCGGGTACCTCCGTCACTCCACTCATTCCGTCTTCGTTCCGTTTTCAACGAGGGCATGAGTCACGAACGCCATATTGCTGGGCTGATGCTGAGATAAACTTAGACCACCACGATGGCTTTTCAATCCCCAGTGGGCCCCGAGCCCGACCTCGACCCTTGCGGGCCAAATGGACCTCCCACCACTGCAACCCGCATCGACTTCTCGCAGACTCCTCTGGCAGAGGACTACGGCTCCTACTTTGCCATGGTTCTCGACAACCTACTTACCCCCGAAGAGTGCGCTGCCCTCCAGGCATCCGCTGGAGACAACTGGCAGTCTCTGAGCAAAGGCGAATCGTTCCGCGAATGCCAGCAGATCCTGTCCTTCTCACCACGCTGGTCTGCGGCGCTTTACGAACGCATAGCGGCGCATCTACCCGATGAGGTGAAAGCCTTGAGGAAGGGTAGTGAGCTCGCTGCGAATGTAGCTGGTGCATCCCACCTCAAGGCGAACATGGGCGCCAAGAAGACGGTGTGGAGGCTGAAGGGGGCGAACGAGCGATTGAGCTTCTTGCGGTACAGACCGGGCCACTTCTTCAAGCCGCATTGCGATGCTCTGTATGGCCGAGAGGGCAAGGACGAGAAAAGCTTCCTCACTTGCCAGATCTACCTTAACGATGCTCCGGAGGGTGGTGATGGAGGTGCTAGTGGAGGAGGCGAGACAAGGTTCTGGGCGAGTCAGGTAGGCAAGAGGCGGAAGGCTAGAGATGGTAATGATACCCAGCCTGATGACGACAAGAACGATATGCCATTCTTAGATGTGAAGCCGAAGGTCGGCAGGGCCGTCGTGTTCCAGCAGCGAATGCTATGGCATTCGGGACAGGAGGTCAAGAATGGCGAGAAGTTCACCGTACGGATGGATTTGATGTTTGAGCGGCACTTTGAGAAGATGTAGAAAGTTTTGATTGACAGTCGTCTTACTCCACGATCTGGCTTTCAGTCTTTCTTCCTGGATGCACTCGACTGCTTCCTGTCCAGTGAGCATTTTGATTGAAGGTGTGGCATGAGAGAGTAGTTTCTGGTGTTGTTATTGGCACGCATCAGCGCTTGAAGCCCGTGGCTTCTCTTATATGGAAGGGACATGATGCTGAATCAGGAGTGGAAGCCGTGAGTCATGTCCGGAGCTTTTTGAGGTGTTTCTGCCACGTTCACGATGGCCTCGTTTCGGCTGGTCCAGGCCCTGACTCGAAGACCCACTTTTGCACCCAAATTTCTAACTCCTTATCGCAGCCACAAAAAGTTCTCGACTCTCCTTCGACATCTCCCACACCACCACCCACTTTCTTTCCAGCGTCGATCCTTTTTCGGCGGCGGCATCCGATGAGGCCAGCACGGCATGCGCTACCTCCCTCGAGCAGCCTGCCTGCTTTGCGCTCTCTAGACGTGCTCACGGAGGAACAAGTTTTGGCGGCGCTGGGCAATCTCTATGCGCTTTACTGTCCACTGCCGCCGTCGCTGGCTTTTCAACCTCACGCCAGATTCAAGGAGTCGCCCTTCCCGGATTCCGGTTATACCTCTGGAAATGAGGAAGACGAGGGCAAAGACGGAGTGAAGGATGCGGAGGAAGAGAACGACTCACTTCGCGACGACGCCTTCGAGCGGTCCTTCGCTGAGCGCTGGCTGACAGGCTTCATCGGGTGCGCCGAAGAACTATCATGCTTCAGCAACGAGGACGTAAGGCAGCGCGCCATCGACAGGGCGTCCTGCGTGCTGGCCTCGTTCTACCCCAGTGCAGCAGACGAAGATGACGAGGACATCCAGATCACGCGCGAGTTCCACTTCACTCTCGTACCAGACGCGGCACGCGCGGAGGAAGTCCCAATCAACGTGTGCGTCACCGATGGACTTGCAGGCAGGGATGTTTCGGACCATACGGACGTGGGACTTCAAAGCTGGGGCGCGGCCATTGTCTTCTCCGAGCTCATGTGCGCCTCGCCATCGCGTTTGGGAATCACGCAGGATGCCCTTGGCTCGGCGCCACGGATCATCGAACTTGGGGCCGGGACCGGACTTGTCAGTCTTGTGCTCGGGAAGATGCTGCCTCACGTTGGCATCACGGATTCCACGGTGGTTGCGACAGACTACCATTCCGCCGTCCTTGCGAACCTGACTTCTAACATCGCCGCGAACTTCCCTTCTAAAGACCGGTTACCGATTCAGACGTCGCTGCTTGACTGGTCCGCGCCCGACCTCGCGCCGCCTTTGGACGTCCCGGCAGACATGCTCGTCGCAACAGATGTGGTCTACGAGCCCAAGCACGCAGTCTGGCTACGCGACTGCGCAGCCCGTCTCCTAGCCCCCGACGGTGTGTTCTGGCTCGTGGCAACTGTACGGCGCACCGGTCGCTTCGAGGGCATTAGCGACACAGTCAGGGGCGCATTCACCAGCCGGGATGGGGTCAAGGACGAAGCTGGGCGCGTGTTGGCAGTCCTTCACGAAGAAAGACTTGAGAAGAAGCGAGGTATCGGACGGGGTGACGAGAGCGAGTACAAGCTTTTCCGAATCGGCTGGGCTTAGAGGTGGTAGACACGGTCTTTACAGGTCTAGAGGGGCATTGTAAAGAAAGAGGTTCGGTTGTGTTCGACACCCGACCATAGACGATAGACGAACAAGCATCATAGACTTGGTCTAGATGATAGATGATAGCCGAGAAAGACGGAGATACACGATAGACGAGAAGACGAAGATACATGATAGACGTTTACATGAGAACTACCAAAACAGGTTAATGACACAGAAGATTGTACTTACTAACTTACATTGCGTGACAAAACTCTCTACATCATATCAGAGCCTCACAACAATCTTACTTCTCAACCGGCCACTCCCCAGGCGTAGGCGGCATAACCCACCCATCAATCCAGCCCCAAGTCTCCGTCGCCTTCCTCGCTACCTCCTTCGCCTCCTCGTCAGCGGCAAGCGCCGCAGTAGGCAGCTTCGTATCTAGATAAGCCAGCAGCGCCTGCGCCGACGCAACCAGCTCCTTCCGCTGCTCGCGTACCGCTTCGTCGCCGGAAAACGAAAAGGCCGCGAAGATCACCTCGTGTAGGATTAACTGGGTCAGCCAGGTGTGCTCGGCGCGCAGCTCCTGAGCGTTGGTGCTGGTGCCGGTGCGGGCGGCGTGGGTCTGGCAGAAGGAGGCGCAGAGGGGGACTAGGGCTGTGTGCAGGTGGTTGGCGATTTCTTCGAGGTTCTGCATTTCGGTGGCTTGGTGCTGCATTTCGGGGGATTGGGTGGTAGACATACCTAAGAGCTTGTTTGGGAGGTTATGTGTTTGTTTGTGTGGTGTTGGGTTTTGAGGTTGGCTGGTTGGCTGATTGGTTGTGATGGATGGTGGAATAGAATAAAAGAGACATATCTACGAGGTCCCGTCCGGGGTCTATATAGGCACGCGTTGGTAACGACCGCTCCTCCAGCTCACGCCCGTGTTACGGGATACAATGCTTTTGTTTTTTTCCGGTTCGACCCAAGTCTTTGACCTGGTAACTTACAAGAAAGGAATTGTCTTGGGTGAGCTCGTGGGTGCGGGCAAACGCTCGACAAAGCTCCTGTTGAGGGGGGTACTCGAGTCAAACTACACTGTGCTGTCGGCTCTTTCTTCTCTTGAGTAGCGTTGGAACAACAGCATTGTCTCATGAGTCTGGTGACCACAGCGCCGAAGCTATCTCTCGCAATCCTGCACCGAGCATGGCAGGACGTCCTGAGGGCATCTCCCGGGCGTGTAAGAGTCTTTCCGACAGACCCAGTTCCAGCGCCCTTTCCACCGCCTGCTTGATGCATGCCAAATTCATTGACTCTTTAAGAATGAGCTGAGCTTGCGACTCGTTGCATGCTTGATGGCTAGGAGTAGCATCGCATATAGCGTGTAGATCGCGTCATTCCCGGCGTTGTGGAACTCAAATGGGTCTGGACGACAGCCAAGCTCAGCAAGCACAGCTACCAAGCCGAAGCCCTGGCTTGGGGGGGGGGGGGGGGGGGGGGGGGGGGAGGTTCGGTGAGTATGGTGGAAGAACGAATCGCGATACTGTATGTGTGTTAATGATCGCTATGATGGGCGCGATGTCGAATGTGTCCAAGCCGAGGAGGCCTAGAATCTTCAGGCCTTCTCGCACGCACCGAATGCCCGACCAGACAGATGTCTCGTAGAGCGCACCTGCCTTTTGTGCTATCGTGCGTATCGTCTTTGATTCGGAGATTTTGACTAATAATAGTCGGTAGGGTTTTCCGAGATATTACCTGCGTGTGCGCAAAGACACATTTGCGCTCTAGCCGTCTCGTCGCGCGAGTGGCCGTCGTCCGCTTCGCTTATGGCTTAGGGGTAGTCTGAAACATCTGAGCTGATATCAAGCTCCTCAGATTATGCTGATGCAAGGATGAGGCGTGAATATCTCGCGTGTCCAGACTCGCGAAACCTAGTTGTCTAACGACCGGCTCCTCGGTCAATAGGTGTAATTTCTGTCGATCTGCGTCTACCTCAAGATCAAGAGACACAAAGACGGCATCGGTGGACACTATGTTGTCATTTCGTAGGCCTAGAAGGCGCTCCAGTAGCTTCAGCCCGCCTTGCTTGGGAGATTCGAGATGTGTCGGTTCGCCTTGCCGCGTGCCAGGCTCCATACGGACGGGTGAAATGAAGTCGAACTGCTTTGCCACGTCCAGCAAGCTCGACTCGTCAGACTTCAGCGTAAGAGTCAACCAGATTTTCGTGGCATAGTAGAGGTAGTCTCTCACCCTGGCTTGTCGTAGGTTTTTCCCCCGAGTACGAGATCCTACCAATTGTCTTTCACAGCCTAATAGCGGACAGTGGGCCGCCGAAGCCATGTAAGAGATAATCGCAAAATATGGTGGCCCGGTATTCGAATCAGTCGCGGGGCCGGATGAGAAGCTGCTACAACGAGCGTTCTCGAGTAAGAAAACTGATAGCAAAATCATCGGCCCAGCCGCTTGCAAACTCTATCAACGCCACTCAATGATTTTTGATTGTGCGCTAATACGCGGTTAACCACTGTAGAGCCTCGAGCTTCCCATTCGCCAGGTTGGAGGCACAATCCAAACTAGAGTAGATGTGGGCAAGGGGGACACCATTTCCTCTGACATTAGGGATCACTCATCATTACTTTTGATAATCATGGGACACTTACCTGACTATCCTTAACCTCCGCATACTTGTCTCGAGTAATGGTACACTGAACACCCAAAAGTCTCCGTAGCCCTCGTTCAGCAGGCATGGGGTATCTTTATTGTAAATGGAATGAGCACTCTGGAATAACCATCCCCGATGGATTGCCGAATCGGACCTGCTTATTCCAGAGGGCTTATTCCATTGAAATGAATATAGCATTGATATGCAAGAATGGACAGAGACATGCCGGACGGAGAGTTATGGGGGGCGATTGTGGCATTGTCCGACAAATTCAACAACAGACTGTTCAACAAAGTGAGAAACGCAGGTTACCCAATCAAGACACGTCAATAGATTTTCAGCGCTTTGAGCCGCATGGCGCATATGGAGACTTGTATACGACCTGGAATATTCGAAGCATTATATTTGGGCGCATTGCGTAAAGGATGTACAGTTGAGGGCTTGAACGCGTGCGATCTAAGCGAGTGTGATTTTGATTCAGCCCCTATTGCCCCATTCGAGCTGAATGATGCGTAACAAAAACACCACATCGGAAAGAGAATAGTGTCCTGGGGTCTTGTCTTCTTTAACAATGACTATATGAGAATTTTGTATTGGTCAGTTGAATTCATGTTCCCAACCCAGCAAATTGAGAGATGGCATCAGTCTTGAAATCAATTCAGCCTCCGCCGCAACCTTGAGCCTGTTGACGAGTTTTTTTAAAGGCTCATGGCTGAACCCTATTCTTCTTTTCTCTCAACCTCAACGCCATTGGGGGATGATATTTCTACATATTTGTGACTAACAACCCCCTTGCAACTTTTCTAACCACAACTCATTCACCCGAATTCTGTACCATCCCTACACCAACGATTCCACCAACACAGACCAACAACCCGCTACGCACCACCAGCCTCACCTAACCAGCGCCAAAATGCTGTCCTCCACATCCATCATCGCCAGCTTCCTGGCCGCCACAGCCGCCGGCTTCGTCATCCCCACCACGAACACCTCCAGCGCAGTGCCCACTCCCCTCAGCCACGGCCCCCACGGCCCCCACGGCCCCGGTGTCTCCTGTGTGCAACCGCTCCAACTGCCTGTTCAACTGCTGCCCCAAGCACCACAGTGACACCGAAGAGCACGGCTGCTTCTTCGCGGGCTCCTGCTGCGAGAAGGGCAGCCAGCCCGCTGTGGTCATCAAGCCGGCGGAGGGACACGCTGCGGTTGTTGTCGGAAACTACAGCGAGACTACGAATGTTAACGTCAAGTAGTGTGGTAAGTGAATTACTTTCACGTCTTCGGGACGAGATCTTGGTGGAAGCTTGTTGTGGATGTGATGCTAATTGAGAAGCCCATCCAGGTCTTTCTTGATGCTCTCATCTCTCACCTCCGCGAACGGAACATCAGGTTGGTACACCTTAGTTCTCGGTGCTTGAGAAGGATAGGGATGCGGGTCACTGCCTAGATCAGATTATGTTGATTAGGGAAGGGTTTCGGGCTAGATACTGGATGTAATTCGGCATTTACAGTCCCAGCTCCTCCGTGAACACCCACCATGGATACCCAAGATAGTGAACATAACCATTCTCTACCAACTGCATCTCCCACCCTGTTTCCCATGTGTCACATCGCCTTCCTCATTCACAGTGACACGCCACCTCAACCTCAGCCCGCTTATACGGCCCCGCGCCCGTAGCATCCTGCACTAGCGCCACAACCTTACTCCGACAAGAATAAATCTTGAAATCCAGCACCAAACCGCCCTCCCCAAAAACCGCCACCGTCGTCTCCGGGAACGGATCCACGATCTTGCCGTACACAGTCAAGACATTAGACGTCTCACAGAAGACCTTGCGCCCGGTGGACGAGCGATCGATAACGCGACGCTCCCGTATCTGCGAGTCCTTCAGCGCCGCCTTGATGCCGGTGATGACACCTGCGCGGCCGATGCTGGGCGTGTCGAAATCGCGCATGCTGAGGAGCCAGGCGGTGCAGTTCTCGTCGAAGAAGGACGCGAATGCGGCGAAGTCGTCTTCGGGCGAGTCCGGGGTGAGGGCTTGCCAGTGCGCGTATAGGGCGTCTAGCTTATGGTGGAGATCGTCGCTTAGTGCCATTGTGATGTGTTTGCTTCGAGTAGGAGAAGGTTGGTTGCGAGGGAACAGCTGAAGGGTTTGGTTGGGAAACGTGGGGATCGGGTTGGTGACGCAGAGGTGAGCAATTTAGTGTTCTGCCCGGCGGTCTGCCATGACAGATTTACCTATACATGTAGTCTTTCGTATGTCATGTTGGGCGTACTCTGCAAGGGATATTATGGTGTGCTACCCCTTGCAGAGTATTAGGTCGGCCTGTTGGCATTGTTCAGCTATCCGCAATCGGCAACCCCAAAATTGCGGTTCGGACTCAGCTGCATGTATGGATGTCTTCCGGGTTATTGGTAATCGCATACCAACCAGTCGGCCGAAACGGGCCGAGGCATGTTATCCCGAATTCATGATCCCTAATCAGTCACATAATTCGTGATTCGGTCGAAGAAACGTGAACTGATTATCGAATTGTCGTGCGACGGTGGTATATCAAGGAAACCCGTTACCCCCGACCGTCGCAGTCATCTCCCCATGGGAGCCCTGTATGAGATGCGCCTCGCCATCAGCCTGTCCCACGACCGAACCTGAGCACTCGCTTTCAGACCCCCATGATCCGCAGCGTCACCACTCTACGAGTCCGGAACAACCCCCAGATCACCAGCCGTCGGCTCGTCACCAAGCGCACCCATCACACTCACATCAGCGACCTTGCCCTCGGATGCCTTAAGAACCTCCGTAAGCTTTTTCGCGCCCGCGGGCCACATAACGACCTTCGTCTTCCCGGCCGCAGCAGCCGGCGCAGCAGCCGGAACATCGCCCCTCAGAATACGCTCGATGCTGATCTTAGGCTCGCCATAAAACTCCGCATTCGCATCCGGCCGCACACTAATCGCCGTGCCATCCAGCGTGACCCCACCCCAAATGCCACGCGACTTGGTGTAGGTCCACACCGGCTTGACGTCGCTGACGGCGTCCATTTTGGCGTTGAGCGGCCCGGCCGCGGCCGTGACCTCGCTGCCGATGGCCAGGCGGGGCCGCGTGTAGGCCTCGACGGCCGCCGGGGTGTTGAGCACGCACACGCAGTCGTAGACGTCGACGCCGAACACGATGCCCATGCCGCCCGAGCGCACCGTGAAGCCCGACGGCGGCGACCACGTGCCGTCGGGCAGGCGCGCCACCACGATGCCGGACCCGCCGGCGCCGGACAGCCACATCCCCGCGCGGAAGCCTGTGAAGATGGCGAGGCCCTTGGCGTTGGCGATGACGGTCGTGGGGATCTTGGCTTTGCCCTTCCCGGCAGACGTGGGTGTGCCAGAGACGCCTGGTGCTGATGAGTGAGGTTCTGCTTAAGTTTTGGGGGCTTACTACCGGATTACGTACCGGTGAAGCTCTTCAGAATCCGTGCTGCCCTGTCGCACTCCTTGTCGAGGCTGCTCGGTAGGAATGACATATTCGAGAGACGCTATTCAAGGCTGAGAGATGGAGGGGAGTCAAGTGAGTGGTGAACAGAAAAGGGTGTCGAAGATGAGGAATAGACTGCTTGCTTGACGAGTACTAGATGAAGAAGCCTTGCATGACCGGCCTCAGATGTGTTTATATCTTTTTCCTACAGCCGAGGAGGCAGTGCTGCCGCTGGGAATATGGCATTTGAGCGTAAGTTCCTGCGCTGCACGACTTGGTGCCTTATGCGACACCATCTCGCATAGGTTCGCATAGTTTCGCATTGGGCGTGTCACATATAGGTAATTGAATTCCTGACGGCATTCCATAGGATTGACACAACGCGACAAAGATCATGGTGTGCCCTTGGCAGCCCGGAATTGGCGCGATGTCATCTCCTCAGCTGGGCGCAGCAATCGTGGGCGAATCATAGGCTTGCAATGGTTGACAAATATCCCGAGTGAATGCAAACATGTACCTTAAGTTGACTGTCAGCACGGTTACCTGGGCGCATCTTAGCATATGTAAATGAGCCCCCTGATCTCGTTCTCGTTGCGAACCTGTCATGAAGGCTGAAAGGCTCTTGCACGCCGGTCTGTGAACGAGGTCGTCAGATTCGCAATGCATACTTGTACCAACCCGGAGGCCTCATCCACGCGGTGGGGAGCAGAAATTGATCTCCCTTCTGCGGTGCTGTAGCTGAATACTATGACAAATTGTCGAGCAGCTGAGAATATATCCGCGGACGCTATCCCAGTAAGCGTCACCGCGTACCACTTTAGGTGTGGTATTCGGTCGGGAATGCCGCCTTGAATGGCTTGAAGGGACGAGTCGACTGTTGGGCTGCATTGCCGGCCAATGAACCGGTCTTTTAGTCCCGGTCGGCTTTTGGATCCCGGGAGGGCCGGAGCTGGCCCGTCATGACGACATTGACGGATCCGATCAAACCATGAAGGGTCCATTTACTCGGCGCCTGTCCACCGTCTATCCCCATCTTCCAGCAAGACCACCTCCCGGAAGAAACGCCAGCACCGCCCCATTCCCCCCATGATACATCCTTAGGTACGAGCAAATCGAAGGACACTCGACCCTAGCCCTCAGCTCAATCCACCAAATCCCACGACTCGCCTTGCGGTACCACAGATGCAGCAACAACAGCGCCACCGGGTCCCTCTCGCGGAGCAGACATTCGAACCGGCCATAGATTACGCGCTGGAAGATCTGCGTATGACCCGTCGAGATCGCGCTGTCCGAGAGGTTTAGAATCCCAGACACAGCATGAGCGGCGCAGAAGTACGGACTGCTGTCCGCCGTGGACGCGGCGTCGAGGTCGCACACGGCGGCCAGGGGCCGTGGTATGCCGTCGATGCCGACCACTGGGAAGGGCGTGTTCATGAGCGCATATGCCGGTGCCATGACGGTGAAGAGGCTGTCCGGTCGTAGCGGGTTCAGGGTACTCCACAGTGCCATTTTGCCCTCGGCCATGCGGACCCAGTCCAGATCGGAGTGGTCGGAGGTCCTCAGGGGCCACGATTCCTCTGGCGTGGATGCGTCCGGGGACGAGAAGGTCAGGATGGCTAGAGCGGCCGCGGTGGCCCAGATCGGGTCCTTGTCTTTTGTCTCTATCGGCTCCCTCAGCCGCCTGTTGAGGAGAACTGTGCCCTGGGACCAGTGGTAGCACATTTCTAGACTCCGACGGGAGCCTGAGGTGGTGTTTAGATGGCGGTCGTATGTAAGCGCCACAGCCAGAGAGGCATGCATTAGGAAAGGGTACTGGGAGCATGGTTATTTTAACAATCCCAGGCCCGTCAAGTGTGTCTGACGGAGACACATTAGATAGAATAACACTCACGGCGAAGGCTAGTTTCAGGAGTCTGCGATTGATATGAGTCATTTGAGGGTTATCTGCGGCAACGAGACTTCGCCCAAGATAGCGGGTGACGAAGTCTTGACACTTTGCGTTCAACTGGTAGGATGCGGCTTCGTCGGATGTCCACACAGCGCTGGTGACGGGGGGTTGAAGCTGAGGCTTTGCATTTCCTCGTGCCACCACGGTTGGCCTCCTTGGGCCGGGGACGACGGGCTGCAGGTCGGGAATATGGCTGGACATGAAGTTGCATGATACCCCGAAGGAGGTACATTTCTTGCACTGTGGTTTGAGCTCGTCACACTGGACCATCGTTGTTCAGTGAGAGACCAGTTCAGTGGGAACGTGACTTCTGAGCCGGGGACCACGCACCTTGAGTTTCCTGAGCTTGCAATTTCGGCAGCCAAATCTCGACCGCCGCAGAGTCCTGCGCTCCCGAGCCTGCTGTGAACGTGTTGAATCCATTTTTGGGCTGACTGCCCAATGGTATGCGCAGCTTGCCGACGAAGAGAAGGTTTCCTGAATGCGGAAGTGGCGTTGGGTGTCCGTCCGTTCCTTCGTCCGTTCCTTCGTCCGTTTTACTCCTTTTCTATTACCAACCGGGGCATTAACAACCAAGGTGGGGCCCTGGCAGCACGCTAAACCCCTATCAGATCCAACCACGCTAGCTGTCTCTCGGATGCAGAAGTCTCTGACTGGCTGAGAGTCCAGCTTGAACCCTCTCTATAACCGATCTTCACACGATGGCATCAGACGGGCCGTCACTACATCCCAGAAAATGAGAAGCTGGATGACGGTCTGATTCTATAAGAGGAGGGCTGGCTGTCCCTCGACAGTCTGAGAAATCCCGAAACTTCATGTCAAGCTCAAGACTCCATCAAATGGCAACCCACCTCGCCGCCGTCCTCCCGACCAAAGGCCAACCCTTCGAGGTCCAAGCCCGGCTCGCCCCAAAGCCCGGCCCAGGCGAGCTTCTCATCGCCGTCAAGTCCGTAGCTCTGAACCCGGCCGACCACATCATGCGCAGCACGGGTCTCTTCATACCCACGTACCCCACTATCACCGGGTTCGACATCGCGGGCCTCGTTCTCGAGGTCGGCGACGACGTTCCCACCGATCATGGTCCGGGCCCGCGCTTCCTACCCGGCATCACGCGCATCGCCGCCTACGCCGCATCCGTCTGGCGGTCCTGCGATCCGGACTACGGCGCGTTCCAGGAGCGGTGCCTCGTGCCCTGGCAGCATGCCGTGCCCCTTCCCGACAACGGCGTTTCTATCTCGTGGAACCAGGCGGCGACCCTGCCCGCGGCCGTCCAGACGCCGCTCTGCGCGTGGGATGCCATGGGGATCCCCCGGATGGGCGAAGGCGCTGCTTCTCGTGACATAGGAAAAAGAGAAGCACTCTTGATCTGGGGCGCCTCCTCCAGCGTGGGCACAATGGGTGTACAGACGGCCCGATTGCTGCGCGACGACCCCACCTCTGCCTTCGCGGCCGTGTATGCCACGGCCGGAGCGGCGAACAAGAGCTATGTGGGTTCACTAGGCGCGGACCGCGTGTTCGACTACAAGGACCCGCAAGTAGTGAACGCCATTGTCTCAGCGGCCCGGAGCGACGGGCTCGTGATCCGGCATTGCTTCCTGGCTACCGGGCAGCTGGCGCTGTGCCAGGCTGTGCTCAAGACTTTCGTCGGAGACCAGGAAGGAGGGGCGCAGATGGAGACGGCGAAGATCGGGTCGGCACCCCCGGTCCCTGCGGATGCCGAGGTCGTGAGCGGGGTGGAGACGATCATGGTAATGCCGCCGATGGTGGAAGAGGAAAGGCTGCGGCAGTTCCAGTATTGGCTCGGGACGCACCTGAGGGATAATCTGGCCAAGGGGACTATCAGGCCGAGTCCGGAACCAAAGGTTGTGGGGAAGGGGGTGGAGGCTATCAATGATGGCCTGGATTTGCTGCTCCACGGTGTGAGCTGTACGAAGTTGGTGGTTGAACTTGCGGAGTGAGAGTTTCTTGGGCGTCGGCACGGGGCATAGAACACTGGGTTAGCATAGATGAGTAGAATGAGGCGTTCAACAACACTGTCTTGAGCACGTCGACACTTTTCGGGTCGAGTAGCTTGACATCTAGGGCCTTTGCTGCACGTCAATTGGACCCTGAGCGTCACACTCAGAGTTGCATCTCGGTCATTGATTACTTTGGGAGGGGACGTTCGGTTCACGAGGATACCATACCGAGGACTGACGAGTCTGACCTACCGGTCATACCAACACTAGCCCCATCAGCCCAACACGAAAGCTCGTCTAGCGTAACATGCGTCAAGTTCTAACCGCCAGCAAGCAACCAGTACACAATGGAGCGTAAGCATGCAGCCGGAGAGACGTAGTGGTAAGGGTCACGGGGTTGGTTATTTCTTGGCGAGGATATCTGTACCCGAGAGCGGATGCATATACCCAGGCGGGCGATTCGAGCAAAGAGAAGTGTGCATCGTGAGGAATTATGCGGGAGCCAGGAGTCGGGAGCCAAGGAGTCGTGGAAGTCTGCATTCATGTCAATCGTGTAGTTTTCGGTCGATACTAAGCATCATGCTAGAGTAGTATATCCGATGACCTAGTTTCGCTTTTGCGTCATCAGTTCGCTTGCATGTACACATAAAGAAGACCGACGTGGGGCCGGCCGAGACGGGTCACGAACAGTGGACGGCGACGTGGTTGCAGTTCACCTTTCGTGTAGTTGGCGACAATATCGCTTCACAGCGGGTATAACATGACGCAGCTGCCACGTATAGGCCACATGACTTATTATTACCTTAGCACGCCGTTGTCTGTTATGTGAGGTTGCATGCTTCCAGTCCGAAAGGCCGTATGGTCGTTGATTGGCTATGGGATACCAGGTGCAGAGTCAGGCGGATGTCATCAAGACGTTCGTGCCAATGTCAGGACTGCAAGTGAGATTGCAGACATACTTCCGCCATATCAACGCAGCAGACTCTGGCAGATGTTACAGAACTCCGATTGCACCAACCAGACACAAATTGAGAGATTGTGATGTCATCAGCGCCGCCTTCATATTCTCCGCTATGGTGGCGTAAAAGGCCACCGGGGGACCTCACCCATTGTCCTACCCTTTTTTCTAAGAAAAATCGTACCATTCGCAGCCTCGTCCATACCATTCATCCACCGTTAACTTATCATCTGGGGATATTCCAGCTCGAATATTCTCTACTGAACCCCGCCAGTCAATGATGTCACCTCGACCTCCAAGCGCTATGTCGCGCGAGAAATCAACCGCCCGCAGCCTCGCCTTATACTGGCAAGCCCAACGCCAGACGCCATTGCAACCGAAGGAGACCCATCGCGGAGGAAATTCGAGATCACGGACGAGAAAGGGCGCCAAGTGCGCATCATGCGAGATTTTGCGCTGATTTCGCAATGTAGTTCTGGATGAGAGCACTATCACATGACCCGTGTGCGAGAATCGCATGCTTCAGTCCCAGCACCTCCTCTTTCAGCAGCCCAACATGAGCATGGAGACACTTGTTCTCCTGGGCGAGTTCCCTTTCGCGCAGCTGCAGTTGCTCAACGTTGGCCTTCTGTTTCCGTCGGCACTTGTGCGCGGCGATCCGGTTGCGTTCGCGATGGTCGGCTGGGTTGTCAGTTGACTTCCGTCTCGCAGCAGGAACGTCGTCTGGTGTGGTCGAAGGACTCTCTCTCTTGGTTGGTGCCCTCATCTCTGCGCTCGGGGAATCAGGGCCGGGAGCAGTTACCACTGCGCCGGTTATATCAAAGTTTGGGTACGCGTAAAGCTGATGCGGCGATATGAGGTCCGTGGCGCTGGCGTCAGGAGGGTCATCCCAACCTGCGCTTCTGGGCATATCTGACGCTTGAGCATCAGTGGCGACATTCTGATTTGGGAAGAAATTGATGAAGCTGGTCATGCGACTCTGACTTATCAGGGGTGTAGGGATAGAGCTTACAAAAGTTGAGTTCGTCGCGGACGATGTCTTGGGTGAGGTCAGGTTTGATACTGTCCTCCGACAAAGCCGGATCAATGTAGAGGATGCCAGGGGTGGTGGCAGAGTCTGAGGGTATCGAGTCGACGGGACTGAAGAGGGTTGAGGTTGTGCTCGGCGACTCGAAGTCTTCAGGATGGGCGTCGATCGTCATGCTCATCGTCATGGATATGGTGTTGGTGTTGGTGGGTTTTACGCGATGACGGTCTCGTCGGGTCTGGGTTTGTGCGAGGCTCAGGCGGTGGGGTGGTGTCATAACGGTCCGGGACGAACTTGTTGCAGTTCCTGGCTAGGCGCACAGCCCGGGCGGTGCGGGGAGCTCTGATAAGCAGCCGTCGCTGCCTCGATGATGCAATTGAGCGGTCTTCCTCTGCTTGGATCGTGGCTGAGAGGCTCGCCCAAGCAGTGCTGGCAGTGCCTTGTTACTATGAAGGGTACGCGTCCAGAGTTGAGGATATGAGCGAAGATGGCAATGTTGATGCGAAGTCTGAGAGGAAGAAGCGGACAGAGGTGGACGAAAGACGAAACACGGTTTGTTGTTTGCGACGCCACTGCCGCCAAAGACGAAAGACTTGCAAAAAGCTCCGGGGTCTCGGAAATGTTGTTATCGAGGATATTCACGTTCGGTATACGATTGCAGCGTAGGTAGTGAGGGGCGGTGGTTGGTCGCATGCAAGTCGAAAGCGGCGAAGGGGCGAAGGACTGTGTGATGCGGGGCACGTCCGCTTCACTTGTGGAATGAGTGGAATGAGCTCTGGTGGCGAATTGTGTCCGTATAGCACGCGGAGACACGGCGATATCGAGATCTCGAAGTTGAAGTGGTATACGTCGGCAGGTAAGGTGAGGTAGGTTTATTGCTTCAAGCACTTCTACATGCTCTTCAGCTGCGCTGCTGCTACACAGACATGACTGACTGGACTGTTGATAATCAATCCATATGACCATGTCAGGCAGCTGTGAACTGTCGCTGTGCTGCCGCGTGGGGTACGGAATGGTGTGTTGCTAAGGCTAGCATGGGATTGTTGGTCGACACTGATCACCGATGGGATTCTTGGAACAGCGACCGGAGAGTTTAGGCGGTGACGACTACATGTGTTGCAATTGGGCCGGCTTGCAAATGCCAAACCTTCAATTGCAGAATAAACCCAACAATTCGATTCAAACGCGACGTCCAGCCAGTGTGTGGTCGAAACCACACCATCTATGTCCCTGGCCGGAGCATCTGGTCCGGGGCACGGGCTGCACCCAGATAGCCAGACAGCCAAAACAGCCGACCGCCACAAGATCGCGATGGCTTCTGATAGCAAGCTGGCAAGCCTGCACCGAACATATGAATCAGATCTGGATTTATATCAAGGCCGCTCATGAGCTTACGTCACAGTACAGATAAACACGTCGGCGATATGACCATCGGCTATAAGATCAGAGGCACTGCGGGACCAGAGCGTTGCCGTGATTGGCCAAGGTCTCTCATCCAATCAGAAGGTCCGGAATGCAGTCCGTGAAGTCTTACAGCCAATCAACTTTCCGGAGCATGGTCCGCGCAACGTCTCACAATGGGCAGCCCCCCGGCCACTCACTGCGTACATTGATTTTATCCCTTTGCCGTCACGGGTGCATAGACCCTGTAGTCCCACTGGTGCCGAAATGGGCGGCAAAGGGATGGTTGGCCACCCTTGCCATGCCACTGCCGCCGGCTACTTTGTAGATCAGTCCAGTCACGCCAGCTACCAACAAGTACCTCAAGCACATTGGGTATGCAACTGGAATGCTGCTGCCGGGCACTTGCGGTAGCTGTTTGCAAGCCGCACGACACGCGCCCGGGAGACACAGTTGAAGCCGCAATCCTTCATGTTGGTAACACGGATCTTCCAACGCGCCAGTTACCCACTTTGGGCCGCCAACGATACCGCAAATTTCGATTCAGCGTGCCCACGTACTTCAAGCGTCGTGGGGCTTTTGCTCGACTGCGTATCCAAAACTCAATTCGGTCCGTTGTTGCTATACTTAGGTATTTAGATCTTCAGGCCATCTTATTTCTTGATTAACACTGAACGTCAGAAACACAATAGGAGCGTTCACTCCACCTGCCGAGCGGGAGCAGTGCTCTGCTCGTCGCGATCCGATCTTCCCGTTGCTTCATTTATTAGCATCGCTCCCTCCCCGCCGTGCAAATTCCCAGCCTCCCTGGGACACCTTTGACACCTCGGCATGTCCACTATTAGCAGTTACGTCACTACGAGCAGGGCCTATCAAGAGTTCAAACTTCGAATCGGGATAGCTATCAGCGACGAATTAGATCCTGCACCTGAGGACATCGACAGAAAAGGGGATGATACTGACCTATTGCCTTGTACATACGAGCGAGGAAGCCGCCGTCTCCGCTGCAGCCCTCCCCGATCGAAGCCCTGTACGATATTTCCGTCGACTCGAATTTGGAGGAGGCGCACAACAATCGCATATAATGATACAGGGGTACCAAGACCAGCGAGACCTGCAGAACCAATTGTTACAACTCAACCAGGTTATGGCGTGACGTCGGAGGATTTGGTCCAAGTCCTGCACGTTATCCTGACCGGACAAAACGACCCGTTGAAACCACCGCAAACGGTTATACCGCCATCAAATCAAAACACGGTGGTCAAGCATGGGCTTGAACGGGATCTACATACACACGTCATGACTCAAGTAAGGTTATGGCAGTAGGTATGTTATTCGTCGCCCATGACTCGTGTCATCTTGCAGCGCATCAGCGCAACCCACGACCGTGCATTGGAACATGAGACCACGCGGGGCCTGAAGAACAGATTCAAATTTTGGCTTTCTCAGCTAGGCATAGAATAGGACCATCCTGGGGCAAACACGCCTCTAGTAAGCATAGCAATGCCTCTCAGACGGGTCAGCGGACCACCACTGTGTTTATGTTGGGTGGGCATTGCCAGTGGAAGAACTTCGAGTTCGTATTCTTGACTATATTGATATGAGGGTTATGCTTACCATGCAAATTTCACAGTGTAATCACATCATGACTATAAAGTCTCGCATCCCTTTCAGAGACTACGTTTCTTGAGCGGGGAAGAACATGCAGTGCACTATTACATGTATGCTGACACCTAAGTCTCGCTGCGTAGATGTTCATCGAGACAGGGGCTATGCTCCAGCCACAGATAGGGCGCTGTGCCGCGTTGCCCTTGGGATCGAACCACCCCTCCCCCTGAACACATGAACACACCATCGGAACTGACAGCAGCTGGACATAGCGGCACCACCCATGAACTCTGGGCAATCATGTAAGGGCACTGAGCTCATGAGTCTGTAGTCAGCAGTTAAGAGGAATGCTGGCAGAGGTAGGAAAGTTTCAGACACGCTTGCACTGTCGTGGTGATATGTTGGGAGTTAAGTCGTGATGCGCACCAAAAGAGCTCCTCATTAGATATGATGCGAAGTGCGAAGCATGATAGATATGTTGGCCTCGATGTAGTGGGCGTGACTGCTTGTTTTGTTTGTTTGTTTTGTTTTGTATTTAACGTGGGGGGTAGCTCCTCAGTAGTGCAAACCACGCCTCCCAGAGCCATTGCATCGCAAGGTTGTAGAGGTGTCAAATTAGATACATTCAGATCCGCGCACGAGCCTATCCTCGCTGTAGCGGTACCAATCTGGAGTGTTCAGATGGTTTTAGTCAATACCCAAGCACGATTCCGTCAGAAAAACCTCCTATCTAGTGACAAAGCGACCCAGTGAACCTCAGTTCTCTGGTGTACATATCGTTCCAGTAGCCGTTCGATATATGTCGCATTGGTGGGTGGAGTAGGTGTTTGTTATCTGCTGGCGAGGGAAACCACAAGGGGGAAAACCTCGCAGGAGTGGGTATTGTGGAGACAAGCTGCTTGGCTATCGGGCTCTGCGATAAAATGGGGCCTCTCCACTGTCGTGTGCTGGTTATCGACTCGCACAAGCCGGGTCAGAAAGGGGGCCATAGCAGGATTCGAACCCACTTGTTCTCGTCGCCCACCGCACAAACGAGAACACAACCAGGCGCATTTGACCATTGCGCCATACGGCCGGGGCGTGACTGCTTAGATCGCGCAGTTGGTAGATACAGACCATATTACCTTCCATGCCTGGATGGAGAGTAAAAAGAGAATAGTATTTGGGGTATTGGACCCGTTGGGCTCGTGTGCCTCTGGTGGGAATCTTGACCAACGAAATTCAACTGAAATCTTGCGTGTTGGTCTTGTACCGCACTTTTTGCTTCGACAAAATGGAGGGAGGACTGGCGATAATTCCACTACTAAGCTTCAGGGGACCATATAATCCCTAGAAGTTTCCTGTCGCAAGGTGAATACGTTTCTTAGTTGACTCTTGAAGAAGGTGGTCGAGGAAGCAAAAAAACAAAAAAAAACAAATTTTTTTTTAAGCTGTTCGACCGGAAGGGAGGAGCTGAACCCAATTACCCCAAAAGACAACAAAAAGCAGAGCCCCCGTGCTGTACATCTCCCGCCTACGAATCATACGCCAAACCTCAGACTCCGTACGTTACGGCCCATGTTGCCAGAGAAGGGAGAAATGTGGTTCATGCGTCACTTGAGAGACGGCATCTTTGTTCCCCTTCGCAGTGGCTTAATACTGGTACTCTTTACTACCTAGTTACTACACAGCCCATGTACATATACACCCAAGACTTCGCAACTGCAAGATTATGCATTGGCATCGAGTGCCGCCAGGAAGCCCCAATGATATCGCCAGGAGCACCTCTAGCATTCCTTGTCCCCAACCTGGTGATCCAATCACATGATTCCGCTCTGGTATACCATCCCAGAATCCTCCACTATGATCATCGCCCTACCCTTATCAGTAGGTAGTTACAAGAAACGGAGTTTCCATGCAGCGTTTCTGCTTGAAACAGATCCGTGGGATGATGCTGATGAGGGACGTGACAACGTTCGTTGATCATAAGCACCGTCCACCTGAGCCAAAGGCGACGCATTGCGCGGCGAATACAGCATAGTCTGTCCACCTGAGCGAGGGGCCGACGCATTGAGCGGCAAATGCATTAAAGTCTCTCGAAGAAAACGAGAGTTGTCGAGATGTTCCGCCACCACGATGTCCGTACCCGCGGCCCCGCGTGGGGCTCTGCGCGAAGGGTCGAGGCGTATAGCCAACCGATTTCACACCTGGACTCCGTCGATCGTCGAGAGACTGCTCCGTTGAGCGCTGTTGGTGGTTGGTCGACTTCTCGTTGAAACCAGGGCGTTCGTGTCTCATCATGGGCCATTTGGTGGGCAGGAAATCGCCGGGCTCGATGCCCTGTGCCGGGTACGGAAGTTCCTTCTGGATCTCCTCCCACTCGATCGCCACGTATCCGCTCCCCCAGACGTTTTTCATCTCGCTATCCATGCAGTGGGGGACGATCTGGGGTAGGAAGCATTGCCACTGTCGCATTGCGGACCAGATCCAGAACCGGCGGCCTGTTCGCTTGTACCATGGGGTGGACTCACCGAAGTCGCTTGAGAGTCGGTATCGAGTGACGCCGCTCTTCTCCAGCTGGTCCAGCCACACGTTCAGAGTAGCCGGGTACTTGACGTCGCTTCTGACACAGAAAGCATAACCCTCGAAGTGCGTGACGCTTCCTTCATACGTGTAGAGAACTTTCTTCGGCGGAAACGGTCGGCAGATTGTGATGGTGTTTCCGTTTGAGTCGGCCTTCTTCAGCTCCACGGAGACGAACTTGTGCTTTGAGAGCTCGAGCAGCAAGATCCATTTGTTTCGCTTCGCTTTGACGCCGCGAGAATTCATTGCTCGCTCACATGCAACGAGCCACAGTGCTACCACGTCGCTAGTTAGCAGTGAAAGCCATTGCTGGGACTCGGTCGGCTTTCCCAGTTCGTGGGTGAGGAAGATGGTCGGGACATAGTTGGTCTCCTCTCCGATGGCGAGGATCTCGGTAGCGCCCATGCGATGAGCTTCAGTAGGCGCCATTTTGTGAAGCAAATCAAGATGAGAGTGAATGATCAGTTCGTAATGAGCGGGCGAGGAAAGGTTGGGAGTTTTGGTTGGTAGCTTACAATCAGGTTGCTTGTGTATTGTTTGGGCAGTGGCCGCAGGACATCAGGGCTGCTGAGGTGACAGGTGTTGCTAAGGTGATAGGTTTCAGGCATTTCTTCGGCACAGTATTTATACTACAATAGAAATGCCCGGGTGAATGGTCTGTAAATCAAGGTGACGTGTTCTGACCAGGCTTTTCTCAGGATCTGGTCACCTGAGGAGACGGGACGAGGATGACTTATCCCTCGTAGTGCAGCACAATCATGTCGCCGCTGGGGCCACATGCTGGTGTGCGTTTTCTGCAGCACGGTTTGGTATAGAAGATTGTGGGCCTGAATCACTAAAATGTTCACCCGTCTCGCTAATAATTGTCTGTGCTGTTCAAGGCACCAACTGTCTGACCCCTTTGTACGTAGGTACCTAAGGCAGAAAACGAAGGGTGCATGGAAACGAAGCTTCTTCGAAGAGAAGGAAGCGACTCGGCCGTTCTTATGATGTCTGATAATACGAATAGGAACTAAGCGGTTACGGGTTCCAGGAATGACAGTCTGCTCGGTTGTTCTGCCTACTTTAGGCAACCTTCCAGAGACGATATTAATGAGCAGGCCAAACTATAGGTCAACTGCAGTGCCCCATCCAGGCATACCAAGTCATGTTCGATGCTGCGGGACAGAAAGAAAAGCGTATCAGAGGGCATGCGCTGATCTAGACGAGACAATGATACTCTATCAATTTCGCCTCAGAAGTGGGTGGCAGAGCCTCAGTCATTCATGTGTGACTCCAGAACAGTTTGCAAGAAAACGACAGTTCAATGTTGCCCGTCCAAGTGTGACATCACTAGCACCTAGGCAAGACCCTATTTCGATGAGTCCGCAACTTCCAGCCTCCGGTGAGAGCATGTTGAAAGTGGAGTCTATTCGACTTGTGATGCCTGTGTGGGTATAGAGCTGTAACTACCTCCTATACTGCCGATTCCGTTTACGGGTTCATTGTATTGATTGAATATGATTTTCAGGCGATGGTACCAGTTACTGCTGAATCAACACCTATGAAGAGCACATGAGTTCCTTGAAGAGGTTTGTGCCCCTTCGAATTCGTTGAAGTTATCAGTCGGCATTGGCATTGCATGACAGATATGAAGGAGGTCGAATTCCTCTTGAGAATGCACAGTTTAGCATCCAAACTTGAGTTTCTGACTCAAGATCTCACTTGAGAGAGAGCGTCTTTTGAACGGGCGCAGACTCCTATCATTTGAAATTGGAGACTATATCCTAGTTGCATGAATAAGCTGATACCTGCGAAGACGTCACTACTCCTGCAAGGATCCATCACGACCCCGCCGTCACGAACCACCAAACCCCATCCGCCACGGTCCCATCAACTTCTCACGCGATCCAAACCCGAATTCTCAATGGCGCCATACACCCCAAATGCCAGCGAACTGCCCCATCTCCGCCGCTGCGTATCCCTCGCCGCCGAGGCCCTCACAGCAGGCGACGCACCCTTCGGCTCAGTACTAGTCGACGGCACCGGCTCCGCACGCCAAGAAGAGCGCAACCGCATCACGACAGCCAACGACCAGACCCGCCACCCCGAGTTCGACCTCGCGCGCTGGGCCGCGGCCAACATGACCGCCGTCGAGCGTGCCGGGTCCACCGTCTATACCTCCGGCGAGCACTGTCCGATGTGCGCGGCGGCGCACGCGTGGGTGGGGCTGGGCCGCATCGTGTACGTCGCATCGGCGGCCCAGCTTGTGGCCTGGCAGTCCGAGTGGGGCGTCGAGAGCTCGCCTGTCGCGCCGCTGTCGGTCGGGCAAGTTGCTCCTGGGGTCGTGGTTGAGGGGCCTGTTGAGGAGCTTGAGGCGGAGATCAGGGGGTTGCATCAGAGGCTGGTTGGGGTCTGACTGTTGGTGGATGAGCGAGCCTACCGCTCAGATGGGTATGAAGATGTGGTGTGCTTGGGTTCATTAGGGGCTCGGGCAGGCCTGAAATTCCAACATGTCTTCTAATGGAGTGGATTGTATATAGCAGCGCAAGCCAGCACGTGCAAGCTCACGTGCACACACCAATAGGGGCTACTCGCCTGTGTAGTAGCTAGGAACTATAACGGTAGTTACGACGTGCTGCCGGGACCTATGTGTAACGTTTAGATTTTCATATGTTGCCTAACAAGCTTCGGCGGCGTAAGAGGTAGTCTGATAAGGACCTTATGGTCAAACAGGCAAGGGCTTCGGCAGTTCCTCAGTCAGCTGAGTGGTCGCCGAGCGAGACTTTCGGAAGACCACACTCGTCTCTTCCAGTAGAACTAGCGAAAAGACCACTGGTGTCTTACCAGAGCTGAAACAAAAAAGAACTTTCGGGATTCGCGCGGAGGGCATTTCAAGTCGTCCAACAAGGAATGTCTAGAAGTACTCGAGTTTTCCCGGCCTATGTCTAACACAAACCTCTAGTGACAACAATAACATACAACCAGACATCGAACACGCCTCTTCGTTAACGAACGCTAAAAAAGCACTGCATACCTCATACAATGTCTCAAGACAACGAAGACAATGGCCCAACGTGCCCCAAATCGCACTCAAAGCCGCCCGCGTATACTGGGGATCTTGAACAGGCACGACCCGAACTGAAACCACGACATTACGCAGCTCGTGATCTTCTCAACCACACAGTTGGAAGCTTCCACGAGTTATCGGACCGCAAACTATCCCACATTCAGCTCGAGGCAAAGAAGAAATTCCTCAAGGCGTACAAGTCCCATGCCAGACTGACTACGTCAAAACTGCATCAGAAGAATTTGCTCCGCATACTGAACGACTTGATGGCGCACATCGATGACTTCTTCTTCTTTGGCGCACTTAGAAAGAGCTCTACTGCTTCAGTCAGGCTGACAATATCGCTAACGGGCGCGTACCCGGGTCTCGTGGGGTACTGCGAGTACCTGAATGACGAGAATGGCATTCCGCAGAGCCACATAACAATCGCACGCAGATATGAGGGCAGTCTTCGAAACCTCCCCCAGCTGGTCATTACACTGCTTCATGAAATGATTCATGCATTTCTGTGGTCGTATGCTCGCCGAATTGACAAATGCCTTCGTAATATCGTCAACACTGTGGGTGCCGATGGCAGCCTGCATGGTCCGACTTTTGGAGCCTTTGACTTCGCTACCATGAACTGCATATCTCAATGGGACAGTCAGCTGGACGAGTACCTCACCAAAGAAAATTTTGGGAAGTTCGTCGGATTCCTTGACCAACCAGCTCTTGCTCGGGAAGTGGAAGAGCCGGAAGCTGCCAAGGCAAGAGGCGAATTGACTGGATATCGCCCGTTGATCAAGAAAGCCAGCCGCCGTCATTTGATACAAATTACAGATGAAAAGGTCTACATTGACACCTAGCGACTCAGAGCTCATGTCAAGACATACTCAGCAAAGCCCAAGAATACGGTTACTGCCCGGAGGAAAGCGGCGAAGTCAGCGCCAGGAGGAAAGAAGCCTGCCAAGGAGAAAATACCTGAGCCTCCAACTGACGAATCGTCGTCTGGCTGGGACGATGAGATGCCAAAGCCCTCGAAAGACGTGAAGGTCTTTTGTTTCAGTGAGGCAGCCATGGCTGAGATGAAGAATTGCGGATGCGGCAATGTTGATCAAGACGAGACGACATCTTGATGCTCAAGTATTGGGGGAGGCTTGAGAGGCGTTGGTCCAAAGAGCGCACCTGTTTTACATAGAAAGATATAATATGTAACAATAGGTTACTTGTTTTCTGACACTCGAGCATCATGCAATTTGCGAGTACTAACGAACTAGAATCTGGCGACCGCAACGCCCAGTTTCAAGCCAGCTAGATGATAGGAGAACTGACATGATATTCAACAAATTGATTAGGAGTTAAACCGAGTATGTGACAGTTTCTCGACTTGCGTAGAAGTCTTGCTACATCTGGAAATTGGGTGTATAACAAGCAACGTTGCCGCCAAGGACTAGAAGTGCTATGACTTTGATGTAATTGCCGAATTGCACTCCACTATGAACCAGAGGCAAGCGATGACAAACTTGGAATGAGCTATGCAATACAGTTTGTGCTGTTTCAAGTTCGCTCACTGCACGACTTCAGTAGGTAAGCTTGTGCCTTGTGGTAGCGGTATCCAGAATAAGGACCAGGGTCACGATAGGTGGCTATTGGTCTGTATTCTGGAGGTTGCTTGATTGAAAGAAGGGATGGGTGGTGTCCCCATCCCAGAAGTAGCTATCATCCCAGTTGGGTACGAATGTGGTACAAACGGGTACCAGTTGGGCTCCAGGGTACAAGTACTCTGGTCCGTGACCCATCCGTCATTGTGGCTGGAAAATGGGTTGAGGAGCCACAAGCTAGGCAGCTACAATACCTCCTAACGGCAAAGCTGCATAGCTAGGCCCGGTCACCTAATACCACTGCCCTTAAATTCTAATAAAAGTAACGAATTCCATGTCTTGGTTAGTGTACGATCCGTTTACCACGGTGTGCTGCTATAAAAATTCACTGTCGCCATTAGATGAGATATTACTCTACAGATCGAGCAAAAACGGACGGGAACCAAAAAACATAGATTGATCAGAGTGGGACTCGAACCCACGCGGATTGCTCCACTGCGATATTATCCAAACTCAGGTAACCTGAACGCAGCGCCATAACCACTCGGCCATCTGACCGATGATATTTTCCATTTTGTCAACATTTAGAATCCCCTAGGGGGTTCACTGGTCGCTCCTTCCGTCTCAGTGATCGCACCTTCCCCAGCGATTCAGGGCTTGATTGATCAAGGGCGACCGCCGGCCCCACATGACGGCTATTGTGGCCGGACGCCTTCATCAATCCTTCTACCAAACCCGAACCATCATGAGCCGGGCACACGGTCACAGCCCGGAATTTGTCCCGAATCCATTCATCAAGAAGCGGAACCTAGAATGGAGCATCGAGATTACCGGCTCCCACCACGACGCCGTCGGAACCAGTAGCTCCGATGAGTGTGAAGACGAACCGCCTGCGGGCGATGAGAAGAAACCCACGTCATCCGCGGTTGAGGCCGGGAACGCCAAGGTCGATGATCATCTAGGCTACTTCAGCGACCTGCTGAGCAGAACGACACTTTCGCCGTATCCGGCGGGCACGCCTCATCTGCCCGTTGATGGGTACAGGAGATTATACGAATCAAACGCGGGCAACCCCAAGGGCGCGCACTTCATTATCCATCAGCACGACCATCCCATCGCGGGCACGCACTACGATCTCCGCCTGCAGGTCAACGAGACCAGCAGCGCATCATGGGCCATCATGTACGGGCTGCCCGGGGATCCAAACAGCGTACGACTGAACCGGAACGCGACCGAGACGAGGATTCACTGTCTATGGGTATCTTACACACCTCAACCACGCATTCATCGACCGCATCGCCACTAACTCATTCCACCAGAACCACCTCATAGAAACAGCCTCCCACAACACGGGCTCCCTGCTAATCTGGGACACCGGCACCTACAGCATCCTACCATCCCAACAGGACTCCCGCACGGCAAACTCGCAATCGGCACCTGATTCTGATTCGGACGCGGACGCGTCGCCACAGCTCACCGAGCAGGAGAAGCTGCACCGCGCCTTCAACGCGCGCAAGATCCGGCTGCGGCTGCACGGGACGCGTCTGCCGCCGAATTACGTGCTGAATCTGCGTCTGACCCGCGGCGAGGATGCGACCGGGCGCGCGCGGAGCGCGAACTCGCGGACGGGGCAGAAGAGGCGGCGGAGGCGGGTTGGGCCGGATCCCAGTTCCAAGGGCAAGTCGAAAGGCAAGAAGACCCGCGAGCCGGCCACCTCGTCGGACTCTGAGCCCCCGGACTACGACCACCCTAAGTCTGGTCATCCTTCATCCTCCTCCAAGCCTGGCTCAATTCCCGGACAGGAAGCTGGCAACGACGACGGCGCCGTCGGCGAAGACGAGGCAGAGATCGTCAATGCCCCGGCAGAGGCGGACCAGGAGGGCGTGTCGGCCATGGAGCGCGAGGACGAGGAGGTGCGCCGCACGAATGCGTACACGGGGGCCACGAACTCGATCGGCAGCGTGCACCAGCGGCGGTGGTACCTGTCGCTGGACCGTGAAGCGTGCGGGTTCGTGAAACTGCGGCGGGAGGGGCGGATCGTCTGGGAGCCGGGAGCGGGAGTCGGCTCGGGCGGTTCTACAGCAGGTCTTGACTCGGTGGAGAGGAAAGAGGGAGGTGATGGGGGGAGGCTGAGCTTCCCGTTCTACGTGAGAGGCGCGGAGGCCGAGCGGAGTGTGGTGACTGGACGCTTAGGTGCTGAGGTCCTCAGGGATGAGGGCGTCGTGGGGTATGTTGGGCGCAAGGGGTGGCAGCCGGTCTTGAAGTGAGAGGGCTGTTATCCGGTTCATCTGATGGTATCTAGGTATACATATAGACCTACCTCTGCGCAATTCTCTGGATTGAGAAAAGGACCGCTGTCGATGGCCCAAGTCGATAAGCCTGTACCATCTTTCCCTGCTGAACAGATGAACGTCTTTACCGCATGCAAGTATGGTCACGCCGAGGCTCAGACATCATGCTTGATGAAGGTATAAATTAGAACAGTCTGGTGATCCCATCCCGGTATGCCATTAAAGCTGCAAGCCAACTGCCCTGAGGTATCTTCATTTGGTCATGGGCCGCGACGAAATCAAGGAGAAGGAAAACACCAATGCAGTCATGCAGTTCGTCAGTCGCCCTCGTCAACGCCGAGTCGTCATGTCCGTAGCTCTGTCTCTTCCACATTACGTATCGAGCCTTCACTGCCCAACCCTCGTCATTTAGCCGGCGCGCGACGAGCTGTTCCAGCGCAAGTCTCCCTCTCCCTTTCGTCAACCTCCTCATCGAAAACATCCGCCTCATTGATACCGCATGGGCGCCTGTCCCTGCGGCGGCGGCGGCGACCCTCCGCCCCAGCCTGCCGGCGGTGCTCCAGCCTGATTCGGTGGCGGGTTATGGTTCTGCATCGGCACGTTGTTACTGCCACCGCCGTGCTTCATGCCCTGGACATCGGGTCGGTTCTCGAGCGGTTGCGCAAAGTTGCAGACGGTGCAGGTGATGTCTTGGTAGCCGTGGATGGAGAGTGGGAGGATGGGCTATTTGGCGCTGGTCAGCATACATGTTCATGTTCCTGACGTGGCCCTACTTGCGATTGGGGGAGGATATGCGCAAGAAAGGCAAGTGTGCGAGTAAGAGGTACTTACGACGAAGCAGAAGGTAAACCACGGGTTCGACTTGATGACGTGCCCAGAGTGGTTGCCGCAGTTGTGGCACTGGCAGGTTATGCCCTCGTAGCCCTGGATTTCCTTCTTGAACGTGTGCTCGCCGCAGGTGAATATAAGACACATCGTGGGCGGTTGTCTAAGTCTGGACTGTGGTGGTGGCGGATGTGTGTCGCGCGACTAGCGATGTAGGTAGTTCGGTCGTTCGTTCGTTCGGCGAGCTCGAATATCGTATTGTTGGGCTGCTCAGGGTCGCGATAGAAAGAGAAGAGGAGAATTACGTTGATGAAGCCGGGCTCTCATCAATGGTTGGCGGGTATTAGGTACTATTAACGCGATTGTTCGATTGTTGATTCTCGAGAGTTCGCCATCGCAGCACCTGAATGCTGCAAGTGCGCGTCACTGTGAGGCAGTGCTGAACAGCCAAGAGGCCGCTGGAAGTGGGCAGTCCTTGGCGGCGCAGCGGTCACAGTCAGACGACTTCAGACGACTTCAGACGAGTCCGCTGCAAGACCATCTGAAACGCCGCTAAATGCATTGCCCCGCAAACCTTATTTTCGACCTGCGAAAGCTCCAATGTAGCTCTGAGAAATTTCAAGAAAGTTGAGACACCATCTCTCGCCAACATTACAACGCTCGAACACATCACAGCGTCGCAAAAGAGCCATGCACATGAGGCCAAGATGCTCTACGACCTCAACATCGCCTGGTCGCCGGCAACCAGCCGCGCCGACCTCGAGCGCACGCTCAAGTTCAGCAGCACACTGGGCTACGACGTCGTGGCCCTGAACCACACCATCACTCCCCCGATACCACCACAAATCACAAACCCGCTGCCCAAGTTTACCAACGCACCTGACACGATACCTACAAGTTCCACCACGAGAACAGCAACCACATCCAACGCCTCCCTCCCCACAGTCCTCCACCGCGCAACCCTCCTCTTCGCCGACCCCTCGCGCAACCACGGCCTGCCCCAACTAGCCTCCGCCTACGACCTCCTCGCCATCCGCCCGACCACCTCCGACGCCTTCGAGAAAGCCTGTGTATCCATCACCGAAGCCAGCCTCATATCCCTAGACCTGACCACGAAGCAGCCCTTCCACTTCCGCCCCAAGCCCTGCATGGCAGCCATATCGCGCGGCGTGCGCTTCGAGGTGTGCTACGCGCAAGTCCTGTCGCCCGGCGCCGACGCCCGCGCCCGCGCCGTCTTCATCGGCAACGTGGCGCAGCTGGTGCGCGCGACGCGCGGCCGCGGCATCGTGGTCAGCAGTGAGGCGAGGAAAGTGCTGGGACTACGGGCGCCCGCCGATGTGGTCAATTTGCTGAATGTGTGGGGGCTTTCGACGGATAAGGCGCGCGAGGGGCTGGGCGCGCTGGCGCGGGGCGTGGTGGTGAACGAGGGCATACGGCGGAGCGGGTTTCGGGGCGTTGTGGATGTCGTGGGGGTTGCGGAGCGTGGGGAGGCTGATATGGCTGCGGGAGACAAGTCGAAGGACGGTGGTGGTGTTGGTGGGAATAGGAAGAGGAAGAATGGGGACGGCGACGGCGAACCGCCGCAGATGAGCAAGAGGCAGGCCAAGAAGATGAAGGCTGCGCTGAGACAAAAGGAGGCCGCGGAAAAGACACAGGATAAAGACACGGCTATGGAGACGTGATATACTCTTATGAGAGGCCGGCTTGCGTCTGGTTTCTGGCGTTTTGGGATAGACAAACGGCTGAAAGATACCCCTGAATGGAGTCACTTGCTTTGCAATACATCTGCTTGCTTACAGTAGGACTTGTGGCCGTAACTTCGAAAGTATTCCATCGACCGTCTTGTCTTCTGGGGAGATGTTATACTTTCATCTCGGGGTTTAGCTGTGAAGGACCACGTCGTAAGAGGCTTCAGTTGATCATTTAACCGACCGACCAGCTCTCGTGGAGGCCTAATGCACCAACAACTCAAGGCGTAGCATTGTTACTCGACGAGAGGTGAATTATATACACCCTGTGTAATTCCCAAGCTCGCCCCAAACCGGGTTCCCCTTTCTCACTTCCAACACACAAAGTACGAACAAGACAGAAAGTGAAAGGACAGGACCGTTGTTGCGGGAAAAGCGTGTATATACCCAGCAGCAAAACATCAATCCGTATTATACAGCCACAAAATAGGAACTCTACCAGGGGGTAATCGTCTTCTAGGTAACGCTGATTCTTGTGATTGAAATTCTTTATTCACCTTTCTCTACCAAGCTCCCTACATTGGTTCCATGATAACTCCTCTTCAATATGAGTCCCGCTTTCACTTGAACCGGATCGATCCCCGGCTTGTTTGACTAGACAATTGGCCCGAGTGTGAGAACACTGTTCAAGCTCGCACCGTCGAGGACGATCGATGGACCCTCGTTCGCGCCGACGAAGGACGTGATGGTAACCGCGAGATTCGCTGGGCTGCCGGCGTTGTTGACGATTGATGGAATAGCGTTTCCAACTGGTAGAGCGATCGAAGCCTCTGCGATGGCGGTGGTGGCGATGGTGGTCGCGGCCGACGTTGTCTCGACAGCCGTCGTAGCCTCGGTCGTGGCGGCAGTTGTTTCAGCGGTGGTGGTGTCAGCAACGCTTGTCTCGGCGGTCGTTGCGGCAGTCGTCTCGGCCGGCGCTGCAGAAGTCGCCACGGACGTTGCGGCAAGAGCAGTTGTTGAAGTATCTACTGCAGCTAAAGATGTCGCGAGGTCGATGGGGACCGCGGCTAACCCGGCGGCGGCCTGACCCCAGGACTCGGATTCACAAGCGACCTGGCACACGCACGCACCAAACTCATCCATGAAACCAGTTCCCAGGGCCACACCGCCGGGTAGACCGACAGCCGCAAGACCTCGACGATTCCGTTAGCCTGTGTACTAGCTACACAAAAGGAGGTGGGCTATCTTACCAGAACTGGTCGCTGCGGTGGTGCCTACGTCAACTGCTGGGGCAGACTCGACAGGCGAGGCCACCGCTGCTGCTGTGGTTGTTGACGTTTCGGTGACCAGCGCAGCTGTTGTCGCTGCTGAAGTCGCAGCAGCGATGGAAGAGGCGGCGGCGGCGGCAGATGCAATTGCCAACCCCTGATCGATTGGAATAGGAGTGCCAACAGTCGTTCCGCAAGCGATCAATTGCATCATGGTGGTCGTAGAGACCTGCGTTACCGTCGTAGCCAGAGGTGTGACCGTGACAGTTGCTGCCTCGCCCGTGCCAAAGACCGTCGTCGTCACGAAGGATAGTTGCTCTCTGTCGAACAAAGTCAGCCGTCACTATTTCCATCAATCGCCAGCAAGACGTAAACCTACGCAGCAGCACTGCTCGCGCCAGCGGCTGCAGCTGTTACCGTGACCGTAGCTGCACCACTCGCTGCGCCGCTCTCCACACCAGCAGCTAATTCGGTAACCGTGATCGTCGCCGCACCACTCCCTACAGCAGCAGCTGCCTCGGTGACTGTGACCGTCTGCACGAGAGCGGCCGCCGTACCGTTCAAGTCAACAGCGGCCGCGGCGCCAACCGTTATCGTCTGTCGAACCGTCTCGGTGACTGTAGTCCCTCCAGCCTGGTCTCCCCCTCCTGCTCCATCATCGTTGCCGCCAGCGCCGATAGCCCCCAGGAACGAGTCTAGCAGACCTCTCTTCACAGGTTGGTCATAGTAGTGATACGTGTTCGCCTATAGCTAGCCGGTCAGCCATACCTCACCATATCGAGTCGGTAGGCGCCACGCACCTGAACGAGCGACAGAGAGCCGAGCGCAATTACTAGAAGCCCCGAGTGATGTGCCCTCATCCTGAAGAAGGATCTTGGGCAAGTCCTCCCTCGTGATATATTATACTGGCGCGACAGCTAAGAAAACGGTAGGATATAAAATGTGGTAGTAAAAAACAGGCCAGCCGTCTTGATTAAAAGGGATCAACCCGAAAGAGAAAGTAGCGGTGGCTTAATCTATCAGGACCTTCAAAATGAGAGCATGTCGGATTGTTTCCGAGAGAATATAGAAGGTTAAGCACCTGTCAGAATCGAAGGGAGCGACGGTCTCTCGAATCAAGCCTCACACACGAAAGCAAGACGACGAACGAAAGTGGAAGCCAGAGAGAGAGAGAGAAACGGAATAGCGGAGAGGTGGAAAGATGGGGAGAGGCACGCAATGAAACTGGCGTGCTGGAGGCCGTGGCGCCAGGGCCGAGAGGCTGATGAACGATTCAGTTTGGAGATCGTTTCACCGGGGTTTTCACTTCAACTCTAGTAGCAGGCTCGGCAAGGTGGGTTCAATCATCATCGATGCATGATCATAGCAGACTGATGCAGGTCCCGGCAGTTGACAGCTCTGCTCTGCCAGCCCAAAGAGTCAAAGACCTGGCCGCGCTGATGACTCGGGCAGAGGAAGGGGCATGCCGTGCATGACTACCCATGTCCTGGATGAGGCTCGAACGAGACGAGTTGCCTTCTCGGGAGGATGTGGACGGGCTGTGCCGGGGTCGTGTTTGGTGGTGGCAAGGGTTGAGACAAGACCCTGACAGGGAGTGTTTGAGGCTGGGGCTCAAGCAGGGCACCCATCAGAACATAAAGGCACGGGGGTATAAATTTTGCTCAGGGACCGGCGACGCGTTGTCTTCATTCTTCTTGATGGCAGTTTGATAGGATCTGATGAAGGGGCCCTGATTGAATGATGTGAATGCTGTATGGATGCTAAATTGGTCCACGGCGACAATTGGATGAACATCCGACTTGGCAGAACTGTGTCTGGTCCAGTCCGGATGCTTGGTGAGCAAGGACCCAAATAGGAGAATGCGATATGCAATGAACCTCGACTGTGACCTTCCAGAATCATGCTCAACATCTCCAAGCCAACTCGGCTGGTGTTTCAGAGGTAAATCATAGAGAGCTCAAGCTCTGCGTACCTAATCGTGAAGTGCTGATTCGGGACAAATAGTCACCGGATGACTCTTCGGATGACAGGCTCGGCGCTTAAATGACAATAATTGACAATAACTCGGCAGTCTGACGAGAAGGAATGGGAATGCACGGAGACCTCTTGCTGTTTCTCGGCGGCTGCCGATGCAGCAAAGTGCTTAGCAGACCACATACCTGTCCCTGGATTATGTAAGCGCCCAGACGTCACGATAAGCTCATTATCCTAGCATTACTCTCATCAGGGGGCGACTCTTCTCACTTAGCTCTAATGTGGGCATCGAACTTGTCTCTATGTTCATCGTATGCCGCCGACGAGGCCCGTCCTCATCTCTTGTTAATAACCTGTCGAACCAGAATCACAGGAGGCGGCAATGGATGCTTCCCGTTGAAATCATGACAACAACACCTTTCATGGTGCCAAAGACTCGATTGACTGCCGAGAAAGAGAGTGTGACACGACGAGCACCCACTGACTGCCTATCTACCTTAGCTAGCTACGTGTATGTACACACCCAGCCAGCCAGGTAGACGACCAGAACCCCAACTTCCAAGCAAAACCCAGCCGAGCCACCCCTAGACGGAAACCACGCGTCGACTCTGGCGCCCGCCGCCAAGGTCCAGCGAGCTCACAACAAGCTGCATGCTCCAGCTCTCCGCCGGCGGTGCATACCCCATGCGATCATACAGCCTCAGCCCCGTCTTGGCCGCTTGCGCGCGCAGGTGTGCCTTGCTGGACTCGACCAGCGGAAGCGTCGTCTCCCGGATGATGCGCGCGACGCGCGCGTGGAACACCCCGTCGGGCCGACATCTGCCGTCCGCGGCGTGCGCGAACGCTGCCAGGCTGCTCGCGCCCGGCTGCTTGAAGTCGGCCAGGAGCGCCATGGGGCTCCGGGATATGTCGAAGGCGTCTGGGGTGGGCCAGAGCTTCTCCGACTGCAGGAAGCTGATGAAGGCGGTGCGCGTGGTGCTGCGGGACGCGTGGTCGTCTGTGTTGTCGCTCTTCTTGTCGCTCTTGCTCGGCGCGCATTGCAACCAGCTGGGCTTCTCGGTGCCGTGGAGGTGCTCCTGGATTGTGCTCTTGATGCTTGATGTGATGGAGCGCAGCATGCTGACGCGGGCGAACTTGATAGCGTCTGGGAGCGAAGAAATTAGCGATCATGTAGTTTGGCAACAACTCCCGACGGTGGCTACTTGCCCATAGCATGCGAAGGATGTCGGAAGTTCTGCTCGTCGCTTACGAAACAGACGTGCTTGGAGGGATCGATCAGGTTTCCGTGCTTATCCAAACTGCTGTACGCAGCCACCTGGAGAACCATGAAGGAATAGAGCGGCTGATGGCCCAGAACCCAGAAGATCCAGATCAGCTTCTCCAGATCGTACGTCGATTCGCCGGCACCGAACGTTCGTCCGAGCCAGTACTTCTCCATCGAGAGGACCCATTGAGCCGCCCAGGGGCGCAGCAGGTGCGTAAGGTTGTACTTCTCGGTGAGGACGGTGATGTTGTACAGCTCGTCGATGTCAGTGTCGCAGCCGAGAGGCGGCTGGTCGAACTTGCTGTAGAGGATGTTGAAGATCGTGAGCATGGCCGGCGCGTTGTCCTCGGGGACGTGTATCTCCCACTGTCCGTGCATGTCGCTGTTTTCGTTGGACTTGGCCAGCATGCCCAACCACGACGGCGAGGCCTGGCCTACCAGCTTGCCGTCAATGCGCAAGCGCATGGCATCCTCGTGGCGGTGCTTGCTGAAGTTGGGCTCGAGACATCTGTTGCGGCCCACGTGTATGAACATGTCGCCCTCGGGGTCGATGGTCGTGGTGGGGATCGGACGCGATGGATGGGGACATTCTTGGACACTGTGCTCGCGTCGTTTGATCATCATCTCCTTCATCATATCAATGAGTTCACGACCCATTGTGACGGTGCCTCCGTGGAGTGATGACCGGGGCCACAGTGGTTTCGTTGACAATTGGTATCTTGTACGGTAGCAACTGAGCCGAAAATCTCAGCAGGCGCTCTGCTACGTGGACGTAGTAGTTGGACTGGGTGATGCAGTGCAGGACTGAGGGGGCTACAGTGGTTGTGTTGGCAGGGGAATTAGCGATGTCGAAGTGGGAGAGAGATAGCTGGCCCCGTGCTGCTGTTGACACCCAATGAATAAGGTAGGTAGGGCGGCAGGTATGGTACGCGATCAGGGGAGTGTAAACAACCTGATATCACAGTTGCTAGAGGAACTCTCATACAATCAATCAAGCACCTCAGGGGCAGCATATCACCCGCCAAGACCATGCACAGCAGAGGCTGCACTCGACTTGCAGGTAGGAAACATCGTGGTCGCAAAGTAGGCAGGAATAAAACTTAATACCGCAAAAACCTCAGTCTACCATTCGACCCTCACAACGTGCCTTGTCCCGAGTTGACCCATCGACTCAACTGGCCAGCACGCCCTCGGATCGAATAGTAGACCTACGAAAAACCCGGCGTCCCGGGTTTTTACTCTGCCGCTATACCAGTTGGCCAGATGGGATGGCAAAGGGTATATATAGGGCGATGGAAGATTGAGCTGATATCACGGTACATACGGGTCTGGGGGTATTGTGGTTGCTAGGGAACTCGACCTGACCTGCTCCGCCAGCGTGATCACACTCAGGCACCAACCTAGGCACCACTCCACCTCCACAACAGAGACACAACACCACACCAAAGACACACACACACACACACACACACACACAGAACAAATCAAAAGAAACCCATCGGAGGCATCACATCCCTCAACCCCAGCTCCCCCCTCATCGCCACACACTCCCGCCTCCCACATCGCCGCACCGTCGTCGTCCGCACCGTCGGCTCGTCCCTCACGCCCAGCTCGCAAGTCCCAAACAGCCTCTCCCCAGCCTCCCACCGGACGCCTGCGCAACAGACCCTAGGCCCGGGTCTCAGCTCGCCGACCGGCTGGTCGCAGGCCGCGCACCTGGTCTCAAGCACTTTGAGGTGGCACATGTCTGTCTGTCGTCACGTCTCCTGTTCTTTACTGTTGTATGTACGATATCCTTTTCAAAGCAGCTGTCTCGAAGATGGCAATAATCTTGGTTAGGAGGAGTAAAGAACCTGGAAAGTAGAGTTGAGCGAACGGGGAGAAAGGTTGGGAGGCGCAATGGGGCGAGTATAAATAGGTCGAGCCCGGCTTGGTTGAAAGTCATGATCAGCCAAGTTGACTGATGATACCATTCACTTACCTGCCAGGTCTCGACTTCATGTCGCGAGATAGTGATGTTACAGACCGGAAATGCCACACACCATCACAGTCGCATGACTCTTCGATGAATGCATGATGCAATACCATTCACCTAGGCAGATGTGTTTGCAACAACTCGACAAATTCGATACAGGAATTTGATTAAACATGTAATATCCACAAACGCCGGTAGGCTCTGCATTCTAGCAGTTGCCTGAATCCTAACCTCCATACTATGCTCTGCCATGCCTGTGCAAAACCACAACGAGTGACGGCCTCCGAAACGGGCAGACTCATATACAAGCAAGTCCATTTCTAGGGTATTGAACAGTAGCACTTGAACTCCAAAAAAGCAATTCCACAAGCTTTGTGTGCAATTTAGTTCCATGCTTTGGAGAGCGGGCTTGCAATCTTGGGTGCAAACTGCAAGCTCTTGCGACGAGCGGCCATCAGTCGCATCATGACGCTTTGGTCCTTTTCTCGACCCAGCACGTCACGGCCGAGGTCAGCAAAGCCGCTCTGCTTCGGTGGGCACGTGCGCATGAAGAGCTCCTCGTCTTCGGGCGAGTAGTCCGCATAAGACCCGGCAGCAGGTGTCTCGGGGGTGACGTCCAGTGCGAACCTCGCAACCGTCTCCGGAGCGGGTGTCTTTGGCACGGGGGTGAGCATGCCGATATCGCTAACCCAGTCATCCTCACCAGGAGCGTCCTCGTTCTCATCACGGTCCGAGGGCGTTCGCACCCAAACAGTGCTGTCTCTTCTACTCATGTGGTTGTTGGGCACCGTCTGAGGTTCTCGCGCGGGTGCCGCATTGGTCTTCATGGGAGTGAAAAGAGTGCCGTTCATGTTGGCAAGGGCTTTGGGCTCCATGCTCTTACGGCGGTTGCGACCACCACGAGGAACCAGAGAGGTGTCGATGTAGTAGGGAGCCTCTTCTAGCCATTCGTTCTCCCGCTCACAACTGCTACAAGTTAGTAAGATGATAACACACTGGTTGTAAAGGATTGACTCACTCCAAGACCCAGCCAACACCGACACACTGTACAACGCCGCCGCTCTCTCTGACCTTCTGCATGGTCCGCTTGCCTCCGTCCTTGTACACCACGTGAGTAATACCGATCTTAGCAGTGGACGGCTCGCCGTTGGTGGGGTCGGTCGAGTTCCAAGGCCAGCTCTTGACACAGCGAGCGCCCATCTGAGTAAGCAGCTCAACAAAGACGGTGCTGGCATCCGCGCCCTCACTGGTGTGAACATCGACGAATACGACCGCGCCACGCAGCAGGCTCGTGTTGAGATCACGGCGAGGGGTACGGGCTGGTGTTCCAATAGACGACCAGATATCCGATTTGGAAGGGGTGACAGGAGGATTCTCTGTCCCCTCTTCGTGCTCATCGGCCTCCGGGTCGGATTGCTTCGTCGGTGAGTAAGAGATGACAGTGGCGTTTCTAAATACACTGGCAGGACGCTTGACTGGAAGCTTCGATGCACTCGCGCTACGTCTCTTCATGCTTCGGGGAGTGGAGTCATCCGCGGGCTTCAAGGGAACCTTGGACACGGTGTGAAATGCCTTTGGAGCAGACGGTCGCATTGGGGTTACCGGGGCGAGACTGAGACTTCGAGCACCAGCTCTAGTACCCAACAGAGCAGGGTCAATGGGAACAGCGTTCTCATCACCATATTCTTGGCTGGCTTCCGAGATGGAGTCATCGTGGGCTTCATTGTCGAGCATCTCTTCGACCGCGTTAGGCTCCAAAAGGGACATTTCGTTGGCCTCGGCAGCAAGTTCGACATCCTCATTGGTAATGGAAATGTCATCAAACTCTGGGTCCTCAAGATCTGAGTCGTCGAACCTGGCGGCAATATCCGCCTCCAGGGCTGCCTCCATTGCAGCTTGGTTCTCCATTTCGGCGCGGATGTTCATTTCGTCGTCGAAGAAACCCTTGGAAGGCGAAGCCCCGACAGCGGAAATTCCTTTATCCGAGAGCAGCGAAAAGTCGTCTTCGTTGCTGGGTGAGCCCTGTGACGGGACTGGTTCGGATTCGACCTTGCCGAGCTTCAAGGGGCTCGTGGCTTTCCACTCACTGAGCTGCATGGCGAGAGGTGTGAAGCCAAGCTTAGAGCCTTTCGAGACCGATCGAATAGCACGGTTTGCTGCCTTGACTGCACTTGAAGGCAAGCTACCTCGAGAGTTTCGGAAGCTAGCAGGTGTAGGTGTTGCAGGGACGCCAGTGAAAGTGAACGTGGTGTCCTTTTGGTGTTTAGAGGTCATTTTACCACTAGCAGCCAACTCGTCCTCAGATTCGGACATGTAGTTGTCATTCAGGTCCTTAGCTCGGAGGCCGAAGGTAGGGTGCAAGGCCCGCTTGGGGGCGGATTGAGGAGGAGTGGTCTGAGCGGGACTCGGTGAATCTTGCTCATCTGTATCGACCTCATCAACATCCATCGGGTCATCGTGCTGCTCTTCAGTTCGAGACTCAAGTTCGGCTTCAGGCTCAGCTTCAGGCTCAGCTTCAGGCTTAGCCTCGAGTTCAGTCTGGGCGACCGGCTTTTCTTGCGCCTCAGCTGGTTCGCCGACAGTCACATTTGTGCTCTCAGCCGCCGGTGCCTTGGCAGGAAACAAGTTCTTCTGCAGTGCAGGGTCGGCATGTCGGGGCAAAACCGCAGACAGACGACCAGGGAACGCAAGCTGGGTAGGAGACTTGAGTTCAACGTGGTCATCCTCCTCCTCCTTGTCGCCATCGTCCATGATAAGCTCATCGTCGGTCTCTTCGCCCGCCTGCTCGACGGGAGGTTGCTGCTGAGGCTCCTCGGTCGACGCAGTCTCTTCAACGGGAGACATCGCGCGGACTGGCTCCTCGGGCTTGTCCTCGATATGACGGACAGGTGCGCCTAGTACCTTGAAAGGCGATGCGGGGCGCTTTGCTGGCGAGTGCAAGAGAGACATCTTGAGTGGAGAGCGGTGGAGGCCGTTCTGCTCATGAGATGCCGCTTGGAATGCCTGGATGGGCACCTGGGGGCGTTTGGCGGGCGACTGAAGCATCGATGCCTTACTCGGTGACTGCGATGGCTGGCCGTCGGTCTGCGCTGAGGACAGGAACAAGGATGGAATAGCATCCGCTTTCTTCGCAGGGGACCTCATCATGTCCTTGAAGGGGGAAGCAGGGGGTCTGCGAGCTGGGCTACCAAAGACAGATGCACTGGCTGGCTCCAAGATCTGTGGCGTGTTTTCATCTCCCTCCTTGGCTGGCGGTGGGAGCTCCAGCTTTCTGGCACTGCTCGGTGGCTTGACGGGACTTCTCATCAACGGCTTGAGAGGAGTCTTCTCGTAGGTTGCAAGCTCGTCGTCCGAGCTAACATCTCTGGACAGTGGGCGGTTCGGGGCATCCTTCTTAGGGCTTAGAGGGGTCTTCACGTTCTTGTCTTCCGGTGTTGATGCTCTCGCGCTGGCGCGAGTTGTCCTGCCACCTGCAGCAGGCTTGCGAACGGGCCTGGCTCGCATACCTGTAGCAGAGGTCTCTGCGGCCTTGCCCTTTGTCTTTGCCTTGGAGGCGGCAGTGGGCTTCTGGTTCTCCTTCTCCGGTTCTTGGAACGTCACCGTCTTCTTAATGAGGCCGCCGATCCTGGACGTAGGCCTGGAGACGGCAGACTTCAGACCCGGGGTGGGCTCGGTTGAGTAGTCGGTCGTAGCGCTGACAGCTGCCGTTTTGACGTTGGATGCAGCGCGACCCCGAGTGGTCTTCTTGACTGGCTCGACTGGCGCGTCTGCATCGTGGTCCTCGGTCGCAGTCTTGCGGGTTCGCGTCCGGGTAGTCTTTGCTGGTTCTGGTTTGGGAGCTGCGGTGGCAGCAGCAATGATCTTTCTCGGTCGACCACGCGTGGGCTTGGGTGCTGTGGCCGCGGGTGGTTCTTGGACCGGAGGCTCAGGCTGGGGTTCTGGCGCCGACTCGGGCGTCTTCTTCGCTCTACCTCGCGACTTGGCAGGCTTGTGCATGGTCCCCTGCTGTTCAGACTGTCCTGATATCTCGTCGTCCTCTTCGTCGGATCTGACCTTTCGCTTCGTTGATGTGGTGCGGGCTGTTGTCGTGGTGGTGGTGGTGGTGGTTGCCGTGGTTGCCTTGGCGGTGCGCTTGGTTGCAGGGCCGGCAGCATCTTTGGTATCTTTGGTGGCAGCCAGTCTCGCAAGCGCGGCACGCGTCATGCGCGGCTTCGGGGGGCTTGTTCCTTCCATTGTAGAAGTACCAAGGCTCGAAAGAGGTGTAAGAAAAAGAAGAAGCTACCTAACGTACAGGATTGAATAGTTGTCGTGCATGGGTGCTTAGCAATGCCTCTCGTTGTTGATATCGCGGGCTGGATAGGCAGACGGGCTGGGTTGAAGAGGGAAGCATGAACGTGGGATTGGTAGGTGCGTGTGCGGTGGGAGGTGGGTGGCATTTGTTTTCATGGTCATAGCTTCTGCCCCACCGCCAAATCCCCGTGCTAGGCCGGGCTCCGGCCCTGCGCGACACCGTGCATAAGGTCGTTGGCCCGTCAACGAGCCTCGTGGCCAATGAAATCGGCTGGTTCATCCCATTGCGGCCAGCGGCGGAAAAACACGCGAGCTTCAATGTCGATGATATGAGAGCAGTAGGCAGGTATGCTATGCATAAACGCCCAGCGATCAGTAGTAATTTCAGGGCCATTGACTGGAACGTCCACCGCCATACCACTATTCTATATCATACAAATATTTTGCACGCCGCCTGATAGCCATGCCAACTCCAAAAAACCAAGTTGCCCCAATGCAATCCTCCGAAACCATCCCCCTGACCCGTCTCACAGCCCAGATATCCAACCTAGTGGAAAATCATTTTCCACTAGCTGCTAGTCTTGCCTCCAATGGTCACTTGGCTTGCTTGTCTTGAGCCTCTTCGTGTCCGTGGCTCTCTCGTTCTTTTCTCTGTCGCTCTGCGTCGAGCTCCTCCGGGGTACGCTGACCTCTATGCGGCGGCTGAGGCGACGGAGGCTGCGGATCGGCTCGCAAATTTCTCGTGTTGGCTTGCTCGGACATGATGACGATCAATGGGTTTTGGCTGGCGTTCTCAGGGTCGACCGATTACGCGCCGGTGGTGATGAAGTGATATGGACAAAGAGCTATGGGTTCTTAGGGTCGATTGATTGCGCGGTGGTGCTGATGAAGTGGTATGAACGAGTAGTTTTGGGTTTTGGCTGGTGTTCTCGGCTCGACTGACTGCACGCTGGTGATGATGGAGTGGTACGGACAAGTGTTCTGGATGTCTTGGGTTTTGGCCTTTTGTGTTGCAGAGTTACGAAGCTTGCATGGAAATGCTCAAGTGCAGGAGTGCGAAGGGGGTATTTATGGTGAGTTGGGACTACCAAAACATTACCAATTACTCCTTTTTAAGCGAAGATGACGGACAACTTGCGGGTGGCTTCAGGACATACGGGTATGCGTCATGTTGAAAGTCAGTTTTATTCAGAGATATCGCTGTCGTAACCCCTGTTCCTGCCGCCTGCATCCGTCGGCGTCTTTCTGCATACACCCCCCCATGTGTCAGCCCTTTTGTCGACACAGTGAGTACCAATCAAGTGATGGAGGCACTATGCTGGGTGTTCTTTTATGAAAACTCGTCTTATGGCAGAGGTATCTGCATTTAATGTAGCCGATGAGTCATGCAGCGTCCGGCGGCATAGAGAATGTTTCTCATGACACCTGTTTGGCCAGTGGCAAGTCTTTGGCCAGTGGAAAGGCCCATCATTTGGAAATCCGGTCAGCTCCGCAGCAGAAAGGTCATCATCATTCACATGCATTCACCCCATTGGTCTTTAGAGGGTACCGAAATGTACACCTAGGAAGTATTGGACAGTATTCAGCACAGTCAGCGACATATAAATTATGAATCGGATCGAGTAATAGCCTTCCTAGCTCACTCAAAGTCTGGACATGCACAGTCCGATACTGCTTCCCATTGCACTATTACGGGCCAATATCGACAAGGTATGCCTCCCGGGACAGGTCGCATGCTCTGTCTGTACGTTAAATTTTCGTCGTGGAGCCGCTTCTCGTGTGCTTCAAGGTGGGACGGGCTCTGGAATTGCCTGCCACATGTGGGGCAAGGAACGCGCGCACCTGTGACTCGTTGGTGGCGAGCGCGCAGGCTTGAATCGCGCTGCTGCATCCCGTTATGCTCTGGGGCCTGGCCATGTCGTCCTTCTTGCGACGTGGAGGTGATCTCTGTAGAGGGGCCAGCTGCTGCGTGACTTTGGCGGCTGCGTGTAACACGCGGTTCCGGATCCACATGTTGGGACGAGAAAGCGGATTGCATTGCCTCTGCAGGATGGGGGTCGTCACCAGAGGAAGCCGTGGTTCTTTCCAGTGGATTAACCCGGGCGTGACTGTGGTTGGTGACAGTGACGCGTGCCTCGGGTTCCGGTTCTTGCGACGAGAGATCGTGACGCAAGAATTCTGAAGAATCGAGGCTGTCGTCAGAGAAAGTCATGCTCTTTTCAGATTGGCTGGATGCCGTGTGGCTCTGGCCGGAGCCCACGACGCCCGGTTGGAGGTTGTCTTCGGCGTCCGGCAATGAGATATCGTACTCGGGCAAGTCTGTGATGTGCTGCAGCCAAGCATCAGATCCCATGGATCCTGCAGTTCCGTAATATTGCTCAGAGGGACTGCCAGGGGCTGGAGACAGAGGTCGCGAGAGGGAGCCGAGTCGGGAGATGCAATGGTGCATATACTCTAGAAGTTCTGAGGCCGGAGACAGAGAGCGACGAGGCTCGGGCTCCTCCGCGGGCGATACTGGATTATCAGCATCGTCATTGTCGTAGTCAGCGTCATGGTAATGCTCGACCCGGCGATTTATCTTGGCTTGGTGAAACCCCACTGGTAGATTGTGCAAGAATGGTAATGATCGGGAAGATTAAGAATCGCAAAATCAAGAATTCAGATGCGGGAAAAGGCAGAATGCGAGATCAAGCAGATGAGAGAAAAGGCAAATGCAACAAGTCGACGCAATCGCTAGAGAAAACGGCAACAGTCCACAGAGCGTGGGGTGGCAGAGAAGTGCTATATTACTGGATCAATTGATTTTGTGAATATGTCTACCTTAGGTATCTACATACATGGCGAATTAAGAGGAGTATACTCCAGTATGATGATGATGATTGTATTTAACGTGGGGGATCGCTCCTCAGTAGTGCAAACCACGCCTCCCAGAGCCTCTGCATCGCAGGGTTGTGGAGGTATCAAGATAATAAGTAAAGTCAGTCCCGCTCACGAGCCCATCCCCGTTGTTGCGGCTGTATGACTTTGGGTCAAGTATACTCCAGTAGCTCTGGGGCTGGAGACAGTGATCCACGAGGCTCGGGCTCCTCGTAGGTAATACTGGATAGTCAGCATCGTGATTGTCGTAGTACACGTTGAAAAAACTCTTATTTCGGTGAGGAATCTTTGCTTGGTGTATTCCCGCAGGCTGGGTTATGCGAGAACGGTGATGATCGACGAGATTCAGAACTGCTATATCAAGAATTCAGGTGCGAGAAAAGGCAGATGCAAGAAGATGAGGTCGCCGGAGAAAAGGGCCACAGTCTACGGAGCGTGGGGTGCCAGAGATTAGCTCGATTAGTGGTTTAAGTGATTGTGTGAGTATATCTAGGTACATACACACTGATGAAGAGGAGCAATGACGAGTTGGCGATAGACGCGGCGGGTTGCCAGTGGACCGCCCCGCGCCGGTGAGGCTGTGGATGCCTCAGGCATGTGGAACTTTCCTACCTAAATATCGTTAGGAAGAAGATTTGGCTATTGCAATCAGGTAGTTCAGTCATAGAACCGGATATTTCTAGCCAGGAATTGCTGCTCATGTCAAGCAGATCATGTGCCGTGTCTGCTTCTGACAAAAGGCAAGTGGGTAAGTGTTCTGCTTTGGGTCTTTAAGTGTTCATCGGGTAGTGCGCGCAGAGAGTGGCATTGCCGGGAGTGAAAAAATAGTCCTATTTGGTCACGAAGCAATTTATTATGCCCTCGCCCGTAAGCTTTATTGATTCCATTAGTAGGGACGTATATGTGAATCCTATACGATGTTCGCCACCGTGAAGCGAACGTCTCGTCAGAGTTGGCAACATAAATTTGGAATAAGATGAGCAAGGTCAGAATGAAGATAGAAATTAAGGACTGGATAAAGGTGTCTTGCAAAGACCAAGCGTTGGCAAATGTTATGTTTATGACTATTGCTATATTGAAAGTTTTGCTGAAAGGTTTACGCAAAAGTTTGTGCAGAGACATACTATAACATGATCAGCCCGATATTGCTCCATGACTTACTATGACGGGTAGCCGTACGAGTCATGATGAGTGTATCCTAAGAATAGAGAGAGAACTCATTAGAAAACTACTTATGGTGTGGATCGAAGAACGCATAGCGTCAGTCTACTTATCAGAGAGAGGGGTAGAACTATAAGAAGAAACCACTCTATAGGAAACTATGGACGTCTCCAGTGGACTTTTATGAACATGTTGATTTCTGAATCAGTATCATTGAGCTTTGGCAGTTCATGGATCTAGGATACATGTCATTTTTAACTTGGGCTGCATCAAGGAAAATGACACGGGCTTCTACCCGCCCAAGAGGCGCTGTCTCAAGAAGAAACTCATGATCAAAGACAAAAGGTCAAATTACTTATAGTTGACAAGTTATATCGAACAGAAGAATATTACATCCAATTCCCGTGGCCAGCTACCATCCCAAGCCCCCTAGGCTAGATCCCCACCCGGCACACGCATACCCCCTCAGTGCAGCTACTTGCACACCGCGTCGAAAGTCTGAATAACGCCGTCAAACTGGGTCTTGCACTGCTCCTTGTCCGTCTGCGTGTCCATCCAGTCGACCAGGGTGCCGCACCAACCGTCCGAGTAGAAGTTGACCTTGCAGCCGTCGGCGATGCCGTTGCCCTTCCAGGACCCGACTTCTTTGATTCCGGGCGACCCGCAGCCCACCGATCCTTGGTAGGACGTCACTGTCGGCTCTGTCTTGCACGACTCGTTCTTGTGCAGGTAGACGTTGAAGCTCCAGCTCTGGTCGCGCTTCGTATTGGAGACCTCCTGGGTGGACCACGTCGGCCATGCGGTGGCGAAGACTGGCAGCAGGGCGACTGCGAGGGTGGTGCGTAGCTGCATGTTGGCGGTGTGGTTATGGGTGTGGATTTTGTTGCAATGGATGTCTTGCGGCAGAGATGGGTGGCTCGCACGTTCGATGCAATGGATGTGCCGGGGTTGATGCGACTTGACGGGTCTTGTGGGCTGAATCGGTTGCGGATGAGTTGTTCTGTGTGTTAGGATACCTAGATCACTTTCACTGAGCAAGGTCAGGTCTTATTATACTCGATGCTATGCCGTGTCTGTGGAGAGATCTTCATGTTGGCCAGCCTGCAATCAAAGCTGGAAACTTCCTGTCGCATAGCTAACAGACGCAACAACCCTGGCGTCGCCATCGTCATAAACATCTATATTAAGATCAGGAAAGACCATCGGCTTGAGCCCAGGATTTAGCTCAAGGTTTAGCTTTCCCGTGTAATCCTTCGTGGCGTGGCAGTTCTTATTTGTAGGGTGGATCGTCAGCCCTATACGGGGACCTGATCCCGCTAATGATGCAGATCGCAACTAGGCAGCTAGGCAACAGCTTTATACTCAGTAGCCTACGCGGCCCCATGATGCCCATGAGATTCTCACAAATTCTAGGCAGACGTTGGAAACAATGAACTCGAAACCAGCCGGCAGTCCTTCTCTCATCTGTATTTGATCGTCATACACGTCCTCGTCGACTTCCTGCTGCAGAAAGCTGCCAATCACTTTGACCCAGCGCGATGGAAGATGGGGTGCGTGGCGGCTACTTCAGCCGTCTGGAAGATATGCATGGGTATCACAGCCTTTCATTCTCATTACGCCACCAACAGCATCACGCCGCTGACCAGTACCCAAAAGCCAAACTCTCGAACAACGTGAGGAAGACAGCACCCTCCTCTTCACCGTCGGAAGTCCAACCTTCGAAGTTGCGAAGACGCTAGTTGACGAGAAGGTCTCGGAACCCTTACTCGTGGCCTTCGGTCCAGATTCCACCTCCAAAGCGGATGAGCTCCGCCACATCCTGTTGAACAGCGTGTATTATGGTTCATCTGGTTGATAACGTGTATTCTGGTGATTCTCATTTGAGTGTGTGTTTCTGAAGGATCTGCTGTCGTAAGCTGCAGGGCCCGAAATTGCCCTAGAGGCCCTGATGGTGCACTGCCACTTCCTTGAACGCCACTGTGGCTTGCGTGCCATTTGACACATCCCCGCCGACCGGGCCTTCGCCGGGAGCTGCCTACTGCACTGGCTCACCACCGACTCAACGCCCACTTGGGCCCCGTACGCCGAGCAGGAAAACCTAGACCCCTCCTCCGACCAGCCGGGCTTCGAGAACTTCTGTCTCGACCTCATCCGCGCATGGGGGTTCGGCGAGATGTACGGGCTGGCGGGGTTCCAGAATGCCGTCATGCACAGCCTGCTCGCCTCCCTGCGCGAGACGGAGAGGGATGGAGTGGATATCTCCCCTACCATAGTCCTGGAAGCCTACAAGTTGCCACTGCGGACTGGTGGCTACAAGACCCTATAGCCCTGATCCGATTTTGTCAGACGCTCGCCTGTCAGAGCCGCGGTGATGAACGAAGCGGTGATGGAGTGGAACCCGACGCACGGGAATTTCGAGGACGCGGATGCGAGACGTGACCGGGAGATCGCTGTCCTGGGGCAGCGGGAAGGATGTCTCTCCGACTTTATCGAGGGTGTGGTCGGGTGTACTTTGAGAAAGCAGGGGCGTCATGATAGTGTGTTTGGGACGTTTGGGGAGGACTCGAGGGCATGTTCATGCTGGCTGGGGATGCTTATGCCCTGGGCGGGGAGGAGAGTGGGTCTCAGGAGGAGGAGGGGGGTTGAGAGAGGTTGAGTATGTAGCGTTGGCTTGCTATCAGCAGATGTTGTAGGCCGTGGATTATGTGTCGGAATCGTGTCAGGTTAGAGGAAGCCATGCAAGAGGTAACCTCCTTTCGTATGTTCGTGAGCTATGGACTGCGAACCCAGTAATCAGAAACCACACAGCGCCTAACGCCTTCTACAACTGAAGAGGAACTCGCTTGACACGGTGATATGGACAATGCATTGCCATATGCCGGAACGCATGCGGATGAGCCAACACCTTTGTCTTGGAGATGTGCAATTTGAAAGCATGCCAAACTCAGCCTTTGTCCACACAATTGTTGATTCCGAGGAACAATGCGTATACGCGGGGGGAGACATTGCGGGAGCATATGCAGAGGCTTGTTGATTAGAACATGTAGGTTTATAGTCACAGAGAGTCGCCATGAGTCAGAGTAGCAGTGCATCCAGCGGGATGACCCAGTCCGATGGCTGGACTACCTCCGACAATGTACAGCCCGCTTCCGTTTCTACCGTCAAGGCTTGCCGTTCAACTCCGATGATAGCGCGGCCTGGGAGGACGTCAAGATTCCCGGGGAGGGGGTGTTGACCGCGGTAGCCAGCATCTTCCAGAACGCCAATGTCCAGCAGCAGTATAACTCGTACCGCGACGGCAGGCCGGACCTGGTCAAACTGGAAAAGATCAGAGTGTCAAGCGAGTTGATTGAGAACCCAGATGCCCTCCTGGCCTGGCGGGTGTTCAAAGAGATCTCAAAGACGTTCGTGCTCTACCCGATGACATTGACTTTCGCCAAGGTGCTGGGGTTTGGCGGACAGGGACTGGTGATGAAATATGACCAGCTGGACGATCGGAAGCGCGCCATGAGAAGTGTCGCTGTCAAGAGAGGTATCACGGAGGACGCAAAGGAAGAAATCGAGGATGAGCAAGAGATGATGAAGGTGCGTCCCTTCCCTCATCCCATGTGCGTTGCTCGATCCACTAAACAAGGACTAAGAACTTCGTAGGAGCCAGGCACATCGTCCAGCTAGTCCTCCCACAGGCCGACCCCAACGCAATGTCATACCAGCCTGATCCTGGCTCCCAATCCACCCCAGGAGGCCCCAGTGGACGTAAACGCTCTCGAACCTCGAGCAGCGGTAGCGGAGGTCCTGCGGCGAAGAAAGTCAAAACTGAGGACGAGGATAGACCTGGAGTCATGGTCATGGAATGTCTCGAGAACGGCGATTTGGCGAATGTTATATGGCGTCTGGGGTAGAAGGATGAGAAGCATCCAAACAGAATCCTGTGGGTGTTCTTCCTGTGCTGTGAGTCTCCAAGTGAATATCTTGGCGCTCGACATACCAGAATAGGTACTAAGGTATTGGGGTTGACATGGGGGATAGTGGTCCGCGCCTGCAACGATATGGTCAATCCTCCGGTTGACACCCGGGAGGACAAGACTTAAGCGAGGCACCTGGTGCATTTTGATATCGATCCGCGGAATGGTAGGCCCGAACCCGTTGTCCACAAGATACGATCTGATACCTTCCAGTCTTCGTAGATAAGTGGGACCCCGATGAGGCTCCCCTGCTTGGAGAGCATACCATTTCCCCACGCTTGAAGGTAGGTCTACTGTCCCTCATCCAACTGAAATCTAGGCTGATTCATTGCAGCTTGGCGATTTTGGCCTGGCCAAGTTCATCACCCCCGGCGAGAACACGGATCAGTATGTAGTAATTTGACGTTGTTCCTGCCCTAGGAGTTCTGCTGATGTGCAGAACAGACAGTTCCATCTGCAATGGTACGTATACAAGCATCCAGTCACATAATCAACGCTTTAATCAAATACTAACGTACCTGTAGTGAGTAGATTACGACGCGGCCCTTGATTTCTCCCTATGCTTCAAATACATGAACTGAGTAGAGATATCTTCACACATCAGACAGGGGGCTGGGCAAAGAGGGTCTATATAGTCCAGTACGTCTCAACTCGCAGCTCTATCCAGACGCCCGAGATAGAAAGAATAAATACTGACGCATGAACGACAGGAACAATTTACCGTAGAGTGGGACGCCCTCGACCCCGATACCGCGGTCATGCCGAAGACGACGGCAGGAAACTACAGGGCGCACACTAACACCTGGGGCATCGGCCTCGTGATGGAGATGCTGATCACGAAGTGCTGGCCGGCACAGCCGCCCGTGGCCAAGATCCTGAGCCACGGGGGCCGGGACTATGCCACGTACGGCGCGCACCTGCTCGAGTACGACGACTTCGACTACGTCGACGAGAACCTGCGGCGCATCATCACGCTGTGTCTGGCGCACGACCCGACGCGGCGGCCGACGTTGGCGCAGCTGGCGGACGCGGCGTTGACACATGGTGCGGCGAAGCCGTCGGATCTGATGACGGGTGATCAGCTGAGGTTGTTGTTTGAGCCTTGAAGATTCATGACACTGTTTACCTCTATTTGGATATCGGGTGCATCACTTGCTTCATGTATACCATGGTCCACCCACCACTCGGCCACCCCCACCACTCGGACTACCAAAACTGCTGTAGCCCCCTATTAAGTCAACATGTTCACTTATACCGAATCCAGCCGTTTCTGAAGGTATTCACACCGTAGTTAGTCCGCTAAATAGCCCTTTTTGGGGGGTTTATCCCAATCTAGATCAATCTGGCTAGACCCGGCGATGAGGGGGTCCCCTGCCTGTGATTTCTACCCCTTATAAGCGCAATTTGCCCTTTATAGAGCGGTTATTTTCTTCTTTTGTATGCAACGTAGTATTGTGACTCTTGAAATGCCTTCTTATACGGAGGATACTATGGCGGATGCCATATTAGATGTCACATATAACAAGCTGTCAGTCCAAAAATCCACTCAGAAATGGGATATCCCTAAGCAGACACTGTTAGACCACATCAACAACAAAATCTCAAAAAGAGAGACTTAATAGTCAAAAAAAAGACTATCCAAAGAGCAGGAAACACGCCTAGCCTAATGGATTCTTTGTCAGGAATCATTAGGGCTCGCCTCATCGCATAGCGCCGTCAAGACTATCATTCAGACTACCTCGAAGTTGAACAGCATCACTAAGACCGTTGGGAAGAACTAGATGGATAGATTTCTTCACTGTAACCTAGAAATCAAGAGGAAAGGATCTCCAGGTCCAGTGGTTCCTTAAGGAGTTCAGAGAGGTCGCCTCCTGGCATTGCATATGCACTGATAATGGGTGGAGGGATAACGCAGTCGCTATGGAGTGGCTAGAGAGTGTTTTTATCCCTCAAGTCAACCAGACACAAGAAGATGACGAATCTAAAGCGGTACTCCTGATCCTTAATGGGCACGGGAGCCATACCTCTATGAGTACTAATTCCCTTAATTTCTAGATTTTATTCCGCTTGGAATCGATAGATGTGTAACTAACCCTGGCGGTAGGATGAATTCATGACGATGTGCTTCCTGAACAGTATATAGCTATGTTTTCTGCCAGCACACACCTCCCACGGGGTTCAACCACTTAATAACGGCCCTTTTAATGCCATGAAGGCTGCTTACCACAAGTACATCGTTCAGTTCGTTACTCTAATTAATGCTGCCCCTGTGGATAAGATCAACTTTATTAGATGCTACGCCAAGGCACGGAACGATGGACTGACGGTCAAAAATTGGCAGGCTGGCTTTAGAGCTATTGGAAACTGGCCTGTTAATCGCAGAAAGGCGTTAATACACCCAGAAATCCAAAGGGACAAGGCCGCTACCCCTGAACCTGAACAGGTCGAAAATTCTGAACCTAAAGACCTCTGGACGCCCGAGAATAGCCGGCAGATCATAGATATAGGGAAAAACATGTCCCTAACCACTTGGCTTAAGCTATGCAAGGTTTTCACTACTTTTAAGAAGCTATCAGCAGAGATGGATGGTATTAAAGGACCAGAAGATCGAGAGTCTGGAGACAGAATTAGAGCATATGCGCCCTAAAAAACGCAGAAAGATTCCCAACCTGAATAAATGGTTCAAGAGCATCCCGGAGATACTGGCAGTCAGTAAAAAACAGCCTCAAAATCCTTACAGAGCTGTACAGCCAGTGGTTATTAAAGATTCGAGTGATGAGGAAGAGGAGGAGGTTAACCCGGATTCGTTAGAAAAAGAGGAGATTGCAGCCTTTACAGAGACCCGTTCCGGTCGGCAGACTCGCCTCCCAGCTAGATATGATAACTGAGCGTCCAAAGACGATCAGAATGATGCGCTTAGCAGCTAAAAACACCATAAATTGACTGATATCGGTGTAAGTGAAGTTATAGATGTTTACGCGTGTGCCACTAATGTTGGGCGTCCGAGCGGTGGGGGTGGCCGAGTGGTGGGTGGGGCATGGTACTCCTTGTCATCAGCACATACTCGTGAAGCATATTATTCTTCTATTGTCTCAAGCACTAGTGATATCGGTCCCGGCTTCGCCTTCTTGTTCTCTCCAGTATCGTTCGCCAGTCGTCGTATCATTTTCCGGCAGAGGCCATCCTCCATCCGAAGCTCCTCTGGCACGTCCATACCTAGGAATATCTTCATAACCACCATGGCAGAAAATTTTGGCTCCATTCGATGACCGGAAGGGCCTTCCCCAAGGATCAGCTGTATCCGGTGCGAGTCCAGCTCAGCGGGGATCTGTTCGCTAATGTCGCCTCTCTCGCCCTTGGCGATGCAGCGGCACCCTGTGCCATACACCATCCTGGCATGGTGGAAGTAGAACCGGGTGCCGTCTTCATTCTCGTGGAACACGGCGTGACAGCCCGAATCCACGTTTCCGATGATGAGTTGTGGACCGCTGAGATAGCTGGAGGCCAGGGCTTCTTGAATGAAGACGTGCACCTTCAGCTCATTCTCCAGCTCAGGGGGGAGGTACTTGGACGTTCTGTGGTCTCTGCTTCTGCGAGAGATGCTCATTATGATGAGGGCGATATAAGTGACGATGGGAAAAATTATATTTTGGTGGATTAGGGAGATTCTAGTCGACATAGGGCGCGCGTTGTTGCCTTTGCTCTCATATATGACTTGGGGTTGGATAGCCACAAAGCAACAATGGGCTGAAAGACTCGATTCGATTTGTTGTGTGATTGACAATGGATTGTGGCGGTTTGGATGCGAGACCAAGACACGTTGCTGAGGATGGTAGTTACAAAGACATCCAGAACCATGAGGAAGGTGATCTTATGTGAGATAGACGTCAATCCCCCTCCTCATTGATAGGTGATGCCCAGCCTCCGGATGACCACATGCACATGTGAATGGCTTCTGACACGTACCGAACTCGCTAATCCATAACCAGGAATACAGAAGAGTTCGCGTGTTATGAATGTCCTCGGTGCTGTAGCGTGGCATTCTAGCGCGTACAGCCCTGTGGTCGTGTCCAAGCATGTGATGATATCTAACATCTAACTTAAAATTTAGATCGCCAGAAGCCAGGACAAAGAAAATCCAATCAAAGCCATCTGCCCCTCTTACTAACAACTACTTTATTGTTCAACGAGGGAAGACTAATACTTGATACCTTGACAAAGACGACTAGATGGCCTGCCTTTCATGTGCAAGTTAGTCAAATCAGCTGGCAAAAACAACCACCGAGTCGAAAATTTAAGCCCAGGAGTCGGCACCCAGCCGATAACTGGCCCGAAGCATCACATTCCGCAAAACCAAGTTCAAAAATGACACCCGAAATACAAACCGTTCTGATATCCAACCTCATGGCGATTCTTGGCCCGACAGACTGGCCCAAATCTCGCGATCACGATGACTACCGGCGGGCCCTCATGATAACCTACGCATTTACTACTTACGGTTATATTATCACGCCGGACGAAGCGGACGAGATCGTGGGCGAGAAGTTGTGGGCGGATGTGGACGAGTATGTCACCTACATGAAGCAGGCCAACTTTGGCAAATCGGTCAAGGGCGCAACGAATGTCATGCTCCCTAAGACGCTGCAAATATACAGCAGCGCAGAGTTGGACGCCATGGATGCGGCATGTTAGAAAAAGAGAACAAGAGAAACAGTACCACTACGTGCACCTTGGAAAAAAATCCTTACGTGCACCTTGATTTCTAGCCACCTGCTAGTCAGCTGGCAGCCACCAAGCTCACCACCAACCATGTCCAGCCAGCCAGCCAGCCAGCCAGCCTAGTTGCTGGGGATATGGTGATCTGGAATTGTATGGCGTTTATCCACGAAGCCCGATCGTAATGGCCATTAAGTTCGGTTCCGATTAAACGCGACCGATGGTCATCTAATTAAACCCGACCGTGTCTAGCTGCGAGGGACATGATGATCTAGAATCGTATGGCATCCCCACACTAAACCCGATCGTGGTAGCCATCTATCCTAGGAAGCCTCCCCTTTTAATTGAACGCCGGCGATGGTCATCCAATTAAACGCGACCGATGGATATGATGATCTGAAATTATATGGTATCACTATACGAAACCCGATCGTGGTGGCCATTGAGCCTGGCAGAGGTTGTGAGGGTGCCGGGACAGTGGTTGCAGCTGGTAGCAGGTGGCTGCAGGCGTCGCGAAAATCAAGGTGCACGTAAGGATTTTTTTTTCAAGGTGCACGTAGTGGTACTGAAGAGAAAAGGGTGGCTAGAACTTTGCTTACATTAATTCATCCTATTATTTTAACCACTGTATCATCCTCATTGCCATTTTCTAATGTGCGCCGGTACAAATCCTGTGCGTTCTTCTGACTCGATCCAACGATCGCGCACTCTGCTGCTGCTTCTTTGATTACGCGTATGCTTGTGGCTCAGCTTTCGTATTCCAGTTCTCGACGTCTGGTGAACTGACCCTCAAGAAGTTCCGATCGATGATATGAAAATCGCCTTCAATCTGGAATCGTCCATCAATGGCTCAGCGCCAGCGTTGCACAAACTTAGCCTAGTCAGCAAATGAGACATGATGTTCTTCCGCGTTGTATTCCGCGCGCGGAATAACATGGCGACCCGATGATCCATCTTCCACTCAGGGTGCACCATCGACCTAGCCTCTGCTGGCTGAAAACTCGCAAAAAACCGTGAGCCACCACGGCTCGTTGAACCCAGCCATCGGGACTATCGCATGGTTGTCCATGGGTTCCACCACGAAGTGGCTCGTCTGGAGCGACATATTAGACTGGTCTGGAATGGATCGAGACAGTTCTTGCAGCGCTTTTCTCGACGATCTTGTGGATAATTTTGGCCTCAATGCCATCAAGAACGCGAACACCCACCCGCGTTTGAGAAGTCCTGAGCCACAACCGTACGGGAATGTTATTCCAGGGACTGGTACGCCACCGCCTAGTCTAGGTACAATCACCCCCTATAAGTCTCCGTCCGGCATGTCTCTATCCATATCTCTATCCATCCTTGGATATCAATGCTTTTAATAGAATAAGCAGCTTCGATTCGGTAAGCCATCATGGATGCTTATTCCGGAGTGGTTGTTCCATATACAATAAACATGCATGTACCTCTGCTTGCTGAACGAGAGGTGTACGGAGAGTTTTGGAGGTCCAGTGTACCACACAAGAGCACATGGAGGAGGCCACCCGATGCTTATATACAGCCGTCGTGCAAACCATGGAAGGTTTCGTCCCCGCCATTCCAGTCGAGCCGTCCTATCGCGCGGTCTCATCACCTCGGCTTTCACTCTGGCAATGCAGCAAGAACAGGAAGCTCGCGCGGCCTACGGAAGGGAAAATAGCATCAGACCAAGACGCGCTTAAAAACTTGTCAGGCTCGCGTGCAAACTCAAAATAAGGTTTCTATCGCCCGCATTAGCTCGCGATGCAGGGACTTGATTAGTTCGCGCAAATGGTCTTCCCGTCGTTTGGCTCGAATGTCTAGCTGGATTGAAGAAGCACCCCTGATGACACAACCCCTCCTATGACTGAGTCCCCTGCGCGGGTTAGTCTTATTTCTGAAGAGTGTGGAATAAACTCGGACTGGGCAACGGGCAGTCGACCCCTAAATTGCACACAAGTTCCTGAGCGAGTACATGCCGGGGCATGACTTCGGGTTTGAGATCTAGAGTTACGCAGTTGACTTCAATGTCCTTGTGCGGTCTCCCAGCTACAATCTCAACTGCGTGGTTCTGACAGCTTTTCACGACGAGCTGGTGTCTGAATTCGAGTTGGTGAAATCACCGCCGCCGCGAGGCGTAACTCCAGCGTCCGACCAGGACGACCCTATTTGCGGTCCTGCGCCTCCCGCAGTGCCCACTGGCGTCGAAGCTGCGGATGTTCCATCATCGTCTGCTGAGGCTTCTGCTGCACCCGATGAACATGCTCATGACCTAGCTCTTGAGCTTCCACTACGAATTTGCCCTCATATAATCAAGCACCTTGGCATCGAGTTTGGGCCAGACAAATATGCCATCTTGCATTACAGATGGGACCACCGACGGAAGAAGGACAAGACTTACAAGGACAGTGATCATCAGCTGTATCCCAACATTGCTGACATGTCCAAGGAAAGTGTGAAGGAAACACAGAAGCTTCTCGGTGTAATCATTGACCGGCGACTCACTTTCGAGTCGCATGCCAAACATGTAAGTTTCGCCCCCTCCTCGCTAGAGTCACCCTACTAATCACAACGTCGTTGATCCAGATTGAGTCCAAGGTTCCGTACAAGCTTCAGCAGTTCAAATGGCTGTCGGCACCTACTTGGGGATTAGACCTCGTGACGATGCGCAAGCTCTTCGTCACCTCCATTCGATCGATCATTAGCTACGCTTGTGCAGCTTGGTTCATGTATTTCCCACCCGAAGCGGCCAAGCTGTACGCGAAGAAGGACACCACGAAAGCGCAGAATAAGGGGAAGACGAAGGGAAAGCCAAGACCGAGACACCAGCCATTCGGCGCGAGAACGATCCCGGACAAGACGGTCGACATATTGAAGCGACTGCAGAAGCGGTGTCTGCGCCAAACATCCGGTGCAATGCGGGGCTCAAAGCCCCCCGTCCTTGAGAAAGAGCTTCATATTTACCCAATTGACGTCTATCTCAAACGCCAGGTCATTTTACAGCCACATGCGGAAGCTGAAGCGCGAGGATTCGCCAGACGAACATTTGCCCCAGGCGCTGTCACAAACAGGTCCAGATACGCAGGCGCGGAAGCTACGTTCAGCGGCGCATATTGGGCAGTCTGTTGACGGGTTGGGTGTGAACACTGCCGAAGCGGATGATTGCGATGAAAGCGGTGTGGACTACGAGGAACGTGGAGAGGGACATGAGGAAGACGGGGAGGAAGACGAGGGAAACGGTGACGAAGATAGCGAGGGATGTCTTGGTCCTGAAGGCATTGCATATGACGACAGTGATGATGACAGCGCTGTTGGTGATGACGGTGACGCGGATGGCGATTACTGCCCGTCAGACGACGGTAGGAATCGGTCGCGCCGCTCCAAGGGAGGGATCGAGAACCCATACGACCACATTAGAGCTGAGGCAATCGGTGTTCTCAAGGACGCCTTGGACAGTTACTCGGATTGCTATCGCAACGGTCCTAATGAAAGAACTGAAGAGGAGCTGCTGAACTCGTTCTGGGGTCCAAACGTGAAAAGGAAGAACAGATGGCTCAAGATCGCTGCGACCGACCAATCCGCCGAATATATGGATGATGCCTGGCATGCAGATGTCGGCATTCTCAAAGGCGAACCCAGAGCCTGGCCCGTCGCTGTCCGTGACACGGCCTGGGATTCGACTCTTGATATCTACCGAGGTCTGACTCGAATCGAGTGTACCATGTTGCTTCACCTTCGCACGGAGGCCATTGGGCTCGACGATCACCTCAGCAACATTCATGCCAAAAGGGATGACGTAGGTTTACTAGCAACCGCGTCTGTTGTTCACTTGATGACTGACCCCGACGCGATGCAGGTTGAAATCAGTTCAAAGTGCCCCTGCGGCTGGAGCCGCCAGCATGTCCAACGTAAGTGGTTTTCCCACCCATCGCGTTCCCGTGGTCTCGCCGACACTGCTCTAGTATTAGGCTAATACCTCGTTGGCCAGATGTCCTTCTCCATTGCCTCTTGTTCGCGGAGTGGAGGGTTGAAGCCTTGACGCTGGGGGATCCGAGACAATGCGATCTGGGAAACCTGCTCACCCTCCAAGCTCAACGTGCTGCCAGGTGGGCCATTGCGTTCCTCGACATCGAACAGTTCCGCTTGGCAAGGGACCGCTACCGCGAAGAGATACTGCACCGAACGTCCTAGGGTGTCCTTCAGCAGGTGCCTGCCTTCGCAGCGGTCATGTCGGTGATGACTTTGACCGGCAGGAACCGGGCACAACCTCTGTTGTCCGAGACACGCCCTGGGTATGGCTCAAACTGCCTCATCATGTGTATATTCTGTGTTTTGTGAGTACCACGCTGCCCTACCGCGCCTGGGTTATCCACCGCCTCAGTGTCCGACTGCTGACGCATTGAACACAGTGATGGGTGTATTACGGGGTCTGTAACGGTCGTTGGTCGACCACTAATCAAAGTGAGCCACTCTCTTCTGTTCTCTCTCTGCCCCGGTTCGGGAAGATCATCGTCGTGACCATACCATCGCCACCATCACCACCATCCATCGTGGGCAACCAACAAGCTAACTTGTCACTCTCCATCAGCTAATCTAGGGCTAAACATCTCCCCGTGTGCATGTCCCGCGACAGCTGAGTTGGCCGCCCCCTCTCTTCCTCATCAGCGCCGTCCTGTTTCCTGACCGCATCAGCTTAGCAGTCGGAGCGCCGACGCCGATGACAATCGCGTGGGTCTCTCCGCCATTCCCCTTCCTTTCAATATTGTCCTGTTCGCTTACCACATTCCACCAGCAGCCGATCCATCCGATGTGCCGCCTCGTACCGACGACGATCTTGTACGTCGCAACCCCTCCTCGTTCATCATTAGCGGGAGACGCCCTCCACTCTGTTCTTTTCCATTCCAACTCCTGTCAACCACACCCTTTGGTAGATTCATTGCTTATATGTCTAGCTGTTCTAGCCCTCCGACTCCGACGTCAAATCGTCGCCACGAATCCGAACAATAGGGCGATCTTGTTGTCTTCGTAAGTAGCTACGACATTTATACATCCTTTAATTTACTGATTATAGATTCAAGTGCGTTCAAATCCGATCTATAAACTCGTTTTGCTCGTTGCTATAGCCTTCGGTACCCGGCACCTTTTGCAATTTACGCAGCTCGACAATCTGCTGCTCGATGCCGTCGTATAATTTATTGGTCTGGATCTTTTCGTATCCTCGCATCGTACGGTCGATACATTCGCGTCTTGTTTCCGGTATTTCGGGTTTCATCCCTTTCGTATTTCGTCCAATCAAAGTCACGTATATTGGCTTCTTCTTCGTCCCAATCGGCCGGATGAACGGGCAGAAGATATTCGGCATATTGGGTACCGGGACGTACGGTATATTGACTATTTTATCCTCTATGGTTCTTTTTTTCTTACTGACCTGAGTTAAAATAGCGATGCGTGGTTCGAGCAGATACGGGCTGGTGGACTTGCGCTGGGATCTTGGTGGGCCTGATATCTTCATTCACCCTTCTAGGCAAACAGCTGAGCTAACATACTAGAGCCAGGTTGTCGCTTGATCGTTGTGTGGAATGTGGTGATGGGGGATGTGGTTGTAACAGTGTTTCGGATGGTGGTTGTGAAGGAAGTAGGCAAGCCTCCCACCCAACCCCCCTATATTCACATGCTGACCATTCACAAGGGGAGGAACGGCCGTTCTGGTGTGTAGGATACCTGGTCTTTCGGTGTGGTCGCACGGCTGATATGGGCGTGTCCTTACAGTGCGCGTCGGATGGCCTTTTCATTGCGATCGGTTGGGTGAGTAATAGTCATTAGGCATCTGCTCTTCCCATCAATTTTTGCTGCTCAGCTCCAACCCACCTCATTCAATCTCTTCTTTCCCACCCAGCTCACCTGTCGACAGCCATTAAGGTTAGCAAGTCCCTCACCGTGACTTGAAGAGTCATATCCGTGGCTGGTACGTAGTCATGGGCCCTTTCCCAGACATTTAGTCCTTCCATTAGCCCCCTTTTCCCCTTTCCTCTCCCGACTCTTAACCATCATCTCATCCTTCGTCTATCTTCTAACCTATTTGTAGGCTTAGATTTTGAAAACTCCCTCGGCGTGGCGTCGATAAGTCTTGCGGCGGGTAAGTAATCATCGTTCCTTCCCCACAGCATTCGCCTTCCCGTCTTACCACTATCTCTTAATCCTCGCCATCCTTCCTCACCTCCAATCCTCCTCACCTCCAATCCTCCTCACCTCCAATCCTCCTCACTTCCAACCCTTCTTTGCTAATTTGCTTACCCATTAGTAGCTTTAGAGTTTGTAAGTCTTCGGCGTGGCGCGACCTTGATGGTAAGGTCCTGTTCTCTGACAGATACCAATCGGCCTGCTGACCTGTTGACGTCTTCTCTACAGGTCTTTTCAACCATCCGCCATCTCGTACCCCTTCCGCGCCGTCGGTAGCAGTAAGTCCCAATGCCTCTTCCTATCAGCGTCGCTCTCTCCGTCACTGTCCGTTGCCCATGATGCTGACGATGCCCCCCAGACTGTTACAGACCACGGATGCTTTCAAGGTTGTTCTGTGCGTCTATTTGCGTCCCAAAGTATTTTGCGTCAATGGAAGCGATGGGTGAAGCTTCTTGATGTGTTTTTGTAAGGGCTTTAACGGTATGTGTAAGCATGTAACGGCTTTGACGGCATGTGTGAGCAGTAACGGAAAAAGATTTATTTATTTATTTAAAAATAACCCTAAGATTTTAACCTTTATTCAAAGAATGGAATTTTCTATAGAATTAAGGCAACGATAGGAGTCAGAGACTTACATAATTAAGCAATTAGCTAGTTTTTATATTTAAAGGGCTGGCGTTGTGCAGTGAAATCTCAGTCAAGCGATAAAATACAGCGTAGCTCGAGACAAATGCGATGATATACTCGCGGCTTACAGTCGACAAACACTGATCATGCGAAACAGACATAACGCTTGAGCAGGAATGCTCAAAGTTATGGTATATTGAACTAGTCCAAGTTCATCCTACTGAGCATCTCTATGTAGCCGGGCTCCCCACGACCAGGGTTCTCAGCAATCCAATCGTCTCCCTCGAAAAGCAGGCCGAGGCCCAGTGAAGGTCCTGTAAGAGCCCGTTTCACTTGAACAGGACCGATCAGCATTCGGTCTATCAGAAGTTGCTTGGAGAAATAGGGTTTCTGAGGAGCTCACCATGACAGAGAGGGACAATGCTCAAAATGGGCTACAAAGGGGGGTGAAGTCAAGAAAGCTGCTACTCACCAAGCTCAGCCCAGGGCGGCAGAGGCGGGACAGTGTCGTATTGGGCTTTGAGCATGTTGCTCCAATCCCCACACCATTCGGTTGCCGTCCAGTCAGAAGGTTTTGTAGCGTGCTCCCTAGCGAGCTGTTCGATATCACTGTCGTCGATGGTACCCACGTCGAAATTGAATTGGACGGCAGGCGAGGTTCCGTTCACAATGTCTTTAACGAACTCTAGATCGGTGGGGAACTGCCACCAATGCTGCTGGCAGGTACCCCACTGCTCGCGGGAAAATATGTTTCGCTCAATATTCAACATCACAGCGGCGTGCCAAATGTAGTCACGAAGAACCACCTCCTGGAATATCTTGGAACTATGCTGCGGGACAGGGCCGCCATCGAAACCCAATTTGATGAATGGTGGCAAATCGTGTGCGCTATTGATCCAATAAGCAAACGCTCCAGCAATTTTCTATGCTGAAATGGTGGTCGGCTCCTGGCATTCCCGTTAACACTGGACGCAAAATAGAGCCCCGGCCTCACTTACTCTGATCTCTTGGCGCGAAGTCCAAGAGACGTCCGGGTATTTTGCATCTGCAAACAGATTGGTTCATAGCGGTAGACGGCGTTCAACGCGAGGATGGGGATTCTCGACCCAGAAAGGAACCAGGCCACGGCCGTGGGTCTTCGGCTGGCCAACACTTTGACCATCTTCGTTCAACATGATGTTGCGTAGGTGAGGGCGAATGTTGGGGTTCGAAGACAAAAAGGCTATGCATACAGCGGCAGCCGAGAAGCGGTATTTGCAAAAATCGGTCCATGCAGGACTGTCTCTGTCTTCGTTCCCAACTTCTCGCTTCACATGATCAAGTTGCTCGGTGCTGGGGATGGCCCAGGGCGCGTTGGAGAAGTTGTGTGAGTATGCCTCAGGTTGCATCTCGGCAGGAAGCTGTAGAAGTACAAAGCGAATGGCTTCAGCGTGTTTACTGCCAACACGGCTGCAAGGATAGCTAATATTAGGCCCCGGCGGCCACCCCAAGAGCTTATCCAGACGGGGAACAAAGTCTGGATAAGTCCGTGATACGGCATTCTTGATAGACTGGGTGATATGCTTCCCAGCGTGGACGATAGCCTCAACCTCATAAGAAAACGAAATCGTCCAAAAGCATGTGGAATCGATATGCGTCCTCTCGCAAACAATCAATGGTCGAGAAGGTGATGGTGTTGTGCATGAGGACAAGCCCCTTCATCTCCTCTGCGACTTGTTTGCAGGTGCGCTGCAGCTCGAAAGGGCGCTCGGCAGCGGCGGCGGGCTTCAGCGTGCGACTCCTGGAGTGGTAGATCAGGCCCCCAGCGACGGTGACATAGTCGACGTAGATCATGTCGCGCAATTCGCGAGGGAAGCGGAGAAAATTGAGCGACGACATGGCGAGCGAATGGACGGCGTGCCAGGCATATGATGCCGCGATAGGTCAGGGCAGCAGATTGGCGATGTCGATAGGAACCTGGAAGGGGGACGGGGAACGGGGGAAGAAGAGGAAGACATAAGTGGGTGTTTGGGGACTGTCGAGGCTTATTAAGTACCTAGAGTCACCGCGCACATGCCCGAAACCTACTTGTTATCAGCCAGACAGCAAAGTTTGGAGTATCAACGTCGAGAGAGTTGATGTGCAGTGCCAGAGAGCTCGGCCTGTCATCGCCTCCGGCTAAGGCTCCACGCCGGATGTGTCATGAACTTTGAACGTAAGCTTGGGTGACTGGGAAGCCCAGGCCAGCCAGAAAATGTACCAGACCCCAGTGCACGTGATCAGCCACACACGCCACACGTCACACACGCCACAGCGCCATGCACAGTGCCCGCCAAAGTGCGAGACTAGGTGGCGAACCCCTTTTATCTGATTGGTTCGTACCTTAGTGATTGTGGCAGCAGATAACAGACTTCAATGTTTTCAATGGCGTTGAGGTCTGATCAACGAACATTTAACGTTCAGCCATGGGCCATTGCGTCCCGAAAGTCACATTGCTCTCAAGCTTGCAACGGAGCATGAATCGGTGAAGCATGAAGCCTACACACCGAGTGACTCGCACGGCAAAGTGGTGACGCCCTGCCAGACTATCGAGCAGAAAGACATCACACTCGAGTTCCTGACACTCGTCCAAGACAACGGCAGATACTGCCGTGTCCTTTCCAGATACCTCGATGGCCCATCTGGACCAGAGGTGGAAGCTAAGGCCAGCTGTGGAAGCACGCGGTGCTTTGCACGGGTAGGTGTTGCGCACATAGACAGCGACCTGCGTTAGTTCACTTACCTAGTTACTAGTGAAAGAGATGGAACGCTGGACAAAACGTTTCGAGTACCCGGATGGGAACGACTGACGAAACACTGTTTGAGTACGTCGCTGGACGACCCGAGGTAGAACCGGACGGGGAGGAGTCATCGGTTGAAGCTTCAGCCTTCAGTTCAGCCTGCTCAAGTGGTGACGCCGAAGAGAAGGGCGGCGGAGAAGACTCAAGGTGCGTATGCACTTTACCGAGGCCAGAGAACACGGCCACTCCCAACCTGCTCTGTCGTCAGCCACCCAGCTCTTTGTGAACCGTATGCGGATTCAAAAAGTCGAGGGATACTTTTTGCCATCTGTAGCTTGTGTCTCCGCAGAACAATCTCCAGAAGGGTATTGGAATCATTCTGCTTCCACCACCAGACTGCGTCGTGTCCACCGGGATCAGGTCGTGCAGCCACGTGCCTCACAGGATGGTATGCCGACAAAGTCAGGGTTGAAGATCTCCGACGTGAAGTTCGAGTAATAGCATACAGCTACAACAGCTACCAACAGCCCATGCAAAGACAGACAGAACCGCGAACAGTATTCACTCGTTCGACCTATCATGAGATCCTCACTACGTGTTGCCACTCTGGCCATCATTGTGGCTGCTGCGCCCAGCACGTCGGCCTCCCTCTGGAAGCCCGCGGGAGTCTGCAGATCTAGTCCTATCACTCAGGCCATCGAGGAGATCGACAAGACCATCAAGAACATCGAAGAAAATTCCGCGCCAAGAAGCAAGGCGCCCAACCTTCCTTCTCGAACTGGAAGACGCTCAAGCCGGACCAGCGTCAACAGTCTGTTAAATATGGTAGTAGCATTGCTACCTCCAATCCACTTTTGCCCCGTTCAACACAGTCAGGAAATGGAGTATCGACCTAGCATTCTTCAACGACAACGGCGCCAGCGAAGTAGAGGATGAAGAAGGCTTCTGTGAGCGCTCGTCACAAAGCAGTCTGGCAAGCGTGTAGAACAGCGCTACAAGACCTTCTTCATCACCAAGGCCGTCGACTATCTCGCTTCGTATGTGTCACCCTCTCCGCGTGCTCATCGGCTCTGGGTCTTCATGAAGACATTTGATGATTATAGATATTACCCTGCTCCCAGCTGTCCCACCTGGCCGGCCTGGCCAGGTACGCCATGGAGAAGGAAGCATGCACGTCATCTTGGACATCCACGAGCTTCCCAGAGGCCAGGACGCCCTCGACAACCAAGGAAAGACGGGAGACCTGTACTGGTGGAACAACCAGACCAGCTTCGACCGTTCCATCAACCTCGCCAAGGAGGCCACTGAATCTATCCTGGTCCCGTCCCGAACGGAACAGTGGACGCTCAGCGTGATCAATGAGCCCCTAGTGCAGGGACGACCGGCCTGGTTTGGGCAGACCAACAAGAGCGTTGCTGAACACGTACTACAACGCCTCCATCAATGCCATCCGTGCACCGTCATGCTATACTGAACCCTCATAAGTCTTCGTACGCCCCCCATCACCAAGCGAAAGGTGCATTTATGAGAAATGGAATATGCACCCTGGAACAAGCATCGAAGATGACTTTATAGCTATGAGCTGCTTATTCCTGTCTGATTATTCCTGTGTTTCCAAAACCCCACGTGTGATCTGGAATTCTTCCAACGTGGCACGTACAGAGACTTATGAGGGCTGAGTGTACCGGACACCTTCAGCGGGGAGACCCAGTGGGAATAGTGGTGGAGCGGCAACGACCAGGCCATCGTCTTTGATACATACCCACAACAGCTTCTTCTCGGGGAGCACCTACACCTACGACGGCCCCTTCGACGCGTGCTACCTCGCCAAGAGATACAGCGAGGCGACCAACCCCGTTTACATCTAGGAGTGGTGTGCATACTGCTCTGGTCTTCTTTGGGTTTCTGCGATATACTAGGCTCGGCGGCCCTGAAAAGACTTAGTACAATCCGAAGTGATGTTGTTTGATCATCGTCAAGGATGGATGTCCTCAGGGGGCGGATGTGCATGGGTGATGTCGAATTCAGCGACCATATTCGTGGCGCGAGGGTGGCACTGCTTTGCCAATGACCTGCGGGCAACTTATACTCAAGTGGCTTTATGCATTGGGTTCTGGTACTCTAGTAATGTAAGGTCTTGGTTGACTCAGCGAGCTGCCTTGTTCAGCACGTCTTGTTTGTTAGGGCTGCTCATCGACTTTTCTGAGAGCGTGTACGGAAAGGGGTTGGTCGGAGTTCTAATTCCCCAGCTTAAATCCAATTGACAATTCTCGAACAGGCAATGCGCATTCACTACGCGCGACGTACACCTAATCTGGCCTACCCTGGGCAGTACTGACTCTTGAGGCAGCACTTGATCGTCTTAACTTGCAAGCTGGCCCTACCGCTCTACCGCCCTGCCACTTGTATTTCAACTCGATACGTGTCCTTTGATTGAGATCGCGGACCGTGGTTTACAGTCACCGCGACTGAGAGGTGAATCAGACAACTAGAAGGCGTCGAGGTTTGCATATTTGGTGATGCCTGAGCAGAACTTGTCCTCCTGCATAAGGCCTCTTTGGCTGGTGGTCAAAGGTTCCGTGCCTACATTAATGCAGGAGTAGCCCGGATGACTAATCGGAGATTTATCCGGGAATATACACTTCGCCCCCCTGCTTTGGATGACATTGATTTCGGCTGAATGTAACGGTGTCTGTGGAGATGCTCAAACCCCAAGGAGCCAACGATTAGCATGTTTACCTGGTAAGTTATCTACGTGAGCTCAAACTTCAAAGTGAGACTACCTTGGTCTATATTCACCTCTTGACCGATGATCGTTGGGGAAAACAGGTGACTCTATTTCTTTCTGGAATTCCAAATATTTTGAATGAAAGACGAGAGAGAATTGAGTTGTGAAGCTCAAAGTTGTTGATCTCGTCCCGGCTACACGGGACGAATACCGCTTGCTACTCCCCCCTAACACGTGGTTCCCCGCAATGCCAGCCGAGCTAACCCCACGAGGCATAGCAGGATGCAGCGCTCTGTGGGGAAAGGTACTATGGCCGACCTCACCGACCTCACCGCAGCTTCTTCTTCGCCTCAACTCCTCATTTCGCTCGAGATTTACCCGCCAACCAGTCCTTCACCCGCCAGCTTCTCCAAATCTCCATGCGTGAGATCTTGGTCCCGGTGCGGAGAACACTGTCATAGAGCACTCGGTTATCACTTCAGGCACAATCTATTATATCATGGCACGCCTGGCTAATATGATGCGATTGGCTCTGTTAACAGTGTCGGGGTGCCTTTCCGCCCACGCGTCGCCTTGCATGACACGCTCATCAGGTCAGCCGAGATGTGGGATGGACCGGGGTACCTGAATGTTACCCAATTTTCTGGATGGTTATATATATCAGTGACGTGGACTCCGTTCTGATTGGCACCATGCGATGTGAATCATTCAGACCGACAACTTTCCTGGGATATAGGCTCAGTCGAAGCCCCCTCGGAATCTGCTCCTGAACCAGAACGCGAGTGGCATTTCATCAGGCTCTTCACGGTTCGAGACATCGACCGAGACTCAGCCATGCGACTACCACTGATGGAGTCGTCCCTGTTTGCGGCAATACTGTTGCTCGTGCCCCTCGTTGCGGCTCTCGGACAGCAACCCATCATCAGCTTCGAGAGTGTTGCGGGTGCTCTGCAGCTAGCTGGCAGCAACATCACGCGGCCTCAGATCCTCGTATCGAGCGATGATTACTGGGGCGTGATCCGCGCCGCTGGCGACCTGGCCAAGGACTTTGGACGGGTCACGGGTACGAACTTTACGTTGAGCAATGGCGAGGCGGGAGCAGACCAAGCGACGTATGACTACAGGCCGATTACGATGAACTATACACATGTGAGTTATGTATCTCATGCCCAGTCATGGAGGTGACGAGGGTGAAGACTGGGACGTGGCGCGTCTCTAGCGAAGGTTTTCCCGACAGCTTCGAGTATCAGCGTGTCATTGAGTGTCGTCCACCTCGAGTAAACATACAAACAGAGCTCTAACGAACTATAGTTTGAAGTGAGCGATACGCAATCTTTTCTCGGTCCAGAATACGCCGACCCCTCGGCGGTAAATACTGTCATCATTGCCGGAACTCTCGGTCATTCAAAAGTCATCGACGACCTCGTCAGTGCCGGGAAGTTGGATGTTTCTGAGATAGACGGCAAATGGGAGTCTTTCGTCACCAAGGTGGTGGGAGCCCCTATACCGGGCTGCTCCAAGGCCGTGGTGATCGCTGGCAGTGATACCCGTGGAGCCATTTTCGGTCTCTACGATATCAGCGAACAGATTGGCGTCAGTCCGTGGTACTGGTGGGCAGATGTTCCCATCAAGCAAAACAAGAACATCTACGCTCTGGCCGAAGGCAAGGTTCAAGGCCCTCCGTCCGTCAATTACCGGGGGTTCTTCATCAACGACGAGCAGCCCGGACTATCAGGCTGGGTCCAGTGGAACTACGAAGACACGCCGTATGGAGTTGGCTATAACAGCGATTTCTACCCAAATGTTTTCGAGCTTCTCCTACGGCTACGTGCCAATTACCTGTGGCCAGCGCTCTGGGGCTCCATGTTCGAGATCGACGACCCGGCGAATCAGCCACTGGCAGATGCTTGGGAAATCGTGCTCGGGAGTTCGCACACCGAGCCGATGATGCGGGCCCAAAATGAGTTCGGAACCTTCTACACCAATGAAGGTCTTGGACCCTGGGCTTACAATTTGAACAACGAGACGATCGATGAATACTTCGTTTACGGAGCGGAGAGAGCAAAGCCTTATGCTCGGAACAGCTTGTGGACGATGGGTATGCGAGGTACTGGAGATACGGCAATTGAAGGGCTGGGAACCGATTTCATCGTCAGCATGCTGGAGACGCTGGTTGAGCACCAGAGGAACATTCTCGAGGATGTGCTGGATGTCAATGCCACTCAGGTCCCACAGTTATGGTGCCTCTACAAGGAGGTCATGTCGTACATCCTGGAAGGCCTCACAATTCCCGAAGATATCACGCTGTTGTGGGCTGACGACAATTGGGGGAACGTCAGGAGAGTGCCCATTGATGACGAGAAGACCCGCTCGGGAGGCGCCGGCGTATATTACCATTTTGATTATGTCGGCGACCCGCGGGACTACAAGTGGATCAACACCATCCAGCTTGAGAAGACGGCGGAGCAGATGCAGCTTGCCTATGCCCACGGCGCTGATCGAATCTGGATCGTCAATGTGGGAGACCTGAAGCCCCTGGAGATACCCATCAGCCATTTCCTCGACTTGGCATACGATGTTGAACAATGGGGAGTGGATAACACCAGTGACTGGACATCTGCGTGGGCAGCCCGAGAGTTTGGACCAAAATACGCAACTGACATCGCCGATATCATGACCCGATATGGGATGTACGCGGCAAGACGCAAATACGAGCTCGTCGAGCCGTTCGTCTACTCTGTAATCAACTACAACGAAGCCGACGCGGTTTTGCAGCAATGGCAAACTCTTGCAGACGATGCGCAGACTGTCTACGAGCAGCTGGATGATACTACGAAGCCAGCATTCTTCGAGATGGTGTTGCATCCTGTTCTCGGCGGTCAAACTATTCACAAAGTTCACATCGGCGCTGCGAAGAACATGTTATTCGCAGGCCAGCGAAGGAACTCGGCAAACGAAATGGTCGCCGAAGTGTTGTCCGACTTCGGCGCCGATGGTAATCTAACAGCAACATGGGATAACCTTCTTGACGGGAAATGGAGGCGTATGCTAGACCGTACGTGACACAGTTGTGCTCTTCATGTCCCAGACATCTCACTTACATGTGCTAACTCGTGATGACAGAAACTCACATTGGGTACGATGGCTACTGGCAACAGCCGATGCGCAACGTGCTGCCGGCTATGGCTTATGTGCAGACGGCCGTGTCTTCTATTGCAGGTAACGTTGGCATTGCAGCCGAAGGACTGAATGCCAGCATACCAGGTGATGACAGGTATCATGGAAACTCAGCAGCAAGTATATCACTTTCACCTCTCGATCCCTATGGGCCAGCAACAAGATGGCTCGATGTCTTTTCGCGAGGCGCTATGGACTGCGACTGGTCGGCTCAATCAGACTTACCGTGGGTGAAGCTATCGCAGTCCAGCGGTACTGTCGGCCCTGGGAACGGAACAGACACCCGCGTCCTTGTGTCGATAGACTGGGAGACGGCACCGCAGATCGTGAACACCACCATGGCCAATATCAACTTCTCGGCCGGCTGTGGAGCTGGAGGCTTCACCTCCTGGTACAGCGCACCTATTGTGCAGCTTCCTATCTACCTACGTACAATTCCATCGAATTTCACTCTGGGTTTCGTCGAGTCGGACGAGCACGTTGCCATCGAAGGACCCAACTATCAGCGCATTTACACCCCAAGCAACTCTTCAGACTTGGAAATGACATATCACACCCTCAAGAATTACGGACGAACACTAGGCGGCGTCACGCTTTGGCCACAGACCACGCCTCCTCAGACGCCTGAATCAGCACCGGCGCTCGAGTACGACTTGTACCTGTTCACCAACGTATCAAACGCCAATGTCACACTCTATCTCTCGCCGACACAGAACTACCTGTCAGACAAGAAGCCCCTCGAGTTCGCCGTCTCGATGTTCCCCGCCGGGGGAGCGCAGGCGGCGCCGCAAGTGGTGCCCTTCGTCGGCGACAGCGTCGGGCAGAACATGCCGGCCGGGTGGGGCGCGGCGGTCGGCGACGCGGTCTGGGGCCGCGACGCGCAACACAACACCACGACGAGCTGGGACGTCGCGCAGGAGGGCGCCTACACGCTCCGTGTCTGGGGACTCGCGCCCAGCGTCATCGTCCAGAAGATCGTCGTGGACCTCGGCGGTGTGAGGGCCAGCTACCTGGGCCCGCCGGAGAGCTTCCTCGTTGGGCGGGACGAGGTCGGGGCGCGCGGTCGGACGAGCTTTGCGCATGGAGTTTAGTGATACTGGGAAGTGAAGAGGACATGGAGAGGAAACAACCCGTAATCAACATTGAATAATGCGAAGGAAATGAGGTCAAAACACCAACGCATTGAACATGATCAATTAGCTAAAGTATTCTGCCAGTGGCGGCGGGCGGCAGCTCCGGCCCTTCAAGGTTACTACTGTAGGCTGTTAGGCTGCTAAGCCCTACTGCCAGCTGGAGACTGGTGGGACCGGTAGCCTGGCGCTTAGCCCCTTAACCCGCGCTAGTGACGGATTGGGAGTCGCTGAAAACGCGCCAAGCGCTGGTTGCTGCGGTGACGGCAGGTACAGCGCAACCCTACCTAACCCCATATCGCCGATATCATACTAACAGGTACAACCAAATCAACATTGACATTGACAAAGCCGTCGCCTCCAGCTATCAGACGACGATATCTGCTTCCAACACTCCCATTATTTGCAAGCATCACAGCTCCACGACACCACGACACCACTGCATCCTGCCTATTGACTTCGCCCACCTCTGAAACCGACACTATTGCCCGCGGATTCTTGTTGACGTAGACAGCATTGGCAGTGTTCCTGATTCACTTATTTGTTTATGTCTGCACATTCGACCGCATCGGCTCTCAAGGCACAGTAAGGGGCGGACGGCATTCTCGGTAGCCACAACTCGCACGAAACCCCCCGCAAGATGACTCCAATCGACCCGGGAGCTTCATCTATCAGCGTCGCAGGTGAGTCTCGCCCCCAGAGGCAACTTGGGGAGGATCGAGTATACTAATGAGTCCTCCAGTTCGGGTGCGACCATTCACCATCAGAGAAGCTGCGCAGCTGTATGTCACCACCACCACCAACCAGCCAGAGCGACACGAATCTGGCCGCCATGCTTACCGATATACAGGCACCGAAACGACGATGGCAACATATTCCTCGGAGACGGCTCTTTGGCTGGTGCTCCAACACCGAAACTCAAACAGAGCGGCATTCGATCCGTCATCAAGGTCATCGACGACAAATGCCTGTGCGATTCCCGCTTCGAACCCCATAAGTGCTGCGCGCTGACCCGTGGTACTACAGAGTGTTCGATCCCCCCGAAGACAACCCCGTCCACAAGTTCTCGAGATCTGTCGTACCGAATGGAAAGAGAGTCAAAGACCAGACCTTCGCCTTCGACCGGGTATTCGACGACAACACATCACAAACAGAAGTCTACGAAGCGACAACCAAGAACCTGTTGGATAGTGTCCTCGATGGCTACAATGCGACCGTATTTGCATATGGCGCCACAGGATGCGGCAAGACGCATACAATCACGGGCACAACGCAAATGCCAGGCATTATCTTTCTCACGATGCAGGAACTCTTCGAGAAGATCGGCGACCGCAGCGACGAGAAGCACACCGAGATCACCTTGTCGTATCTGGAGATCTACAACGAGACCATTCGGGATCTGCTGGTCCCCGGCGGCAGCAAACAGGGTTTGATGCTCCGCGAGGATTCCAATCAGGCCGTCACCGTATCTGGTCTTACCAGCCTTCATCCCAATAACGTCCAGGAGGTCATGGACATGATCGTCAGAGGAAATGAATACCGAACCGTGTCACCGACCGACGCCAACGCGACATCGTCACGATCGCACGCTGTCCTGCAGATCAATGTCGCTCAGAAGGACCGGAACGCAGCCGTCAACGAGCCTCATACCATGGCCACTCTGAGCATTATCGACCTTGCGGGCAGCGAAAGGGCCAGTGCCACGAAGAACCGCGGAGATCGTTTGATCGAGGGCGCGAATATCAACAAATCGCTTCTTGCTTTGGGCAGCTGCATCAATGCGCTTTGCGACGCCCGGAAGAAGACCCATGTGCCTTACCGCAACAGCAAACTGACGCGTCTCCTCAAGTTCTCCCTTGGCGGCAACTGCAAGACGGTCATGATTGTTTGTGTCAGTCCGTCGAGCGCCCACTTCGATGAGACTCAAAACACCCTTCGATACGCCAACAGAGCCAAGAACATTCAGACCAAGGTGACGCGAAATGTCTTCAACGTCAACCGCCACGTCAAGGACTTCTTGGTCAAGATCGACGAGCAGATGGCCATGATCAACGAGCTCAAGGCGCAACAGAAGGATGCAGAGGAGATCTTTTGTGCTAAATTTCGAAAGCAACAAGACAAGAGGGAAGCTTCCGCACGCGAGGGTACCCAGAGGATCCGCACTGCCTACGAGAACTCTTTACCCGAACGGCAAGACAAGGTAGAGCACATGAAGAAGTTGCGTGGCATAGAGCGGCGGATCGGGTTATTGTCTTCCTGGATCGCGGCATTTGACTCCGTCTGCGACACGAGGGATGATGACGATGCTATGCCCTCGAATGTGGCAACCATGCGAAAGACAGCACAGGGCATCCTCTTGGAGCTCGAGAACAGCCGGCATCACCTTCATCAGAAATTGGACAAGACGAACTGGGAGCGCGCTATTGACGGAGCTCTTCAGCACAGTATAAGCCAACTACCTGGGGATCGTCATGCCGACACGGGCGAGATTGCGGGTTTGACGAGGGAAGCAGAACTCCTCAAGTCCAATTTTGCGCGAGAAGCCTACAGGGATGTGCTGGAGCAAGACAAGGCCGGAGACGCCGGAATCATGCAGATTCTGCTTACCGCGCAGTTCGAGATACTGGCATCGCTGTCGGAGACGATGAACATGAGCGGGGGCGAGGCAGTAGCCCACGCCAAGAACATCATCCACCGTCTGCTGGAGACCGGCTATACGGCCACCGCGCAGGTGGTGAAGCCTGACGGAGCAAAGATGCCACTTGAGGCGTTCGCACCAACCAAGCGTGGAACACCAAAACGAAAGAGGATGTCGAACATGCCGGGAGGTGCCGTGAAGCCTATTCCCAACCCAGCTCTGGCGGCTGTCGCAGCAGCGTCTCAGCCGCCCCAGATGTTCTTGTCTCCCATAAAGGGGTCCCCACGAAGACGCAAAGCGCTTAACGCGCGCAAGGGTGTCTCGTTCACGCCTAAGAAGAAGTCGCCCTCGAAGCGGGTGGTGCGATGGCGTGATGACGACGGCGAGTCGGGCACGTTGGCCGACTTTGAGAAGACGCCGCAGAAGTTTGCCATGACACCCGAGCAAAGCTCGCCGGAGAAGCCCATGCCCAAGATTCCCGAGATCCCGTCGTATCTGAACAACGACTCCGCCGACGATTCGAGTCCCTCGCTTCTTGCACCCGAGGCGGCAAGCCTGCCAGCATCGAAACCTAACCGGTTTCAAGCAGGCTTCCTGGCTAAAGGGCGACCTTCGCAGGGTAACGGCTCGCCAATACCGCCGGCCATGTCTCTAAACATCGCATCTTCATCCGACGCGGAAGACCGAACAAGCCCGCTGCGAAACCTGGACTTGTCGCGCACTGCTAATGTTAGGGCGCCAGGCAAGCGCCACTCCTCGATCAGCCCTCGTCCGGCTTCGTCGTCGTTCTTTTCTTATGTGCCTCAGCCAACGATGTCAATCTCCACGGACGAGAACCACCCACCGTCTTCCGACTCGGAGTCGTCGTCGCTGATTGACGCGTCGAAGCTCCGCTCGGCGATCCACGCACAGCACAAGAAACCTAGGCGAATCTCGTCGCTCGCCAACGTCAGCTCGACCGCTTCGAACGCCAGGCGCGTCTCGTCGATCGGATCGGTGAGCGGCAATGTGCATAAGCCGAGCCACAACCACTCTGGCCCGCTGTCTTCGAGCACTAACGGCATATCCAGGCTCCGACGCGGAAGTGCGGAACGACGTAGGAGTCCTCCGATCAACTGCTCGCCGCCCGAGGCCCGAGAGTCCAAGGCCTTCACCTCCGGACAAGCCAGACGCATGAACCTGGGCGGCTCCGTGAGGGCTGGGCTGGGCAGTCCTGGTGAGAGCAGAGACCGCGGCGGCGACAACGGGCAGGGGCGGCGCATCACTATCGGCGGTGCGGCCATGGCCGGCGGCAGCGCACGCAAGGAGAGGAGCGGTGTCATCTGGCGGTGAGGCCCGTTTTCCCGTGATATCGTTGCAAGCATCACAACGGTCGAAGGTGGTTTCCGGATATTGGGATCGAGACTGTTGTTGTAGAACAAGCGAAGGGGTTTGCACTGCTCAATTAGGCCGGAGAAGGCTTGGTGTTTTGGAGAACTTTCGTCGTTCTGGAATCAGTCATCAGTCCGGCCGTCCACTGCGGGATAGGCTCCCGTCATCATCATCAATCGCCAAACATCATCATCATCAGTGCTGGCTGGCTGGTGGTGGTGGTGTATTGGAGTTTTTTCTTCTGCATTGTGTATATTTTCTGTATTCATCAGGGTGCGTTCTAGGGCGGCTGATAGGATTCGATATGATAATTCATGACCTAAATTGTTCATATATTCCTTATGACTTGTTTCGAGCGTGCTTTGTTTTTTGATAACGAGGTGTGCCTTGGAGAGACGGCGTCTCTGTAGTTGGAACTCTAGTCAGAAGATTCAAGGCTCGACTTGGATCTCGAGTGGCTCGCCCTATTGACTGACACCTTGAGGGTATTTCGATTGTTGCTGTGTGATACGTTTGTGTCCTTGGCGGCCGGGGAGCAGACAGGATTGCCTTGTAAGTCTAGCACCGCTTGCACAGCTCCGTATCTGAGAACTTATCATTACCTAGGGAGGTAGTTCAGGCGGAGCGATGTGTCTACGCTCTTGGCGCCTGCATCGGCGGAGTTACGTCTGGCCGCCAGTGTAGGCTTCCAGGGGGCACTGGGTTGGACCTCCGGGCCCCTTTCTTTCCACGAGCTCCCCACGCCCATGGAAATCACACCCCATCAGCGACCCCCTGCTGCCGCACAGGAAGGCTGGAGTTATTGTGAAAATCTCGTTGGCTTTGACACCTGACAGCAAATTCTAATTTCTTTCATAAGCCAACCTCTACTATTTTGACGATCCCGCACAAGGGACGCTTCTCAGGCTTGGGCCCTTTATGGCTACGATACTCCTTTGAGCCCTTGATGTGTTGATCAGCGTGTTTTCCAAACAGGGCCATTGTTCTGGTACAATCCCATTGATCAAGGCCCCGTTTTCCTTCGTGGTGGGACGGGAGACACGGTGGTCTACTGGATGTATAAGAGTCTGCCTCGCATTCGACAACAGAGACACTCACTATCATCCCATCAATACATCATCTCATCAGCTTATAAGCTCATCAGCTCATCAGCTCAAGCTCATAATCTCATCAGCTCATCAGCCCATCCGCAATCCAAGGCGTGCCGCATTGAGAGCTCAGCTTTCACAACGTAACGACTTGACACGTAAAGCTTCAAAGTAAGTCTACAATGGAGCACCCAACCACAACCACAGCTGCTGAAAACAGCCCCAAGACTACGATCGAGACTAACAACTTCCACGAGGTGCTCAAGCACTTCGACGCTGAAGGACGTATCATCGACCATGAGACACGATTCGCCGTCCAGTGCGCCATCTGCATCGAGAGGAACCTGAGCCTTCTCAACGACCGCTTCGATACCAAAAGCCGTGCCACGCATGAGCCGTACACCGTGCTGCCCTGCGGCCACGCTTTCGGATATGAGTGTGTATCGAACTGGGCTCTCCATCGCGAGATGCCGACATGTCCATTGTGCCGCAAGGCCATCTACGCTCGCGCAGGCCAGCGAAGTACCTTCAAGATCTTTGGCGCGGGTACCTCTGAAGAGCAGCATGAGGAGGTCGTCGAGGTGCGCAGGTTTCTCGACAGAGTAGGCCAGGCCGACGAAGTTGCCGAACCAGAGGAAGCAATGTTTAGTGCGGACGGACTCGAAGGTCTCTTTGCCAATGCGCGGGCAAATGGACCATTTCCTCGCGTAGTGGCTCGGCCAGGAGGCTTCCGGGAAGGACGTGCCCGACGCCGTGCAACCCTACTTGAGGCGGCCCAACCCGAAGCCGTCGACGGAACAAATCCTGTCCCCCTGGAAGGCCTTTCCTTGGAAGATCCATCTGACGCCGAGACAGTTGTGCGCCTCGCACGCGAAGCTCGCGCCTCATCCGCAGCTAGCATTGCAATGGAGCAAACCCGCGCCGCCTACAGAAGAGCCGTAGCAGAAAACCGGGAAGATTCATCTGGCGCCGAGACAGTTGCGCGCCTAGAACGCGCAAGCCGGCAGGCTCGAGTCATCTACGACGAGGCTGAAGCCGCGTACGACGCAACCTACAACACAGCCTCGAGAGCAGCTCGAATCGCCTATGACGAATTTAATGCCGACCATAGAGAAAACTTTTCTCCCTTGGAAGACCCATCCGGCGCACCAGCTCCAGGTCCAGGTCCAGGCCCCCTTCCCCGTGACCCCACGCAGGAGGCCCGCGACGAGTTTGCACGCCGGGACGACCAATACATTACAAGACTTTCCCAGTCTGAAGCTGGAAGCCGATTTTGGGATCATTGGGATAGCGACGATAGCGACGATAGCGACGACGAGGACGACGACGACGAGGAAGACCATGCGAACGGCGTCTGGGTCCCCAACGTGATTACTGACCCCACAGCCCGCCGCTGGACAGGGCATGCCCTACTCCGTGAGTCTATGCTTCGGGGGGTCCGAAATGAAGTCATACGCGCGCAAGAAGCCGTCAACGAGATATATCCTCCCATCCCAGGCCTGGACATGGGAGTCACCTGGACAGACCCTCCCACCCCAGGCCTGAACTACCTAGAATTCCTAGCCTACCAGGAAGAAGAATGGCTTGAGGAGGCCCAACGCGAAGTCGACGAAGGGCGTTTAGAGATTGAGGAAGGTCCATCGGTCGCCGAGAGAATCGTGTGGGCCGCGAGCCACAGATCTGGCGCCCTCCACACAATGGGGCAAGCCCAAGCCGCCTACAGAAGAGCCCAAGCAGGTTACCCTTCGGGTGTGTCCGGCGCCGCGCCGATCCACGCGGCGCCGAGCATCCCGAGACAGTTGTGCGCGCCGCACAAGCAAGCTTGGAGCAGGCTCGAGACGCCTACGACGAAGCTCAAGCCGCCTACGAGGCAGCCTGGGGAGTAGCCCAGACGAGAGACCTTTCTACTCCCGTAGACCCAGCGTTCCGCTCAATTCACGTACTAAGAGTACGTCGATAGGTATAACCGTCATAATTTATTAAATACAATCAATTCTAGTCCCCTCTGAGGATTATTGCAATTACGTGAAGACACTGCCAATTGAATTTTCTGATTGAAAAGGGGTTTGCGTTTATCAAGTTATGGGTATCATTTCGTGAAGGGTTTGTCGTAATAATGATGCCCACGACTTTGCAGCCATTTGCACCTAAAGAATGGATTGTACGGTGACGTGTTATTCTCGCAATATAGAATATCTCAGCACAACGCCGCAGGCAACGTGACAAGAGGTCTTCTCGTGATTTCTCGTGTGAGGGAGCCAACCCCATGGATGTTGGTGGCATCCATTGTTGACACCTGTGGTTATTCTAGTTTCACGTCACCCGTGGACTCCGGTAGCCTCGGTACTTTATGTGAGGTCCCGCTCGTCCACGGGTCGCGCCGTCACCGGCTTTTATGATGCGGAGCTTGTGCGGATCTATTTTCTTCCAACGTCAAGCTGACAAACCGGGTTTTGTCCGGTGTTACGAAAAGCGCCAACTGGTGGGGTTGAGAATAGACATATAAATCGTGTACTTAAGACCACACTTCTAGCCTCCAACAACTGTCGCTCATCTCATACACATCACCCTGATCAGCCCGACACCGTGACGCTCCACGTCTATCCAGTACCGTCAACTTCAACCACATCATCTATCCACCTCAATCCTCGAAGCCCTTCCTCAAGATGCCGGCAACATTAGTCATCGGATACCCCAAGGGTTCCAACGTCAACATGGACTACTACCTCAACAAGCACATGGCAGGTGTAACCCCGGGCTTCAAGGCCTCCGGCATGACCAGCTTCCGCGTGGTCAAGGTGCAGGACCTGCCGGGCTCCGAGTCGCCCTTCGAGGTCATGACCTTGTGCGAGTTCCCCGACGCCGGGCAGATCATGAAGATGCTGGCGGGCACCACCGAGGAACAGAAGAAGGCGCTGGCCGAGGACCTGACGCGCTATTCGGAGAAGCAGGCCACCATTTGGATCTCGGAGGATGCCAGCAGCGCGACCGCATAGTGGATGGGATTCTCGGAGGGAGGTCGGAGGCCGGGGACGGGATAGACGGGGACAGACGGGGACGGGTTCGCTTCAGGGACTGGGAGGTTGGTCGTACTGGGCCGCCATTGAGGAGCTTCTGGTATCGCGTCAATACATACACTGTGGCAGCAAGATGATCGTCCCTGGTTGTTTGCCGCGGCGTCGGATATACTTGACCACACTATCACACCTACATTCGACAAGAACGTCCACCTGCAGTACGAAATGAGTAATGTCAGTCCGGGCAAACGTCGTGTCGTCTTGATTGGGATACATACACCTGGCTCACTCGGCAGTTGGTGTTGGCTTGATGGGTAGCGGGGAAGCGAGTAATACCACTCACTCGTGTCTCATGAACATCAGATCAAGGCCCCAATACTCGCCGCTCGAATCTAGGAAGATGTCGTTTGCTCAATGATTCATTAACCCCCGGGCTTCATCACCGGCTTTCGTTGCCTGGACTGATCAAACTTCGTGATAGCTGTGCAACGCACATGCTTCGAGTGAGGCCATCGACGCCGCGTATCGACAAACAGCCTAAGCCGGTGAGGATGATGAGGGGGAGAGAACTCGGACGATTACCCCGTCTCGCACAGTGCGTCGGTTCAAACTTGCTGCTTCTCCCGTCCATCTGATGTTATCGGCGGGTTTGAGACTTGTTTGTCAGAACGATGAAGATAAGGGGACACCTTCATTTCCCATCATCCGTTTGCATGGGGCTCGCCGATTGTGTGGTGTGGTATAGCCCCTATTGTGAGTATCGCAATCGCTTCTCTCGAATCACCTCAAGCAATTCTTCGTACCACCAGTTGAACTCCATTCTCTATAAATACCGGAAGGTCTCGTGACCTCTTGCACTTCCTTTCCCATAAAGCAGAGTATCCATCAGTACCAATCCACCTCGTCCATAATCGCCCTGCCCCTTGAACTCCTCCCCAACGGCCCTTGTCGCCAACCGCCACCATGAAGCTCACTGGTACCGTCCTGCTCGCAAGCACTTTTGCTACAGCGCTCGCTACCGGCGCCCCTTACAACACCACGACTGTTGACTTGAACACCACGATGAGCATGACAACTGAAACTTACACTATGTCCCATGTGTTCACGTACACCGTCACTAAGTCAGGAGAGTACGTCTCCCGGATTTCCTTGCTTTTTTTCCCACTTGGGTTGGAAGTATAAGGGGACTTCAGAATCCAACACCTGGAAAAGGAGCTCAAGATCCCAAGCTCGTCCTGGAAAAGCATAAACTGACGATGCTGCGCTGCAGAGGCGACTTCGAGACGTACATCACGACGAGTACCTCGAGGGGCACATACACTGAAACCATATCAGAACCGATTGACACCGGCATAGGCTCCTCGGGCGCCTGGTCCTCGTCGGCTACTGACGCGGTTTCCGCTCCCGCCAACTCCTCCTCGACCGCCCCAGGAGGCTATCCTACCATGACCCATGGCACTCACACCATTAGTGATACTCCATGCTCAGACACCAAGCTCGAAGACTGCACAGTGATCTCGTCCTTGCCCACCTCCAACTCGTCCATGAGCTGGTCGATGACGACCATCCCCGATGTCTTCCCCATCACACCGTCCAAGATACATTCACCGATAGCCACCCTCGCAGGACGCAGCTGGCCCAACTCAACGTACTCCCAACCGGGCTACGGCCCCAACGGCACAACGCCCACAGCTGCTCCCACCTTCCCCACGTCCAACCCCGGCCACCACTGGCCCAGTCACACCGCCTCCAACTCGACCACCAGCTGGTCGACGACAACCATCTCCGATACGATCGAAACATACACGGTCAAGGGCAAGCCATATACAACCGCCCTCTTCGGACGCGGCTGGCCCAACTCGACTCATACCCACCCGGGCTACGGCCCCAGCGGGACAATGCCAACCGGCGCTCCTACTCACCCCCCGTCTTTCCCCGGCCACCACCCACCCAACATCACCGTCTCGTCTCACTCTCACACCCGACGTCCCTGGCCCACCAACTCGACTCGCTCGATCCCCGGGCCCATTGAGTCGCTGCCGACAGAGGCGCCCACCACGCTGGCAACATCCAAGAGGGAATTAGACTCGCGGAGTGGTATGGATGTCATTCTTATGGTTTAGCTGCGATGGCCGTGGTTTCCGCTCGCAATGGGGTTCGCCAAGTGTTTTGGTAGAGGCGAGGATGGTGATGTTCTGAGTTGGAGCTTGAGCTCGCACAAAACGTGGATGAAACTAAGGAAAATGCCCAGGAAGTTAGTTGATGGACAAGGCTGATCGTTACCATTCACAGCGCATGCCAATATGAGAGCTTGCCGTTTTGATGTGTCGGGCTGTTCCATCGAATGCAGACGTGAAGCCCAAAGTTGTGCCTCTTTCGATTAGACCTTGGGTTGTAATCGAGTCTCCCTGACTAACGATTGATACAATTGTTCGGATGTAGTCACAGCAGAGGTAAGAGGTCAGCGTCTGTCTGTTCGATGGGCCCTCGCTAGATTGCCGGAGCCATACCGGTCAAGACTGACTGAAATTCTTGATTCGGTACGGTACTGAGAATAGACCATATGAGGAACGCCCTGATGAAGATGTTAGGTCAGTATTGGCAAAGCTTCGCCGCCGAGCAAACTGCTCCGGGATAGTCGTCCGTTGGCATGTCCACGATGCAAGCAAGCGACAGTGCTGCCCCCTCAAAGCTGGTCGAGCGCATCAAGAAATCCTCAAAAGCCCCAGGCGAAGTGCTCCGTATCATCTTGATCCACGGCACTCCAACGCTTGGCACCATTCATACCTTACGCTTCGTGGATGAGTGTCACCTGACGATAAGACTTCGCGTGAGACTCACCATGTTTCAAGGAAGTCATGACGTCGGTCGAGATGGATCCGGCAGGGCTGAATGGACCCGAGTCCGCTGTCCGAGTCCGAATTCAGCCGTTGATAGCGCTAATCCACTGCAAGCTTGGCGGGTGTCAGGGGTTAGGTCGATGTTAGCTTCATCTGCTTCATTCCAGCATCGAACCAACGACGAGCCAGCTTCTCGAACCTATCACGAAGTGAACTGTGGGGGTATAGTATTTAATACCTATATTGGACATGGCCTACGTCTACTCTTTAGACGACTTCATGTATCTCGCTTCGACGGCTATATGTACTCGAGGCTGTCCCAAACAACAATTTTTCAGACCTCATCTCAAAAAGCACACGAGCAAGTTCTGACAGGAAGTTAAACGACAACATCGAATCAATATGGCGGGCACCGTCTACGTGCTCGATAATTATTATCTTGCCATAACATTACTCATCACGATCGCATATCAGCTGTTCTTCTTCTCCATAGCCTTCTATTTCAAGTTCGACAAGCTAACCGGCACGACCTCTCCCTTCATCCCATGAACCCCTACCCATGGCCCCGACACTGACAAAAACTCCCAGACTTCGCCCTCCTCGCCATCCTAACCCTCGCCCTCAGCGGCCACCCCAGCACGCGCCAGGTCGTCGCCTCGCTCTTCATCACAGTCTGGGCCCTGCGGCTGTCGGGCTTCCTGCTCTTCCGCATTATCAAGACGGGCAAGGACGACCGCTTCGACGACAAGCGCGACCGCTTCTTCCCCTTCCTCGGCTTCTGGGTCTTCCAGATGGTATGGGTGTGGACCGTCTCCCTGCTCGTGACGGTGCTGAACTCGCCTGACGTCCGGCGCTACCCCGAGGCGCCGTTTGGGACTGGTCGGGACGTCGCGGGCGTGGTCTTGTTTGCGATTGGGTTCGTCGTGGAGAGCGCGAGCGATGTGCAGAAGTTCGTTTTCAGGGCGCGGAATGATAAGGGGGCTGTTGGTGATAAGGGTTTCTTTGCCTACAGTCATCATCCGAATTACTTTGGCGACATCATCACCCAGTTCTGTGAGTTGCGCCCGCCGTGAAACCGGGAGATCCGCTAGCTAATCAATATGTACGACAGCCATCTACATGATCTGCGTCTCAGCTGCCGCCGATGGCTATGTCGGCGGCCAAGCCTTCAAGGCGTTGTACGCCACCATCGTAGGCCCCTTCTTCCTGACCATCCTGCTCATGTTCGTCTCCGGTCTACCCCTGTCGGAGCAACCTGGCGCGAAGAAGCGGTATGAGAAGGGCCTGAACTGGGAAGGCTACCAGCACTACCTGAACCGCACAAGCATATTGATTCCATTTCCACCTCAGATATACGGCCGACTGCCTACGCTTATCAAAAGGACGGTCTTTCTCGAGCTTCCGATGTACGTCTTCGACCCTGCGAAGCATTCAGACGTCGCCAGGGAACCGGGAGTTGCAGAAGACGATCGCGATGGGGCACCGGCTGCAGCGACGCGCCAAAGCGGAGAGCCCTTGACGGGCAAGAGCTGATCCTTTGGCAAGGAGGTCACTCTAGGAGGATATCCAGCGGCGTGGTTGATTTTCAATCAGATGTAGATGATACCCAAATCTTTGATCCTTATTGTATTAATCAGCAGCCCATGACTAGAAATAAGCAGTGAGGTCAACACCGCCTAACATCCAAGTGAAACCCGCCAGCTAAATCCCATATGGCCCCAGCTCATACACCGTAATCAATATACACCACCACTCAGCTCGCAGGCACCCCTAATGGTGGAGAGCTTCTCGGCCCCCTCTGTCAGTTTCGGCGCCGGCATATCTATCCCTCCAGCCCCTGTAAGCATACCTGGTTGGTCCAGCGTCTCCTGTGCCTCGCCGTAGTCGGACTCTGACGGCTCTTCAGAATAGCACTCCGAACCTTCGGGGATCGGCACCATGGCCGACTTGGTCCATATATGGATCGCGGCTTTCCAGTCTAGACCTTCTAGGCAGCCGCCCTTGATCGATACGACGTTCTTGTTCTGGGTATTGTTAGTATGGATGGCCAGTCTAGTTTGGGAGAGGTTCTGTAGATGCTCTAGATACCGGAGTCGTGTGGATGAGCCTGGTGCCACACTGACGGCAGAAGTAGCTGTCGCACAGGGTTAATAAGGCTCTGTCTGTCAAATGACCATGGTATCAGAGGACTTGAACTTACCACTGCAAAGAGTGGCCCGAGGCTAATGGCCGCCTATCCCGGACAAGGTTGTTAGCCTGGGAATGACATTCAACGGGCCGTTGACCACCGGCGCCGGCGCCCATCCACCCCCCACCCCACTTTCTCGCGAGGGCCGTTCTCGGTATAGACTCACGTATAGCAAGACAACAGCTCGCTCTTCGGGAGCTGGAATCGAGGAAATATGGCCGAGGTGCCAAATGCAGAGCTGGATTGCCGGCGGCATTCGGCGCAGTGGCAGATGTAGAGCGCGAGTGGTTTCGGGAGCGGCGTCTTGAACGAGACTCCCCCGCACTGGCATTGAGCCTCCATATTGTTGTGTGTAATGCTTAGTCCTTCGTGCCTTGAGTGAACGTCAGTCGATTGACCGGTTTGAGAGGGAGACCGAGATAGGGGAAGATACTTGAAGATCGTATCCAGACCTGTGAGTCAAGTCACGTCTTCACGTGAGGAGGGAGGATGTAGTCCAATGCTGGGATCCCCACCCGAGGAGTCGGCCTTCAGCTATGAATCCTGATTCGACGGTTCTCCCTTACATTGGGTACTCCGGCTGATACTGTGGTGCTATTTTTAACCAAACATCGAACATTGGATACCGCCTACTTTTGGTTGTTCCAGAAGTTGGTTCTCTCCGAGCTCGCTTGGTTTACTGCCATTTCGAAGCCCAGTGCCCAGCCCCACATCAACTTTCTGTATACACACATATGATTCCGTCAATAACGATAAAAGTACGTTTTTAACGACAACGCTTTTAAATCTTACGTCGCATATGTTAACCGTACATTCTTAAATAGTACTAGTTTATACTTATTTTAAACATTGTTAAACTTCAGGTTGCGGAATACTGTTCATTCGTTCGTGGATTATCTAAGTGTTCTACTGCTACCTTGGATGGACGTATTTGTATGCAAATACGCACCTATCGCGTCCCACTCGCGTAGCGGCTGAGCAGTGGGGCAACGGTCGCTAGTCGGCCGTCCCCATAGAGCTCGGACCACCCCGATCCCCACGCATAGACCACCTCCAACACACACCCTGAGCCACCACATCTGACAAACATGTATTATAAATACATGCGACGTCGATTTAAAAGCGTAATAGTTGTAAAGCGTATTTTTATCGTCGTTATTACCAGTGTTATAGTCTGGTACAGGTAGCCTATGTGGTGAGTCTTAGAGCCCGGACATGAGTACATGTACCACCATTGAATGTCAAGCTGCCACGCTTGATATTCGACATCCTTTTGGAAGGAACAGCCGTAGCATGGTGGTTATAGTGAGCGTTCCGTCACAACCAGGTTAATACATAAGGTAATAAACCTCGGCATTTTTTAAATAATATTTTTTTTTGTTTATTAAATACGATAAGAGTACGCCTTATAACTATTACGTTATTATATTAACTGTCAGATATTGGATCCCAGATATGGTGCCCTTAGGTGCAGTACCCACTAAGGGGCTGTCAAAGAAACCGTGGATCCATCCTGGTAGGGTGCAGTATAGTATTTAGCTGTAGATTAGCCCTGCCGAGCATACTTGAGAATGATAACAACATTTTGCAGCGACCACTCACACCCCCAAGTGTCACGGCGAGCGTACTGAGGAGCTGAGACATGGCCGGCAGCAAGCAGCTATTACTCTATTGACGAGAATATCAAGACTAAAGAGGAAAGGAAGAAAGAGAGAGAGATAGGTACAGTGGGAGGTTGCCCCTTTAAGGGGATCCTCTGGTCAGATCCTTCCCCTATTGGGAAGTATCCGCTTGTCATGTGAGAAGGTCTGTACAGGCCGTCACACCAAGGCTTGTGACCCTTCTAGAATCTCACATTAACGTTATATTAATAAAGTTAATTGATAATTAAATATTATATTATATTATAATAAGGTAGATTTATTAGTTTTTTAACAGCTTTTGAACAGGTATTATACTTAAGGGCATTATATTGTGCCTTCGTGGTAGCGGAACAAGAACGGGGATCTATCACAAGTCTTGGTTGGGATGATCTGTATTCTGGTTGGTGCTTGGTTACGTTTAGATCGGAAAGAATCCCATCCAAGAAGTATCCAAATACATAAATTACAGTGGGTTGGTTCCTGTCACCTGGGGCAGCCATCCTAGGTAACCTTATCGTAGAATGCCCTGGATGATGGGAGGTCCGATAAGGTACTGATGGCTAGATCCAGTGGCTGGGATCCACAATATCTAGGATTTAACATCTAATATAAGGCTATGTGAGATTCTAGAAAGGTCACAAGCCTTTGGGGTGTGAGCAGTCGCTGCAAACGTTGTTGTCATTCTCAAGTATGCTTGACAGGGCTAATCTACAGCTAAATACTATACTGCACCATGCCAGGGTGGATCCACTGTTCCCTTGACAGCCCCCTAGTAGGTACTGCACCTAAGGGCACCATATCTGGGATCTAACATCTGACAGGCTATTAATATATATATATATATCGATATATGCGACGTTTTCACGGTAATAGTAACTTTAAAGGACGTACTTTTGTCGTCGCATGCCAGCTTAACTTTGTGTGTGTGTGTACAGAAAGTTGATGTGGGGCTGGACACTGGGCTTTGAAATGTCTGCTGACGACCAATCAGACAGTCTGGGGAAGCCAACGGGAAGAAGAGTCTTCTGAGAAAGCCAGGACCGACAACTTCTGGAATGACCAAAAGTAGGTGGTATACGCATGTCTAACCCAAGTGAATACCGGCTTAAGGTAGGTAGTCTGCTATCGCATAGGTGATTACTAATCACATCGCGTCACATCGTCTGCAGCCAATCTGACTCATCCGGCAAAAGCAACCGCAAACGCGTAGTCACATGGGCTGGCGCGAGAGCCCGGGATGATTTGCAATGTCAGCAACCTTGCCCCCGCACGGCGTGGCTTTCTCTCACTTTCGTGGCGGGTCACGATGCAATGCCCTCATCGCAAGCGCGACGACAAAGATCAAATTTCCACTTTCAGACCTATGGCTCGTCCAAAACATTACATTACTCCTGAACATGAGCGCCTCGACAGTAAGGTATGAGATGGCCAGACGGCTTCGGTGAGTTGGTATTAGGGGTTCATACTTGGGTCCAGCGAATTAATTAGCCGAGACGATGTCATGGGAATTGAAGCTACATGTACCCCTTCAATGTTGCCCATCATGCCTTTCTCATGACCACGTGTTGTCTACGTATCGAGAGCGACGTCCAACGCATTCGCCCATTTGCCAAGTCCACGTTGCTCTTTTCCTCACCCCATGTTACTTTTAACCATCAGATCAGGCCGTACGATGGGGAAATTGATCTCCCGCAAGTCGTTTCTCCCCTCAAGCTTCTGTCGATTCGACATAGGTAACTTCCACGCGCCAGTCCGCATCTGTCTTGTCCTCGCTCAGTGCTTCACTCAGGTTTTTGCACCACTCCAGTTGCTTCTTGTGGTCGCGGTGCTTGTACTCCCTCTCGACCTCAAGATATCGAAGCCTTTTCATCAGTTTCAGACCGTCTTCGATGCAAGGCTGAGTGACTCCCTTCGCGTTCTTGATCCACGGAAGGGGTCTTGTTCCGGCCAGGCGTTGACTGTGAGCTTTGGATTCAGTACTGATACCAAACAGCGCAAGACCCGGAATGGCGAGGAAGAGGGGACAGATAGAAAGAAGTCCAAGCCCTACTCACAGATTTTGAGTCGCAACTCAACCAGGCCCAGACCCCAGTCCTCGCACAGCTCGTTCCATTGCGCATCACCCCCCGTCAAGTCGCTAGTCAGTAGCTCCAGGCGCGCAAAGCGCATAGCTTCTCTCTGCCACGGACGCAGGTCCTTGAGGAATGACCCCGCAGCGAACAGGCCCGAGGATTTCCAGATGCAGAACAGAAACTCGTTCGCCTCGAAGGGCAGCGCTCGGCACTCCAAGTACGTCTGCCTGTTGGCCTGAAGCAGTGCCGTGGGAAGCCCGGCGAAGGGACGGTCGGAGGAGAGGAGGTATGATGGTGATGACGCTGCACCTTCCGGCGTGTTGGCGATGATACCAGGCACGGCGCCGGGGACCTCAAGGGCTTTTGGACTATACCAGGGCGTGAAGTATTTCGTACAGTGCTGGTAGCTCGTGACAAGTCGCGGCGTTAATTGCCGTAGCTTGATTGGATTCATGAGGTGGATCCAGCCGTAGACGTTCTGCCTGAGCTCGAGAGGTAAGTTGAAGAAGGGGAACGATGCGATGTGGGATTGGTGATCTCCTTGGAAGGTCGTCGTCGTCGTTGCTTCGTACTTGGTGGTGGGCACCCACTCTAAGTCAGGCTTGACTGCGTAGTAGGCGTCGTACATAACCTGTTCCAGCTGCAGGGACTGAAGCGCGGTAAGCGGTTGGTTGGTTGCGGTTCGGATGGCGGAAGGGTCGTAGTTGGTGGTGGGCATCCACTCTGAGTCAGGCTCGACTGCGTAGTAGGCGTCGTACATAACCATTTCCAGCTGCAAGGATTGGAGCGCAGTAAGGGGCTGGTTGGTTGCAGTTCGGATGGTGGGAGGGTTGTAGTCGGGATATTCAGGCACAGAACGCTCGGACAGGGCTCCATGAGGTTCAACATTTCCACCATCTGAGTCGAAGACAGAATCGTCAGAATCGTCAAAACCGTCCTCAGACTCATTTTTCGGTTCGTCTGGAGTATCGCCACGCTCAGGAGGGCCCCAAGGCACAACGTTTCCGCCGTCGAATCCATAGTCTAGGACACCATCTTCATACTCCTCAGGCATGTTAACAAGCTGGCGCGGGGAACCTGCCATCTTCGTGACCTGCGTTGCGAGTCGGTGATTGCGTCAGCGAGAAGAAACAAATTCTCCCAAGGTGTGTGCTGGAGTGTTAGCAAGTTGGGGTCGGAGGCCGGTGGGATGATGGTGAAGAATAGGTCCAAAGGGTGAAATAATTGTAAGGACAACAATGAGGTACCTCAAGGCTCACAGTAATACGCCCGGAGTCGTTCAAATCCGGCAGTCCTTAAATTATGCGCGTGGGTGTTCAGTAGCGTAATAGACCGGTGTTGCTGGCGTGACAGCATAGAGTACAAGAAGAGATGAGCATTGCCCACGAAGCACACAGCGGACCACGCACAATAAATATGAACCAAGCACCTCCCAGCACTTTCCCATGAAAGTCCTAACCGCATGGCACGGTGGCACCAACATCTCGCATTTGGACCCCAAAGATGCCCGTGTAAGCACCATGCATACCCCCTAATTCGTCCCCGCGTTGCACAAATGACTGCGCCTCGTATCGAGCAACCAATACCGGGGGATGAAGCAGCCAATCCGAAGAACATTTTCCATTGCCGACACTTCGGACAACGGCAGCCAAGGTGTGGGCTGCGGGATTCAAACTGATCACAGTTAGTGTTTTCTACGTCAGCTTACGTGGGTGGCTCACGCCAGCTCCCTGACAGGCAAGATTGTCCTTGCTTTTGGAGTATGGTAAGTCAGTAAGGAATGGCAGCCCTATCTTTTATGGCTACACCGCCAAGAAGGTTGGCAGCCGCATTTGTAGCCGAAAGTCGTACGAACATTGTCGTCCCGTCCACTGATGGTGGTATATAATTATATTCAGCAATCGTATAGTATCAAGACCGAGGTGTAAGTATAGACAACGACGGAGTAGTCAAGAACCAATGCGAATCATCGTATTTGGAAGCTGGCTCAGTGTTAGACACCTTAGATAGCTTGGTGTTCCATCTTGACCCTTTTGATACCGTACTTGAAGAGGGTATACGGAAAGGCCGTCCCCTTCCCTGGGTCGAGGACGACGTGATTCTCTCTTCGGCGACTGAAGCATAATATATCGTCGGGCTGATTGCATCGTGCCCGAACTGCCAAGAGAGCGCTGTTCCTGGTGACCAAGTATGACCGAGGCAACGTATATCTCCAACGATCGGTACTCGGTCGCGCGCCGTAGATAGTCGATGCATTCCTTAGAGACTACGCAGCGCGACCTCAGCCAGCAACGAACTGGCCCCTCGCAGCGAACCGCATAACATTCTCCAATGTCGCGCCATCCATCTCATGCGTAACAACCGCAGGCGCAGGCGGCGGAGGCGGCCGATCGATCTCCATAACATCGTCATCACCCTCGCTGTCTTCCTCCTCGTCATCATCCTCATCGTCATCGTCATCGTAATCCTCGTACTCGTCGTCAAACGTCCGCCGCAGCCCCGTGCGCACATTCTCGACGCCCAGTTCCTGCTCTTCGGCCGTGAATGGTTTGGGCTCCTCCTTCAAGGCGTAGTCCATGATGCGATGCACGCAGGCTTCGCGCGTGCCCGTCCAGCCGTCCTCGAGCTCGCGCTCCTTGTCCTGATCGGACGGAACCGTTCCGTTCGCATTCACAATCATTCCTGGATCCGTGTTCGCTGTCGGCACCGTCGGGAGAGCCGCGATCGTCTTCCGTCCCTCCTCCATGGCGTCCTCAACATCGGGCTCGGCCTTCTTGCGCAGCAGCTGCAGCAGGATATTCTCCTGGGTGCGACCGGGGAAGTTGGTCGAGGGATGTACGGCGACGCGAGTAAAGAGGTCGTTGTTCTGCGAGACGATCTCGAGGATGGCGCGGAGGTTGAGCTGTAAGATGTCGGCCGAGGCTTGGAGGGATTCCCTGTTGGGCAGGCAGGTGCGTTAGCCTTCGTCCATCACGCCTCCGCGCCATTCAATGCAAAGACCTGGCAGGATACAAGAGGGGCCGTACAGTCTGGGAAGCGGATTACCGGTGAAAACGTTGTTCTTGAGACTGCCGATGCTGTTGGACAGCTGCGAGAGGCGCTGGCGCGACTGCTCGACTGCCTTGAGTTCCTCTTGGGTCAGGCTAAGGGAAGCCATCGCCGCTGGCTGGGTACAAGTGGTCTTGGAGTTGAATATGGTCTTCAAGCCGATTGACTACGTTCCAGAACTGATGGTTGCAGTTGTACGCAGACGAAGGCGAAGTTAATTTTTGCAAAATATCGAGAGGAGATACGGGTATCAATGGATTGGAGATTGATGGGATTGTTGGAGAGGAACAATGTCAACTGGCAATTGAGAATCTACATTGAAAGAAGGTTAGACACGGCGAAACGGCGAGAAACCCAGTCGGGCGATTTAGGGCCCACCCCAGCTGTCAGTGACAGGGGGGCAGGGATAGCTTGAGTGCCAATTGGAGGGGTGTGAGGGGCAGAGAAGGGGGGCGGGCGGAGGGGCTCTGCTACCCCAACCTTGATGATTGATCGTCATCAGGGTCTAATTTTGGGTCTGGTGACGGTCATGGCATTGCAGGAGTAGATGGATGAATATTTCAATTTCTGATCTTCTACATGCCTCAAGCAGTATACAACCAGGATACCGAACTCCAGTTATCAACATAAAGCCAGACGAGTTTTGCTCCTCCATGCGGAGCCATGGACAAACGAACAAAAGATAGGTATCTCGTGTAGCAATCTGCGGGTCGTTATAGTCCGTAGCTCCATACCATAACCGGCTCGCTAAGTACTCTCAAAGGTAATGAATTTCAAGCAAATGTTGTCGACCGAAAACAACTTTTCATGACACCATGAGCGCCGGTGGATGCAAATGCAGTATGGTGGTATCGACAATCATTCCGGGCGGAAGTAGTGTGGTGCGAGCCGTCTTGGCCCGCTTTACTCGCCGTGCGACCCAGCTTGGTCCACAGTGATCTCTCTGGTCTCCTTGCCGTACTTGTCCACGGGCGGGTAGCGGGCTCGGCGTTCAAGGTCGTCAAGAGGCAAAAAGGAACGAATGTACCTGAAAATCATGTTAGTCAACGGCTTCAGAGTGTTGGGGGCGTATCGAAGAGACGTACTTGTTCGTTCCGTTGTCACTGGGGTTGAAATCCCAAGGCTCGAACGTGCCCTCCTTCAAGGCGCCCCAGCAGACTCGTCGAGTTCTCTGGGACAAAAAGACAGCCCGCGTGATGGCGTCAAAGTCCCACCTGGCCTTGGCTTCGGCCTCGAACTTCTCGAACTTGAGCTTGACCTCCTCTTCCTCCGCCGTGAGGACCTCCTTCTTTTGTACCAGCCTGGCCAGGTTGACCAGCTCCAGCGGGTCGCTCTCGAGGTTGAACAGCTGTGGTTCGTCGGTCGGGCAGGTAATGTATTTCCAAGGGCCACGTCGGATCATCATCAGAGGGCTGATAGTTCCCTCGCCTGTGTACTCGGCAATCACCGTGTCGTGTCCTGGCCTTCCCTGGAGGTGGGGGAGGAGCGAGATGCCATCCATTGGCAGGCCGGGTGCGGGCTTGGTACCAATCAGGTCGCACAGCGTCGGGAGAAGATCCAGGGTAGAGACGTTCTGCTTGACGCGGTGGGGAGTGAATCGGCGAGGGTCTGACACCAGCAGAGGCACGCGGACTGAAGACTCGAAGTAGCTCATCTTGTACCAGAGTCCACGTTCTCCGAGCATGTCGCCGTGGTCTCCGCTGAATACGACGATGGTGTTGTCGTCAAACTTGCACTTCTTGAGCGTCTCGAGGATGCGCCCAATGCAGTCATCGACATAGCTGACGGCGCCGTAGTATGCGCGCCGTGCGCACTTGATCTGGTCGTCGCTGAATTCCTGGTCCCAGACATCCGTCACCTTCATCAGTCTCTTGCTGTGCGCATCCTGTTCCTCCCGAGGAATCTTGACCTTGGGCAGCGCAATGTCCACGCCTTCGTACATGTCCCAGTACTTGTCTTCGATGGTGTACGGGTCGTGCGGGTGCGTGAGGGAAACCTGATAATTGCTACTGTCAGCTTACTGAGTGACTTCTCATTCACACATAAACCTCCTTGCGCCCATCGTCTTGAGCAGATTGGATGTGCTTTTCCTCAATAGGACGTACCGTCAAGCAGAATGGGCGGGCATCGGGTCCTTCGCGAGCCTGGTCGTACAAGAATTGGGTGGACTTGTACATAACCTCCTCGTCGTAGTCCAATTGGTTGCTGCGCACACATGGTCCAGCTTGGAGGATGGAGCTTGCGTTGTGGTACCACTCGAGTCGTCGGTCGGGCTCGTCCCAATTGACGGCCCAGCCGAAGTCGCCCGGGTAAATATCACTGGTGAGACGGGTCTCGTAGCCGTGCAACTGATCTCCCACGAAATGCATCTTGCCCGCCAAGGCCGTGTGGTAGCCCTTGAGGCGCATGTAGTGGGCATACGTAGGCACGTCACTGCCGATTTGAGAAGCGTTGTCATAAGCGCCAATGCTCATGGGCAGTTGTCCAGATATGAGACTCATGCGAGATGGGGCGCAAAGAGGAGAGGGGCAGTAGGCCGAGTCGAACTGAACCGACTTGGCTGCCAGGGCATCGAGGTGCGGTGTCTTGATCTGAGACTCGGGGTTGTACATCTTGAGCTGCGGGGCGGCCAACTGGTCGGCCATGAGGAAGACGACATTCGGTGGCTTGGAGGTGGGAGATGAAGCCCGCTTGCTCGCAGCAGTTGGGCGAGGCCCGGTGGGAGAGTAGGGAGAAGGAGGCATCGAATTGATGTCAGGAGCCATAATATAAAGAGAGGGCGAGCCAGAGGAAGGGTGAGAAGGTCGATGACCGATAGAACAGACACAGATATGTCGGTAGTATTGGTGGTCAAGGTAGGATAATCAGACCGTGTCGAGGCAGGATAATCTGAGGATGGGAGTCGAGACAAAGAAGGAGGGTCAAGGAGAGGAGGAGCCGGCTCAGATATATGGTTCGAGATGGATGATAGACTGGTAGTAGAGGTCGGGGAAGAGTAGGGACTCGAGACAAGGAGCGGGGAGACGGAGGATAACCATCAACGGACAGGAATGTTCAGGAGTAGCGGAGAGGCGACCTGTCTACCTTTCGAGACGAAGATCGTGGATCTGGCTAACAAGGCAATGGCTTACGAAAGGACAGGGCGGAGCTCGAGGTCAATCTCGGTGACAGTGAAGATGCCGGCGTGGCCAGTTGGCAGACGAGCATGGGACGGTGTGACGGTGGGTGGGAAACAGAAGGTCAGGATCGGCTCTCTCTCTCTCTCTCTCCTGCGTGTAGTTGAAACAAGCAGAGTCCGAGAAGCCTAGACGCCTACAGGTCATGGAGATGACAATAAAAGGGATTGTGGGACAGGATAGTCGCAAGCTGCTGCTGGCGTGAGAATGGCGAACGATGGCGAAAGAGACACCGCCTATTCCGGTGGAGACTAGGAGACTAGGAGACGGAACGACTATCGACGGATTGATAAGAGGACGCCTCCAACGGTACACCCTCTACCGCTCCTACCAACTCCCAAACAGCAGACTACCCGATACCGTGCCGGTAGCACCTGCCTTCCTGCCTTACTACTGTACCTAGTACCCACGACTCGGCTGCATCATGTCGACGGAGACGGGACTAGCACCGGCTCCCCAGCCGGTCCTGTCAGCGGAGAGTCGCAAGAAACAAGCATGCGTCCTTGCCGAGTTAGGACAATTTGGATGTCGTGGCGCGTTTGCCATTTGTTGCACGCCGCGCTGGGGCTCCCAGTCATGCAGGGGGGAGCTGTCGATGATGGCCAGGGTTCGGTAAGGCGTGCATGCAGTGTTGCCATGCTCTGCTGCAGCTGCTGCATGCATGCTGGACAGTGTATGCACACTGGATACTTGCAACCCCCTGGTGTGGCCCCGGTGTCGGGGAATAGCCAAATGCCAGAGACCAGAGTCCAGACAGCTGCCAGAGTGTGACAAGTTACAACCAGCAATGGCGCGAATGGTAGGATGAATAGGACCAGGTCTGCAGCGTGGTGAGACTGGGATGACAGCCCCCTTTGACGTAATCCCCATCTGCAAATAGCACAGAGTTCTGACTCCTGAGATGACGCCGGCACATGGACACACCCAGACACCCACACGCATATCAAGTCACAGATAAAAAGTGGGAATCCGGGGTTAGAGTCGTCGTGTTCTTTGCTCTTTCTGGTCTGTTTCGTCGTTTGCCCAGCAAAAGAGCCGCGTCGCTGTCCGTCGCACTGCCTTATTGGTGTATGAGGAAGATGACAACATTTCGAGGTCAGGTCACATATCGATCGGTCTTAGGTCCAGTCTACACCGCAGCCCGTTGTATGTGTAACGTCGGCCTTACATCAGCTGCAATCACGCCAGAGCTTACGCGACTGGCGCAAGAAGACGCAAGAAGGTGCAAGAGGGAAGTGAGTTATATTAGGCGAGACGGTGAGAGGATCGGGGGTGGATGAATTAATGGAGGGATGATGGATCGATTGGGATGAGTCGATGACCAAGCAATGGATGATTTGATGGATGAGGGATGCTGGCTGGCTGGATGGATGGATCGCGGATCGATGGATGAGCCAGTGCATAGAATAGCAGCCATGCACCGTATAGTCGAGATTGCGCAGGTGATGTTCCAACCTTTTGCCAATTGAACTCTGAACTGCCCGATTGTGTGGTGGATGGTGTTTGTCAGACAAGCTCAACAACAATCGGTGCGGGCACCTATCGGTTTCCGATCTCCATGTTTGCCGACGCTCAACTTGGCTTGAACATCTCCCATCTCTCGACTCTTGAATCGCCCGACAAGTGACAATCGTGCGTGCGCTTCAAGGTGGCGAATCCACAACGACAAGCTTTTGCACAGTTTCTTCTCCTCCTCATCGGACCATCTTTTCCCACCTTTTCATCAAAGCAGCCACTGCAACGCACGCGCGCACTGCGATAATGCATCGTTCCACATGACTCATTGACTAGCACACCGACGCCTGACTTGGCTTAGATGCCTCTCTATCAGTCAATCCAGACCATCTTTGAAGTTGCATTGTTCTCGTGACTCCACGTCCTTGCAGTTCGACCAGCTCCCAGCTGGCAGCGTGGGAACGAAGAAAAAGAGAAAAACCAGAGCTCCGACTGCGGATGTGCCATCAAGCCCATCAAGCCTTGCATCCCGTCGGAGAGCGAATTTGGACTGGTATCAGCAGCCTTCCGCGTGATCATCCCACTCAATTGCCATGAGGATGATTGCTTAGTCCAGATCAGCATGCAGGTTATCTTTCATCCACTTGGCGGCTGCTTGGTAGCCGGCAGCCAGCCTCGGTGTCAGTCAAGGACCTAAAATCCGTCTCTTGACAAACTGCCCGCCACACGCCTCTTGCAGATACGAATCGGAGCGGAGACTTCAGTGAGAGCGATTTTGCCGCCCGCATTATCTCTTCGTCTGTTCCGCGAGACCCTGACGGTCTCGCCCGTCTAGCTAGCTCCCATAGTAGGCAAGTATCATCACGACCTCCAACCGAAGCTGCCGAAGCTCCTGCGAGCTGATTGCTGATTGCTCGTGCCAAGCCGTGTTAACATTCCGCCGCCCATCAAGCAAACTGTCATGGTAAAGATACGGCGGACGTAATAACGAGGCAAGCACGTGTAGATGGAAGTGCAATTTGTATTAGAGGTGGTAAATGCTCCTTCAGGACGTAGTCTTACAAATCTAGCCCATCGGCCAGCCAATCTCACCCAAAGTTGGGACACTGGCACACACGACGAACGTTCGGGCAACTTTACCCTCTGCGTCGCGTTGTCGGCCCCTTGCTCTTGGGCGTTGCCGAAGATGCAGCTGAGCTCGGAGCTGTTGCGGCAGCCGGCATCTTCTGTTTCCCCTTGACCTTGGCCGACGGTGCGTTCCAGTAATATACCATCTGCACGGCCAGGACGAGGTTGAGTGTGAAGCCCGCCACGAAACCGTACAGGATCAGCTTGTCATCCACCTCCTGCAACGTTGTAAAGATGCGCGAGAGAGAGCCGGCCAGGTAGTTGAAGACCTGCAGGCACGTATAAATTAGTCACAATGCGCCAGGCCACACACGTGTTGTTTGGGGGGTCACGAGGTTGGTTTCCTGCTTACCGTGAAGGCGCTTAGCTGACCCGTTCCACCTTCTTGGAAGATAGCAGCAATCTGAGGCACTTTGCTGGCCACACCCAACACCCCCGCGCCCGCCTGCAGATAGCTCAGCGCCTGCATATCGACCAGGCTTCCGTTGAACAGTGTGACCACACTCACGGCCAAGGCGGCGACGAACAGCGCAGCCATGCTCGCGCGGCCGCTGTAGTTCAGGACGAGGACAGCAATGATGACGTTTTGGACCAGGATGAGCGCCGTCTCGCCAAACGTGCTGAAGGGGAATCCATTCCGGAAGTTATATGCAAGGGTGATCAGATAAGACGTGGTCTCGAGGACGTAGGATAGGAAGCTGATGCCCGAGGCCGACTGGGACTGGACCAGCTTGATGATCTGCGGCACCTTGACGATGGACGAGGCGCCGATGATGCCGATGCCCAACCCCTTGGAGATGGCCAGCTTCAGGCATTCCGAGTTGGTCGGGTCGAGATCGAATATCAGGGTCTTGTAGCAGACATCGCCAATGATGGACACGCCGAGGTCGTGGATGGGAGTCGGTAGGTTGTGGGTGATGGGCTGCAACGGCTGCAACACGGATCGGAGGGTTTCCATATTGCGAGTCGGCCGTCGAGCAGGAGGTTGATTCGCGCAGGTAGAGCACTAGAGCGGCCTTCTCGTCGATAGCCGTCGAGGGAGGGCGGGTGTCGGGGGCGGGTGGACGGTTGAGGGGTTTTGAACGTCTTGGAAGGAGACAGCGAAGAGGCAGAGGCGGACACGTCTGCATGTGAAGAAGTGGCCGATTCCCATCCACTCAGCTCTCAAAGGACGCGATGAATAGGGTGCATGCTGCTGGACAGGGGGGGCATTCACTTTGGGTTTGGGGGACCATGTGGGGAAAAGGGAAAAGGCAAAAGGGAAACGGCAGAAAGAAGCTATGACCACTCTGCATTTGCATTGGGACTATCACATTATCTACCGCCTGCAGCTGCATCACACATGGGTCATGGGCACATGCCACAGAGCCGGGAGGCAGGACAGCACGGTGTACCGATAGATGAACGGCCATCAACCAACCATTGTTCTCGCCACCAGCAGGCTTATTGCTGGATGTCATGCAGGATGCTGTTCCGTTGTTTGTGCGTCTGGCTATGTAGGCTACGATCCCTGTAACTATCCTATAGTCCCGAGACTCGCAGCTCGTCCTAGCGTACACACGCACATGATCAACCCTGCATCAGCCAGTTTGCTGAGAGAGATCCTGCTTCCTCGACCAATCAGTCAACTCGAACCATCCTTATCAGATGCAAAGCCCGATGCCTTGGGAGAGCAACGACTGAACAACCTTGCTTCAGGCAGCATCGTTCTAGTATAGCCTAGTCAAGTCCAACAGCCATACGTAATGCCAATCCATCCACCAAAGAAAGATCCATCCCACCACCACATTCGCACAGGCGGATCTCCCGAGGCGGAACGAATCACTTGCTGCCCTTGGTGGCCTTCTTCTTGCTGGCCAGGAACTGCACAAGCTTCTGGCCGCAGTGAGTCAGGTTCTCGGCAGGCTCCCAGGTATTGTCGGAAACAGGGAAGCCAACCCACTTGACAAGATACTCCTCGGTGGCCTTCTTCTTGTTCACACGGGAGTCAACTACCTTTTCGACCGCATAGTCTTTGTTCGCGGTGCTCTTGCGGCCTCGGGTCTCAGTGGCCTTGTCCTTGCGCTTAGGGGTTGATGCAGGTGCAGCTACGGTCTTGGGTCGCTTGGTCTACATTGCGTTGTCAGCTTTCTCCATGTTGCAGGTAAGCCAAGGAAATGCACGTACACTCTGCTCAGTGATCTGAAGAGTAGCCGACTCCGCTGCAGCTCGGGATGATCGTCGGGGAACGTCAACCTCTCCATCCTTGGTCGCGTTGCCTCTCTTTCTCTTGAGCGGCGTGCTGCGTAGAGGGGCCGCCATCACTCCTAAGCGTGGGCCACCCTTTGCGGGTCGACCTCGCTTGGGGACGGGCTGATCCTGATCCTGATCATGATCATCGTCGACGAGTTCCTTCTGAGCAGCCTTGGAGGGGCGTCCTCGCTTGACCGGCTGGATGGCGGTGGCGTTGGTGGCCTTCGCTGCCTTGGAAGGGCGTCCACGCTTTTTGGGACTGCCCGAGTCAGCATAATTGTCGAAGTTGAGCTTGGCCTGGTTCTTGATTTTCAAGTTATCATCTTCTTCTTCTTCTTGGTCGTCGTCATCATCGCCGCTCTCCTCGTCGAGGTTGTGGGGTGCAAAGCGGACGATGGTGGCCGGGACAGATGCCTTGGCTTTGCCCTTGCCTTTGGATGCCGCAGCAGGGGCGCCATTGTCGCTGGAGTCCGCCTCATCATCGGCCTCCTCATCCTGAGCAGCTGCTCGAGCAGAGTGGCGAGTGGCGGTAGGCTTGGTGACTTTGGCCTGGGGCTTCGCCTTTCCCTTGGGCTTGGCAATCTCAAGCTTCGTCTTACCGATACCGGTGTCGTCAGCAGAATCATTTTCTTGCTCCTCATCATGGTCGGTTCCGATGCCGTCGGCATTCATGAGGCTGGAATGACGTGTCAGTGAGTTTCTCAGAAATGCGACGCGGGAATTTGATCTGTTGCGTGGAGCCATTATGTTCAAAGCAGAATACAACGCAGGGGTCAGAGAGGACCAAGTGCAGGTGGAAGTGGATTTGATGAATAGGTAAATGAGAAGGAACAACGGGAAAACAGAACAAGTTCGCCATGCATGAAAGGACTTACTCTGACTCAACGAGAGCGTGGTCGTCATCAAAGTCCATAGCATTACCCATGTCGGCCTCGATGGCGCTGGGATTGCGTGAAGCTGCGGCGCTACCCATCTTGCTTGCAATCCAGTCGGTTGCTCTTTGAGGTGCGGTGAGATCAGCGCCCTGTGAACGTCGGGATTGGGAAGTAAAATTGGATGCAGAGTGCAAGTCAAAAAGAGTTGCAGAAGGAAAATGGTGCCTGTGCAGGTCAAGGTGCATGTGCTGGGTGTTGTAGTTGCTGCGGGTGTGGGAGACGCGTTGCTATGAGCTTGGGGGGAGAAAGAAAATAAAATACCACAAAATTGGGACGAAAATTCGTGGGTGATTTCTCGATGAGGGTACCGGGGTACGCGACAAAATACTGCCAGCTGTCCTTAAAACTGATATCCAGATGAGAATACCACCTATCAATGTGCGTGAGGACGAGGTTGATCTGGCCCAAAGAATTGTGAGATGGAAAGGGCTGTTATTTATTTCCCGAGGTACCCAGGCTACTTGCAGCAAGAGCTCCCGTGGACGTGCCTGCCTTAGGTACAACATCGAAACGTCAATGAACCTCTGTTTGCTCCTGGTGCATGTAGGTACCCTGACAATTTGGTCAATTAAATCATGGGATTAATTCAAATTTCGAGGACATAAAGGATCAGGTCATCAGGAGACATACATTTATAGTAAATCATGTTCTTGCCCAACTGCGGAGTAAGTGAGAACCTCCCAGGTAAGGGCAGGCGCGAATGATACCTTCAACATGAATGCCGAGCATGAACTGCCTTCCTTGATGGGCTGATCTCATGCGTGGTCTCAATAGTGCAACCACTTCTTTGAAGCGATCCAGAGTGTTGTGGAGGTGTACATGATAGTGAGGATATACTCAAGCGCTGAAGAAGTAGAATGAACATGTACATTACTTGTCCAATATATCGCTATGAGCTACTCTGTTTCGGAGAATGCTCAACTATGCCTGTGGCTAAGCCTGCCTCTACACAACAAGCTATGTCCGCTACTCACGAGAGACCCGTGCTGCACTATATACCGTAGGACCATGTCCAATAGTCCCATTTTGCCCCCTACACATGTGCCGATTGACTGACCCTTAATCTTTTCCTTCCTCATAGTCGTCCGGCAACTCCTCGAAGCGACCCTCTTGAACCGCCGTTCGAACAGGATTTTCGGCAGATATAATGCCGTTTGCTCTCAGCCTGGAGCTATGTTAGTAGCCCTGTAACATTGCTCAGCTAAGTAACCTTACCTTTCAAACAGGACGAAGAGCCTTTCGGCCTCCCTTTCTTTCTCAGCCTCGGTCATCTCAGGTTCTTCGGGCTGCCTCTCCGAATCAAGGAATTGGCCCGTCACTGGGTTGATGGCTCTGTTGGCACCGCCTGGAACATTGCTGAAGGCCTCGGACGCATTTTGGGGAACTGGAATATTTCTGCTGAAGAGGAAACCCGAGGCAAATCCATACCCAACGTTCTCGACAAACTTGGATGCGTCCTTGTCCGACATGTCGAATAACAGATCGGATATCGTGTTGCGGAGCTCGGGTGTGACGGGATTCGTCGAATTCTGCAGCAGCCAGGAAGGCAGCGAGTCAGTACGGCCCAGAACCTCGTTGCGGTCAGCTTCAGTCGGCAAAAGCTTCTCCCGGATATAGGTTCGAACGTCTTCAGGGGCATATTCGTGGATGGCACGGATCACACCGAGCAGTGGCGTAACGGAGCTCTCGAGGTCCTCATTCTTGTATGCCCCCCTCGACTGGTCCAGTAGTTGTATCAAGCGCTCTGCCACTTCCTTCGGCTCGGCTTGCGGGTAGAGAGATGTGTGAATCTCCTTTGCCCCAAGGTCCAAGTTCAGCAGCGCGTTGACCAGATGGCCTATAGGAGCGTCCAGTGGTTTCTCGGGCTGGGGCTGAAAGGAGCCTTTGCATAGTAGAGTGGCGATATGAGGAACAGTCTGTGTAAACGAGGAGGTCCTATCTTTGCACCAATGGGTTATGTTGAAAAGCAGCTTTAGCGTCTCTGTTAGTGCCATGTCTTCCATTGGATCTGTCGGTCTTCCGGCGAGATGATTCTTCGCATGGCGCTCCAGATTCTTGGCGATACAATCTGCAAGGTGGTGTTTCTCAATGAGCTCAACAAGGTCCGCATTAGTGCCGTATGTTATTAGGAACAGTATCCTCGAGACAAGAAACTCGTTATCCCGGCTGTCGTTTTTGAGCTTGCTGCAGGCCTTTGCTTCGTAGCCTAGGTCAACAAACGTCTGCCGGGCATCTTGGTTTAGGAGTAATGCATTGCAAAGACAGCGTAAAGCGTTCCTAGAGGTTGTGCTGGATGGACTATCAAACGAGTGCCTTGTAAGCGTCTCGATCCCCTATAGTTCGTCAGTACCGTATGATCCCTCTCGCAGGGTCCCTGATCTACCTTCTTCGTAAATATAGGGTCGGAGTTTCGAGGATCCCTGCCGAAAATCTTCAGTTCCTCTAAGGCTGCATCCCGTTCTGATGGCACAGCGTCAGATACAGTCAACCAGCTCGCCCACGATGCCTCTCCACTTACGATGGGGTAGAAGGTTGACATCAGTGAGGTCCTGGCTTAGCCTGTCTATTAGGCTGGTGACTGCTGCTAGCTTATCTGTGCCTCGAATCGTCAGCATCAATCCATCCTTTGCGAGGGAAGTAAGGGTAGCCAACCTGCCCCTGTGAGCATGGCAGCCTGCACCTGCGCTGGGTTCTGGGCCATGCGGGGAGTTGCTTGTAGTTCTTCGGAACTCATGCGGCGGCTGCTTGAAGATGAGAATATCCTTCGCAGAGCTCCAGGTCGAGGTTTATTAGAATGCTGGGGCATTGTGAGCAGATTGTACGAGGTCTTGGATGGGTGGAAGGGTGTATGGATCAGAGCCGAGTGATGTGGAGCATTACGATGAAGTGGTTTGCTGCGAGGCTAGGTTGGGCTCAGGTGCGCAAAGGGGTCGAAAGAAGATATGATGAAAAGGGGCAAATACAAATGAAGGTCAAAACGCTCGAAGGTGGCACCCTCCAAAGATATTGCACTTGAAATATGAACTGAGCTGAATGGTCATGTCGACTGCCCGGTTTGACTTGGGTATTCACAGGCGTGGTGGGGGGGGAAATTGTAGTGAATCAGCAGCAACAACAATGGACGTACTCGAGGGTGCGATGTAAGCCGCACGCAGGCTAGATGACGATGGACGATGGTTCGGGACCCGGATGCAGTGTCACTCTGTTGACGATGGGGTGAATAGTTCCCGGTAGGGACCTCGGGAGTAGCACAGGACAATACCAGTGAGACGAGGACTTGTCTTTGCTGTGTTATCCACCAGGTTTGTAAGTTGACCTCATGAAGTGAGCGGGCAAGGATGACACAACCTTGAATGCCGAGGTGCCCATTTGAGACGTTGGAGCTACAGCATTCCAAGTGCACAGACCATGACATATCAGTCCAGCGATTGACGACGGTCACATTTGCATAATACTTGCATAAACCCTAAACTATGTCCAGTGATTATGTATTCCAGGGGAGTCCTGACATTAGAGGGGGAGGCTGGTGTGTGGCTGGGCTTTTTTCCATTAAAAAGAGTGGAGAGTCGAATTCGCGTCAAGTCTCGCCTGCCACTCAAAGCTGCAGGGACTGGGTAGCTCACCGCGTCCCGTCTCCTGCAGGTCGCGTCTTTTCTGTCTAGCGCAGAATACCGGTACGAATCCCCGTACGTCCATCCACCCTACATATTTGAGTCTACCTATCTCAGATCAAGCCCAGGGGACAAACCACTCTCTTTTCGTTCTGCCTATTGATTTTCCCATCTACAAGTTCTGCTTCTTCTTGTTCACTGCCGTGTTTCTCCGAGTTCCTTTGCCCTGTCTTGTTACTGTTACGTGAACGCTGAGTTCTCGAGACGCTCTTCTCGTCGTGGGCTGGCAAGTCCTGGAGTCGGAGTCGGAGCTGGGGTCGGAGCTGGCACAGTTGGTCTGCAGTCATGGTACCGCAAGTAGTGGTCGAGCAATCAAGAGGTCTAGAGGCATTGCCAACGAGACCACCGACACCGCCACGAGAGAAACAAAGCGAGCTCGACTCAAAGCACCTTCGTGCCCGTCACCCTCTCCATGCGAGAATCAGCCTTCACACGCCCCCAAATTACTCCCCAGACTCGGCCGGCTCGACCAACCCCAGCTCTCGCAGAACAAGAAAGAAGGTCGAATTCACCGTCCAAGCCGAATATCGAGAGCCTCCAACATACGCCCACAAGGAAAATGCCCACAAGCAGTCTACACCCGCCTCTGCCCCTTCGTCGACCGGCTCATCGAGGCCTATAAGGTCCATACTCAAACCGTCCACGAGCCTGAACCCTTCCAACCCCCTAAACCCGTCTGCCGGCAACGACGACACGAATCGTCATACCAGTCTAGCCACCATGCTGGAGTCGACTATCAAGCAGCTCGCTGGTGCTGACCGGGACTGCAAGGTCGATGCATACACGATGCTGGTACGGGCCTTGAAAACATCCAATAACCTGCCGGACAGGATCGCCTTGCAGGATAAGATGACTTTGTTCATGCAATTCATCCAACGAGATATCACAATGAAGGGCACGAATGGAACCATTGATTCGTCTTTGGTGAATCATGCCCTGACCTTGCTCAGCACCTTCCTCCACTTCCCTGGGATCGCCTCTACACTCTCTGCCGACTTCGGAGTCTTCATCATCGACCATTGTATCCGATCGTTTGAGGATCGTTCAATACCCAAAGACGTCGTCAGACATTTAATGCAAGTCGTTGCATTCCAAGACTTTGCCCCAAAGGTTATGACCACAGACCGGGTGGGCCGCCTGGTGGCGTCGCTACACAACATCGAGGAGCATCTGAAGGGAAAGAGCATCATCATGTCTCGTATCATGATCTACCGAAGGTTGATCAAGCAATCAAAAATGCACATGGTCGCCCATTCCGACTGGCTCTTGGACCTGTTTACCGATATGCTTAGTAGCATGAAGGAGATTCGCGCTGCTGCAATTGCACTTGGGCTGGAGGCTAGTTTCACTGTCGGCAAAGAGAAGCAGCTTTCCAGAAGAGTCATGGAAATACTCCAGATGGCCGTGGACGAGACGAAGTACATCGAGTACTATGTCAAGGAACTCAAGACGATGACGAAAGACAAGAACGATTCGGCAGCTGTCCCTCAGATTTGGAGCGTTATCCTCCTCCTTCTGAGGTATCCGGTCGAGCGATGGGAGTTCTTTGGATTATGGCTGGACATCATCCAGAGATGCTTCAACAGTAGTGATTTCTACACAAAATTGGAGGCCAACTTTGCGTGGAATCGCCTCGTCTATGTTCTGCAACTTCACGAAACGTCATTCTCAAAGACCATCGGAACTGTATGCCAACCCTTCATGAGCCAACTGAAACGGAAGGGCAGCGGCAAACAACTCGAAGAGTTACGAAAGATTGTCATAGGTAGTGTCTGCAACCTTTACTATTATGCTTTCAAGCCAAATTCCAGTACAGCTCAGATGGACAGCTACTGGGATGTGTGTGCTCGGCCGTTGTTGCGGATATTGGTGTCCCCTGAACCGGACGCAAAGAACACGGAAAAGCACACCGCCACTTCGCAAGGGTACTTGACCCAGGCTACTCTCATACTCACTGGGCTCTTGAACTCATCTGCTCCTCGATTGTGGAAAGAAGATCGCATAGCCGAAACCACACTGGTCAGACCGGAGGATCTGCCAGCATTGGACCCCAAATGGGTCAGACGAAACTCGCCCAGGGTCTTTTCTATTGTTGAACCTATCCTGCGCCAAACCTTCCTGGATTTCTCCGATGAGGAGTCAGACACATGCAAGCTCTGGCGGTCCCTTGTGGGTGCTGTAGCGACTGCCGCGTCCAAGGAGGTCAAGGTATCAACAGACACAGCGTCCTTCTTGGGGCATGCTCTCGGCTTGCTCCTGAAAATATGGCCAACCGGGCTGAGTGAAGCATCGGACGAGGTCGACAGGCAACAGATCTTCCTCCACGCTACGGAGAAGTATCTTGCGACGATGATCGACTCCCTTGGTCTTTTGCCTTTCACGGAGAGGCAGCTGTTGATGAATACCAAGCAAATGGCATTTGTTCCAGTTGCAACGCCTTCACATCGTTCAGGAAAAGGACAGCAAGGTAGTGCGCGCGCTCCGCTCCATCATCTTTTTTCGATACTCTCAACCTTGCCCAGAGGGATTTCAGATGATGAGGGACTTTCGAACCTGATCCGAGTCACTTTCCAACCGTTCATGCTTTCCCGGTCGCCTCGTGCCAGACGAGATCTAGGCCAAGAATTGACGCAAACGTTACCCGCAGATGAGCCTCACCCATATGGTCCATGGGTATTTCTCTCGGAAATGATTTCAACGTCACTAGAGAGCAGCCAGTCTAGCTACTTGACCACGGATTCTGGTAGTCAACCTCCGGTCGGCCATGAGTACCGCGAGATCGTGAAGCACCTGGAACGAGGGATAAAGTGCACACCAAATCTCCCCTGGGATCAATGGTTGTCACTTTTCCAAATGCTCAGCACCAGAGCTACAGAAGAGGCCGGCGAGGCTGGTTATTCCATTGCAGTTGTGGAACCCTTGGCCAAGATAGTTCTGGAGAGCTTCCCTGCAGACGATACACCCGTTCCTTTCAACACCCTCAAAAGCGGCATCGAGTTGCTATCTGCCGCCAAGCAACCTCGAGATCGTCAGGCACTTGATGCTGCTCGACGGCGTTTGTGGGGTACTTCGGTCGCTGGGTCTAGATCACCTTCGATCGACCCATTTGATAACCTGTACCGACTCACGAACCGTCTTCTCGAGACATCGTATGTTCAACTTGACCGAGCTAACCATGCCGAGGTTGTGGTGCCCCTCCTTACAGAGGTTACCGGCTTCCTCGTGCGATGCAGCCAAGTCCTCGTCTTCAAATCGCTAGTCCAAATTCAGCACGGGCTAGGTCTGTGGATTCAAGACGCGGATGGCCGATACAGCAGCAAGCAATGCCCCGAGGTCTTCGAAGCTGTACGTTCTCGCCCCTCCTACATCTCCTGTGGGGTAACTAACACGAACAGGTCAAAAATCTGTGGGATCGTATCTGCGGTCTTTTCGTGGATGCTGCCCTGGAGAATTTCGAACTTGATGCTATCGAGCTGCTGCTTTGTTCGGCGTTCAAATCCAAACACCGGCACACAGTTAACACTGTCATAGCCCTATGGAACCGAGCTTTTGAACATGTGGATGAAGTCCAATACCCAGAGTCGCTCAAGGCCGTACTCCTTTCTCTCCTGCCTTACGCCGATATCGCACTACCCGGTCTGGATGTGTCGAGTTACGAGTCTGGTGGGCAAGAGCCATCCTTTATCGAATCCCAGGATGATCTAGGCATCTTCAACCTGTCATCATCCAAGAAGAGCCGACGGACGACACCGCAGCCTTCATCATCCAGACGATCAGGGACTCCTGCATCTGTCCAGCCATCCTTGCCTCTGACACGGCGGTCCAGGACACCCAATCCTTCTCGGCCCAAGTCGGCTAGACGTAGCGCGACACCTCGCCTTCGCCATGACGATTCTCAGATACAGTTCGCCCCTATTGCGTCATCACCGACGAAAAACCAAGTGGAATCACAAGTTTTGACAGAACGGCAGAGAGAAGTCCGTGAAAGGCAACAAGAGAATTCAGCGCTTTTCCCTGGCATACGGTGCAGTGCGGAGAAAGACAAAGCCAATGCCCATGCCTCTCACTCGTCCCCTCGACAGTCAAAGGTGACGCCGCAGCAAGAAGATGCCGCGACCCCCAAGGCCAAACATGGGTTTGAGAATTATGTGTCTTCTACACCAACGCCCCGGCGCGGTCAAGCTTCTATTGTTGATGATGATCATGAGATGACGGACGATATATCTTCATCGCCACCTGAGCCACGTCGAAACCTGCTCGCCGAGATGAAATCGCGCGCCAGAAGCAACAGCATTCTGGAGGGTTACCCAATAACGTCTTCGCCGATTTCTGGTTCTCCCACGTCAAAGCAGCAGCTGGCTAATCGTATCAACCATCCTGCAGAACATAATGACGCCGAGGCGCAGGACATTACCATGGAGCAGGCACCTAGTGAAGGGGCCTTCCTACCTACCAACAAGGGTACAGAAGACGAGCCCCAGAGCAGCTTGGCGAACCCTGAGATTGTCTTGGCCCAGCATGAACCAGTCATAACCAAAGAACCCACGACTTCTCCCCAGTCTGGTCGCCAACCCAAGACGCAAGACACGCCCAAATCAGACAGCGAAGTCTTTGTTGATGCTCCGACAAGTCCTATCCCTCGCACACCCCGGGTACTTCGCAACAAAGCCGCGAAGGCTTCGAACGCTGGCCAGACTGTGGCAATAACCCCTCAAGCCAAGGATCGTTCGTTTGAGATTAGCGACGGCGAAGAGCGAAGTATGGCACGTCTCGTGGTTGAGCTGGATTCTAGAAAGTGCTCGCCACTCCCACGTTACGACACGGCATCCCCCGAAAAGCCGCGTGTAGAGGGCGCGCAGACTCTGGAGTGCATCACTGTCAGTACTCAGGATGAAGAACGGGGCTCCTCTCCTGGCATGACATCAAGCTCTGCGGAAGTGGACGATTCTCAATCATCAGTCAGGAAATCCAGGAAGAAGCGAAAGCGGAGTTCGGAGAAGAAGCAGGACTCGGCCAGCAAGAAGCGAAGGCATGGCAAGTACGCCGCAGCCGAGGATGTCGACGCTATGGCGGATAGCCAAGCAACAACAGCTAAGGGCGATAAACCATCTCAGATGACGGAAGGGATGTCAGTTGAGATGGATAGGGCAATGGAAGAGATGGATGGACCGGACAAGGCTACTCCTTCCAAACACCCACGGCCCTTGCCTGACCAGCGACCTGGCCTAGAAGAAGTTGTTGCGCCGGAGCCTTCCCACATGGATGAGGATTCCGACACGGACGGCGACACTGCGGCGGTGAACCTCCAGTTAATCACAGAAGCGTCCCAGCAGTCCGAGGCAGAGCTTGCAACGAAGGAAGTGGTGGACACAGCTTTATCTCCCAGTGCTACAGGTGCGGCGGCATCAGGCGAAGTGGTGGATGAGGATGAAGACGAACACATGGAAGGAATGGTGGAGACAGTACCTACAATGGCGCCAGGCGAGGCTGAAGGCGAGGCAACAGCGCCGCCGCCGGTGAAGTCAGCCATGGAGACGATCCTGGGCTCCCTCCGGAACGGACTCGAAGGGCTGCGCACAGCAGAATTGTCCCGAGAACAAGTGTACAAGATCGAGGACATGTTCATGGACATAAAGAGAGAGCTCTACCAGGCGGAAGCGCGAGGTCGTGAATAGACTGCGTGGGAAAGCACGACGGTGGATGGCGTATATACAGACAAGAGGTGCAGATTGACAGAAAGGCAAGGCAGCATGAGCATGGCATGAGGTTTTGGGCTACCTACTGTACTATACAGTTGATGACGATGGCATTGGCGAGGAGTTACAGGCGGCATGGCGAAATGAATCAATTATCTATATACTGTACCTATCCTATCCGCAGAATGAGGCGGTGATGCGGGTGACATGTGCATATGTACTTAGGTAAAGTAAAGTATGCAAGGAGATGCCCGCACTGCGCCCGAGTTTCAGGTGATGCGGTCGAGGCCAATGACACCCGTGGACGGCCACGGTAGAGCAGCTGTGTAGCACTAGGCATGCAGAGTCGGCGTAGCACCCTAAAACCCTTCACATTCACAACATGACCCGAATGTGCCTCAGCGGTATTTAATTCTGGCATACCTCCTTACCGACCGAAGTACTTAAGGGTCGTTGGTGCTCTCGGGATGAGATATTTCTCGGGGTTTTTGGACGATACCAGTGTCAGTCCTGCCTCCCTCTCGCCCCCTTTTAGCTGCTTCTCTGTGGTATAGCTACCTTACTTAGCGAATAAAGACAACCCCTGAACGACGTAACGTAATTACGTAGGTCGTCGGCGTATCTGCTTGATATACCTAGGTACTTCGGTTTTCCATATCCACAACCCCGCCATCGCGCAGCCGTTGCCAGGGATCCTGGAACACGAGCTACCCCGCCATCCGTCACCACGTCCACCACCACCAACACCATAATAACCTGTAGGTATCCGTCGTCACGCCCGTCCCGTTTCATCAAGCAGACCCCGAGATATCCACATCTAAACCACGTCGACCCGAAATAAGCTTCCGAATCTTCCACGAACCGCTCCTATTTCCCGACTACTGCTTCTGCTACTATATACCGCCGCCTTCTTCCCCTCCTAACCACCACCCGCACTACCACTACCGCCATCACTAGTAGCAGCCATGGTCGACCGTCCCAACAAGCCGACCGCGCTGGCGACCACGCCCGGCCTGCCGCCCCAGCCCCAGGTCAACTTCACGCACAACAACTCGCGCGTCTCGGCCGTGCTGCCCTCGGGCGAGAGCGTCGAGGTGCTCCTGTTCGGCGCCACCGTCATCAGCTGGAAGGACTGCGCCGGTAACGAGAAGCTCTGGCTGTCCGACGTTGCCAAGCTCGACGGCTCCAAGGCCGTGAGAGGAGGTATCCCCCTGGTCTTTCCCGTGAGTTGCCCCCTTTTCTGCAGTGTAGCTGTGGGAGTGGAGGCAAGAGGAGATGGGAGAAGGGGCTGACGTGCGACCGTATCACCAGGTATTCGGCACGGCACCCGACCACGCCGCAACCTCGAAGCTGCCGTCGCACGGCTTTGCGCGCAACACGAAGTGGGAGTTCCTGGGCAGGTCGAGTTCCGAGTCGTCGCCCTCGACCGGCGCCTCCGATGCCTCCATCAAGCTCGACTTCGGTCTCTCGTCCGCCACCCTCGACGACAAGTCCAAGGAGCTGTGGCCCTACACCTTCTCGGCCATCTACAGCGTCACTCTGACCCCGGACAGCTTGGGAACTGGCATCGTCGTTACGAACGATGGGGACAAGCCCTTTGAATGCCAGGTTCTGATGCACACCTATCTACGGGTCAAGGTACGTTGCTCATTCCATATATCTGTCCCATGATACAAGGAATGGTATATGTGAAGATTGTGTGCTGACAAGAATGGGCAATCGTTCAGGACATCGCTAAGGTCGAAGTCACCGGCCTTGAAGACTCCGAGTACATCGACAAGGTCGACGGTGCCAAGACCAAGAAACAGTCGGGCGCCATCACCATCACGGGCGAGACGGATCGGGTATACCAGCCGGCTAAGGGCCCCTCGGAGCCCGTCGTCGTCATCGAGAGCGGCGAGACGGTCTTCAGCGTCGTGCGCGACAACCTTAAGGACGTTGTGGTGTGGAACCCGTGGACCGAAAAGGCCGCCGGCATGGGCGACTTCGAGCCCAAGACGGGCTGGAAGAACATGATCTGCGTCGAGGCCGGCTCCGTTCGGGGCTGGACGGCCCTCGAGCCCAACGACACGTACCAGGGCGCCCAGACCATCTCCGTCTGACTGCTCGGGGATGGTAGTGCCCGGGATAGGGGTAAGGGTAGACTATGAGGATTTTCGTTGGTCTGGCTGCTATGAGGGTGAATACCACCCGTGTGGAATGGAAACCGTGCGTTATGATAGCCTGATGGTGTGGGGGATTTGCTAGAGCTAGGATCCGGTTCCCCCTTTTTCCTATAGAGAAAATTGACTTGAGCGATTCAGCAAGCAAGCTTTCATTCTCACTGGTCTCATTGCTTTGACTTGATTTGATTGATACATGCTCTAATGACTATGAACCTACATTTTAGCCTGCTTACATATGAAGCCTATTCCAGCTGAGTAGAACCATCCGGCATACAAGCATAGTACACTATAGAAGCCCCTTTTGAGACCGCCCTTGACTTTGAATGCCTTGAAAGGACCGATCTCAAGGCCCATGAGCAGCCGCTACACTCCTAGAGGCAAAGAAGTTCAAAGCCAGTGCCGTGTATAATTCTAGCCAGCTATTCAGTAAACATAGGTGCCTCAGGCCGCCTAAAAAAACATGGCCATTCCCCAGGGTACTCCTAACACGGCAACCCTGAGTCCTCCTGAGGCTGCCGCCATGTAAACTTTACACACGCGTGACCATCTGAACAATATATTTATCCTCCTAAGAGCAAAACACGGACATTCTAAGAGCAAACATCCAGCCTTACCAACCAACGGGCGTGATTCGCCATTCTCACGCGGGCCATCACCGACCTTCTTGTCCAACAGGCGTGATTCGCCATTCCAACCTGAGACTTTACCGACCTTCTCGCCGCCGCCTCTGTTGCCGTCCTCATCCGATCAATCACCGATACGGGGCTCTCACACTACTAATCTTAATCGGGCCCACTGCCGTTCTGGCAAACAAGATTACCAGTACAACAAACAAGATCCTCAGTACGGCAAACAAGTTCACCGGTACCGCCATCGCGCTGCCCTCGTCCCTCCTGCCGTCGCAGACTCAGGTTCCCGTCTCTCTTTTTCTCCTTTTCTTCCTTCTCTCTTAAAATGGACCTTAAAGATTACCGGTACAGCAAGCAAAATCACCGGTATGGCAGACAAGATCACCGGTACGGCAGACAAGATTACCGGTACGGGCGAAGGCAGCGCGATAACGGTACCAGTAATTGCTTTCGCAGTACCAGTAAGCTCGGGGGGAGTACTACCTTACCGTCGTATCCTAGTTACTAGGAGTGGCAACAATTCCCCTAAGTTATCCAAACGTATAACGCCAAAGAGTCGTATATTTGCCGTGTCTTTGCGGTTCACATCCAGTGTATCTGCTACCAATACGATTAAGCTGCTCCTTTTTGTCACCTCTTATTAATTTGTGCCTCTCGATAAGATCAAGCCGCATATGTTCCTTCCTATCGGATCATCAGAGTCAGAACATGGGAGTGATGATCGGTCTATTGCGTTGCGTTTTCTATCCATGGGTCTGGGGGACCAATCTAGTACTAAATACACACCAAAATACAAAGGTGTACCCATCCATTGATCCTCCAGCCAAAGATCCCTTGTCTATCACCCATGAAAGCCACCTTTCCTGGTGCTTCCATCCCTTTATTCTGCCAAGGTGCCTGCCTGACCCCTTGTCAGCTGGCAGCCTCCCTGACTGCCACCATACTGCCACCACAATCCTCACACTTCCATTTTTTTAAGACTGGTTGCCAGAAAATTTAAGAGAATTGTTGCCACTCCTTCTGGATTGAGTGGGAAATTGACCGTATTTATACGACTCACTGTAACACTGTGACGACGCTAAGGTAGTAATCTATTCAGAGGTACTAGTAATTGCATGGTAGGTACCAGTAACATTATTTACCCTTCCCCGTTACAAACTCTAGTCTTCGTCTCTCGCTTTTTCTTCTTCCTTCAGAATAGACCTCACCTTCCGCCACCGCCGCAATTCTCACCCCCTCTTCCGCCAGAACGATTGCCACCTGCCTCCTTAACGCCTATTCACTATGCTACAAGAACTATCCTCTACCATGCCTAACTTCACGCGCGACTGGCTCATCGACTTCTACAGCCTAGCTCACCAGCAGCATGGCGGAGACATCAGCTAAGATGTCAGATATGGAAACGAAAGAGGAGGAGCAGCGTGCACGTCCTGCTCCCCTTTTCAGCAATCCGGCGGCCAGACCGCCCAGCATCACAGCAGAAACACTGGTGCGGTGACACACTTCCACATCGTATAGGGGTTGGTGGCCAGGGAGGACATTAAGTGGATTGGGGGTTTGCCCGGCGTTCGCAGGGCCGACAAAAAGACGGATGATATACGATTATAGGAGAAGGACATTGCCCAACGGCGAGGTGGGTGAAACCCAGAACAGACCTTCACCCACCTTACCCCGGGACATACTTAATCAAATTGGCCTCAGACAGTGAGGACAGTTTCCTGACGGCCTCGAAGAAAAACAAACCTCTAAGGCTTCTCAGCAACCACAACGCTACACAGCCCTCTTCAATCATCACCGCTTTACAAGCCAAACCACACATCAAGTACACAAGCTTCCGAAAAAACAACCTGCAACCATAGCTCCCTTAGACAAGCGCGCTGCCACCAATGACGATGGAGGCGACAAAACGAAGAAGACCATGGACAACCCGGTCAGATAGAACGAAATATTATCAGTTCCCACAACCGCCGATAGCAAACAGTGGCGACCACGTCCTGATTGCCCTGAAAAGGAACAAATATAAAAGGCTCCTTAGCAACCAAACTGCAACGCAATCATCCTCGATCATCACCACCTTACAAAGCAAGCCTCAAATCGACTATACAAGCTTCCGCAAGAGACAACCTGCAAGGATAGCAAGCCCAACCTCGCTCTCTGATGTCAGGGCATTGTACAGCAGCTCTCCGCCAAGCTCGCTGTCTACCAGGGCGGCTTTGACGGCAGTTTCGAAAAGGTGGTGCAGATCTTGGGAGAGTTTGTCGCCATGGAGTGTTCGTTGTTGCGGCTAGGAGTGCCGTGTCCACAATGGAAAACCAGTTGGGATCAGCTCCATAGCTGATCAGAACCTCATGTGTCTCTGGCCCGGTTGTGGCAACACCATCGAGGACCAGCAGCCCTTCGACAACACCTCGAGCGGCACCGGGCCTCAGCCTTGCCTGGAAGCGCCATGAATGCCAATGGGGTTGTTCTCTTCAACTATGGATGGTCTCTCAAAGAGACCCAGTGACGAGGGAGGTGACAAGAAGAAGAAGACCAAGGAGATCCCGCTAGATAGAACGAAATAATACGAATTCCCACTAACTTACCGCCCATGGCGGCGACATTGATCTGTGATATCTGGTCTCTGGTAATGGTCGACATAGTGCTCGACATAGTGCTGGACATAGTGCTGGACATAGTGCTGGACATAGTGCTGGACATAGTGCTGGACATAGTGCTCGACATCGTCAACATTAGCTACACCTGTCTTGCCCTAGTGCTCTGTATCTCGCTCTTAGACTTGACCAGTGACCTCCCTAGTAGCCGGCCATTCTATGGTCATCCATACCGGAGTTGGCAACTTGGTCGCTGCCCAAGTTACCTCGGACTGGCCAGGTTGAGATGTGGTAAGGGAATGGCAGACATGGTGATATGGATGACTATGCTGGAATTTAAGGAGCAACGACTAATGACCACAGGGTATCCCGAAGTGATGTAAATCGTGCCCGAGCTCGAGACAATGTGTACGCACCCCGGAGTCGAAGGCAATGGCTGATGACGTACCTAGGTATATATAGGTAAGGAAGGTAAAGGACCGGCAAGCAATTGGAACCTAGGTAATAAGGCTAAGCGAAAATGAAGGGGACCCAAAATGAGAATGATAATGAGCATATCGGGGGGGGGGCCCAAAATGAGGCTTCCGGGCAAATCCGCAAGGGTAACTGCTCGAAATATGATTGGCCCTCTTGGCTGACGACAGACGACAGACATATGATTGGCGCTCGGCGCCGACGACAAGACGATGCACATTCTCAGCCGTCGGGTTTTTGTGTGTGGAGGCAGGGGGTTCGACGTCGTGCGTTAGGTAGTGTCGTCAATGTTGCCTGCCAACAGCTCACTCGCCATGTGTACCGGATACCCAGAGCTCGCCAGGAGCCCGCTCAGGCCTGCGGTGTCGAGGCGAGGAGAGCATACATTGGATGTAGCCAGTACATGCTCACAGTCAAGAGACAAGGGCATGCTCCGAGATGAATATCCAGCGGCTCCGCGGCCAATTTGCCTCAGGACCAAGGTCAAAGAGAGAGCCCAGTAGGAATCACACCAAGGCGCGATGTTCTCATCGTCTATAAAGACACGCTCCTCGGACTCTCCTTTTCTGCCCGGACCTTCTTTACCTCATCCCCTACACCAGCAACCCGACGGGAAGAACAGACCTCAGACTTATAAGAGAAGTCCAGCCCAGCTCGACCTCAAAGCACCGAAGCCGGGACATGAGAGACCCTCGACCAACCCTCCCAAAGCCTCCAACTTCACCCAAGCCTCCAACTGCACTCAAGATGAGCCAGGTACCAGCAAGCAACCCCCCATCCACACATCGAGGAAAACACCCAAACTAACACCAACCCACAGGCCAGATCCAGCGGACTAGACCGCAGCCCCGAAGCGAGCCACCAGGTAGACCAGCAGGTCCATCAACTCGGTCGACCCTGGGAAGGCAAGCACCGCGGACAGGAAAAAGATACGCCTCAGTCTGCCGGGCAAGAGGCTACTGGCCAAGAGACTGGTGGGACCCTCGACCGGTGGGCGGCCCAGGACATGAAGGACGAGCCGTATCATGATATCGGAGCCGTCGCGAAGAAGGGGTAGCATGAGCCGGCGTTCACTTGTCAGGGCCAGGGCTCGTGTGACTGATGGACATTTGGACGGCATCACATGATACAGTGTGATATTCGGAAGACTCTTCTTTGCTTGTGTGTGGAATGGCTATGTACCTCTCCTATGTAGACGCATCGTCAGCCAATAATCCCGCGGCAGAGCATCCAAACCCCAGCATCCAATCGCCAACACCATGCTGAAGAATCGAAAAACCTCCACTGCCCTCACATTGGCTTTTAGCTCTCCTCTTGGTATCTTAAAATGCACTGAGGCCGCTCATCCATGCGTGTCCAGCCGAATGACTGTAATGGAAAGTGAACCAAACCCGAGCCTAAATCATGAACTTCATTCGCTCCCGGCGTGCCTGTTCGGCAGGGGCAGGGGAATCCAAAATGCAGAAAGCCAATCCGTGTCCAACACCTGTATGCAGAAACGCCGTTCCTGTGTCATTTCGTGTATCCCAGTCGTGAATGCTGACCATGCCGTGTATGTTGTATGCGTATGATTGATGCAGAGCACCGTACGCAGGTTCCATGTTGTCCCTTCCGAGGAATGCGCTGTGGTGTCAACGCGGGTATGTAGGGGGTATCTTGGGAGATTACACCGATCTCATTGCTTGTAATGCTGCGCCAGCGTCTTGCCTGAGCAGAATGCCTATTGGTATGGGGGATCGAGAGACTGGGTAGCCGAAGGGAAATTCCGTACGTCCAGAACTGTCTGTCGATGATTGGGGACTAGTGCTTGCCCACCCGCAGCAGTTTGGTCCTCAACCACAGAATGAACATGTTCCAGGTGCTCTGGGTCTTCTTCTTGGCCGAGTTCTTGCGCTTCGCGGTCTGGAAGACGACTCCCTGGGCGCCTCCAGCCTCGTCGCCAAAGGCAGGCGGACTGAGCGGGTCGGTACTGTCGTAGTTGCTCGCGGCGAACTTCTCCGACTGGACCAGCTGAGGCGTCATGGTGCTCTTGCGCGACGTGCTAGTTCGGACGTGGGAGAGGCTCGGTCGGGACATGGCTAGGCTGGGACGCCCGCTGCTGGCGATGCTGATCTTTCTGTCGTGTCCCCTGCGCAGCATGGCCTCCTCTAGCTCGGCAGCCTCTTCTCGGGCCTGGACTGCTAGCTGTTCCTTGCGCGCCAGCACAGCATGCCTCTCCTGTTCTTGTGCGCGTTTGTTGTCGGCACGTTCGCGGCGCTTGATCTCTTCGCGCGCATACTTCTCATCTTTGGCGCGTTCCTTTCGCTCAAACTTGAGGCGTGCTTCGCGGAGGTGTTCGGCGCGCGTGGCAGTGTCGAGGTCGGATTTGGCTCGCAATCGGAAGCCGCCTGCGTCCAACGAGGTTCGTAGTGGAGACATGGGCGCTACAGAGGTCGATGGTGGTACCAATGCTGTGGGCGAGTCGGAAGTGCGGTCGAGGTAGAGGTCGGAACGACTGGAGACATTGACGAGTCGTGAGGATTGCGCGGGGGTGGTGGACGAAGTAGTGCGCGAGGTGTTGATTCTCAGCGGAGGTGGAGGATGAGGGTTGGCGGTGCGAGTGTCGCTGAAGGACGAGGTGCGCTGGCTGGCCAGTGACGGGCGGCGGAGGCCCAAGCTCGGTTGCGAGTGCGAAGCTGAATGGGAGTTACTCATAGGCAAGGTAGGTTGCTGGTGGTGACGGTGACTGTATTGGTTGTCGTCTTCGGTGATTGTGGTGGGCGAGTAGTCGCGGCTGTCGACGAAGGAAGTCATCGACGGCGCGTACGACAGCGATAACGGCGGGGTCGAGTTTCGTGGCATCTGCTGGAAGGGGTGCACAAAACCGTTGCTGCTGTTGGATGTTGCGACCGAGACGTGGGAGACGTGGGAGACGTGGCTTGTGCCGCTGATGGAGCGCGAGTGGTTATACCGTCCCGATCTGTTGTTGCTCGACGATACTACCGCCGCCTCACTGATGGCCTGCTGCTCCTGATAGAGCCCTCCCTCTGCACCTGCACCTGCACCTGTTCCCCAACCACCACCATTGCCTCGGTAGTGCTGTTCGCCGCCCTGCCCGTGCCAGCCTCTGTCCAGGTCCAACGAGCTCTGCTCCGACTGCGATCGCGACTGCGACTGGATCTTCTTGAGGATGGGCTTGACGACGGCGCCCTTAGCCCGCGGCTTGCTAACTTTATTTCGCCGGCCATGTGACCCAAATGCCGACGCCGACATTGTCTGCAACGAAGCCATCGTGCGCCACTGTATTTATTATACGTATACAGAGGATACGTATAATAGGAGGTATATACCTGTACCTACTCGTGCACAGAGATAGGTCAAGGTCAGTCTAGTAGGTGCGACCGAGGGCGTTCAAGTAGCTCGCAAACGGCCGCGAGAGGTTCACCGAATCGCATGCATCGGAACAGAACACGGGCAGGTTGGAGGGAGAAGGGTGTCAGGAGGTGACGGGAGATTGATGATGGGCGATGGTAATCTCGGAATATCTCAAGGACCAAGTAAGTTGATATGAGGTGGAGGTGAGCCGACTCGGGTTGTCGGGAGCCAAGGTGGGCCGGAAAGCCGGGAAATCAACGATTGCGACCGAATGACATCAAGACAGTTGACACCCACTTCCAGACTTCCAAGGTCGACACCGTCTTTCATCAATTGTTGGTCATTGAGGAAGAATTCGGGGCAATGATGGAGAAGAGACAAGACGACAATACAGTGATCCTGGGGACGACAATCATAATAAAACACTACTGTATGGGTTTGTATGAGCGATAATATGCAAGGGTATCTATCTGACTAATGTACGAGATAGATAGGTATGTAAGTGTATTGGTTGCGTTTCAGGAGGGGCTGACGACGGATTATTACGCAGCACGCAGCGCCCGTAACCGTAGGAACGCGCGGGATGGGGAAGTTGAAGGTTATCAGGACTCGGGAGGACGAGCACGTGGAAGAGAAGAGGAGGCGGAGAGGCACAGAGGATTGCGTGTGGATGGCGCGGGATGTGGAGGGATCCTTCCACCAGCCAATGATGTGTGACCAGTATAACCAGGTTGTGGCGGGTCACAAAGTTGGGCGTTGGCTAGGCAGTGAGGGAAAATGTCGGGGAAATCTTATCTGGGAAACCTAGAAATCCCTCGTTCACATCAACTCGCGCAGCCGTCGGCAACAAGCGTTGCGGCTATCACACACCATCGTTGATAATGATTCAGCACAGGTCAGCTTGCTACTGTAGCATCGTTCAGCCTCATCCGTGATCCGTCCAGTCGAGATGCATCTCGACCTTCTCAAGAGGGGAAGATAATCGTAAGAAACAGGGGTCCGCTCGACGCTATCGACGAACCATCGGTTACACCACAGGTTGACCACTGAGAGACGGGAACTGCTGCGAACCCGCAATCGCCGAAAGGGCTGGGCAGATCTAGAGTCGGCCGGGACACTGCAGAGGCATCCAACCAGCAACGAGAAACACCTGAACCTGAAAGAGGGGGGCGGCAGCCTTGAGAATGTCGCTGATAACCGTGCCCTGTACCCCGTGTCATTACAGCTCCATGTCCAGTTCCATGTTTTCATCTACATGCCTGACAGAGACTCGTCGTATACTTGATGTCATCGTTACTTCCCCCTCTGTCCTGCTTCAATGTTTGGGGACCACTGGAAATGGCTCGTATCCGGAGCACGACGGCGGAGGCCTACGTGCAAGGCCAACTCTCACTCATGCTTCCGAGTTCTCTCTAACTTAGCTTCTAGCTTTCCAAGCCCCAAGTCAAGAGCCTAGCTTCAGTAATACGATCGTTAGTGCTCACCTCACCCGCCAATGATTAGATTGGTGCAGTTCGCGTTTCGGCTGGCCCCAACATCCACGATTATGGGATAATCTTTAATGGAGACCAGCTGCTCGGTCCGCTGACCGTGCCAATCTATCTGGACGCGCCGCTGGGCGGCCGAATAACCCGACTTTGTGTCCCACACCGGCATTTAGCTGCCGTGTCGACCTTGGCGCGGCACGGCGCGGCACGGCACGACTAAATGATGCCGCAATCAATGTGTTGTTTACCCTTCGCCGATGAATAACTGCCAATATGGGGTGATAGAAATGGGTGTGCGAACGGACGGGAGCTAGGGCAAAAGCAAGTGCTGGCAGCTCTTGGACCTGTTCCCGTATATATGTCTTTTGTGTGTCGCGTATGTGATCGTGGCACTGCGGATATGTGCTTCTTGCCAAGATGGTGGTTTCGGTCGCTCATTCGAGCAAGCACTGAGTATACGGGAGATTCGGCTTAGAGACAGTCGATGACAGGTCAGTGACGACGACCTCGTCGTTGTCGTCGTCGCGACGGCTCCAGACCTTGGGGAGAGGAGACGTGCCTCTCGTCGCCGCAGGACCTGACGACAAGGACCACGACGCACGTCGCTTTCCAGCGACAAGTCGCTCTTTAGCGACGAATCGACGTCGACGGCCCCAAACCACGATACGAGAGAGTCCCAACGCAGAGCATACGTTGATGGAAGGGGCTGGTAATACGTACGCCCGTTCAAACTGCCGCTGAACCATCGCGGTGGGAGGAGCTCGCGGTACGGCCGTCGTTGTGACGGTGACCCATCGGCGTATTGGAGGTTAGAAGCTTCGTATTCGCTCTTCGGAGCCCCGAAACACCAGGAAGGATGTTCTCAATGGAGTGACCACGTGCGCACGGTACCCTCGCCCTTATGGAGGCTTCAGAAGCCACTTGTATGCATACAGGTGGACTGCTTGTGACGTCCCATTGTCCTTGAGACCACTAGCATAGGCCTTGAATATTGCAATGAACCAAGCAACCAACCAACCTGGATGAATCATCGGTACCAAAGTCGGCGGCATCCTGCCGAGCAGCAATGCTAGTAGAAAGGTGGTGATGATATCGCAGAGCTTGCTCTCAGCCGAGTAAGCGGACTCATGGTTGAGACTAGATTTGAATGCCCGAGGAGTCCGAGGTCCTCACATACCTACCTGTTTAACCGTCGCATGCCTCCCGGACGCGGGAGCAACCGAATCATATGATGGGGTGAATCCTTCATTCTACCTCATCCCAGTCTTCCACGCAGAAAAGCCATCACCGCGGTCTACCTTCACCGCCATCTTGGGGATGTTGATTTCCCACCACTTTTCAATATTTTGTGCGACGCGCCGGCTGATCGACCACACAAGAACAGTATGAGGCAACGGCAGGGGTCCTCCTCCTGCCAGAATAAGGTAGTGAGCAGAGAATGCAGACAAGGTTGAAACATCGCTCACTGATGCAGCAGCACGCAGCAGTCGGTCTGCTCGGTCCCAGAGACCATCTGCATCGAATCTGCCATGTCGTCGAGGGTCATCGAGAGCAAATTCACTCGTACCGCTGCGTGGGCGGTTCTTCCTAACTGTCCGACCTACATCACATCCCGATCGGCCTGACAAACAGTCCAGCCTCGTTCGCACGGCCGCGGCATCTTCGAGGGGCTTGCATAGGCGTGAAGGGGCCTCACCGCAACCGGTGAGCCGTGCAAGCAACGCCACTTGAGCTGTTCTCGGTGACCAGGGTCGCCGGTCTGCAGCCCGGGATGGGATAGCCAGTCTAGTGAGTCTGAGCCCGCTTGTCTGCTCCCCGTCCGGCCAGTAACATGGCCTGAACAGAACATGTTTCTCCTGGTCCTGCGCCATGGGGCATGGGGGAATACACTTTACATGGTCTGTGGGAGTCGTGCCATCTTTCAAGGTGAGTCTGACCATAGTCCGGAGTGACATCTGCGGAGCGAAATTATCCAGAGGATTGGGCCCAGCCAATGCCGGCGGACGTTGACGGCTAAATGCTGGCCCGAACGTGGCCGGGTCGGCGGCCAGCGCCTCGGAGGCACATGCATTTGCATGCTTGGCAAAGCAGACGACGACGGAATTTCGGACAAGACACCGAACCTACACCGTCAAGTTATGGCCAGTTGGCTGGCAAGGGAGATTATTCCAACAACCGCGCTGTAAGCTGATCATATGCAATCCTTTGGCTTCAGAATTCGGTTAGCCGGTATCTGGAAGCCGTTTCCCGTTCCTCGTCGAAGCAGGCAGGTCTGCATCACATGGAGCGGATTCAAGTGCATTACGGAGATCGAAACATACTCACGTCTGCCTGGTGCTGTACCTGGTATAGATGCGTACGGAAGGTGATCATGGGAAAGCATCATCGAGATCCACGGAGCTGAGTCAGAGCTCATAGATGAGTCCTGCATATGTGTCAACAATAGCGTCGAAGCGGGCACGCTGGCTGGGAAGGCAAGGCGATCAATTCCAGTCCCGACATACCAAGACTGTGATCTCCAACTCTGTCGCCTCTGCTAGGGAGATCTGTCACGACTGGACGAAGTGCCCAGTCTGGAGCTGTCCCAGCAGCATGACCATGTACCTTTCCTGTACAGCCAAGTACTTATGGTAAGCTCGTGACTGTTTCTCCAAGTTTTCTGCGCTTCCGTGATCATGTGGCACGGCTTCTCTCCTTCCAGAATCCGACACCAGCGACGATCAACTGCCCTTTGCTTTGCGGACACGGTGCCTGCGGTGATGATGTGATGGAAAATGAGGGGAAAAGTGGCGATGAACGATGGTCTTCGTGCAGCTGGGACGTAGATCTCACCAAGTAGGAGACCAGAATGGTAATGCCGAACATCACCAGTAGCAGGTTCGGAAAAGAAGGTGCGAAGTACCACTCTTCCGTCCCAGGAAGGCCCTCCCTATCTGCCGCGAGATCTTTGCTGAACGAGGGAACGCCAGCATCGATCGCATTGACGGGGTGTTGCTCGCCAAAGCATGGCCATCAAGGTATTTGCTCTCTCTGATGACGGCGGTGGTACGAGCAGCACGGCTGCATGTCGTATGCGCAGCTGCACGAGCGCTCAGCGACCACGAGCTCAGGAGCCTTGATGTGACTATCACACAAGGCTGCTGACCTCACTGCTGCCTCATACCGCTCAAGACCCTGCCGTCCTCGACTCGTCGATATAGGCGCCTGGTCAAAGTCGAGGACGCATTTGGCGGAATATATCTTCTTCGGCAGTAACTGATTAGCCACATCTTGTGCCTACATGGTGATAGCACGGTCATGCTGTATCATATCGCAATACTCGCACCCATAACCCGAAATGGGCTCTTGGCAGTATAGAAGAATGACACTCGCATGCAGACGCCGCTTAGCTGGTCTAGTGTGACGTACCAACTACCACCAGCATGCGCAGATAGAGTTCGACGTGTCCCCAATATACTTCGTACATCTGGAAGGTCTCGCCCAGCTCGAGCGTTGACCGCCAAACGTGTTGGATTCGTGAGGTCGGTGTGTCCGTTCTTCTGATGGTGAGGACAAGGGGGAGGAGGAAGGCGCATGAAATTTGGCCGACATCCATCCTCCTTGTGTGGCCGGAAACCTCGTGCCAATAGAAGACGACCATTTCCGGGATTTGGGCATGGGATGTTCCAGCCCTCACTTTCCTGTACTCAATATCACAGCGTAGAGTGGAACGTGTGATGAATTTTCTTCACCTTGAGCGCGGCAGAACGGGCCCTTGCTGCATGAGAAGCATGTTTTGCTCCCCTTAAAGAATTCGGACGGGGGAGGCGCTCCTGCATATGCAAGTGTGCTTGAAGAAGCATGCATAGGCGACGCCATCGTACGGCTGACGTAGAACGAAGCGCAGGCTCGCCCTCGCAAGCAGTCTATGCATCGAGCCCTGGCGGGATTTGAGAAAGAGAAGTTCGGTATCTTGGCATGTCGTAGTGAGCGGTATGGACTTTATCCATAAACACAGTAATTTCGCCGCAGAGGTCCTCTGGATGCACATCATCTGGTCCCCCCTTCTGTCCGGATGCATCTTGGTGCTTCCGCGGCCGCCTGGCTCCCGCTGTGGGCCGGCTACCAGAAGATTTCCAGATCTGGGTCAAGTTCCATGGCGAGACGCAGACCTTGGAGCTGCCGAATATAGATGTGGTACCGCTGTCACCGAGGCGGTCCCATCCAGGGCAGGGGCGGGAGCATTGACGTGCTTGCGCAAATCTCGCAGACGGGTTCCATGACTGCCACAGTGGATCGCTGTTTGCCGTGCACGAGAGCTGCCGCGAAGACAAGAATCGCGTACAAGTTTCGACCGGTGACGCTGTAAAGCGTGCATGGCGCTGGTAATGAGCGGTCTCTGCTCGAGAGCAGCTCAAAACATCAGATCGTCAAGACACCCTGGTACCGTACCAGGCAGTATTCTGCGGATACACTTCGTGACCAGTATCTTGTTCAACTGCGGGCGGAAATGAAAGACACCGTGTGCAAACATGCTGCTTCTCGGGCAAATTTCGAGTCCAACACCCCACACTCCTTGGCTAAGAGCACGCCCTCAAGGGGGTGGTGTGGTGTGGTGTGCTACTCAATTCTCTGTCGTCTAATAAGCGAGTGGTTCGGTTGCAAGATTTCACATGGGGACCCGGCTCAACCCCGATGAAGAACTTCTGTCTACCATTTGGGGCCAGCCATTGTTCGACCGGGTACTCTCTCCCCTGGAAAGGACGCGGGCGGTACTGGAATCATTAAGCCATCATGCTCGGCAGTGAGGAGACGACGGCTCTTGCTGACCTGACCGTCTTGGACTGAGAAGTGAACGGTCCAGATCCGTGCATTCCCTGTGGAGAGGTAGAGAGAAAGAGCCTTCTTCTTGGCTTCATCGACTCTAACGCCCTTCTGGATTGACCCGTCTATCAGTGTCGCGATGTAACACTCGTTACTCCAGGTGCTTTGCTTATAGTAGATACTATGTATGAATCTCTCGAAAACCTGTCCGCAGTCGCATTATTAGCAATTGATCCGTCAATACTTCCATGAGGTGGGATCCTGTTCCTGCATTACGACGGGACACGCGCCAACGGCTCCATGCCATGAAGTTGCCGTGACACTGGAGCTGGATCCCCGATGCCGGAAATCCCGAATCCATGATGAGCATATGTAATCTTGCCTGGTCACAATCAGCATACCCCGTCCGCAGTCTGGTTCGTGATGGGTTGCGGTAACGACTCTACTGCGCACGTTTCTACGTGCTGTAGGTATGTCTGCTTGTGACTGCATTGCTGCCTGCTGATAAGGTCTGCCGACTTTCCCAGTCTCAACATGAAGCCAGGCCAGGGAAGCCTAACCTTGGGGGTTACCCGTGGATTTGATGAGTTATAATTAGGCCAGCAAGGGTTAGCAGGGACCCCGTGCTGCGTACTGCTGTCCTCATATTCTAGCTGTAGTATCGTCGTCATGAGCATGAACGGCCACTACTTCTCTGGGTGTTCATCTTATGAGTGGCGACTGGCACGTCTTGGCAATACCTCAAGTTGGCGAGGTCACAGGTCTGCTTGCTCGTCATTCCTTGGAGGCTGCTTTAACCTTGGGTGCGGATTAGGCGGGAGAGCCCCAGCAAGGTCTGTGGGCAGGATTTCAGCATCAGGGAAGACGCCATGGCCCATGGGTGAGCGCGGCTTCTCCACAATGCCCAAGCGCGTATCCCGCACTAGAGTTGGTGGCCGGGAGACGGGAGACGGGAGACGGGAGATCATCAAGTGCAAATCGAAACGAGTTTGGTCGTGTCATCGTGAAGCAACGCCGGAGCTCAAATTTTCTCCAAGCTGTGCAGGTGAGGAGTTGAGGGCCGAAACCGCTTATCTACGATAAGGGATAAGGGATTAGGGAGGGGGACGAGGTGCTCCGGTAGGCTGACTTCAAGTTCGGAGCTCTGCCCGCTTGGCCGTGGCTACCTACATGTATGTAATAGAAACCATTCGGGAAACCGGTCCAGTCGAGTACTACATGTAAGGTAGGTAGGTAGTTTGGACAGGTCTACTACTCGGAAAGCGCTTTGTCCCAGCCACCAGATGAGGGTTTCACAAGATCTGGACGTGTTCAACTTTTGTGACCGTGACCCCCCAGCCCCAGCCCCAGCCCCAGCCCCAGCCCCAGCCCCAGCTTGAAACCGGGCATCAGAGGTGTACATGGAGTACAGCACAGACGGAACATGCAGTAAGAACGCAAAAAGCTGGCTTGTAAACTGACAAGTTACAACCTAAGCGAGCCATCGACACGTCGCCGAGATACTTGGTTGCGGATGCATACCAACCGCTGACCACACATGAAGATGTGCTCATGCTGTGCATGCTCGACTAGGGCACCATGTTGCAGCGGCAATCGCACGAATAGGACACATGGTACTACGCTATTAGGCGATGTTCGATTCAACCATGTCAAACGTCACGATTCGCAGTGCCATTCGGGGGTTCTACGACGCTCTCTTTGCAGGACAAGTCGCGTGCAGGGCATGGTAATCCCGCGGATGGTTGCCGTGCCATGGTGGATCGACCTACAGTACAGTACAGTACAGTACAGTACAGTACATCAGTTGGAGACAGGGTTGGATGCTTCGATGGAAGCGTGGGATCAAACCGACGACAGCTCAGGAAGTGGTTGAAAAGCCAAGACTGCCCCAATATCTGCCTGCACAGCCGAGACGCCTCACTGCTACCTCAGGGCCGTTGAGCTTGGGATGACTGGCATGCCCAGCAGCTACATATGTAGCTACCTTGCAAGTTGCCAGGGGTCGTTGCCCAAATCGTCCGGCTGCATCTGTGCCTCGAAATTAAACGGCGTCATTCCCCACGCCGTGAACACTGTACACAGTAGCTCCGCCTTGTACTATATTCAGCAGGAAAATGAGAAGGATGAGAACGGGAAGCCGGAGATGTTCTAGGGGAGTCGAGCAATGCGGCAGGCACGAGACCACCGCACGATATTGACCTTCCAATGCGCGAGTGGTTCGACAAACGCCCTGAATGATGCCGATTTCGTTTCTATATGTATATTTGATGGAGATACTCTATATCTGGGTGCAAATTATATGTATTTGGAATCTGGTGCATAAGTTAGCATCACGATCAATAGCCCATAATAATCCGCTCGCCAATACACTACATCTTCAATGCTGCGAGGCTCGATTTGAGAATCATGATTGGATTTACTTAATCCCTTTGCTTGGCACAGGTTGATCGCCTGAAGGCGGGTTCCTTCATTCCGCCATGGAGATATTGCAATGGTCGGTTACCACTACCGACCTGGGGATGAAGATGCAACCACGGGCGACGATGAGACACCATACCGGTTCTGAAATCCGCCGTGGCCCTGGGCCGTGGTGTTTATGTCGGTGGTACTGGGGTGGCTATCCGCCGTTCTTCCGCGGCGGCTCATCGGGACATTTTCGTTCACGATCCAAGAACCGCAGATCTACCTCCAATGCCGCCGCCTGTGCTCGTCACACTGTAACCTGGCAGGTAGCATAGCACCGACTGCTTGGCCTACCGTAGCTGGGCACAGCCATCCGTACAAGCCGGTGATGACAAGAGCACGACTCTCTGTGTTCCACGTCCGGTTAACTGTGCGTACACGATGGCACGAGATGATGTCGAGTTGCAGACCGAGCTCGGACTCGCCTTGGAAGAGGTCCGGGCCTTGCTTGGTGGAAGCTTGGCCCGATATTGGGACCCGACGCGGCAGATCTGGTCATTGGCCAATGGCTCCAAGATCGTCCAAGGTTACCCCAACTTTTCATCCCGTCTTGACGAATACATACTAGTACTATACTCCGGACGGGGGACAACGAACAATGGACGATGATGCGCCCTTGTTTGTTGTGCTGCTGGACGTCAACCATGACCGTTACGAGTCGCCCATCATCATCATCATCATCATCTTCATCATCATGTCGGTCCTCTGCCCCTTGCGGATCCGAGATGCAGCCAGCAATGCGCCCTGCATTTTCTCACTCACTGGCAGTATCCACGACGCCAATAGTGGAGTGGCATCAGCTGTATCTCGACGGCAAGGTAAGCTCCATGCCAGCCAGCCAAGCTGCCAAGGTAGGGGAACGGGATGGCAGGACGGGGATGTCCCTGCACAATGATGGCCATGTACCATGTGTGGCTAGATAGGTGAGAACGAACCATTGACATCCCTACATCGTGGACCCGTTGCTCTGCTTTGGGTTGCGTTGCGTTGCATCTCATGCGTTGCGCGGTTCTCAAACAAAAATCCCCAACCGTGCTGTGACGCAAGGCCAGGATCCGGGGTTCAGACCATCACGATGCTCATCAGAACCCTGTCAGGGACCGTCTCCAATCGGCAGGTCGTAAAGAGAGCGGCCGCAATCGCCTGGTTCTCTTACTACCCCTCACATGGCATGTGGTTCAGGTTGCGCAGCTCGCGTCTGTGACGGGCTGTCCGGGTGTTACCGGCGCCTGGCGTCGTCGTCGCCGTCGTATGTTGCTGTGTATGGATGCTCTTGCATGCGGTGCCTGGCAAGCCTGGCTCGGGGACGGCTACGCGTTCCTACATGCCTATCTCGATCATCACGTACCTAGGGCGCGTCTCTGCGTTGCGCGAGATGGCTGGATAGCCGGCTTAAAGCAGCTTGCGGAACGTCAACCAAGATTCGCGGACCGGACGGCAATTCTCCTATACGGACACGGCATTGCGGAGTACTGTGCGTATGTACATGCACTCAGGTGCCATTTGCCTTTGATGGGGAAGAGTTGCAACCGGGGTCGAGACCGGCCAGCGGAAGGTTGACAAGAAAGATCATGATGTTGAATGTATTTGGCTTTGTCAGTTGATGACGGGAATTGATGAGCAGCTTCAATTTTCAAAGTTTGAAGTTTGCAGGTGGTATATGTGGGTCTCTTAGCGCGTGTCACGCCGGGTTACATTACCTGACGCATAGACCAGGTCGGGGTAACATTATGTAGGTACTGGAACTGCCCGATCACCAATTTCAAAACGTGTCCCACCAACCTCAGCTTCATGGTCTCCAGCTTCGTTTTACCCATTATTGCACATCAAATCAACCCTGGTAGTAGATGTGTTGTGTCCAGGACCATTACTCGGCGGTTCTCTCTCATCCTAAGGGATCATATGCAATATCAAGCTGCTGCTGGGTGGGAATACTCGGACGAGGATCAAGGTCTGCAGGTGCCGACGAGCATGTACGAATCCCTCGAGTCTTGTTATATTACTTCGTAGGAAGTTTGCAGCCAGGATTCAAGGCCAGGCATCCAAGTTCGGGCATGGAACTTGATGAGTTCCTGCCAGGAAAGGCCTCCCGGATCCTAAAGAAGTAGGTTCTCCGAGTTGCGAAGTCAATAATGCCGCGTTGGATCAGGCGTACCGCTGGCTTGGGAGATGGGACGCGAGCGCCTACCAACTTGGTAAACCTCGCAAGTTCGCAACGTTTGTCTAAACTGAAGCTCGGTGAAGTTCCGGTCTCCAGAGCCACCGACGGACGTAACGGACGTGACTGACGGTGGGCTAACTGTGGATTCCTTTACTAAAGTTAGTATGGCCACCTATGTAGGCAACACTAACGCTAAGATGATCTTCATTCTAGCAGGAGGCTCCGTACGGTATCAATAATGGAAGGTAGCCAACCGATTTTCACGGGCACGAGCACGGACGGGTCTTTCTCTTCTCTTTCTCCATGACGGTCTCGGCATCCAGATCGATTCATGCTCCACCACGCTGTCCGCACTGCTAATTCGCTGACATGTCTACCTAGGTACATAGCTGCGGAAGCGACTGGATGGAATTGATCGCGGTCTTGTTAGCCATTGGCAGCTCAACTCTTTGATAGGCTTCTCCAGCCGCTCCTGACTAATTATCATACTCTGTAGCGCTTCTCCAGTCTGCAAAGTCCTATCCAATGTGCAGTAAATAACATGGGATGAAAGATCCGCAGGGTCAGGGTCACAAGTGAGCGCCTTGTCCCATTTCTATTCCAGGATATTGGCTTCTAGAATCCATGGTAACTACATACCACTCACTAGTAGTTTACCTCCATCCTACCTATCGTAGGTATGGAAGCAACGGTGGACCGTAGAGAAGGGAACATTGTATTCTCGCGGCTCTGTCACACGTGCGTCTTGGAATCGTCTATGTAGGTCGTTTCAAGTAGGTACTCGATGGTACGGCTAGACTCTGCGTCCTGACAGCTCTTCCGAAGATACGTGCTTGTAGGTAGGAGTATAGCAACTGGTATGTCTGTAAATACTGTGTGCTCCTAAGGCAACGGTAGTAAGGTGACATTTAGAGTGCACAGTGCCCAGTCTCCAAGATAAACGTAGAAAGGCGCCCGTGAACGTTGCTATCCATGTACACGCCCCCTAGCCCTGTACCATTTAGCCAACCCCACCACCCCTCCTCCCCCTCCCCTCCCAGGCACCCTCGATCCATCCTCGTCCGTCCACACTGGCAACTGCAGCTACACAGTAGACCACTTGCACTGCACCCCTACCTTACCTTCAACCATGTTGAGGATGTAGTACCTAGCACTTGCAGCCTCCAGTCTTTCTGCGTCCTGTAGGGCCTGAACGACTGAACCTCCAGCGCTACCTAGTTGCTAGTTGCTAGCCGGCCGCTGGTGGCTGGTGGCTGGTGCTCTCAGTAGTCGCAGTCAAACCAATGCCATTCATTCGTCTGTTTCCCGCCTCTCTTTCTTCCATCTCGAGTCTACAGGTTCAGGTCTGGTGGTCTTCACCTGTCTTGGCCAAACCAAATCTCTGCTGTCCCATGGTCACGCTGGTACTGTTTCTACCTATTTGACATCTTTCTCGGGCGCTGTGTGCCCGTCCAATGAGTGGGTATCGATACTGCAACCCTTCATGTCACTTCGGCACTCACATACCTCCCCTTGTTTGGTTGCCAACCCTGGCTAACCTTACTTACGTGTGTACAGTACCTACGTCCCTCGCACATACATCTACATAGTATGTGCAGGTGTGCCAAGTGCTCGCAGCTTGACTGTCGTTCATGTCACATACACGTACTACCTCGTGCCTACATGTGGCTACTACTCTAAGTACCTCCTGACAGAACAACAACCTCGCATTTCCACAGAATCTTGCAGATGGACCTAAGCACTACCTTGGGTAGTACCTCTTAGCCACATCGCAAACCCCATAATTAGGGTCCCAGTGCATCGTCCATCGTCCACCGTTCATCGTCCATCGTCCATCGCCCATCGTTTACGTATGTAGGTAGGTATTATCGAGCCGTTGGCTGAATGGGGCCGTATGGGTCCATCAATGATCTGCCTATATATCCTTGCCTCCTCTCCCGGGTCTGGCCCGTCGACTTCATCTTGACGACTTGTCTTGTTCTCATTACTTCCGATGTCTATCATCTTCCCCTCGAAGCCATCCTCCGTCACCATGGCTTCGTTTCTTTGAGGGCTCTCCTTAGGATCTATCGTGTATTATATTGTGCGCTTGGGCTCTATACATTACACCCTCCCTTCTCCTCTTCCTCTCCTCCTCCTACCCTGACTTCAACCTGGAAGTTTTCCGGCAGTTAATTGGACACCTTTGTTCGAATCTCGGCTCAGGACTGGTTCTTTCCCTTGTGTCTTCTTTCGTCTGAGCTCGAACTACACCAGAGCCGTCACTTGCCCTCATTGGCATCGGCGTCCCTCTTCGGCATTCACTTACATCCTTTCTCACCCGTGGTCCCCGGGTCACTACCTGCATCGACCATCAGCCCTTCCCTACGAGTCACGCCCGGCAACGAACACGAATTGCGGCGATCCGACAGAGATCATTCCAATGCAAGTACAGACACTGCCTCACCCTACGTGGCTATCATCGTGGTCATCTGCATTTCGAACATATTCCTGCCCACCTCGTATCGATACGTCACTGTTGCGGCTCTTACACGAGAGGAGCACTCGACGGGACCTACCTCTATATTCCCCACATGCACCTCATCTGGAACGGTTACTTACCTGCTATTTCTAGAGTACCTATATACCACGACGATAATCCAGCAAGGAGAATCCCCTCTCAGAGTCAGTGGCAAAACTCGTCGACTGCATCATCAACTTGATACATGCTCGCCAAGACCCCAGCTAGCTACGATACTCCAACTCCTTCGCCCTTCAGTTTCATCCAATCAGGCATCCATATACCGTGACATATCGCGATGGATTCCACCAACCAGCCCTGGGAACTGGCTTTCCCTTTATTTAACTTGGTAGCCTCGGCCAAGTTCTGGTGGTACACCTTCTGGCTGTTGTGGTAAGTCTTGCTGCTCTGGTCGCTCGGTCAAACATCTCATTACGTATGACTTCATGAGTGGGATGCCTCACAGTAGAAGCCCCATCTGACCATCTTCCAGGGTTCATCGTTACCTACGCCTGATTGTCCACACCTTCAGTCACTGGACGTACAAGTCAAAGCCCATCCCCGAGAAGCCAACCTTCACTGCTGAGGATGTGACGGTCATCATCCCAACCATCCACAATGTGTTCGAGGAACTCCGTACCTCTCTGGAGAGCATCCTCGCATGCCGCCCTTGTGAACTGATACTGGTGACTACTGCGGACAAGCATGCGGCTCTGGAGAAGCTGGCCAGGACTTTGTCGACCCCAAACGTACGCGTACTCTTCGGGCCTATTGCCAACAAGCGACTCCAAGTCTGTGAAGCGCTTCCCAAGGTCAAGACAGCCATCACCATCATGGCCGATGACGATGTCACCTGGCCGACCACTCTGCTGCCCTGGATACTGGCTCCGTTCGAAGATCCCAAGATGGGCGGCGTCGGTACATGTCAACGTGTGCGCCGGGAGCCGACTGGGTCGTGGTCTACGAAGATCTTCAACTGGCTTGGTGCAGCTTACATCGAGCGCCGGAACTTCGAGATCTCGGCTACACACAACGTGGACGGAGGCACGTCATGTATGTCTGGTCGGACTGGTGCCTACCGCTCGGAGATCCTCTCGAGCCACGACTTCTTGGAGGGTTTCAAGACAGAGCGATGGCGCCACTACATACTCAACGCCGATGACGACAACTTCGTTACCCGCTGGCTGGTGAGCCACCAGTGGAAAACCTGGATTCAGTACGAGCGGGAGTGTGAGATCGAAACTACCCTTGAGAACGGGCTCAAATTTCTCTACCAATGCTCAAGGTGGGCGCGCAGCAACTGGCGAAGCAACTGGACGAGTTTGGTCCGCGAGAAATATGTTCTGACGTGAGTTGGCAACCCACGTCCCTCCCCCCATGAGTCCTCCTACTTATCATGGTTTTCAACAGTCAGCAACCATGGTCCACCTACGCTCTGCACGTGGCAACGTTCACATCTCTGGCCTTTGTCGTCGACCCTTTGCTGCTGCTTTCGCTCTGGTGGGGTACTGAAGGATGGGATATGAATACCCGTCAGCGTCTGGTGTGGGTTCACTTCATCTTCATGTTTGCCTTCACCAAGGTTGTCAAATTGTTGGGCCTCTTCCGACGACACCCGAGCGACATCGTCTACCTGCCGGTTTCTATCGTCTTCGGCTATTTCCATGGCCTCATCAAGCTCTACGCGCTTCTGACGCTCAACATGGTATGAAAACACCACAATGCCCTCAATGCTATTCAACCAACTAACCCGCGATCAGACGTCCTGGGGTAGCCGACCCGATGGTGATGCCAACGATGCACTCCGTATGTCGCCGCGTCCTCGAAGGAGCGACAGCATTGCAACCCCTTCGCCTCGACCTGACGACCTCGATCGCTTCATCGGCTACCGCATGCGGCGAAATGTCCCGACCGTCTTGTCAGAGAAGGAGGCACTGGTCGACTTCGAGAGAGAACTTCCGCCGATCTTTGTGGTTGCTGGGTTCTAATGGCTTAGAGTGGCGGCAGCAATGGCCCGTGAGCTATCTGCCGGACGGACGATGACAGATTATGATTCACGAATGCCTTTTCTACGATGCGTTCTTTTTTTCTCCGGGCACTCGGAAGGGGTGAAAACAGCACTCTTCTGTTGGATATGGCCAATTTTTCACAGCAATGGACGGACACTGGCCAGTGGTTCTTGACCTTGGGGTAATCTCGGACCTCTGGGTGGTTATCATGCAACCAACTACTACGAAACGGTATAGAGGAAGGATGGCCAAACCCTCTATCATACAGGTACGATTCACATGACTAGGAGTTCAGCGCGACTGCGACGAACGGATCAACGATGGCGCATCCGTCGTGGGAAATCTTTCGGGTCGGCGCCGGGCATTTATTTGGGTTCTCTTCATCATCGAGGGCGGCCCCTCGGGAATGCATGGCTTTTATACGGGCTTGGACAAAAAAGGTGTGGTTACGACAAAAAGTTAGAGAGCTTGAAGGGGGATAGATTCTAGCTCTAGTCTACATGTCTTCAGATCTTCATAGATTTAGAGAGACAGCACCAGGACAATGATGCGCCGGCAGAAAATATATTCACATGTTGAGAGAGGCATCAGGACCCAACATGCATGGTTACTTCGTGTGATATGTCGACGTCAGTAGCACGCAACCCACTCGGCAATATCTGACCCCGGTACTTCGCTCCGCAGATGGTCACTCACATCTGCATGCGGTACATGAATCGACATGGGTAGGATCAAAGACATGCATTTAGATACACATGTTACACGGCAGTTTTCGGCAGAGCTGTGTGTGTCTCAGGGGCACGTACCGGTAATACACGTGAGACCTCCGTACGTAACGCAGAAACGCACAGCAGCGATTTCCGGATTCAAGCTTCAGCTGCGCCAAGCCAGAAGAGGCTCTGTTGCCAGATTCCCATAGGTGCCGGTTGGCGGTCCAGTCGGGTGCCTTGACGACGTCCGCTTGCAGGGCCAGCCGGGGTCAGTAGGGGTCAGTCAGTCGGGATCAGGGTCAGGCGATTGCATGGAGGACTAATAATAAATGTAGGACTACATGAAGGACTTCGCCACTGGGAATATCGATAGTCGTCTCGTCTGGGACTTTACCACTTGGTTGAGATGCATCTCGTCTTCGTTCTTGACTGTTCACGACGTCGCGTTTTTTGTTGGTGCTTCGCCACAAGTACCTACTATGACAGTCTCTTTTTATCTTTAATGGTTAACCGCGACTTGCGGCAGTGGGGGATGAGAGAAGATAGCCCACTTCTGTTTCTAAGCTACTACTGTCGACTAGGGCTACTAGTCAAGTAGGCAGTCAGGCTATAGTGCGGCAAGGTGGTCATTCCGCCACTTGGATAGGATGGCAGGACCCTTTAGGTATATCTAAGCGACTGGGCTAGAGTCGTGGTGTCATCTCGCGCTGACTTTTCCGAGCCTTGGTGGGTGTGTTGAGTGGTTGCGATGGGGACGAGGAGGGAGGAGAGGGGAGAGGGGAGGTTTTGATGTTATCGTCATTCTCCACATGGGTCAGCGTAGTTTGATGGCTTCGAGAACGACCCCGCATGGCGATATTCGTGGACAACTGCTGAAAGTGAAAGGCCTTATTGTGAAGGAGTTATTCTGTTTTGTGATGAAGGTGCTTCACCTGAGTCTGTGGGGGCTGGGTCGAGGGAGGTACAAGGGATAGGAGATACAGCTCTAGGTATGCAGTCATCTACCAACGGGGCAAGCCACTGGGAATCTCCATGGACTTTGATGGATGAATCACACTCCGTCCCATCTAAAATCCGTATGTGATATATTAGTTCTGCCTCGACACAGGGAGAACACGATCCCACCATTGTGGTCGGGTATGAAACTACCTTGCAACATTGCCACGAAGGGTTGCCTGCATGCCTTGGCGAACAGCCCATCGAGATGGGCTCAGACATACATGGTGTGTTAACCACACGGGAACTGGTCAGCGATGTCATCGGCGAACCGTCAGCATGGTTTCCGGCCACACTGCCACTCGTGCGGTAATCACGAGTCTGGCGGACGAATCCCTGAGCTTACAGGTGATTCCGTAAGAAGCCGCCGTCACTGTCAGTCATACAGACTGTGTGTGTAATCTGATGAAGTGAAGAGGGGCCTAAGGACTTGAATCTGACAGATTCGACTTGTCACAAGAACAGCAGGAATCCGTAGTCGCAACCCTCACAACCGCAACATGACCCCTCATCCTCCGATACCTGTGTAAGTAATACGAATTGCCCAATCAGGCGACGCGACTTACCAGATTGGCTGGGCGGACTCGCACATCCTGGTATTCGATCACACGACCCCTGCTCCCTGGGCGTCTGAACTTCTCAAGGTCTGATGTGATCTTTTCAAGGTCCATCCTTGCGTTTCGATTCGTTAGTATCGTGATCCTCCCGTTGCCGGAGGGAGGGACTCGATGGGTGAGGGGTCTGGTTTGGTACTAGTACTTCACGGGTGAGAACCCTCGCACCGTGATCTTGATAATTTCTATCAGGTGCGTCGACTACGCCACCCACGGACATGTGATGAGGCGGACTACGGCCCTACTCGCCATGCTACAGTGTGTATAGCTTGGGTCTGTTGGTCTACATCGGGGACCTTATGTATGATCTAGGACGAACGACGACCGTTGCAACGCCCATGGGCCTCTCAGCCGCGCTAGGTCCCATCACCACTGACGTCCCGTCCATTCAGAACCCTGGACGACGACCAGCTCGCCAACGGCGCTTAACCTCATATTCTTGGACCTGCGTCTAAAGTACGTAAGGTGTGCATGAGGAGTTACCCATGCTAATGATGCTACCGAGATAGTGGGGTAGCATACCGCAACCCCTCCAGCTCATATCGTGTATGCAGCTAAAATATGCACTTCAAGTGTGTTACCTTACCTTACTGTATGTGTCTGTATGTGCTCTCCTTGAACTTGTGTAAGGAACATTGAAATGGAGAGCTTGAGAACGTATGATTATGATCAATATGAATAATGTGTAATACCCTTTCGGGTGTCTCAGCCTCCCTTTTAATGAATCTGGCTTGTGTTCATGATGGGCTATATATGTGCATATAAGTGCTTACATGAGTATCTACGAGAATGAGGAATCTCATTACTGACTGCGCCGCCAACTGACCGAGACGAGCAGCGATTATTATAGTAGGCGCACGAAGTCGAGGTTATGACTTTTCACCGTTTTGTACTGTCCTTGCACAGTGTGACTCTAAAACGGACCCAAGTGAGGGGTCATGTTTTATAAGTGACCATGTCGTCCCCGCTGTCCCGCCAACTCTTCAGATCAGATAAACCGGAGATGCGCCTGCTAGCAATGGATCACACCTGTCACACACACGCGCCGTGCAGCACATGCGGAACCGAGTTTTCAAGACGATGTAATAAACGAACGGGACATCGGAATCCGCTCCTCTGCCGTGATAAGACGGACATGGCGCCGCGGACTTGCGGACTTGCAGACTTGACCTCATGCGATCAGTCCTGCAGCACTCGGTAGGCCACTCGAGTCATGGGCGATTGCGTGCTGGCCGCTGCGTGAACAAGTCCCGCCGTGCCATGATAGCTTGGATGCTCATTGGAGACTGTGGAAGTGTCTACGCAAGGTGATTTCAGTACGCGGCACAGTAGGTTGACGATGTCATAGTATCTGTCGAGTTTTCGTCAAGGTTCTCTCACGGATGCCAGATATACCGGTCAAAACATATATGTGACCGTCACACAAGCCGTCGTAGCGAACCAGATTGGACGGAGCACAGGCCTACTCGAACTTATCTTGCATTGGCGCGTCTTGAGGTGGTAGAGCTAACGCATGGCTAATGTATCTGTATGCAAGACATACCAAAACGAGATCGCAGCCGTTGGCATGCACAGACTGTGATGCCAGGGGTCGAGGGGGTTGCTCCTCGATATGCTAATTCGCTACTAGTACTAGATTCGTCAAGATCACGGCCAACCTCCTCGTCTTGTAAACATGGCAAGTTCCGATACTGGCCCCGTCACACATACAGTACACAGGTGCAGTACCTAGGTCCAGATAGTCTACCGACTGCATCAAGGCCTGGACCTGGCACCAACTGCGATCCAGGTTGTTGATGGGACCAATCTTTTTACACCACCACCTCCACGCACACAGGGCTGCGAGCACAGCAGCTCTCCCAATACATACTAGTATGGCCTACCAATAGGCAATGAGTCTTTTCAGCGATCAAGGCTATGATATGGAAGTAGAGAGCAATCTCAACAACACCCTACTTCCTCCCAGGTGAATAGCTCGCGATGCCCTGGTGAGGTAGTTCGGTATGTTTCGTACACTGACGGACACCTGATAACCAGCTCGAGGTCTTACAACTGTACTGTACATACAGACCAGGTAGGGTCTCTAGATCGACCCAGCTCGCCTTACGATCAGTCCGACAACCACCCATCTCCCCTATCCTTTGACCCTCTGGTATTCACACTATGAGCATGGTGCCATCTCGAATCTCATCAACTGCGGGCATCATATGACGATTCAATGAGCAAGCTCCACAACCCGGCACTTATGTAGAAACAACATCACATCAAGTGCTGCTCGACCGCTGGAGATCCTGCGGCGCAGGAAAAAGCACGAAACAGAACATGCCATACAGTATGCCGATATGGACTCGGTCAAGAAGAGCTTCTGCGTACTCAGTGGGGCCCAGCATGTACATGCGGTAAGTGAGGTGCCCAATTCGACTACCACTGCGTCTGTCTGAGGGCAATATGCTCTTCCTGCTTGCAATTCCTACAGCTCTAGTAGCCTATGCAGATGCAGTTTCCATCATCGACGTTGAGGAAAGGGGGGCAAGCTAGGAGTTTTTCATCGAAGATTTACACCACCTGCATCTGGGCGTCATCATCAGGCTGCTCACGTCACCTGTATCGTGTGTATGTAATACTCATGTGTGCGTGGCGTCGCATGCAGGTTGCATTGCTGCAGGGTGGCGTGCATGAGAGCAGATTGTCCAGTGATCGAGCTACATTTACTCCGAGACACGGCGCACTTGTGAGTCGTGGGGGTGTCATGATGGTAGTCCAGAGATGGACGAAGCTGCAGTGTGTAAGTGTAAGTGTCACTGGTGCTTGGGGATTTGCTGGCCTGGTTGGGGCATGCTGAGCTGGTGCAGGCGCGTCGTCGTTGGCAAGTGTAAAGCGGCGTTGCAAGTACTCTGGAGATATGCACGCAGCGTCTAGAAATAGAGGGGCGGTCGTCGCGGTACACGACATCGACGACGGTGCTTCGTCCGATGGTCCCGTATATGTGACACTTGCCGACCATGGGCGTTGTTGCGAGATCTGCTGTTGTATCAGATGCCGGCTGCAACTTCAAGGAAGAAACTGAGCTGAGCAAGGCATTGAAGAACATGAACCCAGGCACTTACCCGTAGCTCACCGTGACCGTGAATAATCTTTCATATCCCGTCGAGATAGAAAGAAATGAACTGGGCGAAGCTTCCGTACCTGCCGACCATAGGCGTTGTTGCGCGAGACCTGCGCGAGATCCGCGCGAGATCTGCGCGAGAGTCGGCGCAACGTTAGACCTACACTGACCACACAAAAGTCTCCGATGGGGCCGCTCCTTCACCAGACAATTGTATATATATATATCTGAAGGGGGCAGCGGTTCCTTCCGATTACACAGCATCGACAACATCCTCGATAAAACAATCAGTAGCGACTTCTTCTTCCTCATCGATACCACATAACTTCCACAATGTCCGACGGCACAGTCCAAAGCTGGCCACGCATCCTCCTCCGCGCAGAAGGCGCTGCCATCTTCACATCCACCATCTGGGCCTACTGGCGCACCGGGCTATCATGGTGGCTCTTTGCCGGCGGTATTCTTCTCCCGGACTTGGGGATGGCAGGCTTCCTGGCCAACAACGTAGCTGGCGCCGCTACATACAATACCCTCCACACCGAGACGCCACCGATACTCTTGCTGTGTACTGGATTCGCACGAGGTGATGCGCGTCTGACCGGAGCGGCGCTCATCTGGTTGGCTCATATTGGTATGGATCGGATGTTTGGGTTTGGGCTGAAGTATGGGACGAGGTTTGGGCATACTCATTTGGGCATTATTGCTTGATAATATCTACGAGGTCATCAGATCATACGCTGATGTGAGAGATTGGCTGGGGGTGGAGGCGAAGACATTTGGGCAGGACAGGGCACGATCGTGGGGGCATCTATTGGGAAGTGAAGGTCGGTCCAATAGGGCATGCTTCCTCGCGTGCTTTGGTAGTGATGGTCTTGGTAGGGTGGTTATACGGAGCAAATGTGTGGGGTGTACAACAGCATGTCAAGAGAACGTTTGCTCAGTTGTGACGTCGGGCGTATGCACTGATACGCTGGTAATGTGCCCCTTATTCTTAATCGAGACTTGATTCGTAATGTGATAAGTCGGACTCGCCACGATCACAGACGGTACTTTGACAGCTCTCAGCTGCAATCACGCGGTTATCAACATGGATGTTTACTCTGAGACCCTTGACCCATGAACGCGCAGTCTGGAAACCCTGCTAGAGTCTTATTCGAGGGTCCTCTCAGGTGAAAAAGGTATTTCAAGAACTATATCGAAGCCTTAGGAGTTGCAACTGACAGTGATATTTATGTCAACTCAGTGCTCTTGGGGGTAGTGAAGCTTCCAAGTAACATCTTCATCAACGCATACCTAGACGTGATATGATTACCTCCTGAGGTCTGATGATAAGATGCCAATCTCTACGTATCCGTTCTCTCTTTGCAATTGACGAGCTAGACTTCCGATTTGGTATCCAGCTGACACACATTTATTTGAAGCTCTACTAGCAGGAAGTAGACAGCCAGTCATGACCAACTTAGTAATTTCCATTCATATTCGTTTGGTGGGTATCTCCTGTCACCGTATCTGGTAAGCCATTTGAAGTGTATATCTCGACGTTAGTCTGCTCGACGTCACCGCCCACGAACATCTACTCACTATCGTCATGGTTGAATCTACTAGACGCTCTTCCAAAGATGGACTCGACTCAACAAGGCGAAAATCTGGGCTTGTTCACAAGAGAGTGGTGAAACAGACCTACGGCCTACATCCAACCTGCTTTAGGAGTGCCGCTGTCCTAGGACAATAAGGCACGAGTCCATGTGAGAATAGCTGAACATCCACTCTGACCAGGAATGGAGAACCGAAGAAGCGTACAGTAAATCCAGAGACTAGGATTCATAATGTATAAGAGATGAGTCTCGGGAAGCTGGAGGTTCATTGCCTCACTCCAAGGCAACGAGAGGTACAGTCCAGGAGCCCTGTTGGAGCACGGTGCCATATTACGCTGTGTATCATTAGGACCTCTGGCTGAGAGGGGGCCAGTACCTACCGAACATATTCACATCGACGCCCCCCTCATAATTTGGCCCTGTTTTGTTTTGTGCGGCGTCTTGTAAGCGCCTGGAGACAACACGGAGAGCAGCAGATACCCAAGAATAAGATACACCTACATCAACACCCTAAGGCGTGCAAGGTAAGCAGAGAATATCTAGAAGCTGGTAGCTCCCAGAGGGCATCAAGAGATCTCCATGTCTTGCAATCTATCCAGGTCCCCTGTGAGATGGTTTGAGGGTTGGGGTAAAGCCGGAATAGGGGCTCCAGTCTCGAAGGAGCCTCAGGTGAGGGCTCTCAGCTACCTAAAGAGACCTGGAATAGGGCCAGAGCAGTCCTGATTGTGTAAAGAAGTGATATCTGACCTCATCAGATATCAGGGGGATAGCGAACGATATTATATTCAAGTTTACCACTGTCTCTCGATCTGCCACGTAAACACGCTTGACAGCCTCTGCCGAACCTTGAGCTACGGAAGAAGCAATTGATCCATCTATGACCGAATACTGGCGCCCCATGACCACCGACAATGGTAACTAGAAAGCAGGCTTCTGCCTAATCGATCTCAGTGACGAGTGAGCGCGGTGGTCGCATTGAGTTCACAACAAGTACAGGAGTGCTGTCATCGTAGTCAGGAGCATCTCCAACGATCGCCAAGTAGCGAGTCACGCCACTCACCCGAGCTTGACTATCGTCGATGCCATACTGATGATCTATCAGGGATACTTAGCACCCCTGAATACTGGAAAGGCAATCATGTATCAGACCAATCCGCATACAGCCTCCTGGAAGTTGTCATTGACGATGTTTACGGAGAGTTGAGTCAGGCTTGTGTAGAATATACGAGAAATTCTATACATAATGAATCAGGACTGACCACTGCCACACATCGAGCAGGCAAGCTATTGAGTCTATCTTCAGAGGGTTCTCTCGAGCCACAACGACACTCTCATTGCAGGATGTGCTATCTGGCACATTCCTGATAGGCCCTCCGTCTATTGCGAGCTTTGCCGTGTCATTCGGTACAACCCACTGGCCACAAAGACATTGTAGCAAATGGGAGAAGGAATATGCCAGATATCATATCGCTTTGTGTGTTGGAACCACGAAACAAAGGACTCAGTCGTGCCGGAACCCCATCGATGCCATCTCTTTAAGTACCTAGTTAAGTCGTGTCCGATATACATAGGAGCAATACACTCAAGAGCCATATGTGGCACGGGACGTACGTGTGATATCAAAGCCTCAGCTCAACTAGCCTCCTTTATCAGGGGATTACAGGTCTCCCCAGGTATCGGCACCATTTCGAGCAGTCCGCCGGCTCCACCGCCAGGCGGTAGAAAGAGAGCAAGCATGCGTCCGCGGCGGATCTTCCTGACTTATCTGAGCGTGTTCCAGAAGTTCCGTAGACTAGACAACCTGATCACGGGTACAGGTAAGTAGTCAGTAGATGCTGAATGGCAGAGATGCCTGATTGGAATCCAGCCGTTGCCGTCCGCGAGTCGCCATCACTCCCTAACATTGTCTGTTCTTATCAGTCGTTGTGTGCAACTAATATGAGAGAAAGCAAGTTACTCTGAGGAGTGTCTCTTCATGAAGCAAGAGGTCTGAACCCAGAATTCGAATACGGATGTGTTTGCGAGATGAGCTGATGAGGTGGTTTCGTGGATCGGTGTGGTCAATCATTGGTTATTGCCCGATATGGACTGCAACGATGTTTCAGGCGCCTTGGGGGCTCTTTGCTGTATCCAGGCATCCTCTGCTTGTCTCATGAGGAACCGAAGCAAGGCTTGGTAGTGATGTCCAGCTTTGGGTGATAATTGACTGAAGAGTTGATAAAAATGGTATGACATTGATAAGGGCTGTAAGCAAGGTGTCAATGACCGCCATTCGAGACTTTGTGGGCATAGGACCCTGAGCCTTGCTGCCGTGGAGCATGCACACCAAGCCTCCCGAGACATCCATCGCCAGTGTAACCCATGGGTCTCTCAAGCAGTTTATCGTTGATGCCCAGGGGTTTGCGTGTGGTTGCAGCTGCAGGTACGCCATGGATTGCAGCTCGACGTCGTGTGACGGCATCTGATCGGGAATTTCAGGGCGTGTGTTTCGAGGAGATGACTCTCGATGTCGTGGACGATACTTTGTACCCGAGAGACAGATACTCCCGAGTGGTGGTAGGTTGTGTCACTCGAGAAGAATGTCAGGACCACCTGTGCAATTTCATATCATGTCTGAAAGACAAGCTCAACCATGAAGGCCTTCCTCTCCTGACGATGCTCGGCCGGTTCGCGTAACGGTTACATGTATCCTTCGGGGATTGTCCAGGGGGGTAGGTAGTAAGTCTGCTACATACAGTATCGAAGAAGGTTATGACCAACTAAGACCCTCGAAGTGTGACGAACGGCAATTGGAGGCTCGGAATTATTGACAGCGTCATGACAAATGACGGCACCCTTATCAAACCTGCATCCATGCTGTGTTGCAAGAGTTTAATCCCCAGGCCAAATGAATCTTCCGCATTAGAGGGCTGACAAGATGGCTGGCTGAATGAGGGCTGAACCTGGGGTAACCCTCATATCACTAACCAAACAGCTTGGGAGGCGCATTCCTAGCAGTAGGCATACCTCTGAAGCGTAGTTCCGACCTGCTTTCAGATAGATTGACTGTATGGGTGGCCCAGATGTAGTCTCACTCGAGAGATGACAGGCCCGTGTCTGGTTGCGAGTGGCGCTAAGACGGTGCTTGGAGACGCGTCGCGGGATATTTGGTGCTCATGAAGGTGTGATCAGCGTGCGATAGCATGAACGTTGCGATATTGGCTGGTCGCCACACTCCGTTCCTTTGTCCCTTTCTCGAGGTCCGGATTCCTAGTAGATGACGAGTGGCAGGAGTGAGCGCAGGAACGAGACTCGAAATAGAACCACCAATCCCAAGAATCCGAATCGCAACGTGTTGACCCGGCAGACTAGAGGCGCCACGCTCGGCCCATCGCCTGGTGTCGACTCGAGTGTGGTGATTGTGGTGGTTGTACCAAGGTTTGCGTGCTCCTATGGCGTTTCATGCGGGGAACAACCCTGACCGACACGGGAGGCCGCGCGACCTTTGTATGAGGTGAAGGTGGGCTAAGTGACGATAATGCGATTGAGATCCGAGACGATCATCAGAGCTTCATCCAGCTTCTAAGCGCGTGAAGAAACAAGCGTCGCGCAGGTGTGCCGTTAACACGGACATGCACGCAGCTCGGGCACCAGGGCATGGGCATCATGCATGAGGATGGGGATGGGGACAGCAGCTCCCCTTTGGGCTGATCCCTGCTCGCATCCGTCGATGTCATTTCCCATGTCAATGCAGGAGTATCGCCATCTCACTCAATGCTCTAAGCTTGTTGGAAGGATCGGATCGAGTTTAGCCATACATCCTGGCCAAAAGTAGAATGGAGTCTCGTTCGCAGGAGGAAACGATTCAATATATGGTTGAGTAGGAGAGCACGATGGGTACACACGGTAGACAGCGTTCCAGCCTTGCTGGATCATGGCTGACGAGAGCTGCTTGGCCAAGCGCGTGGTAAGAGGTAAAGCAACAACACGACTATCAGGTATCTACCCGATTCTGGTGGTGTTCACTGTTCGTGGCCGTCGAGGCAGAGGCGATGACACCAAACGATTGGTCCTTCGCCGGGTGGTGAATCTCGCTTCCAGGCAAAAGCAACAGCTGGCACCGTCTAAGGTACAACTGCAGTCTGCAGCAAACGATGACGCACTTTGGGGTCGACGCGAATAGTGATCGTTAGCGCCCAGATCCTGTTGATCAGTCACGACGCTTGTTGAATGTTCTCGAGTTTTGATGGAGCACGGAAACGGAACAGAAACAAACGTCAGCCTTGCATGGCCGAAGACCCATTGGAAGCGACTGATGAGCAGTCCCGAAGCTAGGGCCCCATGGCATAGAAGAGGAAGCGAAGACGCATAGAAGCACAGAAGCCGAACCCGCCGATGCTAGAGTGAAGTGCTGGAGCTATCCGTTCATGGCATGCAGACGATGGATGCTGGAATGCATGACGGATGACGAATGATGGAAGAAGGCATTCAGGCTCTTCTTTTGGAAGCTTGGAGGACCGAGGTTGCCTATCTGTCCAAAATTTACAGCCCGGGGGCCTTGTTGTTTCAAGATCGCTCGTAGCGTCGACTCCCTTCGGCATCTCCTCAGTTCTAACTTCTGGCATCCTGGCGGCAATGGGCATCCTGGCACCTCATCCTTGTGGGAGCGTGCATCCGCCAGCGGGATAGTTCTCTGATCCTTGCAACTCGTCATGCCATTCTCCATGTGACACAGGCGTGATGGACGTGCCTGGGATTCACAATCGCCAGACTGATTGCATGTATTTGGAGGCAAGCAAAAGTTGGTCGGGATCAGTGCGGCGTAGCGTCTAATATCAGTCTGGTCGTACTGCTTACTGCAACATGAACGTTGGCGGATAGTTGCATGACAGAGGGAGATATAATATATCCACCCGAGCAGCCCTCATGGACGCACCGACCACGATCAGATCCACGTTTGGTTCTGACTGGAGTCCTAGACCGGCAATGAAAAGTCTGAAGAACACTCGTCTTGGGCAGACTTCAATGTTGACATTGGCGAGTCATTGGGATGGTTTTGATACGTGAAGAAGTAACAAGAGAGAGGAGCGTCAACATTGAAGCGCAACGGGCAGTTCGGCAGCTTACCAAATTGTAGGTACCTACCTAAGTTTGTCGGTCCTGATAGGGGACCTCTTCGATACTTGTAGTCCTCGCAGCCAAGCCGTCGATTACTGTGTAGGCGCGAAATCATACAAATAACCTGCAGGAGAGTAGATTTGGTGATCCCGTAGATCATATTATTTAATGTCGGCGTCCATTCTTCGGTGTGAGTGAGGGCTGTCGAGATGCTACATGCACGAGTGCCGCCATCAATCGTCCTGTACCTGCATTTGACGACCCGGGGCTGCCGGGGTTCACTCATAGCATTTTGCCAAATGGGGTTAGTGCTCAAAGATTGCAGCAGCAGCCACAGTCGGTCCTTGGCCTAATGCGCCCACTCCGCGTGTCCCCTTGAGAGTTAGCGGTGTTTTCTCAAAGCGCCGTTTCTCACTTGGGCCCGCCGCAGAGAAACACGCGCTGTAAACGAGAGGTTAACGCGACTGAGAGAGACCTGACACTCACTGCGTCTCGCTGGAACCACTGAGCCACAGCGCGGTGTCCGCTAACATTGGATAATCGACCGTGGCACAGGGAACCCTGGCCCATCCCCATTCGCTCTCAGTGTCCAATCTCACCAATCTCCAGGTAATAAGATGGTCCCCATAAACGCTTCATTTCACTGCCTTGCTCGTGTCCTCTGTTTCCACTCCCCGTCGACGGTCGGGTTGAACTCTTTCTGCGTAGTTCATGCGAGCCGTCAAGACCAACATTGGAGAGCACAGTCATTACTAGAAGAGACGACGCCGCCTGTCTGTGTTCACTGCGGTCCTCTTCGAGCTTCTTCCGGCCATCCTGCCATTCTGTGATAAGGCCAACAACACACGGGTACCGCTGTACGTACCTCAGCCGCGATCCTCAACCCATACCTACATGTACACTGCGACTTGTTAAGAGTTGTGAGCGCCCAACATTCTCAGCCGAACACGAAGTTCATACCAATAATTGCTTGACTGACCTGTTTTTTCTTGATTTTGATAGAGAGAAAGCGAAAGCGTTGGTTGCCTGACTCATCCATAATACCCATACATCTCGCCTGGCCGTTCGAGTCGTTGTTCATTTTCCGGATACCCGACCCGAGATTCTCGAGCTGCCTACCGCCTCCAAGATAATAACATAGCCCGTCAATTTTGTCAGATTTGCCTGTCATTGAAACTCTGAGCATTCTACCCGTTTGTCGCGGAACCTGCGAGAGCATTGGAAAGGAAGAAAGCGCACTGGGCCCCGGACTTGCATCGCCCAAAAGGCCCCTTAAAAAAGCAACAATTCAGGCACCCGATCCAACAAGGCCCCAGAGACCCAACGACCCAACGACGAAACGCGCAGGCGAGCAGAGCTTGGTTTTTTTGCGACCGACTAACCGACCAACCGACGAACGAGCGACACCGTTCCAAGTAACACCAGTTCGTCCGATAACGAGACACAGACAGGAAGGCAAGGGAGCCAGACTTGCCAATCCGAGCCGCTGATCAGCCGCTCCGCCCACTGCAAGCATTCTTGGCCTTCGCTTCCTTCAAACGCGACAACAGACCTGACCGACCTGACCGCCAGGCCATATCCGCCTGAGCTGGCTAATTGGACGATCCAAACAAGCGAGTCGTCTGAATTGAAGACGTCTACGCAATTCCTGTCAAAAACATAAATTTGATTACGGTATCTCTGTTCTTGGTACCGACGACTCACCATCCAGCAGTCGGCCCCAACCATTTGTTTGTTTTCAAAACGAGATTTCCTGCAACAGCGGCGCTACCTGGTGGCCACGACTCACGTTCCCAGCCCTCGTCTAGTCGCACCATTCTACGCGTCTCGCGTGGAAGATGTCTTCTGCTGCATTGCAGTCAGCTCCTCACCAGCCAGCCTCGATCCCTGCGTTGAACACTCACTCGCCCGCAACCTCGTCGTCACACCGCCAATACTCTCCCAGCCGAGAAGGTCGCCATGCAAACCGAGACCACCCGAACGCTTCTTCGCCTGCATCCTCATCAAGACGCCCGTCTAGAAGACCGAGCGGGAATAGCGCTGCAAGCCCCAACCCAACCTATACAGAACAGTCCCATTCATCGCCAATGACATCGCGAACCGCACTGGCTTCGCCAGTCACTCTGGCGGCTCCTTCCGCTGACTACGAGAGGGCATCATCGAGCCGCCGGAAACACGAGCCTCCAGTGGCGCCGCCTCGAACATCCTCAACACAACATGGAAACTCCGGTGGTGGACAAAGCTCGCGTAGGGCCGCCCGCGCCGAGGAACGAGCCGCCAACTCTCCCAGGCGAACTCCCGGCAGTACTAATGGACAGCCGTACGACGAACCGAGCTCACGGAGTCGGAGGGCCGTATCGCAGCACATCGCGCAGGAACCTTCTCAGAGGCCGAGTAGTAGCAGAGACCACCGACAGACTATATCGACAACGATGCCCGTCCGATCCCGCGAGCAACCCTCCAGTTCGTCGTCGAAACAGCCATCGCGCGAGGCTAGTGAGGTACTCAACCGTGTTATCGTGTCGCAACCCGAAGTCGATCTAGACAGGGAACGCGAGCGATTGGAGGAATCCCAACCCCATACCGCTTCTTCACATCAGGCAAACAACGACGATGATGTCGCGACGCCACCTCCGGTCGTTGCCGCAAACGAGAGCCAAGATGACGGTAGACGCGGTGGCCGCAGTCGGCACGACCATCTCAAACGCGAGAAGGGTTCGAAATTTGCTGATTACTATCTCGGAAACACCATTGGCGAGGGAGAGTTTGGCAAGGTCAAACTGGGCTGGAAGCAGGATGGGGGTGTCCAGGTAAGCAACCTGTCTTCAACTGCCTACAAGCAGGGGTACTGACGCACGATCGAAGGTCGCTATCAAGCTCATCCGGCGGGATAGCGTTGGCAGCAACCCATCTAGACTGCAAAAGATCTACCGCGAGGTCAACATCCTTCGCGGCATTTCGCATCCTAACATTGTCAGACTACACGAGATGTCCGAGACAGACCGCCACATCGGTATCGTCCTAGAATACGCATCGGGAGGTGAACTCTTCGACTATATCCTCAACCACCGATATCTTAAGGACAATGCTGCTAGAAGACTCTTCGCTCAATTGATATCGGGAGTAGGGTATCTACACAAGAGGGGTATCGTCCACCGAGATCTGAAGCTCGAAAACTTGCTTCTCGACCGCAATCGAAACATAATCATCACCGACTTTGGATTTGCCAACACCTTTGACCCTAATGATGAATTGACTGAGGAGGAGGAGTTACACCTGCCTGATCGCGAATTTGTCAAACGCTCTGGGCTAGACAAGACCAAACCAAACGGCACGCGCAGAGGTGACCTGATGCAGACCAGCTGCGGAAGCCCATGCTATGCAGCACCAGAGTTGGTCGTCAGTGATTCGCTCTACACTGGGAGAAAGGTCGATGTCTGGAGTGTTGGCGTCATCCTGGTAGGTTCTCTATTCTATGCTTGCCTTGTTCGACTGCTTACGAGGGTTTCTAGTATGCCATGCTCGCCGGGTATCTGCCATTTGACGACGATCCCGCCAATCCTGAGGGCGATAACATCAACCTCCTGTACAAGTACATTGTCAATACCCCCCTCACCTTCCCGGAATATGTCACACCTCATGCCCGAGACCTGCTACGGCGCATTCTCGTGCCCAGCCCACGGAAACGTGCAGACCTGTTCGAGGTCGCTCGGCACAGCTGGTTGAGCGAATACTCGCACGTGGTCGAGTTCATCACTAGTGCTACAACTACCAGCAGCGAGATCCAGAACACCACAGTGCCCGCTGAGGACGAGTCAGGAGGCCTGGCAAGAAGCGCATCTGTCCGAGAACCGGCCAAGACGAAATCGACAGCTCCGGCAGTCGGTGAGATGGCAAGGAAACAGGGCAAAGTGGATACAGAGGACTCTGCAAAGCAACAGAAGGATAGCAAGCGACGAACGGTCCAGGTCGAGTATGTGGCTCCCACGAGCCAGACACAGAGAGGAGGAGAACAGTCGGATCCTCACGCGTCGCCACGTGGGAAGACCAGGGCTCGCACCTCAAGTCAGGGTCCTGTCGAGGTTCACTCACCGCATGACAAGCCACTGCCCAAAGATCCTCCGGTTTCCAAGGATGCAGTCACAGGCTCTCCGAGGGACCAGAGGAAGCCACCCAGTTCTCACCGACGGGACATGCCGCCACCTAGAGGGAGCGCGACACGCGCCGTGTCTGATCATGCCTACATGACGACAGCAGCTGGAGCATCGGCTGCAAGGCCAGCTACAGGTGGTTCGATGCAGTCGACTGGTTCGAGGGGGTTAGGTGCATCTGCGCGAGCGTCGTATGGCCAGCCTCTACCCCCTACCGTTGCTGGTACTAACGCGCATGGAAGCATACAACAGCCGAAAGGCGGAGCAAAGAACTACGTCATCTCGAATCCGATTCCACAAGAAGCGCCGGAAATGGACTTCGGACGGCCCAGCATCAGCGTGCCCTCAAAGTTTGCGCAAGTCTCCGGGTTCAGCAACCAAGGGCAAGAGCAACAGAAAACGGGCGATGGCAAGGGCCATCGAAGGTCAAACACCATTGGCGATATTGGTGGCAAGATCTTCGGCCGCAGCGGATCTATCTTTGGGGGTCGTAAGAAGCGCCCCGATCAGCAGGCGGAAAAGCCCTCGAAGAAATATCCCCCGGTCAGTATGTCCAACACCATGCCTGACAATTCTAGAGCGTCGATGGATTCTCGTGCTTCGCGCAGGTCATTCTCCTTGGGTCTCGGGAAGAAGCGCAGCGGCAGCATATCTGCAGGTGGTTCCCAAGCATCCTACGACCGTCCGCAAAACCCTCGACGATTTTCTATCATGAAGGCCATGGGCTTGGGCAAGGAGCCTACCACACCGCCGCCTCCGGAGACGTCACAGCCGGATCTTCCTATTCAGGACCCCCCGGAGGTGGACGAGTATGGCCGATATACGGATCAGCAACAGAGCCATGGAAACATGGAACAGCAGTATGGAGATGGAATGTATGAACAGCCACATGAGCCACAACGACTGGCAACGGCACCTCAACCAAACCGCGAGTCTAATGCTGCCCAGCATCAGCGTTACCCATCGGGGTCAAGGGTCTCTGCCATTCCATCATACTTGCAGCAAGGAGCGGTCCTCAACTCAGGCTCTGAATCGTCCATCGACCACCCACAGCGAAGACCTCCGAACTCGGCACCCTACCAGACTGGCTACGATTCTGATCAGTATGACGGACGCAGAACAAGCAGCCGGCAGGGTGGTCGTATCCTCCAGAAGAACAAGAGATTTGTCGACGCCTACGACGAAGAAGAGTACGGCAGACCCCGTGACCACGCCGGAACTAGTGGTGCGGCGAAAAGAGTGATGGACTTTTTCAGGCGAAGGGGACGAGCCCGAGGCGGCGAGGCCTAGATACGCGGGTGACAAGACTTGTTCGAAGAAAGACTTGGTCCAGCTGTTAGGGGGCTATCTGGTCTATGCCACCCGCATGCGAGACTTGATTTGGGCGTTGGAGTGACCAATTGAATGGGAAATACCTCAGCGCTCGACGTATTGCTCGCGAACGCGCACTTCCTATGCTACCAGCTTTGTAATACGAAACCACGATACCTCGTCCCGCCCTACTAATACACATACCCTTTTGAGCATTTGGCGAGTTTTCCCAAGCATCAGACCGACTCACTGGATTCGGGGCCTGTGGATGACGCATCACGATGAACGGTGGAATGGTTCAGAACTATAATTGTGAGCTTCCGCTGGCGTGGGCATTCATCGGGCTGGGAGTTTGACATGGCGTCTGTTAGATGGGAGGCCATTACTCCTTGGCTGTGTTCTTGTCGCTGTACTCAAGACTTTCTGTCTTTCATCTGTTAGAATTTGAATCATTACAAGCAAAAACGTTTGCGATGAAACGAAAGTCCAAAACTGTAGTTCGAGGAAACGTCGCCCGTGACCGAGTCTGCATGCAGAGGGCTCGCAAGTGATTGATGATAGATTGATAGCTGTGTGATGACTGAGTGGTACAGCAGGCGATAGTAGGTTGATAGATGTTACCAAATGGCTTTAGAGCAACGTGGTAATAGACAACAAGAACCAGCTACTCGAGTACCCTCGAATATCGGTTCACAACCTAGCCTAGCGCTGACCATTGACCCTCGGTGCAATGACCCTAAGCACTTCGAAATGGTGTTGCCTCTATCGCGGTATAGTCTCGTGTATCAACCTCCATTGTGAAACCTATGGTCCGCACGCAAGTCACTGGCTTGCCCGATATCTGGGTGGCCTCGACTTCTTGCCATACGGGTAGCTGCAGGTTTCGTTGTGTCATTGTGTCCAAGTATGACCGTGATGGGGGCGGGGTGTGTGGTGTACGGTTGTGCCTCGTGGTGTCCCTTTCGTGGTCTCAATGACTTTGGGACACAGATATAGAAGGGACCGAGGACCTAGTGCTGTCTGATTTTTCAGAGCAGGTGTCGTCCGTATCTCATAACTTGCTCCATCGTCCAGTCTAATGGCATCTTCAAAGCAGCTATCTCTGATGGTCCGTTTCTTGCTCGCTCTCCTGTCCGCTACCCCATACCATGGCGATCGCGTCGCGTTCACCAGCACCGACTGGCGCGTAGGAGTCGGGAGGAGCATCGGGATACGGTGGACGGGCTGCGCCAGCGGCGGAAACCTCACCATGGATCCCCTTGTCGGGCCTTCTCTTGATTGTGCGTGTTAGTTGTGTCCGGCCATGTGATTGGGATGCATTGCTAACTTGACGGAATAGATCGGATCGTGACTCCCGGAGAAACAGGGCTCACCTGGACGCAGGACAGAGCTTTCCCGACTGGTACATACGTCTTGACCTTGACATGTCAGGGTGGGAGGGCCTCCTCCCCGCCGTAGTATTGGTCGCCATTAGAAACAATCTCGGGTTCCTCGACGTCTACGCCGTTGATGGTTTCCTCGGTAGTGGCGACCTTTTCCCTAGTGACCCCTATTTCGTCAATTGCATCAATATCAACGCCCATCCCAACATCAGCCTGGCTTGAGCCTCACCGCGTATCCCAGTCAGCCTTGGACCCGTCGGGCCCTTCATTCAAAGCCGCGGTATCTGTGGGGGTGATCCTCGCCGTCGCCATTGTCGGCTGGATATTCACCGTACTGTGGCTTCGCAGAAAGAAACGTTCAGCCGGCCGAGACCACACCCAAAGCTGAATGCCGACTAATGTGAAAGCCGTACCTCTGCTGGACGGACGGACAGTTCACGAGCTCGAGGCGAGGGGTCGCCCGCAGGAACTACATACGAGCTGCTCGCCGAGATGGGATGGCGTCTCGATACCGGCGGAACTCAGTGACTCCACGTGCCCGAGGGAGAGTTACGTGTCTGCCCTCGGGACGGAGACTGCTGAGAAGGGGGGACAGTCGGGACCTGTGAGCCCCCTTCCTGCAGATCGTTTTGGGGACGAGGAATCATAAGGATGATAATCCTTCAGGGGTAGCAAGGATACGTTTGTTTTAAATACATAAATACACAAAGAGATATATAAAGTTCAAGATGGAGATGAAGCTCAACATGTTATATTATTGAAGTAGAATTACAACGTATCGGACGCAAATATGTGATAAGGGGCAATGAAAAGGGGGCCAACTTACTAAAGACCCCTATCGGCCAGACCAAAACAACCTCATTATGCAACATAAGCATATCAGCACCTCCCAGCCTACCTTAGTCAAGGTAATAGTACGAATTCGACTTACCCAACAAATCAACCGCCCTCAGCACATCCTCCAGGGCCACCACCGACCCCACACTCCGCATCCTCGTCTCGAAATCCTCACTCAGCACGCCCTCCATGCGCAGCCCCTCGACCTCCAACTCGGGTTCCTCAAAATGCAGCACCAGCGCCTCCAGCGCCCTCGGCGACCATCTGCAGCGTGGCCACATAGCCCGCGTCCCAGTGGGCCCGGGGTATTAGTCTTGCGAACGGCGCGAGGTCGATCGCGCGGCGGTGGGTGTACACGGCCGCGAAGAACAGCACCCACACGTCTCGGCGGTCCCAGGCTTCGGTATCGGCGCCTTGTAGGGCGGCGGTATAGGGCGGCGAAGATGGAGTCGAGGGCGGATTGCCGGATCAGCACGCCGTCGTGGTAGCTCCGGATGGCGCGCAGGGCGGTGAGGACGCCGCGCTCGGTGGCCAGCTGGCAGGAGGTGCAGAGGTGCTGCTCGTTGGGGTCGGGGATGCTGGGAATGAGTTGGGCGGCGGCGGCGGGGCGGCGCTGGTGGTAGTGCTGTTGGAGGATCTCCGGGAGGGGAGAGGTCGGCGGGGCAGCCGCAGGCGAAGGTCCAGTTGAGGGACATGGTGGTGTTAGCTTTTGCTTGTCTTTTGTGTTCGGAATAGGGGGAGAGTGGAGGAATTGGAGGAAAGTAGTAGACGCTTCGGGATGTTGCGAACGAAGCATTGTGATGTGGTCTGTGGTTTGGGCCTGGCTGTGATCAATTCTGTGTCTGCCGGGCACAAGTCGATTGTGTGGGGGACATCTTTTATCTTATAGCAGGGCGTTGACAATGGTCCTTGTTGTGTGATGGTTGGGACAAAGCATTATAGCCCCTTTTCTCATAGCTTTGTAGATCAAGCAGTATTGCTGCTAGAACTTTGTGTCTCGATAATGCTTTGTTTTGACTTCCTTGTCTCCTTATTTCATGTTGTTTAACCTGGGTCACTATCGAAGCAGGCGCGGCCGTGTCGCCTCGTGAGTAGGATTGCTTCTCAAACTGGCGGGTGGTGTCGTCTTCAGTCTTATCACGATGTGACAGTGGTACGATCCCACATGGTGTTCGCTGAAAGAGCTGATATCAACCTTGATTCATCATGGTGACTTTTGCTTACCATCGTAATCATTTTTGTATAACGTAGCCCTATTTTTTTACCAGCAGATCCCAGTTCCAGATTCATTCCTCAATTATACCAAGACCCTATGACGATACCCCAAATTCAAAAAGTATCACAGACTTCTGTCTTTCCGGTAGTTGTCAGCCACAAGGAAAGCCAGCTCGAGGGCTTGCTTCTCGTTGAGTCTGGGATCGCAAAAACTGGTGTAGTTAGTGGATAGATCATCCTCGCCTAGATCCTCACTGCCACCCAAGCACTCGGTCACGGCATCCCCAGTCATTTCCAAGTGCATACCACCCAGGTAGCTCCCTTCCTCTTGGTGGATCCGGATGGTCTCCTGGAGCTCTGTGAAGACGTCGTTGAAGCGTCGAGTCTTGATGCCAGTGCCGGTCGACCGGGTGTTGCCGTGCATGGGATCACACTGCCAGATGACGCAGCGCTTGTACTCGCTTCCCTCCACGGCGCGGATATGGCCTGGTAGGAGAGAGCTGACCTTTTCGGCGCCGTAACGGGTGATGAGCGTGATCTTGCCCTCCTCGCGATCTGGGTTCAACGTGCGTAGAAGTTGCAGGAGGTCTGTTGTAGGTGTCGTGGGACCGACCTTGATACCAATGGGGTTTGCTATACCACGGAAAAACTCCACATGTCCGCCGTCGATTTGCCGCGTTCGGTCTCCAATCCAGAGGAAGTGCGCCGAGGTGTTGTAGTACTGCTGACGTCTCTCATGCGTTCCGTTAGCACCGGGTGGTACTGGAATCGAGCTCTCCATCAGCCTTGTGAGTGGTTCTTCGTATTCCAAGAGTAAGCCCTCGTGACTCGTGTACATGTCAACGGTGTCGAGCTTTGAGTTCCTATCTGCTCCGATGGTGTGCATGAAACGGAGCATGTCCTGGAGGAAGCGTACTGCCTCTGTGTACTTGGCCTTCAGGTCAGGATCTTTCACGTGTCCCAGACTCCAATTCAGAGGCCGGTGTAAGTCTGCTATGCCGGCAGCGATTGCGGCTCTCACATAATTCAGGGTGGCAGCTGAGTGATTGTAGGCTCTACAAAGTCTCGCATAAGCTCATGATTGTGAGTCACGTTTGATGCTAGGGTGTTGACCTACTTGACAAGTCTCTGGGGATCCAATTGCCGGTCTTCGAGACGAAAGCCGTTCAAGATATCACCACGGAACGAAGGCACCTCCTTGCCATCCACAATTTCAGTCGGGTTCGATCTCGGCTTGGCGTATTGGCCTGCCATGCGACCGATTCTCACCACCCGCTTGTCGGCGCCCCAAATGAGGACCAAGCTCATCTGCAGCAGAAGCTTGATCTTGGACTCGATGGCATCCTGGCGGCAGTAGTCGAAGAGCTCTGCGCAGTCACCACCCTGCAGGAGGAAGGCCTCGCCACGGGCTACGTCACGCAGGTTCTGCTTGAGCTTGTCGATCTCATGGGGATGGACAATTGGTGGCAGTTGTCTCAGTTCGGCCGTGGCCTTCTTCAGTGCTGCGTCGTCGGGATAGTCTGGACATTGCTTGATGGGCTTTGATCTCCACGATGTCGGTGTCCACTCTGATGCTTGCTTGGTCGCGCCACCGTTTGTCTGTGTGGGCTCAACGGAGGGAGACATGTTGCGCTGTAACTGGGTTTCTCGCTCTAATTGCACACACTTCTCAGATGAATTGAGATGGAATAAATACGAAAGAAGGCTGTTTCAGCACCCCAAGTTCAGATGATGGTTTTACTTTACCCGGAGCAAACGTGAGTCAGAAAAAAGTGTGGAATGAAGACGTGTATAGAGGTACAAAGTACTTGTTAGCAAATCTGGCGCTAAAAGCTCCCTCCCTCCGTATCGGATAACTACATATGTATCAATGAGGTATCCATCGCAGCACTAAGCTACCTACCTACATTTCGTTATTCTCCCAAGCTTCCCCCAGAAACTCTTGAGACGAAGGTCGAACCTACGAATTTCGAAACAATTCCGCCAGCATAGACCACAGCCAGGAACACAAAACTCCGAATAGGATCCTTCGAAAGACCACCGAGGAAAGTGAACAGCGAAAGGAGAATGGCGGAGCCGCAACCCAGCACCATACACGAGGGCTCCACGACCGGCGACGTCGAGGACGAGGTCCAACAGCAGGCCAAGTCGGCCGAGGACCGCAAAGCCGCCACTGCGCTCGCCAGTCTAGACAGCAATGGTGACGATGCGGCCAGCTCGGGGGCCCACGTCGACCAGGAGGCCGTCAGCAAGGCCATGAAGAACCTGGGCAGCGCCGCAGTCGAGAAGGAGGTTAAGAAGGTCAAGGTGGACCCTGCGGATGTTGCGTTACTCGTGAGTTGTCCTACTCCTCTCCCTACATTGGATGTGGCAGGTCGAAGGATGGATGGATGGCAGAAGATTGAAGCTGACTGACCATGTTTCTGCGACGATAGGTTGACGAGCTCGACCTGACTAAGGCTAAGGCTACCGAGCTGCTTAAGGCGCACGACGGCGACGCGGTACAAGCTATGAGGGCCTTCATCGCTGTCTCTTTTTGATCTTAGGCAGGGGGTATGGCAGACGATTCATCAATAGACATTTGCGTATAAGGCGTCTCAGGTTGGGAAAAACAATAGAGAATACCCGCGATATAAGTTAGAGGGAGGTGGTTGGATAGGATTCACCGACGCCCTGGCCGAAGTCCCAGTGACGAGACTCTTTGAAACCAAGCAGCGCTCTGGGTCGAGTGTCACCGTGCAGAAGATATGATGAATATCATTCTTAGAGGCATAGCCTATGATGCCATGGCAATGGCTATCATGGTAAACTGGATTCGGGTATCTCAACTCGACAAGAAAAAAGCATAACACACTATTGTCGCTCGCTACCAACCATTCGTGAAATATGAAGCATTGATACACTTGGGCTCCCACAGATCCGCCTCGCCGAAGCTGAACGATGGTCGGCCACCCGGTGGTGGTGGCGGCGGTCCATCGCCAGTGTGATTACCACCAGGCCGATACGGAGGCGGGTAGAAATCTCCAGGAGGGTGAGGATATGTACCGTTTCCCGGCGGTCGCCTCGGACGGCCTCCTCCCAATTGTATCAACGGCCACATTGGGATGTAGCACCGCTCGTTCCAAGCGCAGACCTCTGAACATCCGGTAGACTCGTCAGCCCATCCCAACCAGGCCATCAGTTCTTCTATGCCGCTGCTCCATGACGTAGCCAAGTGAGCGAAGTGATTATTAACAGAAGCAGACGTCGTTGCGTGGATTTCGAGGGACTTCTTGGTGCTGGGTTTCTGGAAGTGTGTCGCCCAACTGCGCTCGATGCCGAAACCGATGGTCAGCAGCACGGAGCATATAGCACCGAAAGTCTCTTCGACAACCCAGCGCAAGTCTACCTCTTCTGGGCTCAAGGCCACGTCCTCAGAAGGTGCCATCAACCTTGTGTATCGATACCGACAGCGCGCGTAGGTCTCTTGAAACAAGTCTGAGCCGATGTCCCAGACTGATAGGTCTTTGGTAGCCGGGAACTCGAGGAAGCTGACCAGAAACATGTGGCTTTGGGACCTGACGCTTGACATCCAGAACTGGAGGGTTGATTGGTTGTGAGCATGATTTGGGAAGGAAGAGATCGCGATGGTCATTTCATGGAGCTGCAATGTCGTGGTCTGCGTAATCTCGTTGATCATTAGGCCCCAGTCAGCCCCGGAGCAGTCATTGTCGCCCTCCAAAAGGCCTCTCAAAGCTCGCTCGGATGAGGTGCGCATCAACGCAGCCTCGTCACTGGTTGCGTTCTCAAGGTGATGATACCGCCGTCGCCGAAGGAGATCTTTCAAAGCCAACGTCCTGTTCCCAGATAATCCCTCTCCTTTCCAAAAGCCATCTGCTGTCAAGTTCAAGCTCATCCTCTCGTCTTCTGCCCTCAGACGTTTGAGATTTTCGAACTGGGGCGAGTAGTAGCTCATTATCCCACAGTTGAGTACCTTTGCTCGTACTTCACCCAGGCCGGGCCCGTTCTTGGAGGAACCATAATGAAGCGTGGCGCTGGAAAACCACCCCCAAGTCTGCGAGCCGACGAATGGCTCGCGCGAGCGCTCCCATCCTCCTCTCCAGTTAGGTGGTTTAGGTGGCCGAGATGGGTCTGTCGACGAGTCGGTGCGCGTCGGTGTGGGCGGGAGTGAGTAGTACGACGTCTCACGGCCCTCTCCAAGGTTCGGTGTGCCTGTCTCAGTAAAGACCATTTTTTGAACTTCCGATTCCGACTCTGACTCGTATTCCTGAGGCAACTGGGGAGCCGTCACGTTCAGGTGCGTAAGCAATCGCAAGCTGGGGCTCGTGAAATTGCACCATATCATCTCAAACGCCGCGTTCATCCTAATAACGCCCTCGTAGCCCCAGCCATCTCCGCGCAAGCCCGTTTCGAGAAGCCAGTCGCAAAGCCCATGAGCACGCGCATACTCATCTGCCAATCCCCTGAACCGATTCGAGTCGTTGGGCCCGCTCACATTGCCGAACACGTGCAGCATCTGGGTGTCAAGCTGACCGAGCCCCATGAGAGCGGCGGACTCGCCGTCAAAGTAGAGAGCCTTCACGGGCCTCGTGGTCTGGTACGTCAGCATGTGAGAGTTTGGCGAACCGCCCATGATGCCGTAGGACATCTGGCTAAAGGCAATCAGTCAGCACATCTCAAAGACATGCCGCGGCAGACTTACATATCAAAAGCCAGCCACTCGGGGCTTGGAGGGACCTCGTCGTCCATCCTGCCATGATAGAACAGCGTGTACGGCGGAATCTCGCAGGCAACGATGCTGTGGCCGTTGGGAAAGAAAGTATTGCCCCATTGTTGCAAAAGCGAGGAAACAGATGAGAAGAGATACGGCGCGGCGGAGGAGAAATTCAATCGCCTTGACGAAGCGGTATCATGTTGATTCAACGACGAAGACGCAGCGCCGAGAGGGACCTGAGAAGGAGGCTCGTTTAAATCAAGCGCTGTGCACGCAGCTGTGAGCGCGACCGCCAAGATGAGTCGCAACATCTCGCATCTTAAGCAAAAGACAATGCAGGACAAAATCGAAGTAAGTAACAGGATCGCAAGGAATTGACAATATCGTGCTAGAAGCAGCCCAACTTATAGGCACCGTTTGAAGGAAACAAGCGAGGATCGCTGCTGACGCGTCATGATGGTTACATGCCCAACGCCCTCGATATTGCGCACGGACCACGCCAATGTCGACATAGGCTCGAGATCACAGGAGTTGAGAAGATCAGCGCAACAGAATTAGATGCGCAGATATGGGTGTTGCATGGTAGCAAGTATATAACCTTAATGTTATTTCGTAAAGTTGTACCGAAGCGGCAATGGACTCAAGTGTAGTCTACGAGTCCTCTGGGCGTCAACAACGGGACAGAGAGGTCTTGGCCCCTTAGACTTCATCGGACAATGTCAATATACAGGTCCAGTGATAGGGGGAGGTAATTCATGATCATTGGATGGATCACTGCATGGTTCGAAAGCTGCCTTCTAGCACTAAACACACACTCTAACCGCAAGGCAGGGCTTATCCTTTGATCTGGCATATACAGCCCCTTTCATCCCGTACATCCAGGGTTCCTTTTACCCCTTGATCACACAGTCTGACCCCTTCCAGCTGCAGCGACTGCATAATTTCTGGGCTCAGAACTACCTTAGTGGTCTCCAGTAACCTCGCGATCGAACTGGTGAGCTGCACAATGATTGCCTTGAGAAGCCCGGTCACGGCACGAAGCACCGGCTGGACTAATACTCCCAAACAATCTATCAAAGTCTTTCATTGACCCTTTGGAATAGACGCTGTATACACAAATTGGTTTACTGCTTCACATGTGCTTTGTGTAGTCGGTCGGTCAGTGAGATATACCTGCCATAGGTAGTTAGTTCTTGGCATGCCCTCGGAGGCAAATTCCATTCGACACGTTGCAGATACAATCACTGGTTAGATCATACAGTCGATAGGTATGATAAAGTAGAACTTCACGTCATCATCGAGAGAGGCTTACATTGCAACTATCAATAGACATTTGTTCACTCGTGAGTATTTAGATCTCAGTCTTTTGGTTTATAGTTCTCCTTACCCAAATGACGCCGGCCTTCCCATGGTCGTAGACTTTCTCCAGTTGTCCTTTCTTCTTTTCGCATTTTCGGCCATAGCATTTCTGGGCATCGCATTGTTGGCCATCGCATTGTTGGCCATCGCATTGTTGGCCATCGCATTGTTGGCTATCGCATTGTTGGCCATCGCATTTTTGGGCATCGCGTTTGTCGGGACAGACACAGCCGACACAAGAACAGCCTTTTGACCATCCGTTTTCGGGGGTCTGGAGGGCGTGGTCACATCGCTCCCTGCGGAGCAGTTTTGTCGCCAAGTCGCGAGCAATCCACTTGAATGGTTTGCGCGTATCCTTGTCCCCAAGGAGGCACGAGTGGTCTATACGGAATCTCCTTAGATAGTCTATTTCGACAACAGTTCGGGCTCGAGTACAGAGTTCGGGAGTCTCCTGGTTGCAAGGCTTACCGGCTTGAACTTCCTGGCACGGGGTGCTTTGGCCGGTTGACTGTACGTCGACGGTCATTAGACAGTGTTCGCAATATAGCTCGTGTAAATGGTCGGAACACATCTTGTTGAAATGAGCTGGATGGATATGAAGAACAGGTACAAGTGGGAGCAGGGCGGCCGTATTTATCCCCATGAGGAATCGTGTATACCGACTGTTGTTCTAGCCAACAAGCTTGGCTAACAATGACATTGTTCTCTCCTTCGATTGACAAAGGGTTACTCGCCAGCAACAGTTCATGAAGCTATTCAGAAGACAGCTTTATGTCTAACTTTCTTTCTCTCCGATTGTCCTGCTTTGATTTACATCAAAGAGCGGGAGTTGATACTGTGATCTGCTATCAAGAACTCATCCCTTTCTTGTGAGGCTCCAGCAGTAGCTGGGCCAACTGGCGTCACCCTCATGTGGATGGGGCAACGTAAGAAACACATCTCCGACGAATTCAAAGCCGGAGGTCTTTGTGCTTTGTCTTCTTTCACAGTCCAGGCATTGAGGAAGCCACGGGCTTGGCATCATGACGTGCTGTTCGTGTTTGGATGTGACAAGTAACAAGTGACATGTCGTCTGCCCGGCGTTCGTTTTTAAGCCGCGTGTACAAGTCAAAGGAGTAGAGTGTGGCGAGGTTCTCTATACTATAGGGGACTGATGTAGATAGTTATCTCGTTTGGTATCATCGGGATCATTAGGCTGTGTACTGTGAAAGTAAGAGCCCGCCTGTAAGCGACTCGGGCGGACTAAGCCTAGCATAAGGGGCAATCTACCAAACTCCAATGAAACCTAAACGGAGAATAAACTGAACTTCCAGTAGAACTAGATAAACAATGTTACAATTATATTTAGACAGTGTAGGAAGCACCCTGGCCATACTCATTCGAGTCGAGCTTAACAAGACATTGCCCCTGACCTCGCCAGTCGTCCCCATATGCCTTGACGGTAACGAGACAAAGGGAGAATCGTCAGACTGGGTGGAATTCCCATCATGGCACTATGATAAGCGCTGCCCCCAATTTCGATACAATAATGATCGAGAAGGTCGCCAGTAAACTGATAGCTGGTTACGCTTTAGAGTAATGGGTAGAAGGGAGCCCCTGAGCCACCGCCATAGCAGGAAAAAAAGCCTTAGTCCGTCGATAAACAGTATCTCGCATCGTAAATGGCGAACTATCCGGCTCTGCATATACCTCACCTTCGATCAATTTTAGTGATAGTTGCTGGCCGGCTTTCTTGGCCCAGTCCAACGGTGTCTCACCCAGGCTGTCGGCTTTGTCTTTCGAAGCCCCGTAGTCCAGCAGCAGCCTGATCACTTCGGGGTTACCGATCCGGGCAGCTGTATGAAGCGGAGCGACGTGGTTGAAATCTGCCTGGGAAGGGTCCGCTGCCGTGGCGAGTAGGGCTTCCATGACTCGCGGATGCTCTCGTAACGTGGCTCCATGCAGGGCGGTGCCGCCAAATCGACTTCCGGGAGCATTGATATCAACTCCGCTGGTAAGCAAGTGAGCTACCACATCCCCAAGACCAAACCAGGCTGCATAGTAGAGAGGCGTAGCATGGCGGGGGTACTCGTCCCACTTGAAGATCCAATTCGAACTCAGCATCTGGACCCAGGACATGAAAGAGCCCCGAGACCTATCGTCGAAGAAAGCAGAGACCTGCTCGCTCAGCTGTGGACGGGGGCTCGCTGCCCGATAGTAGTATGACCATGACCTGGAAGCGTGATGCAAGAGAGGGTGACACCCAAGGCGTTTCTCCCAGTCTTGCAGGGTCGAAGCTGGGCCGCTAGCGAGGCTGTCCAAGCACATATATCTCAGAGAGACTTTGGCCAGCTCGTCTTTGGCACCCGCAAGGTCCATGCCGAACCTGGATAGTGCCGTGTGATTCTTAAGATCTGTGGAGAGAAGATAGCTCTTCACTGACAAGTGTGCCAGTTTGACATAGCCTTCATCGGAAACAGAGAGGAGACATCCTCCGATGGCCAGAATATCCTCAGGTCTTAATAGACGAGAATCTTCAAGCTGCTCGTACGTTGTCATGTCGTCTTCCATTGCCACTGCTTCACGAAGTTCCAGAAGCGTCAAAGGGGTAACCGCGAAGGTGAGCCACAGTAGAGTTCTGCGGAGAAAATCGACGTCGGCCTTGTCGATCCGTAGGAGAATATTCTCGTAAGTTTCGTTCACCCCTCCGGGAGTTGGCTAAGGCTCGTCCGAACTGCTTTTGCTGTTCGTTGGCGGGAAAGTTGGTCCATCTGGCATTGGGCCCAGCGAAACCTACCATATTAGCAAAGATGAAGAGCATGACTGGGAGATAGGATACTCACGATTTCGACAGCGACATCATAGTATCATTCAGGACGTTCCAAGACGAGGATCTGGGAGACTACCCGGGTCAACAGGAGTATGAAGCTCTGTCATACCACTGGGGCCCGGGTCCGGCCGACAAACCCGTCTACCTGGCTGCAACTAAGATATATGAGATCCCAAGCATGACTGTCAGCGGTCATGGCCAGATGAACAAACATTTCCCCGATTTCTTCGACGGGCAAACCCGCCAAAGGTTCTACGTCAGGCCGAATCTAGACAAAGCCCTCCGATATCTACGAGACACTACGAAAGGGTGGTGCTGTGGGTGGATGCGATATGTATCAACCAGTCGGACGTGCTTGTGGAAAAGCCAGCACAAATCGCTAAGATGAAGAACACTTACAGGAGAGCGTACAACGTGTGCATTTGGCTCGGTGATGGCGTAACCGAGGACGAGGATAGGAGCCAGGATTTCTGCTCTGCCATGGAGTTCAGCCGAGAGATCCTCCAGCTTGAAAAGCTCCAAGGCTTCCTATATGATAACGAAAAGGCAAAGAACTGGGGCGACCTGCTGGACTTGATGAATTGCCCCTGGTTCTCCCGGCGCTGGGTGGTTCAGGAGCTGGCTTTCGCCCGCGCTGCCACTGTGCATCTTCGTGACAGCCATGTTCCATAGCAGGATTTCGCGGACGCCTTAGGTATATTCGCCTTGCATTTCGACAGAATCCGAGCTCTCTTCAGACAGTCCAAGGCCGACAAGATCTACCGCAAAGCGTTCAGCAACTTGGAGTCACTCGGCGCAAAGATCATGGTGGACGCAATCAACAACGTATTCCGTAAGTCTGCGGATGGCGTCCTGCGCGAACCAGTCTTTGATTTGGAGACGCTTGTGTCTACCTATCTCCTTTCGAGTCGTCCGACCCACGCGATACGATCTATGCTCTGCTGAATGTTGCTCGAGAGTCGATGCTGCCCCAGACCCGTGCAGGCGAGGTCAGCCCCCCAGTACCAAACTACGAGAATGCTCTTGTAGAAGTTTACACCGACTTCCTGGAGTGGGTCGTCAGCTCAACAAGCTCTATAGACATTCTTTGCCGACAATGGGCCATGCCGGAAAGGAGTTCGCCGATAGGTTGGAAGAACCCCACGGCTGCGATCGCCCTCCCCTCGTGGGTCCAGACGATTTCTAAGTCGACTTGGGGTTTCCAAGTGCAAGGTTTCAATGGCCGTATCAATGCCGATAGCCTCGTTGGAAAGCCTGGAAGATCGCGGTACAACGCGTCGTATGGCAAAAAGCCCATAATTAGATTTGGGACACGGCGGAGGTTCATTGCAATGGACTCGGGTCCGTCGCTGAGACGCACCAACACGGCCCCGGGTCGATTCGAGTCTGTGCCAGGACTCGATGAGACGCCAGAGTACCGTCAATAAGCACCTCGGTGCCCGAATCGAACCTTCTTCAAGTGGTAGGGGTGGAGATCGGCAAGATTACATGGATATCCAACCCAGTATCTGGTGGGGTCATCACAGGAGCATGCCTCGAAAAAGGGGGGCTGGGGCCAGGAGACACGTTCTGCAGCGGTAGTTCCCGACAAGTTATGGCATACTCTCGTCGCAGACCGGACGGCCGAAGGAGACAATCCCCCCCTTGGTACCACAGAGCAGCACTTCACTGCATGTTTCTGACCGACAATAACGGTCACATCCGCACAACGGAGCTCCTTGCACCGGAGAACGTGACAAGCAACGCCAACCCGCAGGTCATCACAGAATACCTCAAACGAGTGCAGGCGGTTACCTGGAATCGGAAATTCTTCGAGGCCGAAACTTCGGGGATCGGTGCCTCAGATCCGCTCTTTGGCCTCGGTCCTCCAGAGACTCAGAACGATGATAGGATCTGCATACTTTACGGGTGCAGCGTTCCTTGCATTCTACGCCCCAAGGCGAATGGCAACGTGCTTTTCCAATTCATCGGGGAGGCCTACGTGCACGGGAGGATGGACGGCGAAGCCATATTTACGGTATCACCAGATAAGCTCAAGACCCAGAAGACTACTTTCTGTGTCATATAGATAGATTGAGAGATATACCGGACTTGAATACCTTGATACTTTCAATCTTTGATTCTTTGAGGCGAACCTGAGAATGCGTCATCGCAATGAGCTCCCTCCGCAGAAATCCCAGTCCGCTAACGACGAGAAAGCCGCAGAAATAAGGCCGAACCTTACACTCTGCCCCTATTCCAGTCTCGAACCGAAGTGTACAGAATCTGGGACATGGCTAAGCGCCCAGACCGTGCCACACGAGGAATCCTACCTGTCATGCTGCCCTCCTTGGGTCAACCCCGTGGTATTGGCTTGTCACACGATGTGTAGGCGGGCACGTAAAAGACTGCAACCAACCAACCAACAACCAGCCCCGATTGCATATGCCGGTTCTCCAAAGTGACCAACCTGCATATAGATCAAGGTTCCAGTCCAGGACTGCAACGCACAACAATCATCTTCAAAAATCAAGACATATTCTGTCATACTCACACATACGCTCAAAACATCCTTACTCAAGGAAGGCAACTCGTCTAGACATCGGCAATGGATGTTTCACACGCTTTGGAAGCTCTCCGCCGGGCTCTTCTAAACGCCAAGTTCGCACTGCGAGGAACCCAAGAGTACAGCTCTCTCAACAGCAGCACGTACCAGTCGGGTCTCAACATTGACATCTCACCTGCCTGCCTCTTCCAGCCCCAAACTGAAGAGGAGGTTGCGAATTTCTTGAACACCATTCGGCCGTTTGTTATTGCTGGCGGGGCTGCCTTTGCCATTGCTGGAGGTGGCCGCCAGCCTGCGCCCGATTGCTCCAATATCAACGACGGCATCACCGTCAATCTGTCGCTCTTGAAGTGCATTGACGTCCAAGTGGGCCGTGTCTCTATCGCGGCTGGGGAGCTTTGGAGCTCGGTGTACGATAAACTCGGCGAGCAGGGGCTCGGATGTGCCGGGTCACGGTCAGCCAAAAGTGGTATCGGAGGACTAGCTTTGCAAGGTAAACACCTTTTGTCACTGTTGTTCTGCAACTATTACTATGTCGCGTCCAACTGATTGAGACTGGCAGGTGGCCTTTCCTTCTTTTCCTCGCGTGATGGCTTCATCTGTGACGACGTAAGTACATCCCCCCCCTCCCTGCCATTCCCCAGTCACTGTGAGTGAAGTCGGGAGCAAGGCTTTCAAGTTGCAGGCGGACAAAAGGGCAAAGGGCCCTTGTGCTAAAGCAGATTGGTTCTGAACTACGAGATCGTGCTAGCGTCAGGAGACATTGTCAATGCCAATGCCAACGACAACACAGATCTTTGGGTCGCTTTACGGGATGGTGGCAATAATTTTGGCGTTGTCACTCGCTTCGACATGCGGACGTTCAAGCAGGGTCAGATGTACGGCGGTAGCATATACTACACCGGAGCCACTTTCCCCAGCCAGGCCGAATTGCTAGTCAGTAAGCTCCAAAAGCCCAACGCGACCGACAAAACACACTTAATGGTGAGCCTTGGATACACTGCCGCCTTTGGCCCTGATCCTGTGGGTCTCAATCAGCTGTACTACAAGGATGAAGTCGAAACGCCGTCGGTCCTCGAGCCCTTCACTCCATTCCAAGCGCAAATCCCTGGTCTCAACACCTTACGTTTGCATACCCTGGCAGAGGCGTCCAGAGAGCAGGCAGGAGAGGTTTCGACACTCCAAAGGTACGTTGACTCACTTGGCCAATCCAACCCTAACCCTTACCCGCACCCCTCGGTCATGGGCTAACGATACCCCAGATCAGCTTACATGAATACTCATGTGCGAGCCAATATTGCCTGTCTGCTAGCCGGAGCAAAGATCTGGCAGGCGGCTCTTGAGCCTATCAAATCCTGTGAGGGGCTTATCTGCTCCTATACTTTGCAGCCGTATCCGCTGTCCCTCTTGGCGGCCTCGGACACCAAGGGAGGGAACTCTCTCGGCTTGGACGCAGCCCATGGTCCAGTTGTCTCGATAGCCCTTTTGGGCTACTGGAACAACGCAGGCGACGATGACAGAATCCTCAACGCATTCAAGGGCGCATTGGAAAAGATCGACCAGGAGGCCAAGACGAGCGGTCAGGCGCTTGACTTCAAGTTCATGAACTATTCCTTCACTTTCCAGGATCCTATTGGTTCATATGGGTCCGAGAACAAGATGAGGCTACAGGATGTGAGCAGAAAGTTCGATCCGGAGGATGTTTTCCAAAAGGGTGTTCCAGGGGTGGAAGTTGTTCGCTTGATCAACGTCGCGAAATGTCAGATAAATACTAGACCGCTTAGTACGTTATATTGCCCATGTAGCCCGTAGGCAGGCGGGCAGCTGCTTCGCAGCCGTTTATAAACGTAAAAAAATACAATTAACCAACAAACCAACTATATTGTGTATTTGTCAAAGAAAAAGTGCGTACCCATCCTTCGCCCAACGTAGTAACACAACAGTAAAACCAACACCCCACAAGTCATTCCGACGTCAAGCAGTCCCGAGCCTGACCCTAACCCTAACCCCGATACCCCTTCCAAGCCCACCGTCCAGGCGCGAAGCAGATCTCGAACTCCGCCTGATCAAACACGCCGACCGCCGCACACAGATCATGCGCGCCCTCGAGCCCCATGACAGGCAAATCCTGCTCGCGGTCCGTCTCCTCGTGCAGATTCCAGCGGCCCCTCTCGACGCCGTCGCGCGTGAGGAAGATGTCAACGGCGAGGCCGCCATACCCATTAGGCGTGAACTCCATGCCGAGCCCGACGACCTCGCAGCGCCGGAACGCTTCCGTGAACGCCTTGCCGCCCCAGCGGTCGTTGACGTAGCGGTGGCCGTCGTCGCCGTGGACGCCCAGACTGGCGCGGTGCCAGCCCGGTAGTCTGAAGGCCGGGTAGGGCGGCGCGACGAAGCCGAGCGCGAGGGAGACCTCGCGGCGGCAGCCTGGGAGCGCGCGTATCTCGTAGTAGATGGTCTTCTTCTGCCCCGTGCGCAGCGGGTTGTGTGCCGCTACGTTGTAGAGAGGTGGATAGCTGGCGATGCAGGTGTCCGGGGCGCCCTTAGCGGTGTGGCCGCGCCAGAGGCCGACGTCCTGGTGCTTGAGCTCGCCGCGGAAGTAGGGCGGCGTGAACATGTTGATGTTGCCGCAGTTCAGGGCGTTCAGGGCGTTGGGGTCGAGCGGTTGCGGTGCGTAGAGCGGATAGTCGCGACACCAGCGCTCGCCCTCTTCGGCCTGCGCCTCGGTCGCGTTGTTGGCCGGCGAGCGGTCGAAGCCGCTGAAGAAGCTGGGCGGCGGAGGGAGGAGCGAGGTATCGGGGACGGCGGTCTCCCAGTCGTGCTGGGACTTCTGCTTATGGTCCGGGGGAGGGGGACCGGGCGGCGGTGCGTAGTCGTTGAAGGGGTTATTCTTGGACGGGGGCGGGCGGGCGGGCGGTGCGACGTAGTTGTTGTGGGAGGGAGGTGGTCCCGGAGGAGGAGCGCCATAGTTGTTGTGGCCGGGAGGTGGTCCCGGAGGGGGAGCGCCGTACGATTGCGGCATACTTGCTTTCGGTGCTGGATGACTGGCGGAAGACGGTTGTTGTGGTATCTGGGCTGGCTTCGCGGCGTTGTCGTTGGAGTTGTCTTTGTCTTTGCTGCCGAAACACATTGTGGTGGTTGTGCAAGATGGCGCGAGTCGCAGAGCAGTTAAGTATTACGAGGATGTGTGTCGAGAGAAGTTACCAGTCACACCGTGGGTGAGCAAGATTGGTGGTGGTGGTGGCAGTGAATGGCAGTGATGACGAACCACTAGACAATCGGGAAAGGAAGTGAGGAGATGGGTCCGAATCGTGGCAGTGACGGGATAATTTGAATGGGAAAGGGAGGCCTCCCAAATGGCGAATGGGGATTCACCAACTTATATGCGCCGCCTGATTTGTATCTGGATGTTGGACGATCTTGCAAAGATGGCTGAATGGACAGATGGTTGTGAGTTAGTTTGTTAGTTTGGGCACACTGAGAGTTTCCTGTGCCACGGGGCATCTGAGAGTCTTTGACAGTTGAGGAGAAGGAGGCAATCAATTCACTACCTGTGGAGGCTGTGCTACCTCGCCAAGACGGTCTCGGAAGAGAGTTGGCTGCCGATCGTGATGGTGGTGACAAGCTGTTGGCCTGATCTCGAGCGACCTGTGATTTGGGTTTGGAAGCGAGGTTGTTGCTCTGCTCAGCCGCATTCTGGCGGAATGTCTAGACAGACGGTGTCCCACAGCGACTAGCCGTATCTAGCATGCAGCCCTAGTCCGTATCTTTTTAATACATTACTGTCAGATGTTGGATCCCAGATATGGTGCCCTTAGGTGCAGTGCAGTACACGCTAGGGGGCTGCCAGGGGAACAGTGGATCTATCCTAGCATGGTGCAGTATGGTATTTAGCTGTAGATTAGCCCTACCGAGCATACTTGAGAATAACAACGTTTGCAGCGACCGCTCACACCCCCAAGGCTTGTGACCCTTCTAGAATCTCACAATTACTTACTAATATCGTGAGTACGGTTTTTACGCTGATAATATAAACTATCTTAATTAAATATTATATTGCTACTATTACTATTAATATCACTATTAACATTAGTATGTTTTAATATGTTTATATTGCATTATTTATAAATAATGATTTTTGTCGGATGTAGTGGCTCAGGGTGTGTGTTAGAGGTGGTCTATGCACAGGGGGTCAGGGTGGTCCAAGCGCTATAAGAGCGGTGGACTAACCACCGTTGCCCCACTGCTCAGCTGCAATACCAGTTGGACGCGTTAGTACTGTATTTGCATACAAATACATCCACCCCAGGTAGCAGTAGAACATTTGGATAATCCACGAACAAATGAACAGTATTCCGCACACTAAAGCTTGACATTTTCAATAAATAATTTTTTAAATAAACTTTTTACTCGCGCTTATAATACTTAATGCCTTACTAGCGTTCATAGTGCTGTTAACGCTTTTGATCGTTAATATTTTCTTATACTTATAAAAAAGTTTAAATCGTTTTCAGGGTATTACAAGTGAAATGGAAAGTATTATAAGAATATCGGCTTCAATTATATATTCAACAAGTTTAAAAACTATATGATTACGTTTAAATATACTCGTTATTGATTAGAATATTACAGAAATATAAATAAAACCCTTTGAAATAAAGCTAGGTATAAGCGTATTAATAAGCGGCAAATTGGTAATATTTCGCGTAAAAATTACTTATAAAACGTAGTTTGTATATATTATAATAAAAAGCGGAAAAAAAGCTAACTTAATTAACGATTTATATAGGTAAAAATGAAAAAGATATACATTTATAATATATTTTACGCGTTATTTATATTAATAGACCGGGAAAATCAATTTATTTTAAAGGTTTATAAATTTATTAAAACCGCTATTATTAAGCTAGAAAACACGATAATTAATATTATTAAAAAGTTAATTTATGAATACCCTGGTAAAAATTTAAGTGAAAAGGTAATATTAGATATGTTGATAATTACTTATAAAAAGGGATTTAATGACTATATAACTATTTAAATGGTTTAAATGTTTTTAAAAGTAATAATATGAAATATCGCGTTTTTATAAAAATACCGTTGTTATAAGTCTCATTAAAGGAATTTTTGAAACCTATGTATAATATATTAAATATAAAATATAAACCTTAAACAATACTTAATAAATAATATTTATAAAATTAATAAGTTCAATATACTTTTATATTAATTGAACGGCATTATTACCTTTTATACTAGTTTTTATGATATATGACCTTTTTAATAATAAAAACTAAGCGTTGTTTTAATAAACATGAAATATAAAGAGAAATCGTTACAAAGTATTTTATTTTAAACCTTTATATTATAATTGTAACGGCCTGTACGGACCTTCCCACGTGACAAGCCGATACTTCCCAATAAGAGAAGGATCTGAACAGAGGATCCCATTAAAGGGGCAACCTCCTGCTGTACCTATCTCTCTCTCTCTTCCTTTTCTCTCTAGTCTTGATATTCTCGTCAATAGAGTAATAGCTGCTTGCTGCCGGCCATGTCCCAGCTCTTCAGTACGCTCGCCGAGAGACTTATTACGGTTTGAAAGTGATTATTAGACAAACAATTTAATATAAAAAGGTTTAAATAAGAAAAGGTATATAGGAAATATCTAAGCTTTTTTTTTTTTAAATTACGACCTTTTTTATTAATATATAATTTTTAAACATTTAAAAAGTATTAGTAAGTTACTAGTTATGATACTATACTAATATTAATATGTACGATAAAAGATAGAACAATATTAATAAAATAAAATAACTTTCTAAAATAAGATTCTCACTTTTTTTTTTTTAATATTAAAATAAAAATAACCCGGGTTTACGTTACTGTCAGATGCAGCCGCTAGGCAAAAGGGATTGACACTGACATGAAGTCAATGCTTATATTTGACACACCCCCGCAGCTTAAGTACGGAGCTATACTGCTGTGTAGTGCGAAAGCTGGATGCTGTTCTGACTTGCGCTTTGGCTTTGTTCTGACTTATTCTATCCAGTCGCGGCTTCTACGAGACTCGAACCCTGTGGGTGGCTAGGGGTGGTCTGCTCTAGCGACGTGTATCCATTAAATTCTCCAGTGAGCTAGAGAGACGATGAGACTCTTAATTGTCAGATGCAGCCGCTAGGCAAAAGGGATTGACACTGACATGAAGTCAGTGCTTATATTTGACAGTTACGAACCAACAAACAGTGCGGCCTGATAGCAGGCCAAGAGAAGACGATTGGAAACAGGTTGACCAGTGAGTGAGGTGCTGACCAGTGGAGAGATTGGAGCAACGGAGCAACGGTACACAGATCACGTGACTAGCAGAACCTGGGTCACGTGACTAAGAATTTGGATCACCGGTGATCCAGGGTGAGCCACCTAATCAGTGAGGGAGAGATTGGATATATAAGGATGGACATTTCCTAACCAGATAGATAGACAGTCTCTACCTCAGTGATCAACCTAAGCATCTTAGCCAACCCTAAGGTGGGAGAAATCTCCTGACGACTTGACTACACAGTGAATCTAGTTCAGACCAAACCCCAGCATCTGAGTGTCTTCTAGTTGACAGAAGCCTCTATCGTCCTTTGTGTTGACTTACCTCAGAACACAAACCCTATAGAACCCTTTAGCCTTATAGGTTAGACGGCTCGTCACAGTTTATTATTTTAAAATATATTTAATACGGTTATACCGATTATTTAAATGCTTTTAAACACGTAAATGTCTTTCAAAAATAATTACATAGCCGCTTTAAATATATAAATAATACTTTTAAGCTTTTAAAAGCCTTAAAATAGTGAAAAAACACTATAAAGATCTTTTTTACAACGAGCCTTTGTAACAACTATGATAACTTTAAATACGTTATTAATAATTATAAAAAGTAAACGTATCATAAATAACTTCGTACCGTTACTACTAAAGCTTTCAACGCCTTATTTGCGCTGTTTGTCACGTTCCGGAGATGAGATAGGACGTAAGAGCCTTGTATACACTATCTACGTATGAAGATCTCTTGGTGAGGAGAAAAGAAGAGATCGAGCCTACCAGCCAATTCTGGTGAGGGATATGATCTGTTGAAGACGAGGGTCAATTGATTGAGTGTGTTGTGATGTTGTGATTGAGCACTGTCTATCTGTCTATGAGTTTTCAGTACTAGTTTTTGCCCTGGTGGCTGGTCGCAGTCTAGTGCACTGTCATCCACGTGACATAGTCAGTCCATAGCCCAAATGGTGCGCTGGTATCTGACATGATCTGTGTGCCCGCCCCACTATCCGTTGCCCTAGTGGCTGGCGGATCAACAGTCGCTCCGCTCACGTGACTAATGCACGTGAGTGAGTGGCTTAGAGATCTGGTGGTATGGGTGACTATACAGGTGACCATACGATCACACTGTTAAAACTTTTAAAAACTTTTAAAAAGTAATAAAAGCAATGGTAAAGTCAAAAGCGAAGCTAATAACAAGGTTAATAAAATATTTAAATCAAGTATAATGTAAACGAGCGATATATTTTAAACTTGATTAATTTTTATTGTAAATTTTGCATTTTTATAACTTCATTTATTTACTTAATAATGTGAGCAGTATCCATCTGTATGTATAAGCGGTATGTGGGGATCAGCCATACTATTGGGCCGTACAGTGTTGAATACTGTCAGATCTGAGCCAATCGTGAGGTTGAAGTGTGTCTGTGTATTCTGTCTCTTTAGAGTGTCCTTGTGCGACCGTGGCAGTTTTGTGCCAGAGGGGGCTGGATCGGGACGGAACAACTAGGTTCCGGTGTCTACCTATTAAGGTGCTCTCTGGGCTCACCTTTAATTCAACAAATACACGGATGTTGATTGATGCTATTGATTGTTCTGCTCTGCTTCTTCAGTGTGCAGAGATTGATCATCTGTCTTCTTGGTGGGTCAGATGCTCTGTGCGTCTCTGCCCCACTGGAGATCTTCCGGTGTCTATCTCCGGCTCCCATTCAACATACAGGGACCTACAGGGCATCCAAGTGTATTCTACCACCAACAAACAGTCCATAGACCTTTTCCTGAATACAACAACGCTGTCACGCTTATATTGCACTTATCGTTTCATGGATAATGCTCTCAAATAACTTTAATCTTGTTTATATTACAAGTAATAACTATAAAGAAAATTAATACTTTAAAATTACTAATATTTAGTACAACTCATATTTATAAGGTTGTATTAAGCCTAGTAACAACATTAAGTTTAATGCAAATAAGACACCGTCTATTTAAGCAGTTATTGTCAAATATAAGCACTGACTTGATGTCAGTGTCAATCCCTTTTGCCTAGCGGCTGCATCTGACAGTTATACCGTCTGTCTAGACAATCCGCATTCCGGCGTTCCTTTAAGGAAACCTTCCCCGCTATATTGCCTCTTACAAGTTTACAACCTCCCCACCCCACCCTACACCCCACCTCTCCCCATGTATGCCATGTGACATCGTCAGGAGCAAAGTCCAGACGCCATTGCTTCTAGAAGATCAGACGCTCCAATTGGCATGTTTGCTATTCTTCTAGAACACTGCCTGGTGGGCGACTTGTTGAATGGGAGCCGGAAATAGACACCGGAAGATCTCCAGTGGGGCAGAGACGCACGGGGCATCTGACCCACCAAGAAGACAGATGATCAATCTCTGTACGCAGAACAAGAACACAATCAATAGAATCCATCAACATCCGTGTATTCAACACGACTCTTTGTGGGGTAAATCTCTCAATCCGAATCTAATAATGCAAGTCCCAAGATCTGTGGGGGCTAGCACTGTTATCTTAGGTAGGGCCTGACCAATACAATGCGCTCATTCCGGCACCCTCGGGTGACAATCTGACATGATTACTATTTCAACCACTTGCCAGTTTGTGAACCTGGCTATAAGGTAGTACAAGCTTGCGCAGTCGTGGGACAGACGGGCAGGGCAGTGATACAGTAGGGCCAGCGGTGCATACTCGAGCTATCTCGGGGTTTAATGAATGTATTTGCATTATACGCCTACAGCAGAGCCTGTGTAGAGTATGTAGATGTGGAGGCAGGTATCAAGGGCCAAGTTGGTTGAGCCTCTCTATGCTTCTTGCAACAGACCGAGAGCTATCATGGCAAGGGGCAAGTTGGCTGGGCTCCCTCGAACCATCTCCTTTGAGCAAATCTCATCAACCTGTCCTTCCTTCCATACCAAGACATCCACGTTCGGGACACACAAGCAAGCACACGTCCCCAGGTAGTCGTTATGTCGTTCCACCGCGCCATCATGCTAGTACGATCAGCTCATCCCACATGCAAGGTAACGACCCCCGAAGCTCTTTCTTAAGCACTTCACTAAGCACTTCCCCTTCCCTAAGCGCTCCACTGGTTGGAATCCTTGCCCTCGGGGTAGAAGAAGGCTATAATGGCGATGATGACGTATGTCGCGCATAGGAGCGCTCCTTCGAGATAATTGCTTCGTCCGTCGAGAATCAGGAAGTTGATGATGAACGCCGAAACGAATAGACAGACCGTCTCGAAGAGGGTGAAGTACAGCGTCATGGGCTGGTCGATGATCCACCCCAAGATGACTACCAGCGGCGTGATGAACAAGGCAATCTGGATCGAACTGCCAATAGCCACACCGATTGCCAGATCCATCTTATTCTTCATCGCGACTGACACAGCCGTCACGTGCTCCGCCGCATTGCCGACGATGGGGAGAATGATGAGACCAATGAAGATTTCCTTGAGACCGCTGGTCTCCACAACGTCGTTGATCGCATCAACCATGAACTCGGCACACACCGCCACGAGGGCTGTCGAGATCAGGAGCATGATGATGGCAGCCGGACGCGAGAGATCATCGGGGTGCACCTCGCCGTCTTCGGCAGCGCCTTCCGCCAGAGCCGCCGATGGAACTCGAGAAGGCATCAGTCCTCCGGGAGGTCGATACTGAACCTCATTGAGCCGTTCTGGGAGCGAATTCGTTCGGCGAATTCCATATCGGACGCGCGGAACAGGTCCGACAGGAACGACCGGTGCTGTACCCGCCTGTGAAGGCTGTGTGAAAACCGGGGGCGCCAAGCTCTTAGCTACAGGTCGAAATGAGATTCCACGGAAGTTGTTGAACGGCCGCTTGGCACCAGCTGGCATGGAATCAACCGTGCCGTCAACGTTGATGACATTGTCGGCAAAATCCACGCGTCGCGGTTCTCCATCGGTCGGGTTGGTAATCTGCACAGCTCCTGGGATGAGTCCAGCGATATTCTCGCCCGCAGCCGTAGGCATACTCTCCTCGGGCTCGAGGGGCGTGGAGGTCTTCCTGTGACGTCGATGCTTACGCTTGGACTGCTTGTGGCGTTTCCGATGAGGCTTGGGGGACTTGGGTTCTTCCTCTTCGATTGCCTCCTCGCTCCCTTGAGAATTGGAAGCAGGAAAGAACCCAATCTTGTTAGCTGACTCGGTAGACTTGGAGCCTTCATGCAGTGGACTCGTGTTGTTGGTATTGAACGAGGATGCTCGAGTCCGGGAACCAGCCTCATCAGTGTCTACAGAAGCCACGCTGGACTTTCTGCGGCGCCGAGCACGAATGGCTCGCCTGACCCGTTTCGACATTGTGTTCCTCGAGCGGTCAGACGCGTCCGAGTCAGAGTCGGAAGAAGAGCTAGATTCTGAACTAGAGGTATCTAGCCACGCGGAAGCAGGACCAGGGGTGGACTCTTCGTCGATGATGTGCTGAGGAGTTGATTCGTACATGTATGCATGAGACTTCAACTGAAACAGAAGGTAGACACCATAGACTAGGAGGAGAATCTGAAGAACGTGTCAGTACTCGCAAACATAGGCAAATGCAGTCTTTACTACACACCACACTGGTTCCGCGGCTAATCTTCAGAGATTCAGCGTCCGCCTTTGCTTCGTCCGCAAATGATGCGTGGAAGGCGGTCTAGAGTAGCAATCGGTCAGAAGAGAACAGGCCATATTAGACAATAGATACTCACGGGCAAGACGAGACTGATGACACTCAGACTGAGCAAGCAAGCGCTCATCTGCGTTACTGTGCTGTTGTAGATCTGGCCAGTGTCAGCACGTAGGACAAAACGCCGGAACAGACAAGGTACCAACCTGTTCTCGGAATCGTAGGCCACCGAGGAAGAAGGCCATGCCCAGGATGAGCAACAGATTCGCAAGGATTGATCCCAGCAGTGAAGCTTGAACAATACGAATTTCACCCTGGGTATCATCAGTAATAAATTCGTATACAAAATCATGGGAGAATTACCTTGACAAGTGCAATGCTGCAGACGAACAAAGATCAGGTTAGCGACGCAAATAAGCAAGATCAAGGGTCGGTATTCAGACCAGAACGCAATGCTTCGTGAATAGATGATACTTCCAGGCATGCGTTCATCGTTGGAAGGGTCTCTCGCAGGACCAGGCCAGGCTTACATGCTGTCAAAATGTTAGTAACATAGTCGTTGAAAGGAAAGAAGACCTTTAGCCTGAAGGCTTACAAGATAATCAGCTCAACAGCATTACCAAAGGTAACATTGAGCAGTGCGCCGATGGTGTCACCCATCTTGCGGGCTACAGACTCGGTAGCGTGGCTGAGGAGGGCGGCCAGCGGAATAATTGCAACGGCATTGATTCCGAATACAGCGCCGGGGTTGATTCCCGGAATGTTGGCAACGACGATTCCGACGGGCACGAACACGAGGAACACGTTGATCCAGCTGTGAAGCAGGACCATCTTGAAGGTGGTGAAGAACCGGACCACTATATTGGGCTTCTTGTCTTTCCCAACTTGGTCTACGACAGTCCCCGTCCCATCAGCTTCAGATGCCGGCGCAGCTGATTTATCGGCATTATCGCTATCCGATCTGAACTTGGCGGCATTATCGAGTGAGGGGTCGCTGGAACGGCCCTTGCTGCGGAGGGCATTGTTGCTGCTTGGTCGCTGCAGTTGAGATGCCTCCTTGGAGGGTGGGTTGCTTATGGGAAGCACGGGGTTGCTGTTGGATCCGGTCGGTGGTTTCGTGCCTCCATACGCGTGACTACGTGCCCAAGAGCGTATGCGATCTATATAGGGGGCTTTGTCAGACGAGGTTTCCTTCATCGATGTATGGTGCTGTGGCAATGTCGACGCCAGGGTCGTTGATGTTCTGTAGAGAGAACGGGGAAGAGAGGAGGATTGGAGATAGACGGAAAGAGTGGAAGATAACAGGCCTAAATAAGGATGAGGAGTGGAGTTGGAGAAGAGTGGAAAGTGATTGGATTGGGATTGGGATGGGGACGTGGGCAGTGCTGTGATTGGAGAGGTCAAGTCGTAATTTGGGCTCCCTGGAAGTCCCTGGGAATCCCTGGGAATCCCGGGTTTCAGGCCCAGTGTTCTCTGATAACTAAACACCAAACACCGAGATGATTGGCCTCTGGGCCGGATCGGAGCCGGTGGCGTTCGCCTTGCTTTCGGATGGACGTTATGACGCTGGGCAACGGGGCCGGTGTATCTTGCCATGCATGCAGCGTTTGCTTTTTGGGGGGATTCACAAGAGACTCGCCTCACCGCCGTGGACCGCGTCACAGCGTTTCAGCACGACACAGGACAGGTTGACGGGACTGATCTCCAAACCTTGTGGTCTGACTTGTTGTCCTCCCAGTCATCAGTCACTGCCAGTCTGCGCCACGATATCAAATCGCGCTAGACAGCGCACCCCACTTAGGGACCGCCAAAAAGGGATCGGACGCAGGCAAAAGCGTTATGCTCCACGTTGGCTGCAGCTGATGACTGGCTGTGATTCGAAGGTGTGATGGCGGGTGCTCCAGGAGCCGGGAAACCAAGAGAGGAAATGGTGGAGAAGCAGCGTGGAACATGGAAATCCAGACTCACGCATTCTCCCGCCGCCACGGAGCAGAGAGGACTCCCGCGAAGTATGCGCCTATGCGCCGCTTCTTGCTAGTACGCCGCCGCTTTGCTTCGCCCTCTTTACTGGATCTCTGATGTGATGTCCTGCGGGATGATATCAGTGAATATCCGCGTGACCTGTATCCATCTGCACGGGTGACAACTGCGCTCACCTGCAGTTCAGCAGATACCTAGGTACTGAGATATCGTACTCAACAACGCCGACAGCGGATGTCGGCTTAACAGAAAGATCGGTGTGCGTCGCCTGCAGAGCTGCTGGCTCGCAGCTTGGAAGTTGGGGGTCAGCAGCAATTCGGGGTTTCGTGCCTTGCTCTGAGCTTCGTAGGGCTGGGGTGACTGGTGATCAGCAAGCGACGCCGACAGGATGGGGGCGAGAAACGGCCTAGGACACGCGTTGTCCGACCAACATGGGATGGTCCAAGCTCTGGGTACGTACCCTTGGCCCCTAATCCAGAATCTTTAGCTGTGTGGCTGTGTGGCTGTGTGGCTGTGTAATTGTGTGGCCAAGGCTTGTCGTGGCATTCCCAGCGACCCCAAATACTTGTACCGTCGTCGATGTCTCCGACTCAGCGCCGCACGATCGGCACTGCCCTCCCAATCTCTCGAGGGATCTGGGCAAGGCTGCGCTCGGCCTCCGAGGCGGCGTGGAAGCTCCGTTCGCCGCTCCGGCTCCGCTATTCGTACGCAATACTGCGCGACTGGTCGCCCACGCCACTTCTTTCGTGGTTACGACTACTATGGCCAATCCCCTGGCATTTTTCTACTCGCCTGCCCGAAAACCCGCGTTACTTGCAGCAAAATCCAGAGCTGGTTGCCCATCGTAACGACAGGGTTTACGACATGACGTTGATGCCGATGTGGCGGGGGCGTGACAGTCCCCAGCGGTCTTTCTACCGCATGTACGAAAACTTTTGCGCCGAGCAAGGTGTTCTCCTTGGCTACGAGACCGAATATTTCTGGAAACACGCCGAACCGGCCTGGGCTCTTCGCCTGCTGCCCAAACCCCGGGCTTGTGGCCATCCGGACCTGCAGCGAGATGCCGTTATGGCTTCGTTTCTGGAAGATGTCGTGAATGCTTTCAACTGGCGCCTGGAATTAGGCCTGCGCCGAGGGGCACCCTTGGTAGAGCGTGCTGACGACGGGACTCCTGCGCCTTTCGTTCCTGAAAGGTGCCCTGACTGGGTGGCCCAGGTAGGCCCGCTGCCCGAAACGCTACTGCTCCATGAGGACTGGGACATGCTGATCCCTGGCGATGACGCTGGAGCCTCGGTACACCTAGAACCATATCGCAAGCGAAACATTGTGGCTGGTGACACCGAGTCTGGCATCAACGGCTATCTGAGGACGGGTTGAGACGATGAGAGAGGCGACATCGACGGCAGGCTGCAGGTGACCACGCAAGGTGTCCAGGCAGGTATAAATCTCCCTATCTTAGGTGTCAGGGCTTGAAGCCAATGCTAAACATAGCATACAGTGCCATCAAGGGCGTTGTATCTATACGTCCTGGCCTGTTCATCCCATTCGATATCAGCGATGCCGACCTGGCCGTATTGTCTCTCATACTGCCTCTTCACGGTGGCTATTGCCCGCGAAATCGGTGTCTCGAAGCCGTTAAAGTTGAGTGCTTGCAAGTATTGCACACCCAGAGGCTGCCCGGTACTCTGCATATTATGGTGCACCAGAGCTGTAGCATCATCAATATCCAGCTGGCGCCGGGCAGATTCGATGCGACGAAGCTTGCACTCGAGCGACCACTCCATGCTAGCGGCGTACGCGGTTAGTTGGTGCCATTATGAATGATTATGCCCTGCTCAACCGACTGCAGAAAGAGATCCATGCGCCTAGAGCGATGTACAAACCCTTTCAGCTCGTCGTTCATCCAGTCGGTCTGGAGTTTCTGCGATTCTGACACGGCGCGAATAGCCTGCGCGAAGGCTGTCTGGTATTCAGGGGCCGTATCGACGTTTGGATCAACAAGTATATCGACATCTTCCGTTGAACCACGCACGTTCATATACATAACGGCTACGCAGCCGCCCGCACACATGAGACGGAGAGGCGCGACGCTCATCAGGAGCTCCGATTTGGACACCTTTGCATCCAGCGCAGAAAAGGCTGTTTGGGTCATTGTATGTTAGCCCATCTTCATCTCGCAACGGGTGGGTTTCCACAGTATGGGACTGACTGGGCGTAGAAGTGGGGTCTTTCCTACCTAGCTCTATATCATCTCTCTCAAGTACATTCTTCCGTGTGCGAGATGAGCGCGGCATTGTATCTCTCTATCGGAAATGCAGGTTACTCCGGGGATGGTCTGCATGAAGGTACACAATAATGATTTGCCATCCAAGGCGACATTCTTTTCGTCTTGCGAGCTGTCACTCCGGTCTGTGGAAGTGTTCCAGCACATATCAAGACGACTATTAACCCGTGAACTCGATATGAGCCGGAGGGCAGCCCCCAGCCGCGCATTGCGAAGACGTGGAGACTGCAGACTGGGCGGCGGTCAATTTTACCTGGTGGTGGAGTGGGGTAGGTTTAAGGGGAGGGGGCATACCGGTGTGTACCTAAGTCAGTATCTTATCCGGGCGGCAAAGATTGTGTAGGTAGCGAAGGTAAGAACCTGTTCGAGGCTGGTGGCGGGGTACTTGTACCAAGACAAAGTATGACACCGTAACATCAATTATTATTGTTGGCCGATTTGGTTGTTTTATAGTTAGTGGTGATAAGAGTGGGATGATCTTAAGACTACGACGGTTCGAGCTCCACCGGGAGCAGTAGGGAGGAGTTTTCAAGCTCGGATATACGTATACGGTATGAGTTAAACTAGTAACTAGTCTGGCGGCGGCTATATCGGAGTGGACGGATGGATTCCGGACAAGGGCAAGATGGCCAAGCGGTGAAGGGGTATTCGTACCAAGATAAAGTAGGACACTATAACATCAATATACCTGGTTAGCTGATTTAAGTTTATTACGGCCAAATAATCAGATTTTAATTACCGCATAGGTACACCGTACCAGGCCCCTCCAAGTACCTTGGCTTATGAAGTGGACCCGACTTAAAATATCTTAGTAAAAAATAATATAACGGCTTTAATATTACTTTAATAAGTATACCTTGAAAAAGGTCTTTATAATAATTGATTAAATAAGATAATTTATAAAAAATTTATTAATTTATTAATTTAAGAGTTGATATTTTAAAATATATCCCACCTTCTAATTATATATACTATTTACGCTTATAAGTTTTTTAAAACACGTTTTTACCTGTAGTTAAAATATCTGAAATACTTACCTTACGTATACTTAATCAAAAAAACTAAAAGTAGCTACTAGTTATAACCAAGGTGATACTATTACAATTTAATCTTAATTATTGCCGCAAACAAATTCAAAGCTTAAAGTTTTATTAAAGTTATGAGGCTTGAAGCTTTATTATATTATTGTCACGAAGCGTAAATAGGATGAGGACATAAAAGTCCTGATTGCACTACCTACGTGTAAGAATCTCTTGGTGGGGAGGGAAAGAAGGATCTGACCCGCCAGCCAATCCTGGTAGGATTAATGATCCTTTCATCCGCCCCACTATTACCTAGCCTAGTACAGTTGTGGCCACACGTCTTGTGCGCCAGGTCATGTGATGCTGCGCACAGGCCACCCTGATGGGTTGACAGACTTCTAGGAGGTCAGACTGTCACAATTATTGTTTAACTTAGTTTAACTTAATTTAAAAACTTATCGTTTTAATAGATATTTAGAAAAAAAAATTTAAACTCATTCATTAAAATTTAACAATATATTATTGATAATAAAAATTATTTTCTTTAATGTAGATGACAAGCGAGCGGCAATTACAAGCAAATGGCAACTTTTCAACAACCACCTAACCTTTTTATTAAGGCTCTTTATTGATCAACCAATAATAATAGCATTGCGTTATAGCAAATCAGACATACAGCTAGCTGTCCAAGCTAAAAAATGAGACCCTCATATTTCTGTTTGGAAGCTTGCTAAAACTTTCCACCTACTAATCTCTATACTAGATCAAAGAATCGCCAGCCGATCATCATGACGCAATAACATGCCTAGTCCTTTGAAACTTACAGTTTCTAAAGAGAATACTATTCTTTCCTTCATTCTTAACCTAGATGCGCGAGTATTTCTATCCTGACATAGTTATATTAAAGATATAGTGAATTAATTATTGGCAGCACGTAGGGCTAGACGCATTGAAAAAGAACTAGACGCGGAACATTATTAATAGATTAGATAAGGAAGGACACAACCATATGTGCTGCAGTCATTTGGGTGCATACACACCTGGATCCTTTTCCTTCCTCACCTTGTTATTTTTGGAATACCACAAGTTTTCCATCACAACGCCGTAGGCATCGTGACAATAAGGAGTTTTTTTAACAAGATGTTGGAACAGGCTTGAACAATCAATCATAATACTCGAGTATGGTGTCAAGGTCATGATGTTGCTGATGGTTGATTGAGAGGAATCTAGCTGGACTCAAAGGTCTGGCCAAGTGCTCTCTCAATCCACTATCTTATCTTATCTAATCATACATGTGGGTCCTGGTATAGATGGTTTGCAGTCTGGAATCGCATGGATCCAACACAGGATACTCTTTCTTTCATAGTTGCGATTCCATCAAACCGTCTTTCCAGGTGATCTCAACGCTGAACCCAGCCTTCAACTCGAACCGTTGTCTTGTTATTAGAAACAAGACTATGAAGAGCTTTATTTAGAGACGATTTGGTCATCGAGTCAGCAGGGTTGTCTTCATCATGGATCCATCGGATTTCTGTGATCTCATGATTCTTGCATGACTGCTGGAGCGCCATGACGTCGATCATCAGGCGCTTCTCATTGGTAGTGCCAAGCTTGACAAGGCACTGGTATAGCGAGTATGAGTCCGTGCAGAGGATCAGGGGGATCGAAGGTACTTTGAGGCGTTAGCAGATAGTTGCCAGTGTACGGTGGATCACGTATCCGTAGTCATAGCCAGCAACCATGCCATAGATTTCAGAAGCTAGAACGCTCTGAGTGACTCTCTTGCATTTGGTAGAGGACCAATGAACAATGTTTCCAGTCAGATTGAAAATGAATGTCTTGTCATTGCCAGATGATTCATTCCTAAGGATGATGACAAATCCGATCTGTGATGATAGGTCCTTGTTGTTGGCGAATGATCTGTTAACAAATACAAAAAGTTTAGCAGTAAACAGGTCAGTCGTTACAAATCCAAGTCTACGTGACTTGTTGTTTAATTGCTATTAAATGCGTTTGTTTAGTATCTCGACATCTTTGTAAGATGGTTCTTGGGCTTGGGCTGCGACAGAATAGTCAAATGCAGCTTCTGGTTGACAGATGGAGGCAATGTAAGCGCCTCTTACTCGTTGTTTAATAAATTTCTGCTTGTAGTCCTTGTCACTCATGTCAATCAGGACGAGCTTGTCAGCTTGTCCCTTTTGAGTTGCTGTCATGCTCTTAGTCTGAAATTCTAGGCGGCATCCGTTAAAGTCGTCAAAAGAACCAGTATCAAACTGGGTTCGTGGCTTTATCTTGTAGCCCGCTTTCCTTGTTTCGTTTTCTTCCTTCTCTAAGAAGCTGGTAGTGCCAATGACAAAGGTGTCGTCAGTTTGAAGGGCTGCGATAGCAAAATCGTTGCTTTTCTTCGTAATAAATAAATAAGGGTTGTATACAGATGTCTCCATCTCTAGTCTTTCCTTGTGGTGGGCGGAGCATGTGTCATACCAATGATTCCCAGCTTCAGCGATTCCGTACAAGGGTTTGTTGATGCGAAGAATTGTACCCTCTGGATACTTTTTCTTTAGTTTAATGGACAGCTTGCATAGGACAAGACAATTCATAGGGTGTCGTGACTGCGTATAGGCCATGGTGATGTCTCGAAAGGCAGCGAGGCATCCTAGCCGCCGTAAAGACAGTGTCAGGGCCATTGCCAGTCGTTGGCTGCATCGCATGACCGTCAGAGCTTGGGTCATAATATTGTGCTTTTCATGATTGTTATATCCTTTGAACAAAGAGTCTGCTCTTCTCGTAAGGGCGGTCATTAACGCCTTTAATAATGCGGACAAGACAAGAGTTAAACAGTTGGGTGTCGCTATGAATCTTGCTATCGAACAGAATGGGGACAAGCACTTCATCAGCAAATAGAGACTCAATCTCAAGGACATCGGATTGCTCGAAGGGTGCTCCAGGGGCTGTGATCTTGCCTTCAGTGCGCAGTTTTAGGGCGAGAGCGTGGTCAGCACGCTCTTTGTGCGAGAGGAAAATGCCATATTCATCTTGCTGGACGAAGGAACCAGCGAAGTTCTCCTCTTCGCTTGTAGTCGTAGTGGCCATGTGTACCACGTATATTTTTCTGGGTCGGCCTCGCGGTCTGTTTGTGCTTTGGACGGGTGTATGGAGCTTCGGAGGGCGGCCGCAACGACGGGGGAGTGTTGGTTCAAGATATTCGAACGGAACGGGGGTATCGTGGTTGTTGACCTTGTCAGTATTGAGAATCGCGTCAGGGTGACGGTTGTACAGCTTGATGTGCGTGCGGTTGAATAGGGTTGGTCTGTTGAGCATCTCAACGGTCACTTCTCGGTCTGTTACCGAGAGAACCTTATGCGTGCCTTGATATTTGTCTTTTTTGCGATAGACAAGGACCTCACTGCCAATGGGAAGAGAGAGAGGCAGTATTGGGGTTGTATTAGGGCTGTTCCTTGTGTTTAGAGCACTTTGAATGTTGCGCTTGGCTCGAAGCTTACGTAGTTCGGTCATTGCTTTGGCCTGGGCCTGGGCACGTTGAAGCTGCGATTGTGTCAGGGGTGAATTCATTGTAACGCATGGATAGGCTCCAAAGATCAAGAGTATTGGTACAAGGCCATCAGGACCAGCGGTATTGTTCATGGCTTTTACTGCTTTTTGTAAGGCAGCTTCTCGAGAGATCCCGGATGATTCGGCTCAGATGATCTCGTAAGAGCGTCGAATGGGGGTATGATACGGTTCAACCTTGCCAATCGACCAATGAGCTTCGACGGGAATCTGATGACAGGTGATTCCAAGCAATCGGGCTTCAGCTCGGAATTCTGTGACTGCGAAGTTGGTACT